CCGAAAAGGTATCCTCAACAGTCAAGACTGTCATTCCCCTGTAGAATATGGCAGCCGGAATGTAACCCCCCTCCCCGAATACATATTCCTTGCCGTATCTACTCCGCCGCAACCCATTCGTTAGAATGATTTCTTGTGTAAGTTCTTTAAAGGTGCTTATATAAATGGACGTCGGTAACCAAAAACTGACACGTAGTAATCCTTTCCCAAAGCGCAAAATGATTCGTCCAAATGTGTTCGGAGCATAGGCTAGGAATAGTATCGCCCGAGTCGCTGGATGACAGTACTTCAAAATAGCACTCAGAGTAGTTTATCCACGAAGCTTACCTCTGGCTTAGAACTTTAAGCGCCTCTAAGCCTCAATATGAAACAGGGATATTAGATATGCCTACATGTAGTTAGTTAGGCACGTTTTCCATCTCCACAGGGGACCTAGACCGTTTCTTAATACGGAAACTACAGGCACAAGCTCGTGAAGCGGATTCAGCTATTGGTCCTGCAGGACAATGGAGTCTCATGATGTTGCGGGCATGTTCTGCCCACCATAGCCCAATTTGTTTCAAGGGTACGATAACCATCCGGGCATGCTTGTCTTACTATGCCTTGACCTCTCCAATGAAGAATCCCAGACGCGCGGCTGAAGAGCAAATTGTCCACCTTTGTCCCCGCGGCTCCTCCGTAAGGACATGTTATTCGCATAGTAGCATGAGCAATGCTCCTATCGACACACCCGGCAATCAGCCTTGGAATTCGTCCAAGCTTATGATGATGCCGGTTTGCCGACTCACGTCATGATTCTTTTCTCATCATGTACTCGAGCATGGAACCGCTAGGAGGAACACGCGCCTTACATGAGCTTTGTGGGTGTGTTGCGCCTGAGCAGTCTTAATAAGTTGACTCTTTGAGCTTCCTTTTTGAGCACACGCTGCAAACTTCACGAGAGGGAAAAGGTATAAAGGGACCAGTTCCCTTCGTGATCGACAATATCCTCTTCACCAGTCAACCCAGACAACTCAGCTCAACAAAGACCAAACAACAGCCTTTCATCCTCGAACCATCTCAACCGCTACAATGGCTTTCAAGACTATGATGGTCGCCGCCCTGGCTGCTCTGCCTGCCGTCTTCGCTTCCCCCATCGAGCTCGAGTCTCGTGCTGGCTGCAAATACAACGGTGGCTGGCAGAACTTCCCTTCCATGAGCCAGTGGCTGCCCTGGACTACCGTCTTCGGCCGCTACCAGCAGGACATGGTCAACGCCGGTTCCACCTGGGACGATGTTGGCCGTATCAACGTCGCCATCAGCAACGCCGCCGCCACCATCGGTGTTGACGAACGTGTCATCCTCGCCATCATCCTCCAGGAGAGCCACGGTTACGTCGGTGTCCAGTGCACTGGTAACAACGACTGCGGTCTTATGCAATGCGAGGGCTGCCCCTCATTCCAGGGACGAAACGGTCTTCCCCAGGTATGTAGACACTATATACTCTCAGTTCTAATTTGCTATTTTGCCTCTAACGCTGTCTATAGTCTGATACCTCTGCCATGATCAACGGTGGTACCCAGCACTTCAAGGGCAACTTGGAGAACTGGGGCAACCAATGGGCTGAGTCTTCCATCTACCCTGCCCTCCGTGAGTACAACTCCGGCAGCGTCAACTCCGGCGATCTCAGCACTGCTGCTGGCGGCTTTGGCGTTCCTTGCTACGTCGCCGACGTCGCCGGCCGTATGCTCGGAGACGTCTTCTAAGTCAACAAAATGAAAAGGAGGAATGGAATATGAAGCGCGATGGCTTGGAATAATGGAAATCTCCGTGGCGTCGCTTGCTTCTACTCTTGGGTCTGCATGTCTATATTTGCCCCCTGTGGCACTTTTTAAAGCCTTTTCCTAGAGGCCATGTCTATATCTAGGATCAACGTATATATATTATCTTTCAGCCAACTATTCTTGTCCAGTTATTGTTAGTGATGTTTCTTTCGTATATGCACATTCATCATCTTCCTGCTGTGAAGTACTAGCGGAAAGATGTCCGGCGATCTGACGGGGGATGGTGAGGTATACGATAAACATGAAGTGTAAACCAACGATGGACGCCCCCTGACTGATCTAAGAAAAGAGATTCAACGGACTAGGCCAACAGGCTATCATGCCGGTTCATCTATTCTTGGCATGCACCATGGGGATCAATTCGGACGGCAATATCCTCCGTACGGAAATATTTTCTTACTGCCAAGAATAACTCGCGTATCTCTTCCGGAGCAGTTTTCTTAACCTGCGAATTGCCGGTGAATACAAATGATGCCGGAATCATGATGAGCGTTGGAGGCCGTTCTCGGGTTTTGCCTGTAAGCAGCTGCCTATTCTGGTGATCAAATCAAAATTACAAGTTTACTTGAGTCGTGGGGCGCTAAAAGGGTAAATCCACGTTAAAATCAGGGGTTCTTCTTTTTCTTCCTATCAAATTTTGTTTAGTAGGTTTGAGTGAAATCGTAGCGCGGACGTGTTCGATTAGTTGGAACCGCGGCTAACTGACGCAGTCACATTGCACATCTTGGCCAATCATCTCAACAGACAGCAGCACATATCTTTAGAACCAGCAGACAATTCCCATCATTTGGAGCTTCCTATTCGATGATAGGTAAGCTGACGGTGGAGTCGTTAGTGTCGAGAAACGTACCTCTGAAAAGGGCCGAGCGGCATCAGGGATCTTTTCTTTTGGCACCGACGAGAACCTCAACTGAGCTGCAGGCGTTCATGCGTCCCCTTGTATGATTCTAAACGGGGAGTCTCCGATGGAGTTTACAATCAATCTTGGGCCATTTGTTTTGCCTCGGGCGCAGTCAAGACTGAACCAACCCCGATTTGAGGTTCAAGTTTGTTCCCCGCAAGTCAGAGGTCCCAGTTGTCCGGATGAGCAACTCAATGCCGTGAGTGTTTTCGTAACCTAAAGTGAGAATTGTCGGTTTCTAAGGAATACTTACGAAGTGCCTAATCCTGATTCAAGATGGAATTATTGTAAATGAAGCTTTAATGCCATAATAGTCTACCCAAAGTTTTTAATCCTTTGAAGATCGTCGGGACGATCTCCCGGATTTTCATTCTAGCGGCTATTCGCCCTATGCACCGCTCCACTAATCATCCTTCGTTGCATTGTAGGATCTTCAGAGACTTTTTCTGTTTACAGGCATTCTCCAATAGTACATAACGTGAAACTCCATTGTCAAGTAAGCTTAAAACAAAAGGATGTATCACACCCAACCAAGTTTTGTCAATTAAAGTGGTATACGTGTTGTAGTGGGGGGAAAAGCGTCATAGTCAATAATCATGCATCATTGTGAGTGCTGTCACCATCTTCTGCACCTACAGTTGCTTTAGAAGTCGCGCAGAGTTAAGAATACTATCATACCATACAACATACAAACATTTTATTTCTGCGCGAGGGTGCGTGAAACCCTTAACAGACTAACAGAATAAACATCTCATCAACGTTGTGTCGCGCTGCCATTGATCGACATGTTAGACACGATTTCACTGCATGATCAGCGGTCAGATCATCACAACCTCACTAACGTCCAGTTGTTTCAGACAAACACGATTTGGTGCATTAGCATCGTAACAATGATCTGTGTCGATCCGGCTCAGTTGTCTCACCCCGCTAAGCGCGGACCGTACCGGCTGAGATATTGTCATGCGAGCCTGTCACCTCGATCGGCTGACAGTTGATCACTGGGATTTTACTCGATGCACACCACCATCGTCTCTGTACGAGGTACATGATGTTTATCTCTGAAAAAGGCCAGTATTCAACATTTGCGCTTCATGAGCAACAACATTACCATATATGTATGCGAGTTGACGCAATATCACTGTCGGTTACTTGTAACTACCACTTTACAGAATACGAAGAGGGGTTAAAATGAAAATTAGCCATCAGCCTCAATAAAGACAAGAAATTTAGACTACTACTGGAAAATTGAGAGGAAAGAGGCCGTTATCCACATGTAAACCGAGTTTCATGTCTCCGGCTAAGCGCTTGCTTATGCCCACTTCGAAGAAGACCTTCTTCTTTTGTTGATGATCGTCCCCCAAACCACTGGTGTACAATTATGCGACATTACATAATATCAATTTAAAGAAATGCTGCGCTTATGAATAAATGACTTTACACTTACTTATCCCTCTACTTTTTTTGAACTGCCAAATTCGCTAACCCAGGATCGAGATCCAAAACGAAAGAAGAAGCTCTTCACCGAGAGTATAAGTGGACAAAAGAACCCTGTGCAATTCAACGGTCAGTGAAAAGAACTAGAACAATTCTTCCAGTTGTTCCGCTAGCTTATGTGCAAGGGTAGCAATAGTCCAAGGCAGCAGGATAGTGGCCGCTTTCAGTATCTTTTACGCCCTTTCAGTAGCCTGATAGTACGAGTACGAGAGTTAGTTATTTCATCAAAATTCCACGGAGAAGGCTACCCCATGGGAGCTAGCGAGCATTATTTTCCCCTGAAAGACATTGATTAATGGCAACTCGTAAAACAAGTTTTTTTCCCCCAAGATTACTATACGAAGTACACCTTCCACACCCTTAGCACCCTTCACTCCTTTCGCACCCCTCGGCAGAAGTATGCATGAACAGTTATAACCATGGTTCATGTCTGTAAACATTCGCATAATGTTGCCCTGAAAGTCGTAAGCAGAGACAACGTTGTAATCCGAAATAGCCGACACCGATTTTCCATGCTGGGTATCTAGTAATCAGTAATTGAAAGACGCGTTCAAATGTGGATTGATTCCAACTGGCTTCGCAAGGGTCAAACTGGTCGAGTTCAAGGCCACCAGCGTTGGCTATCTTGGTCATTGCGGCTTATAGTGGACTAAGAGTTCACATAATATTACGAGCAGTGAGGATACTCTGGTCGTGTGGGTATGCATGGGAGCATCTTCTACATTGGCGGACAGGTGAGACGGTGCTGCCGATTCATGCGTATAATGTTTCATATGCATTTTCCAGATACGACAAGACATTCTTGATCATTAAATATTAATGCAATAGACTAAAATAATGAAAGAGCGCATCAATTATGGATGGGTTAGTCCTTTGTGAATACCTCTGCATCTTCCTTGATGACATCACCATTTGATTGGCCTGGGAAGAACTCCCTTCTATCTTCCGTATACCCGCTAAGACACAATAGTCAGCACATGATGAAGATAAAACACATTGTCGTTGGCTGTACTTACAAGATAATGTCGATCTCATCCAAAGTCTTGCCCTTTGTTTCTGGCAGAAAGAAAAAGGCCCAAATGGTTGCAAGCAACATCCAAGAGGCGAAGAAGAACCAGGTACCATAGCCCAGCGAGGTGAAAATGTAGGGTAGCGCCTTGGTAATAACGAATTGGGTGAGCCTGTATACAAATATTAGTATTGATCAAGTTTTGCAGTGGTCGAACCAGTTCTCACCATTGGCAGAGCGCTGCCCATGTTCCAGAAAAGTTACGTAGGGCGCCTGGGAAGATTTCGGCGGCAACGATCCAAGGTATACCGTTAAGACCAAATGACCAGCTATCAAAAGGGAGTTAGTAGTCGGATACTTTAAAGATGGGTGAATGCGCAAGCTGCCATACAAGACTGAGTATATCATGATCATGCCAGTTGCAGCTTTGCCACCAGCCGCTGTGGATGGTGAAAGCTCATGTCCAGCTTTGATGATGTCGGCTGGGTGCCCGATTTTGACGTATGCACCGATGATCCAGAGGCAGAGCGAACAAGCGATAGAGGAGATAATGGTTGGGTGTCGGCGACCCCATATATCGATCAAAAAGACGTAGAACAGGATTGAAGCGATTGCTTTGACAAGGCCGTAGATGCCAGTGTATAGAGAGACATCTTGGATTCCGAGCGAAGCGAAAAGCGTTGGTGAATAATAGTTGATGGCTGTTATGCAACACTTTGTAAGCTGATGACATCTCCATCAATTTGGAATGCCTTACCTGCGGCTCCAGACATATTTTGTAGCGCAAAGGAGCAAAAGACCAGAATGATACGGTTTCGCATCCCCTTCCTTGATAGTTCGTAAAGGGCTCCACGGAAGAGTGCCCACGACCCAGTTCCATATCTGCTCGCAATGTTGTTTTCTTCTACCAGACGGCCTTGAATCATTTGTATATCTTCTTTCAAGTCTAAAACATTTTCGTGTCAGCTAGCTTTCTTTGAAGTCAACTCAGGTGTAACTTACACTCGTGATCTCGAGAAAGATGACGAATTCCTTCCAGTGTCTTGGTTCCATCTTCCGCTCTATCTTTTCGAAAGAGCCAAAGAGGACTCTCGTGAAGAAATACCCCTCCAATCAGTAGCATACCACATGGAACGATTTGGATAGCCATAGGGATGCGCCACGAAGCGGTTGAGTTTACATCCATGTTCTGGTTGATTCCATAGTTGATCCAAAAGCCAATCACCGACCCGATTTGATATGCGATTTCGAAGAGACCAGTGAGTATACCACGGATAGAAGGAATCGAAAGCTCAGCGATATAACTTGGAACGGTCGCGGTGATTCCGCCACAGGCAAGACCGGTGAGAACTCGACCAGCATCTTCACAACCAGAGTTAGCCACAAAAAGTTTACAGAACCATCGAGTCTGAGTGAGATGCCATGGACGTACAAATGTTGCCGAGTGAACGCGTAGCTGCAGTCATAATGACCGCGCCAATGAGAAATACGACGTTGGAGATGAACAATGCCCATTTCCGGCCTACCTTTTCCGTAACTATTCACCAATAATCAGCACACGAAGGGCGGCATGTGTTGCTTTGAGTATTCCTGAACCTACTAAAGAAGCAAAAAATGGCACCGAAAAAGGCTCCCGCCTGGAACGCAGACGTGATATTACTGGAGATGCTGTTGGCATCGGCCGGCGAAATATTAAAGTCTTTTTTGAAACTGGCGCGGGCGATTGTCGTCCCAACGAATGCACCGTCATAGCCAAAGCTGTTTACCATAGCGTTAGAACAGATCGCATGCGTTTCTAGTAAGGCAAAGGACACTTACAGAAGAGAACCTGTCGCAATGATTGCAGCTTCGGTATACAGCCGCCAATTGTACACTTCTTTCGGCGTTGGCCGATCTTCAACGGCACGGAATCCACCCATGATGTTGAAGGCCTTATCACCTCGTCAACTACCTATGTTAAGGACCTCGCAACGCGGGACAGAGTACACACCTGTATCAGGAATTATAAAGTTGGTTCGCGCAGGAATGAAATCCGAGGCCATTTAGCAACCAACAAACTCGAAAGACAAACGGACAACTTCGTAAGATATATGAATGAGAGTCTTGCGGTCTGTCGCTCATCGCCTTCGCCTGGTTGCCATCGGATCTGGCGAGAAAATGGTGGGGTCTTCGCCAATTAGCAAAGAATCCGGGTTACTGCTGTCGAACCATTTACACGATACCCCAGCTTTTCACTGAGTAGCGCCGTGCGGGGAAATATGCGGAGGCGACAATTCAGATCAGATTCTTTCTTCAAAGGAACGAGAACACAGGGGAGAATATCCAGCTCGGGTCACAAGTGACTGCCGGGTTTGTCGGCAAAAATTGAACCATTTCAAGCCCTTGTTTGTCTTAGAACGGGAATAAAACGTGGTTCGCCGACGGTTTATTGTTGGTGGCGCTGCGCTATGGCGAGGGATGTGGCAAATGTGAGGCCAATGAGAAGAGGAACTGTTTGGTGGGCTGGGCAGCTAAGCGACGTATCCGATATCCGAGCCGATCGGCTGTCCCTTTGAAGTCGACACGATCATGGCGTTAAGTCTTGGCTTGAAGAAACAGAGGACAGAGGACTTGCGGCTGCAAACAGACGCCGTGATTATGACTATTGGCGTTAGATGTAGTCCGACATATTATTAGTGAAATGCCACCAGCTCGAGCTAGACACACTGGGGATTGTGGAAGTGTATTCAATGCCAAGTTATGTGACCGCATGGCACGGAAACACGTTTATCACTTTGGAAAACCCAGTGTTACTAGTTTCATATGCCAAAGGAAAGTTGAGATATAAAGTACATGTATATCATTGAGATATGTTACTCAAATAGGCATATCATTGTTGTCTCCGATATAATTTGGCCTTTCATATTGCTATCAGGAGACTCTTTTTATGTATCATACTGTCAAGCCCAACGTGGATGATCAAAGCTCATGATGCTGCCGCCTCTATGTAGAGCCCTTGGCAATGCTTCTCTCAGTCGCTTCCAGAGCGCTAACCACGCCAACAATCCATTCTTGCTGCGTTTTATTATCGTACTTTGGGTATGGTCGCCGACAATGACAGCTCTCCTCGGGATAACCACGCAGCCTTGCTACTACCCATTTTGTACCGTTGATACCACCCTTGGCAAAGCCCCATTCCATCTTTGCGAGCTCCAACTGCAGTGCCGTAGCCTCTTTGACCTTGCCTGCTACGAAAAGATCGTAAATTTGTATACATGTCTTTGAAGTTTGTGAAATCGTCGTGTCAGCAATGTTCACTGCCTGATGGCAAAACATCGTTGCATCAAACTCACCTTGGGGTAGAGATTTGCTATTCCAGTAATGGCGCCTGTACTGCCAACAGATAGTGCTGGGACGAGCCAGTCACTTTGACCAGCAAGAGCACTGAATGTATCGGGACTGTATGTAGCAGCAATGCGAGACACCTTGGCAATTCCACCGCATGTCAGCTTTACACCAACGATATTCCTATGCTTTGCTAGGCGATCCAGCATCTCGGAGTCGACATCGAGTCCAGCGACAACATTGGGATAGTTGTATATCACGATGGGAAGCGGGCTCGCATCAGCTGCCTACACATTGTGAGTCAGTATCAACTTCACGACTCAGAATAAAATGAATATTTTCTCACACCTCTTCGAAGAATGCAACAATGCTATCTTTATTCATAGCAAAATGGAAATAGCTAGGTACGAGTACCAAGACAAAATCGGCACCAGCTTCTTTTGCTGCCTTCGTTTCTGCAATGACATCTCGTGTGCACTGTCCGGAACATCCTACCGTAATTGTGATGTCTGGTCTTCTAGCCTGTGTGGCGACGCGACGTGTCATTGTGATAAGTTTAATCTTTTCATCCTGAGTCAATGTCACAGCTTCACCATTGGTTCCAGCAATAACGACTAGATTAAACTCGCGTTAGCTACCGTTGCTGTGTTAATGGGAAAAGTGCGAAAGCGCTGACCGCCATGAAGACCAGAAGTGATGACAAAGTTCAAATGTCTCTCTTGTAAATCCCAGTCTATTTCTTGAGAGTGGTCGTTGCCGAACCAGGTTAAACTGGGCACATGAATGCCAGGCGGAAACGGTCTGACTGCTTGCAAAGAGCCCATTGTTGCTGATATGGGGAAGAAATCGAGAGCTTCTGGTGCTTTGCTTCAATAGTGTCTTGTCTCAAATGATGCGAGGCAGCAAGACTTCTCGAAGAAGGGTGTTAATTAATGCTCAGGATACCGTTTAGAGTCTTATATATTACTCCACTGGATAGATCATGATAAGATTGAGAACCCTGGTGAAGCCTGTATCGGACTTCGTAAAAACTGCATTAGACCCCAGATGGGGTAGCCAGATGCGAAGAAGTCTCCCCGCGTCTAGATGACTGATCGTATCACCTTACTTGTGGTTCAATCGAGGCGATAGGCGTGGGGTTGTGTGTTGCCGACGACTCATTATTTCCGACATTGCCGACCCGAGCGGACACCACCCATCGCCTCTGCCACTCTGTGCTAGATTGATCACAAGATTGCAAAACAGGAATTAAAAACTGCATGCATCACGGATCGGATATCCGCACGGGACTTTGACGCTTCTTGGCGAGCTTGGACTTCTTCAAGGACTTGCGCCGTGATTCTTGCATTCCCCGCGACGCCCTCCATTCTCACAATCTCAGCTCGAATCCATGCCTTTTCATCTTGATCCTGCTCTTCTACGCCCAGCATCAATAGAGGCCAGAGCATATTTACTGGCAGCGAGTCATCGGGAGCGAGATCAGACGAGATTTGATGCGCCAGCTTGCGAATTTGTCCAAGGGCATCAGCTGCTTCCTTGGTCAATGGCAAGTGTTTGTAAGCGACGCGATGAAGATGGACTTTGCTGGCGTAGTAATTGGACAAGTACGTGCGAAAAGCTCTGGTAATGGTGAAAGCCAGGTGCGCTGAGATATGAGGCTCCGACAGCTTTCCCGCGACGGCGTAGTCCATGAGTGGTGGGCGCTGATCGTACAATGAGCGGAGGTCGGCTGCAATGGAAGCGCCAATGTTCATGACTTCGATCTCGTCTTCCACAGTTCCTCTTGATCGATGCCAGGGATCAATCTTCGAGATGCGCCCCATAAAGCTTTGTACCTTTTGGAAAAAGACGATCCCGGGCTGGTAGAGGACTTGGAACAAGACGTCCTCGATGTCATCACTGGAAGCGTCGTGGCTTCTCGCAATTTCATCTGTCTCAGCATCGAAGCTCGCAGGAGAGGCATCTACGAGTTCAATTTCGTCGTCTCGTGACAGAAATAGTCCCTCGCCACCGGCCGACACTGCTCTGGCATCCAACAACCGAATCCAGAGAAGAACTTGCTTTTCGACATGGGAGAATGATGCTTTATTCCCCTTTTGGAATATTGTATATGCCTGTTTGAGATAACGATGCGCCGTGTCGAGCTTGCTTTCTATAATCCCCACGTAGCTCAAAAAGAATAAAGCGGCCAGGAGGCATTCACGTGCGAGACTATGCTCATTGAATGAATCTGGATCTTGGGCTTCGACTTCCATAGTAGCTTCTTCGTAGTGGTTTTGGTCGGCAAAGGCCCAGGACATATTGCTGCGACAGAGAAGGGTATTTGAGAATGCCAAGATAGCACAACGTAGGACGCGAGAGCTTTTCGACATTGCGACAAGGCCTTGACGGATTGAGAACCACTTCCTCTGAGATTCAACTCCGGCAAGAATAGGCGGGGTGGCGGACTTGGCGAAGAACTCCATTAGCCTCTCACTTGTAGCAGATGCACTCTGATCCAAAGTCTGGTCTCCATTCTCTTGGATGGTTGCAGTATCAGAATATGAATTCATGATTAGAGGATCCATATGCCTGTTTATGTATGCAGTGGGCTCCTATCGAAAGCGTGAGTATCAGAATTTTCTCTTTGGCTTTTGTTCGCCGCCAACTACATGTAGAAAGAATAGATGGACGAGTACTAGCGAATTGGGATGAACGGCACTTACTATGGCATTCGTGCTGATCGCAATGGTGGTTGCCATATCTGGGCTTTCCTGTTGCCAAAGACTGCTGCCGGGATCCCACATAAAGCTAGCATAGTCAAACACTTCATCCATAGCCTGCAGCGTTCTTAAACCAGACGTAGTTGGTGATCTGTCAGTAGACGGAGACAGAGTCAGTTGGTTACTGGATGTGCCACTCTCGCCATTTGCATCCTGCCGTTGCTTTGACAACGCAGGGGCGTGATGTGGTCGCCATTTGCACTCCAAGTTCAGTCGCTCACAATGAGAGCATCTTGGACGCTGCTCATCGCACTTTACTTTACGACGCCTGTATGTTCACTACCTATCAGCAAAGCGTCCTGAAGTACGTTGTATAGTTGTTATATGAGTGGAAGGAAGTCTCACTTGCAAGTCAAACACCCACACCGTGACCTGTTATAGCGCCTCGCTGGCCCAGCGCGTTGTGGAGAGATCGCGTTCATGATACCATCATGTGTAGGAAGCCGCAGCGTGCTATCGAGATAATCTGACTAAGGATGTGTATCCACAGTTACACAAACAGAAGATGTTTAATAAAGATATGCCTTTTCAAGTAATAGGACGAAGTATGCCTGTGCTGAGGCGACACAGCCTAATGTGGTAGCTGAAGGAAGAGTTGGAGAAATCATGCACCCCAGAGTGAGTTCTTGGGCTAATGAGGTTAGCGTGTCAAGCAGGCGAACTAAGGGTCTTGATGCTATTGAACTCCGTCATGTGACGCGAATGGTGTTCTACAGAGGTAAGGTAGAATAGCAGATGCTCCGTGGCCTGTACATATTTGGATCGTTAATTCTAGAATCGAATAATAACAAGTTTCACAAAGTGCTTGCGTAAGTATATAGAGGCGAAATGCGTAAACATTGGTCAATTATTTGACTACCTGTGGCCACCTGTAGCCCTCAGATTCACAGAGTCTCTGCATTCCAGCATGTGGCTGTACGTAGGCATTGTCTTTTTGGTATATATGAGCATTACCCGGGCTGCAGCTGCAATGGCCCATTAGACTGTCTTGCATTATTGGGGAACAGCATTTCCTGTACCAGACGCTACTTGGACCCGGATACGCGAGGGACTAAACGCCCGGATACATGAGCGGATACACTAAAAATAGAGACTGCATCTCCGGTGAGCAACAAGTATAGTACGTATAAGACATAAACACTGTACTACTCTGCCAATTGTTCTACCCATTTAAACAGGCTATTCTTCATCATGGCCTACTTATTATTATCCACGAATGGACACTGTGTTTTGGGGCAAAGATTTGGCAGGCTGTAAGCACTTATTCATGTAAACTAACAAATGTGCTTCTGAGCTGCGATGTCATCTCGTTCAATTCAAGCTTAGACAGTATTTCATCTCATCTAACATTCAAAGCTTAAATGGATTTTTAAATTTACGATCTGATAATATCTATAGTAGCACGAATTATAATTAAATTCCAATGCCCACTGCGCATCACTCTCACATAGTGTGCAACTATTTATACCTTATATTTGTTTTCGCTTCCCTTTAATCTCTCGTTGGAACATTTAAATAATTCATCTTGCAATTCGAATTGCTGTATGTATCGATTCAATCGCCGGTCTCGGCTCTTATTCATCATTCTCCGGAAACGCCGCGTCATTAATAATGGCGGTTTGGTCAACTCATTCTGGCCCCGCCACCTGATTACCCGATTAGGAAACCTGTGATGCTGTAAGGCCGTCGTTTCAGGCATTCAATCCAAGAGCAAAGTTGTATTTAAGTCGCGACAATTCTGGCTTTCCGAGAAAAAGATTTCTCTCTCAGATTCATCAGGATTTCCAACAATCATCAACAACCATCCAATTTTATAATTGAATTGAAGAATCCGCATCAAAAAAAGTTCAATTCACTTCTTCTACACTACCTTTACCTTGTCGCTGCCTGAATTCTCGATTTCAAGGCATCGCTGCCTTTTTTGCTGTGAGTATCCGCTTACGTCATCGCACCGAACCCATCTCTAACACGGTCAACCACCACCACTCCAGACACATATATCTTATAAAGCATAATAATTCATCTTGAATAACATTAATTTGTTATTACATACATTCATCACAATGTCGGCAACTCAAATTCAACAGAACGGCTGGACCTCCGTGCCATTGGACCCAAGCAAGCTCTTCAACGGCGAGCCATACAAGAACGTCCCAGGACCGCTTCTTGTCGCCGACATCAAATTCCCCAATGATGATCCTATCGTCGCTAAAGTCCAAAGCTATGCCAAAGAAAAGCTACCTATCGAGACTTTCAATCACAGCATGAGAGTATTTTATTTCGGTATGAAAGCTCAAATACCCAATAAGTATGTCTGCATAACTAACATACCTTCACATAGCCAGCGCCATTGTTAAACAACAATTTCCCGAGCATGCCGACACATTCTCTCCTTCAACTCTTGCTCTAGTTTCCCTCTTACATGACATTGGTACTGCTGAGGAAAACCTGGCTGCCACCAACATGTCATTTGAGTTTTATGGAGGGTTCAAGGCCCTCAACCTCCTTTTGGAGCTTGGAGCCTCCAAAGACCAAGCCGAGGCTATTGCTGAGACTATTATTCGTCACCAAGATCTTGGCACAGTTGGCAACATCACGTTTTTGGGTCAAGTTATCCAGCTAGCCACTATTTACGACAACGCTAGCAACCACCCATATGTCAAAAACATTACGCACATCATTCACAACGACACTCTCAAGGATGTCATCAAGGCCTACCATCGCACGGGGTGGCTTGGATGCTTTGCGAAAACAATTGATCGAGAGGAGGAGCTCAAGCCGTGGTGCCATAGCACTCACATTCCTGACTTCTCCAAGGTGATTCTCAACAACAGCTTTATGCAACAATATGAGTAAGAGCCAGGTGTCTTTTTCTTTTACGGTGATATAGTCTTACACAAGCCATGCGTCATTGGAATGCAAGAGATGGAGAACCTACGTGTGAGATGTCTTAATTCTACACACTCCTTGTGATAAAAAATAAATTCTTAACGTGTTTGGGGTAAATGCCCTCTTTCACTCAGTCAGTAATAGATACTAAGAATACAAAGAGCATATCATGCAACTTTGATGCCGCGGCTAGTTGAACTGTTTCTTATGCCAATTGACATAGGCTATTAGATTATTTAGTCAAAGCTGTTTTGGTTCATCCACGCTAATATTGGTGAATAACAACAGTCAATAATGGCAGGCTATAGAAACAAGATTGAGAAGGTGGAGATTGAATCTGAATGAGCTTTATAAGTTCGTGAATAACTATATGCGGCCGGAAATTTTCCCAAGTTATAGCCTCTCATTCTGCAATCTGCGCCGGTTTTCCATCCCATGCTCGCTTCAACAGCTCTCTTACTGCGTCCTTCTCAATCGTTCTAGGACTCCAAAATGGCTTCTGTAGCAGTGTTTCGACTGCCAAATCAATACCTTCTTCTTTCATTCCAAGATCCTTGAGGCTATAAGTAATCCCCAGTTTAGATAACAGTTTGTTCAGGCCATTGACAGCATTCCCATCGCTATCCGGGATATTTTCTGCCAACTCTCTCATAACTTCGGGGATACTTGGGGCTAGATATGCGAGCGCATGAGGCAAGATAATGGCATGCGTTTCGGCGTGAGGAAGATTAAAGGTGCCTCCAAGGACATGACAGAGTTTGTGATGCAACGATACGCTGGCCCCGGCAAGGCATTTGCCACAAAGCCAAGCACCAAGCAAGGCATCTGAACGTGCGGCGATATCTTTGGGATTTTGCATTATTTGGGGCAGCGATGTAGCCAAGGTCTGTATGCCTTTGATGGCGAACGTGCTGGTGATCGGGTTGGCGTCTGGAGCATATAAAGCCTCCACTATATGTTGTAATTGTGTCAGAGATTGCGGGTATAGCTTGTTTGTGTCCACATACCAGCGTGGGCCATAGCATTGAGGCCACTTGTTGCACTTATGTTTGTCGGCAGTGTCAATGTTAACTTCACATCGTAGATGACTACTGCGGGTATTGCCTTGCGATCAACGTGAGTAACTTTTACCCTATTCTCCGTCTGGCCCACAATCGGCGTCATTTCACTGCCTGCGTATGTCGTCGGAATGCAGATATGAGGCAACCCCGTCCGAACAAACAATGCTTTACCAAGGCCGACAGCACTGCCACCGCCAATTGACACAAAACAGTCGGCATCGACATGGGTGGAGTACCCCAAAGCCTCTTCAGTGACCTCTTTGGGCGTGTGCATAGTGACTCGGGTGAATGAGCCAGCAATCTGGCCGCTCAAAAGTTTGGCGACATCGTCAACGTAGAATGCCTTGCTGGGCGTTGTGAGGATGAGTGGCTTGGTACAGCCAAGCTTGGAGAGTTCGGAGGGGAGTTTGGAAAGGCTGTCTTCTCCAAAGAGGACTCTTTGGTTACTTTCATTGTACTCATAAGAAGCCATTTTTGGGTGACTTGGGAAGTGCTTAATATAACGGTCAGTATGAGTAATAAGTACATGTAGTCTTGACGACAGGTAAAAGAGCTAATTGTCAATGACGGAGAGAGGCATCTGCATCTGCATATATATATGTGCCTGGATGGCGATATGTCAGCTTAAAGCCAAAACGTAAATCTTTGGGGCTCAAACGCTTTAGCGCATGCGTCTTTTGCGGGTGACCAAGCTATGACACAGGTTAAACGTTGATGCATTCAAGCATTTCGTTGTCATGAATCAGCGCTTAGTAAGGTCTGATTCCGATCCACCGAGCTCATTCATTTTCCTTATGAGAGAGATAACTCAGCGTTTCATTCACAACGTGATTAAATAGCCTCCTATGGGCACAATATCCATTGAAACCGAGGCAAATCGCATACCGAGTACCTACATAATCTGATCTGATCTTTAAAAAACGAAATTGCCGTAAATGAAATGGCCAGCTACAGGGTAGCGAATAAGATCAAAATGTGTTCCATTTCCAGAGCAGAATGTGGTCACGTGCCGGACATTGGCCGTGAGCCATCTGTCCGCCTGTCCGAACTCAGCATTACTTCATGTTCTTATGGCTCTCAATAATTCACCAAAATCAAGGGATATCGTTGTGATTCAGAAGACTCCAGAAGACGGCTCTCTAGGCAACGGGGCGTGTGCCAGGTCGAGTTGCCCAATGCCTGCAAATGTCTTCACAAGTCACTCCCACCGTTCCCACAGCCCGAGCTGAGCCACGAGAAGGCGAGCCAACCAAACAGCCGAGACGAAGGGCCTGCAATGAGTGCAAGCAGCAAAAAGTACGAGATTTGTGGATTATTTCATTTTCTTGATTATTCTATGTATCACCAGTGAGCTTACAGCCTTTGCAGCTTCGATGTGATTTGGTGGCCGGCGACAGCGCCCCAAGTACGTGCTCTCGGTGTCAGAGACTGAGTCTTGCGTGCAAAGTAGACACCGATTTCCGAAGGACACGGAAGAGAAGGCAAGCCTTTCGAAATGGAAAACGTCTAGTTTTCTGAGGAACAAAGAGTCGTCTAACATAGAACTCATTCATATTTAGGAAATCCTTTGAGCTGGAGAATGAAGTCAGAGAGCTTAGACGTCAATTAGCCACCCGCGAAACTACCAATGCTGCTCTTGAATGGCCAATCCTAACTCCAGCAGCTCCTTGTGAGTATATCCAGCTCTTTCCGCTGATACATCACTGTTTATTGCTGGCCGGCCATGGTAAACTAACATGAATGCCCTGCTTGATGCGTCGTAGCGGAGGCGCGCATTAGTGAGGCAGCTGTATCATCGGTATCCGGGGCGTCTGGCGTATCACCAGATCCAAAAGAAAGCTCTCGCGTTCCGGGGCTGACTACACAGCCTGTCATAGACCAACCCCAGGCACCACGGAGATCGATCATTACCATTCCAAGAGCCAGGAAACTGGGCAATGTTGAGCTCTCTGTCGAAGAGATTGACGAGCTGTATCTCATGTGAGAAAGAAATGCCGGTGTCTCTTGGTTGAGAATAAACTGACGTTAAACACAGTTATATACTTCACTACCACCCATATCTACCATTTTTGGATCCAAGCACCTCGCTTCATGAATACTACGAGTCGTCTGAGCTCCTTTTTTGGTCCATCATTTCTGTCGCCGCCCGGAGGCTCCAGAGCCATCCAACACTACTGCCTAAGCTTGCGAGAAGCGTCACCGACTATCTATGGAAAACACTTCGCTCTATTCCATATTCACTCCGAGCGGTGCAAAGCCTGGTGATTCTCTGTACATGGCCTTTTCCGACAAGCAGCAGCACTGCAGATCCAACGTATATGCTAGCGGGCATGATGGTGCAGATTGGAACGCAAATGGGGCTACATCGCGCTCTCAACGCAGAGGACTTTGTCAAGGTTCCTTTGCATCTCAGCGTGTATGAGTACTCCGAATGGGTTAAGACATGGGAAGCTTGCAATATTGTCGCACAAAGGTGAAATCGCAATTCTCCAAACTCCACTTTCGTCACTACAAATCTAATGCTCTCACAGCGTAAGTGTCGGATGCGGCCTGCCAGCTACGATACAAATGCACGATTGGTCCCTCACGGTTGCACCCGAGTCGACAATGTCATCACCTCACGATATTGCTCTGAGATGGCATCTTCGCATCGAGCAATTTCGATATAGAGTGTCCCAAGCACTGACATCCAATGCTCTCGACCCTGCCGGATTCATGTCAGCTCGTGAGCGGTTATCGTTGTACCGACTTCTCAACGCGTCCCTCGTGGACTTGGAGCGCGAGGCAATAAATATGACGCGTAATGGATTCGCCCCTCTCAAGCCCGCCAATTATGCTAACGACTGCGCAGCCATAACTCGTTACTATCTCGCCGCCGCCCGCCTTCATCTCCACTCATTCTACCTCTTTGACGAACCTAGTGTCGATGGATACTCCGATCGCATCGTTGTATTATACCAAACTGCCTATTCACTGATAGAGCAGTGCCTCGAGATGGATAACCAGGAAAGTGGATTCTTCCATTACTGCCCATTCTTCTGTTACCAGGTGTTTGTCTCTGCGGCCTTTATCATTCTCAAGGTGATGATGAATGGGTATTTCGAAAAGCTACTGGATATTGAAGCTGGAAAAAGACTTCTTGATGCCGCCATATCGTCATTGCGAAAGATGTCGGTTGCGAATAACGATCTCCCGGGCCGTCTCAGCGACGTCATTGGCTTCTTTTGTACTCTACCGGATCCTCGAGTCATTAGCGGTGATTCCGTTGATGACTTGCGCCTGCGTGTTCGAAATCGTCTGAGCATGAGCATTGTTTACGACTCGCTTTGGGAATGGCGAAAACATTTCCAATCTGACGGTGGCGAGAATGAAAACTCCGATGAAACACAAGATAAGTTGATGATTCCGAATTACGCCCGTCCTCGCTAACATTGAATGCACAGCCGCTATTCAGTTCTGAAGACATGCAAGATGCTATGATGTTCGATCATTTGAGTAGCCTTGCAGATGGATTCAACTTGGGATGGCAGGGATGATAACTTCTAATGCATCGCAGACACAAAATCCACAGATAAGGTCGAGCGTGTGCCGTAGTAAAAAACGTGGCAATCGTCATGATGCTCATACCCGCTTCTATTTTCCGCATTATCTATGGACACAAAAATTTCTCAAATATCAACTAGAATTACACCTTTTCGTACAGCTGTCCTCCAGCTGCAACATCTACCGCAGTCGCCTCCTTCAAGCCTACAACTGTGAACAGCTTCTTGGGGGTAAAAGTCGGATCAATGTCAGTGATGCCAGTCTCCTTGATTCGCAAGTATGTGCTGCGTATGGCCTCATACGCTGGGGCAAGGGCCGCAAAGGGATAGATGATGATTCTGAAGCCGAGCTCCCTCGCTTCGGCCACTGTCCAGGATGGTGTAGCTCCATTCTCAACCATGTTCAAGAGAACTGGGGTTGGTGCAAGCGAACGGCACACCTCTCGCGCTTCTTCCTTGGTGGTCACGCCCTCAAGGAATGCAACATCAGCACCAGCAGCGGCTGCAGCCTTCAGCCTACGGATAGCCTCTTCGAAGCCATGTGTCTGAAGAGCATCTGTTCGGGCAATGATGACAATGTCAGACGCCAACTTGTCTCGGGCGGCAGCGGCAGCACTGATGCGCTGCTGAAAGACGTCAACGCTAACGACTTCTTTGCCTCCAAGGTGTCCACAGCGCTTGGTCTGAATCTGATCCTCAATGTGCAGACCCGCGACACCGCTGCGGTGGTATTGCGCCACCGTGCGAGCAACCATGTTGGGTCCGCCGTAGCCCGTGTCAGCGTCAGCAATCAGAGGGATGCGGGGGTTCAGATTCGCAATCATCTCAGCATGCTCTCTCATATCATTGAGTGAGGCAAAGCCCAAATCTGGCTGTCCAAGCTTTGAAGCACATGTTCCGGCGCCCGTCTAGGTGCAGTATTAGCATCACGGAGGGGCTCAAATCATGTCCATAGTGGGGAGCAACTGGGGGGTTGCTTACCATGTATAGGCCATCAAATCCGACTTCCAGAGCAATTCTGGCACTGAAGCCATCATAGACACCTGGCATGACAATCAATTCATCGCTTTCTGTGAGCATCTTTCGGAGCCGAGTTGCTGCGGGAGTGGGGGTGGCGGCATGTCCATTGTGCCCATTTGCATTTCCGTTTGTGTAAGTCATTTTGGCGAAGCTGGCGAAAGCGAGATATTAAATGGAAAGAGAAGAAAAAGCTGTTCAAGAGACTTGCTGTGAGAACTTTTTGATCCAAATCTGAAAGTTTTTATCCAGTTTTATATATCTCCAGAGTCTGAGTGATCATCAGATTTACAGTTCATCATTGAGGAGACGATCGCTCGCCGGACGGAGGGCCGACCGGCGTTTTCTCTCCGATCGGCCAGCTGACGATGCCGATCGGCGTCCCTGTTGCTGAGCGCCAGACAATAGCTCGCCCCCTATTTCCTCACCAACGCTCTACCCCAGGTTTTCCTTGATTTTAGGTCCGACAAAGTTTAATCACTGGGGTAATATCTGGGGTCCCCGCGTCCATGGTCTGCCGGTCCGGGTTACACTCTGCACTGTTGCTCTTCATCTTGTGCGTGTAAGCCTGAAAGTATATATTTCCACGATGCATCGACTGCTTTTCTTTCAAGCTTGATGTGCTCTCTTGATTCTTGCGTCCCTCCTACTGGCACCGTTGATGCTATCAATGCAAATACTTTGAACATACTTCACTCAACGCTCGTTCAAGAGACTTCACCATGAGCTCAGACACAGTCTCCAAGAGTGATGTGGCTGCTACTCCGGTGAAGGAGAACACATCTGGTCACGAGCACTTGGAGACAATGCCTGATATCAGCACTGAGAAGGGCGGGCTTGCCCAAGAGGAACTACTTGAGACACCAGAATGGCGAGCGCGCGAAAAGAGATTGGTCCGTAAACTTGATATGACCCTGCTGCCGGTAGTATGGATCTTATACTTGTTTAACTACTTGGACCGAAACAACATCTCGTATGACCCCTTGGAGAACAAACTTGTGGAATTACATGCTGACTTAGAACCTTAGTCAAGCTAGATTGAACACCTTTGAGAGGGACCTCGGATTAACCGGCGACGATTTCAATACTGCTGTATCCATCTTGAATGTTGGGTCAGTCCATACTCAAAGCATTTATACCTTTGGTCATCATTGTCTAATGAAAAGATAGATATATGCTTGCCCAGCTCCCGTCCAACATGCTCATCACTCGCATCAGGCCCAGCATTTACTTGCCTGCCTGTGTCGCCATCTGGTCATGCGTGTCAGCCGCCACAGCAGCCGCAACGAGCTATGGAGGCCTGGTTGCAGTTCGCTTCTTTCTCGGAATAGTGGAAGCTCCTTTCTTCCCAGGCGTAAGTTCCAACTGACCTTATGAAAACACGAGGATGCTGACGTCTGCCTTCTGAAAGGCCTTCTATCTCTTGTCTTGTTGGTATACAAGAAAAGAGCTTGCCCTGCGCACTGCCGTCTTGTACTCTGGCCTTGTTCTCGCAACTGCGTTCTCAGGCCTGATTGCAGCCGGTGTGTTCTCCGGTCTTGATGGAGCTAGAAACATTGCAGGCTGGCAGTGGCTCTTCATCATTGACGGCTCGGGCAGCTTCTTTGCCGCCTTGGTCGCTTTCTTTCTTCTTCCCGATTACATCGAATCCAAAACTGGTAGTGGCAGATGGCTCTTTACAGAGGAGGAACGAGAGCTAGCTGCGAAGAGAATGGCTCTTGATCGTGTGTCGCTCCCCGAAGCAGACCGATCTGTTTGGTACGGCGTGCGTTTAGCACTTAGGGATTACCGAACTTGGATATTTGTAAGTTGCTCCATACCGCACATTTATTGTCCGTGGCTCACATATTGTGCTTCCAGACACTCCTCCTTTGCTCCAACCATACTGCCTACGGATTCAACTACTTCTTCCCCACCATCGTAAGCGGCTTCCACATCGGCTCACAGACCATCACACTCGTCCTCACGGCACCCCCATACCTCTTTGGCGCTGCAGTCTCCTTTGCAGTCGCCTACTCAAGTGACCGTCACAACGAACGAAGCTACCACATTTCAATACCGATGGCCGTTGCGGCTGTAGGTTTCATCATCTCCACAGCAACGCTAAACATTGGAGCTCGCTACTTTGCGTCTTTCCTCTATTGCTCCGGTGCCTTTGCGGCCAATGCCATGGTATACTCGTGGGCTGCGAGTACGCTTAACCAGACGCCTGAAAAGCGGGCTGCTGCGACGGCTATTATTAACTTGCTTGCTCAGTTGGGTAATATTTGGAGTCCATACTTTTTCCGACCACAAGATGAACCTCGGTATGCGCTCGCCATGATACTGATGATGGTGTTTTCTTTTATTAGTATTGGATGCTCTACGTTGTTGAAGATCTTGCTGCGGAGGGAGAATGTTAAGCTACAAAGGGAGGCAGATATCTCTGGACAGAGGGTCACACTGTATACCTTGTAATTTCACATTGGAGATATGATTCATGGGGTTTATGATAAATTATGCATTCTTTTTACTCTGGCCCTCACTTGTTGATGTCTATCCTAGCATAGAGGAAGCCTTCGAAAAGAGTGACTACATGTAGCTAAAGTCCCAGCGACTGCTGCCAACGTACATGATTCTTCAAATATGCTATCTTCTATATTCCAAGCTGAACACTCCTCCCCTTTTTTCTGGTCTTTGTTTCGAGCATTTCACAAGGCGTTTGATAACCTCAGTTGCTCCTAAATTACCGTAGTAGTTGAAAAAAGAAGATTGGTAGGATGATTGAACTTTTCTCGGTATGACAAAGGATCCATGCCTTATAGATCCTTCATTCTTCGCCATCCCGCCTGTGATGAGGCCCATTTCTCTTTTCTCGAAAGGAAGAGAGCTTACAAAGATCGTAGGAATGATACGAAACGATGGACGTAGAAATGTTGTTTTACAACATAGAATGACGCAATGAATAAAATGTATCACCTAGTACAGAACAACTGGTAGTGCCGTAAAGAAGTACCTCAGAGTACATTTACATATACCTGTAGATAGTGGCCTCCAATTTGTATAGTATCAGCTAATAGCCTCTAGTTGCTCTAGTATGAGCTGGTAGCTTCCAGTTGGTCTAGTATCAGATAGTAGCCTCCAATAGTTATAGTATCAGGCAATAACCCAATATTTCTTTCATCTCTTACAATATGTTGACTTCCAGTCGAGGGACAAAGGCCTATTTTTCGGGAAAATTGGTGCAGGAGGAGTTGAGGTTTTTTTATGACTACGGGAACCCCTGGGGGGGGGGGGAAAGGGGGCTGGAGAAGATTTTTATTCGTTTGTATTCGCAGATCCAGTTGAGGCCAGATTGGGTGAGCAATAATGGTCCAACGTCAGAGATCTCAAGACGCTGGGACAGCGTCTGGGTGGAAGGGGGCTTGATGGAAGGAGGTACGTACCCCAGTATACCTACCTTATAAACTACTAGACCCATTTCTCTTGCAGGAGAGAGAGAACTTAGAATATACACACCCACTTTGAAGTCCGACTCCGAATTCCTGTTGTGTGAGACCTATACTTTTCTTACAATAGGTTGACTTCCATATATCCTACTCTCCCGATCTTCCCACTTCTCATTCACAAAGACTTGATCTTTATTGAGTAAATGATTCACAAGCCGAGCCATCAAGTTGAAGATAGACAAATGATCAATAGTTATGTACAAAGAGAGACAAAGAGGAGGATTCCTAAGAATCTCAACACCAGAGAGGTAATCATATGTTTACATCACAATAGTGCTGTCCGAATGGTGATTCCAAAGTATAGGATGCACGGCCTATACTAGAAGCTCTCTCTGTGGAACTAAAACTTTCCTAGTACCTAGAAGTATAAGAGACTTAGTTTCTTTCTATATCTGGCAGAAATGACTCATGCTAATCCTATACGATGCCAAGCTTAGTTCAGACTTACAATGATAGGATCAACCGCCATTGTAAATTAACTCTCTTATCTCTTGTGAACGTGGAAACGCAAACAAATCTTCAGTCCCACCAAATATACTTATAGATACCCAGTAGTCGTAGAAGTAATCTTTTACTTTTGTCGGAAACCGAAACTTTCTTGTGCTGAACTTTAAGAGAAAGGTCCTATATAATGGGCTGTCATTCCCATTCTAGTCTTCCGTAATCTCTTCTTTCTACACTACTCATACAGAAGCCTTGTTTTTCAGCGTCGATGACCCGCCTTCTGGAACACAGACCAAGTAAAACGAAGACCTGCAACTCATCAACCTCCCCATATTAATCTACCATGGAGCCATGCCATAATATTGAGCAACTCCCCCTGGAGCTGAGGTGGAAGATATGGTCTAAAGTTGGCGAAACAGACAGCTATACTCAATTGCTTCGCACAAACCGCCTCGTTCGATCGGACATTCTATCCCTTATCCCTGGCATAGGACTTTGTTGCCAATGTTCACCGTACAAGCCCTGTTCATGTGGCAAATATATTGCCGTCAAGAGACTTACTATCGTCGTGGAACCCGACTGCTCTCCCCAATCCTGGCTCAAGTTCTCGGTCTCAGTGATTCGTGGTCAAGGAACAACTTGGAAGGTTGGAAGTTTGGATGACATGCTTGCACAACCTCTCCGTTACCTTCGCCCAAAAGAAATATTCATCGACTTTCAAGCTCCAAAGAAGGGGTACTACCAAATAAATTTCCTGATATTGCGCGCCAAGCTGTTTGACGTTTGCGCGGCTCTGGACCTTGTTCAAGCCCAAAATTCGCGGTCACTGCATCTGCATTTCAGCGATCCTTGGGCAAATTCTGGTAGTGGCCCAAATACGCCGTTCTGGGAAAATCGACCCCGGAGCTATGGAATGAAACAAAAAGACATGACTCGCCTAATACGTGGGGGGGATCTCAGACCGCTCATATGTAATTTTAATCACCTTGGGAGACGGGATGCCTTCCTATATTTTTACGAGATGACTTTGACCCCGTTTTGTATGCATTGGGCTTGGAGGAACGCAAAGGTTACATTCGACAGGGAGCCTAAATTGAAGAGTACCTCTTTCATCACATCAACGTTTGCAGCCAGCCGACAACATATCGTATATCACGGTGTCAATGCCTTAATCCTTACAGCGTGGGCCTATACCGAACAGCTCATGCGAGAGGGAAAGATCAGAGAATCTGAAGAAGAGTTTGTGCCCCAAATCGAAAATCATGAAGACATACGTGTGAAATGGGCCTCTCAAGAGCTTCATCATAGCTCTTGGAAAAAGGCATTTGAGTGTTATCTCAACTTTACCATCGCCACCTCCGAAAGCTTTCAGCGTATTATGGATATCGGAATGTCGCAGACAGCAAATTTGCCTGAAACCATTTGGTGGCATTTGGACAACTCTCCAAAAGACGCATTCTCGGAGGAACACCCTGGATCTGCTGAAGGGGCAGGGAATATGGGCTTTGAGATTGGCACCTGGACATGGAACCATGATATCATACGACGAAGATATCACGAATGGGTTCAACTCTGGGACGATTCGCAATACGATGACTTCGATCCCTGTTTGTTCGAGTCATTTTATTCGCTCCTGGATTTGCATCATAGACCGATCCTGGAATTTCCCTCAGAGAGAGTTTCAGAATTTGAATCCATGTTGGATGAAGAGAGCGAGATTATACCCTACGAGGACTTTGAAGCACATCAGCTGAGATACATTTGGCCACTCAGCTGGAAATGGCAGCGTAGCTCGGGTTGGAAACGTCGGCGATACATGGAATCTGTAATTAGTTTGTATATGAGCTTACAAAGCCTAGCTTAGCCGTATGTAAACCGTTGAGTTGTCACATGGATCTATTTGACCACTCCTTAGTCAAGCCTACTTCTCTGTTTGCTCTTGTTTGTAGCCAGCTCTTCCCACTTTCATAGCACATCACACAGGGTTCACCTTCCCAAATTTGTCAGCTTTGTCAAAAAGTTGGGCCCGAAAAATAAACCAAGTTTTTTCGCGCAACATGGTAACGGTACAATCTTACTTCTAAATAAAGCATAAGGTAATATAACCGTGGCAACGGTTCCGGCGGAGGCTACTAACAATCAGGAAAAGTAGACTGTTGTCTCAGAAACCTATAAATATTTTCATACTCGGTATTTAGATGCTCTTGCCTACCGAAACATAGGTGATAATGGTGCTGCTCAAATTGAGAAGCGATTTGAGAACATATAGACATCAAAACTAATAGCCTGGGGTCATCTGAATGTGGTAAGATTTGAATGAAATGGTCTATATATACATACCCATATCCACATTAAGATCAGTGAGTAAATTTGACTAGCTGTACTTTATGTTGAAATATATGATCAATTGGCTTGCTTCCCTACTAGACTAGTCGGTCAGAGAGTCCCTTTTTATGCTAATTACATCTAGTCCCTTGTTATTCGGCTTGTATAGATGCCTTTATGATTACTGCCCCTTTTCGGCACCTCATACAGATAGACGTAATGTTATATTTATAATATGCTCCAATTGGATGGCTCAATAGCTCTCTGCTGGCGGCATTGGATGAGCAAGCAAATCATGTTCAGTCGTACATGCCTACCACATCAGTAATAACAATAATAATTATCAATTAGCAGTTGCTGTTTTAGAACTACCTGGTTTCTATTTACTCACATGGCCACCGCTTTATGCTTTTTATGTCACTGTAGGGATAGCGTTGTTATGATGACGACCGCTTGCCATATATTTATCTTCGCTGTGAACCCGCTCCTATTCCTTTTTCCTTCTTCCTCATCCCCATCCCCTCTAATGCCAGCGTATCCGATGCTAACTTCTGTCGCTAGTCTCACTTCTATCCGAGCGTCCCGTCCTGTCGTGCCTAAAGTACAGGTATGTACATATTCACAAGATTTGTCTTATTCTGTCTAATACAAGATTGCCAGCAACAAACCATGTCGATTCACGTCCAAGAGCCACCATGTCCATGGACAAGGAGAGGCTTGACAACAGCCTACGTGAATTGCAGGAATTTAAATTCCTTACCCGGTATGGGGACATTGCTGGGCTTGTATGGAACGATTTGAAGGTGGCCGATGCGCGATTGCCCATTTCCTCGGACAAGCCACAGGTATCACTCCCGCGGACGGCTATCGACATAATCCAAAGGATACGGGAGGAGCAAGGGCTCACGGAGGGTGACCCCGTGTGGCCTGAGTTCAGCGATGCGAGAAGGGAGATGGGTCGGTACGGGACTCACCGTAAGTAGATCACATTCACACTTTGTCATTTACGTTTCAGCTAAACAGCCCTATAGTGATCGTATTGGCATCATACCTCGTACACCGGATGGATATCGAGACAGTCGTCTTCGCGGTCGAAGTATACGCCAATCGGAACCAGATATGTCACTGGGCGAGACCGGATCCAAAGGCCGAAGGCCTCGACAAATCCGTGGCGGCGGAACTCTTTGTCCAGGCCCTCGACAAAGACCGAGCCGACCTCGAGTCCGAACTCCCCGACAATTGGTCCGATCATAAGGGGAAATGGGGCATTCTCATCGACCATTTTCAGACGTCCAAGGTACAGAAGGTAAGTATTGTAGCACCACGCTCTGCGTATACAATATGTCCAGTTATCTAATGCGATGAGACTAGTCCGGCGAGGGGCTATGGGAGGTCAAGGACACTGGCTCTGGTGCCGTTAGGTGCCGTTAGATCCAGGGCGGTCCGAGAAGCATCCGAGAGCCTCACGGACTACGGCACTTTCTGGAAGCTTCACATCTCTGCTCAATAAACCCTCTTCGATTGGAGGCTGTTTAGCGCCGAACCGGAGGCCCGCCATCCATCCGCCGCGGAGTTCGCCAAAAGGGGCCGATCTTTTTCGGACCCTTTCCAGTATATGCCTGGCACTCTTGGCGCCCTTCTGGACGTCACGGGTCCTATATCGACAAAAGGCGAATCTCCTGACGATGTGAAGGAGGAAGTTTCTGGACCGGCTGCGAAGACACCAACATCCGGAGAGAGGGAGATGCAAGCGAGGTTAAACCTTGCAAAGCATTTCCTCAATGCGAGGACAAAAATCGCCAGCAAATGCAAAGGTAATGCCGAGGAGGTTAAGAGCCACTTCGCCATTTTCCTGACGGATGCCCTGGCCAAGCTTAAGCAAGGTGCCACCAGGCTGCGGCGCAAGGTCCTGAAGGCGAGAGCCTAGCGACCCAGGAGCGATCGAGTGGAAGGGAGGGAGGGTATCTCGTTCGCTTTTGCTTCCCCTCCCCCCCCAGCGTAAGGTAGGTTGAGGTAGGTCCAGCGAGGGAGATGGGGGAAGGGGAGGCTATATATTACGAAGGTAAGTCTCCCGTGCCGCCCCCAGCGTTGCTAACTAGTATGTGTAGTATCTCTTATAGAATCCTCCTCAAGATCTACGCCTTGACGTGGCGAGGAGGCTTGATTCCATTCTGGCTAGTACAGAATGGTGACCAAGTAGATCAAATATTGCGACAGAATACATAATCCATAATTGACCTCGCTTATAAATCTTGAGTCTTCTCTATTTGCACCGTAAGTAGTTCAGCAACGCGTGAGAGAGAACACAGATAATTAGGCACTACGGCGACGATTTTACATCATCATCACCAGCATCATCATCATCATCATCATCATCATCGGTTTCTTCAATAGTCTCCAAGCTGACCTGAGACATTGAATGTATCCATGTACATGTACCGGCGCGTCGCCTACATGCAGTCACCTGACGCGGCTCGTCAAATCACAATCCATCTTCTGTCCTCTCCCCTCTTCTACCTTGATTTTTTAGTTTCATCCAACATCCTCTCATCATCATCGTCTCATCGCAAAAGCGCGTCTTTATAATCCGTTAAATCAAGTCTATTAACGTTGCGATGCCTCCGCCTCTCTATTTTCCGTGTCCTCATAGTCTATCGTTGTGCACAAAGGCAAACCCGGTCCATCTCATGAGAATAACTCCAATGATCGTGCAAAGCCGACCCGATCCTCTATCCGAGTTTTACCGCCATTTTCTCTGAAATACCCAACCTGCCGAGCCGATAAATCTCCAACCTCAACAAAATCGTTCATTCAATCATTGCGCCCACTTGAGAGCTCCAGGCGCCGACTCATCGGCAACCACGTACTTGCACTTGGTGAAGTTGGTCCAGAGCTGTCCAATGAAGGACCGCTCGTCGCGGTAGTACAGATCGCCGAGCACAGGCTTGATAGCCTCGGTGGCCTCTCCAGCATAGTAAAAGGGAATACGGCTAAGGAGAAAATGTCAGTTGTTTGCAGTTCCAGCCTAAAAGAGCGTTCTATTGCTAACGTACGGGAAAAGGTGGTGAACAACGTGGTGCTCAATGATGCAGTGGAACAGGTGGCGGCCAACAAAGCCAAACTCTCTGTCGACAGTAGCCAGGGCGCCTTTGACAAAGGTCCAGTTCTCGGCCTGGTAGTGAGGCACCTCCATGTGAGTGTGGTGGAGATAGGTGATGGCGACTGCAATCATTCACTTGGTTAGCAATTCTGTTCGGCATGGAGAGGCGATTTCAAAGACGTACTCAGCCAGTGGTGAACCCAGAAGTAAGGCTGGGCATAGGCCAGCAGCACGGTGCTCGTTCCCACGACGCCAGCGAGCTTGTACAGGGCGAAAAAGGTCAAGCCGAGGCCGACATCGGACAGCGCAATCCAAGGAGCCTCGCTACGGCGGAATACGGCGCTGTTTGGCGAAAAGTGGCTCTTGCCGAACATGGTGTTTGCGCTCTTCTGAAGACTACCTCTGCCAGCTGAGATGTTGAACGTGAGGTAAACCTGCCAGGCAAAGAGCTGGTGAAACATCAGCGTGACGAACTGGTAGGCGGGCGTATCCTCGAGCATCTCAAGGGAAGCCATTGCGCGCTTGAGATAGTCCGACTTGGTCCTCGGAACAAAGGCCATGTCCTTCTCCATGTGGCCGGTGAACATGTGGTGGCGGTGGTGAGAAAACTTCCAGGAGTAGTACGGCACCAGCAGAGCAGAGTGAGAGAAGAAGCCGACAACGTGGTTGAGCCAGCCGTGCTTGGAAAAGGCGCCGTGTCCGGCCTCGTGTCCCAGGATCCAAAGACCAGTGCAGACCAGGCCCTGAACGAAGCCATAGACAATCCAGGCAATGGTCCGGAGAGTGGAATCAGGAATGGTGGGAATGTACGTGATGGCAGCCCAGCCAAGAGCTCCAATCATGACAACATCGCGCACCAGATAACCCATGGAGATGGCCACGGATGGCTCAAAGCAGTGCTTGGGAATGGCAGCCCGGATGGTGTTGATATCGGGAAACCGACTCTCACCCTCGGGCAGCTTGCTACAACTGGGGGTCAGCACACGACGAGAATTTTTTCCAGTCTGGAGAGACTTTTGATGGATTGAGGCCGACTGACATTGAGGCCACGGCGCCTCCGCGCTTGGTCACTGTCGTGGTGGTAGCCATCTTGAAGGAACGAGGTAAGCCAACAACTCAATGGGAGAGAATTGGGATTGCTGATGCTTGATCCAGAGAGCTGTCAAGTTTCTTTTTAAACCCACCCAGAACCCAGCTTAAGGCAGGAAGAAGGGAAAAGGGTGATCCATAGTCAGGCACGGCATCAAATTTTCCACTCCCCTTAGCTCTCGATCCATATTTTCTGTGGTGTCCCTTATCTGGCTCTATCTCTGTTGGTGGCGGTAACAGGCGTGACTCGCGCCTCTAGCGGCGGCATCGCTGGCGGCCAAGTACCTTGTGCTAACGGCCGCAGACAGGTTTGCCCAGAGCCCACCCGTTTCTGACGCCCAGACCGCTTGCAACTGTTCCCAAAGTGAGCTAATTATAATCTGAAATGAGATCTCTGACGAAGCGAGCCCTGCTGTCCTTTACCGCCAGAGAGCAAGGGTGTGTGGTTGGCCAGCGGGGAGCCTCAACTACGAGATCAACAATTCTGAGCCCACTAACGCTGCACGTGCCAATGGCCTAAGAGCTTTCGGGGGCGTTTTAGGGGACTATTGTCTTGGGGATCAAAGGGGATTCATGGATTCAAGGGGCGCCGCTACGCATTAGTACACGTATTGTTGAGTTCCAAACGTCGTTGTGGGGTTTATTCAAGGACCCCTGGGTTTAGTCCGCTTTCGGCCTGGACCCTTTTAGGGCTCAATTGGAATCAGGGACTGGGGGCAGCCACTGGGGCCAGCCACATTGTCATCCACGATCAGGGCTCAGGACAACAATCGCTATCATGTGAATTTTCACCTTTCACCATCACATACGACCATAGGTAGTGGAAAACTCGGGGTCCCGTCTGCTCCCCCATAGATAAGCCACTAACCGGCAGATTAGTAGTTGAGTGGGTGACCATCAGCGAACACCGGCTGTTGTATGTTTTTTTTCCGTGTTTTTTTGGATGTTTTGTTTTGGCATTTTGTTTGTTTTTTGTCGAGTTTTTTTACTCTCCGCCGACCCCCACCCGTTACCACCAGCGCGGGGCGCTTTGTGTGGGGGACCAGGCACATGCGATTGTTGGTGGTGCAAAACTCTCGTCTCGAGTCTCAAGTCAGATGGGTAAAGAAAAATAGAAAGAGATGAAGCAATTAAATTTATTATCTTGGAAGTGTTATATAGACGTTCTATTTGGCATTAAAACGAGATGAAGCTGAGACAACGGGTTTAGTAAAAGACTAGTACCCAGTCTTTAGTTCTCAGCTTGAGTCAATTGGCAACACTGGCTGTTATGTATTCTTGTTCTCTAACTTCAATTGACATCTTCTTTCGTCCAAGTAGATGATAGCGAAAATTCTATATAAAGACGAATTACAACATTTCTATGGTTACTAACACCTGTAATTGAACCACGTAATATTAGTTGAACTTCTGTGTATCCTCCTCCAGCTCGCCTCATTATTTACTACATTGAACGACCTGATACTACTTCATAGATTCAAACTCCTATCATGCTGGGGTGTATAAAAGCTATGCACCCATCTTTCCAAATGGCACTTCCATTTACACGCCGCCGGCGCTGGCATGTGCTTCCGTGGCTGGTAGGCTTGTTGACACGTGCTTGTAGCGATCGACTCCCTACGCAAGAGTAACATTAGTTGACTGACATGGTACAGTGGAGCTTGGGCGAGAATAGTTACCTTTAGCAAAGCATAGAGGTACGGGACATGGACCACCGCGCTGGCTCTAGTATCTTGCTTTTCGCCTTGACCAGAAGATGTAGAGCTAGCAACTTCACCCTTCTTGACCTGGTGCTTGATCCAAACATTGCCAAGAACGAAGCAAGCAAAAACACTGAGCCCGAGTATCGGCAGAATGGAAATAAAGGCCCATTCAACTCCCCTGCGGCCTGCTTCCCTCACAGCGGCCTGCAAGGCGCTGGGTAGTTTTGTAATCGCGTCCAGCGACTGGCTGTCCTGAGCAATGATGTTCCCGATATTTCCGCTACCAGAGGGTAGGGAAAGAGAGGAAGTGGCTGAAGCGAACTTGGAGTTGAACACGGCGTTCATGATTGTCAACCCTAGAGTGCCTCCAAAGGGCATTGCAAAACGCATCAGTGACATGGCTGGTGCCAATCGCTCAGGCCACACTCCAGCGACATGCAGAGAAGCAGGCATAAAGCGTGAACCCGTACCGGCGCCTGTTAAGACCATCATGCCGGAGACAATATTGGGTCGGCTCGCCGAAACGGCCCAGGTCAAGGCGCCGAGCCCGGCGGCTTCTTCGACGGAGCCAAGGAGGAGCGGCCAAAACGTTTGGCCTGGCCATCGGTTACACAAGTACATTGCTGAATAAACGCCAGCTGTGTATAGTAAAGCATTTTACTAGTTAGAAAGTATAGACTTGGAGGCGAATCACTGGAATACTGACCTGCGATCCCTGGAATGTAGTATAGCAACTGAATACCTGCACTGGAGGCAGGTTTGCCCTCGACTAGTGTGAAGTAGATTCCCACGAAATAAAACACAGCATACATGGCTAGAAGGGTCAGAATTAGTCCTCGTCGGAAAAATATGAAGAGAAGAGGGAAAAGAAAATAATACATAGATACTGAAGGAGTACTGGGCAAAACAATGGGAGAAGGGGGTTGATGAACTCACCAGCTCCAGCAGAGAACTGAATGACGGCTATGACTAATGTGTCTTTTCGAGAGAAGAGATCCAAAGGCAGCATAGGTGACTGGTGTGGAAACAGCCGTGCTAGTATCCTACCATCTCCCAAAAGGAATTCGTAGAGAACGAAGACGGGCAGCAGAGCGCTCCCAAGGATGATGGGCACTAGAACCTGTACGGAGTCCCAAGGGAAAGTGCTTCCACCCCAGGAAGTGCCGAGAATAATTAGGCCAACGGCGAAAATGAATAGAATGACGCCACCGATATCAAGAGTTGCCAATGCCGGGAAGATGGCAGACCACTTAGAGCCCTTGTGGAAGTGGGTGCCTTCTAGCAGCTCATTCCGCAGAATGAAGAAGAGAAGGACATGGGACGCTACAGCAATCTGCACAACGTCAGCCGTGATCCAAGAAGTAGGAGGAAGTGTCCATGAGTAAAGTTTACTACTTACTGGGATGGCAATTACAAAGACGTATCTCCAGTTTGCCTGGAAAGTTACTATGTGTTAGCAATGTTCCCTAGCGTAGATGACATTGGAGGGCTAGTATATCACATACGTCTGTCAAATATCTGCGAAATAAGACATGTCAGCTTATGGGCTGGAGATTTGGATACTGGCATCACGACAACGAGTGATGATGGCTTGCCAGGCCGCAAGGAACGAGGAAGCAGACCAGTCACTTACCCGCCAATCAGTGGACCTATAGCATACGTGCTTCCGGAAACGATGGTGAAGAGAGTGTTGTTCTTTGCGTTCTCTTCCAGCGTGACCTTATCAGCCAAGATGACAAGAATGATGCTATTCAAGCCAGCCGAGGACAGCCCCTGCAACGCGCGGCCAAGCAAGAGCATGCCCCAGGACTGAGCAGCGGCGCAGAGAACACTGCCAATTACTGTAAAGAATATGGCCACCTGTAACGAAATGTGCCGACCAAAGACATCCGCAAACTGGCCATAGAAGGGGATGAACGCTGTTGACGTGAGGGTGTAGGCAGTGACTATCCAGTTGAGCTGGTCGAACTTGTCTGCGAAGCATGATTGGATTAGAATACGACAACAATAACAGCAATGCTAGGGACAACGAAAAGGCGGTGATATGAATCCGGCGATGCAGGTTGGGCGCCTTACTTACCGAAATGGGACGCGATAAAAGGCAATGCTGTCGCGACAACGGTCAAGTCCAATGATGCTAAGAAATACGGCAGCACCAAACCTGCAATCAGCTTGATCCTGTACTTTGTGTTATTTCGCCCGGGCTTCTTCGCGCAAGTGCAGGCCTGGTTTGATCGACTAGAGGCGTGTCGGCTCTCCACATCCAGGGGCTCCATCATGAATGCGCCGGTCGAGTCGCCGACGTCCCTCCTGGGGATATCATGTTGGGGACACCGTTTGGGGTCGTTTTCTATTAGAGACTGAGAAGGGTGATCCGTTGTTTCCTGGGGCGATACTTGATCATAGGTATGGTGGTCTTCGCGGCTGTGAGCTTGCTCGCGATGGTAGTCGTATTGGTGCGCAGGTGGCATTTCTTCCATGGCAATCATGGTCGAGCGAAGATTGACTGCTCTTTGAGATGTAAAAGATGCAATATGGTAGCTTGTAAAACGTCACAGATGAGGCATCAAGTATTAAATTGTATGCTTTGTATGTAGTCTACCGTAAGACGCGATTGCGATATAGAGCAGGACTTGTATACATTTATATAGACAAGTCGACGATATTTTTCGCCATCCGTATCTTGTCATTTCAACTGGATATACATATACGAATGAATACGATATAATTTGATAGATACCACTGGCAGAACTTTGCTCGAATCGAATCGCTTGCTCAACTCGTCTGCTTGAATCACTAGCTCGAATCACTTGCTCAAAACAGAAATACGATGGGACCAGTAGTGAAGATCTTCTATCCACACGGTTTAATCAACGCAAGCACTGCCGCGCATACATCCTCAAGGCGCAGTCTACTTAAAAACGTATACGTGTAACAATAATAAGGTTCTCTCGTGAGATTAAATCCCCGGATAGTCTAGAAACATCGCCGAACTATCGTCTTGCATGGTCTTGCGATCTTTTTAATTAAGAAGCACAGACCAGCTCTCACAATGCTTCCGTTTTAGGAGCAGCATCGAGGTGTCCTTTATATGTAGGTATCATCAATACCGGGTCGGGGGCGCCAAGATCGCGGCGGCTTTGATCCCTCTTCATAGCCCACAAGCACCATGAACGTTTAATAATAATTTAATGCTGGCCATCGCGAAACTGCCACACTTACAGTGACTTAGCTGCTGGCTATTTTTCACAGAGGAAATAAGCACAGTTTGTACAGCCGCCGAAATTGACATCAGCCGAGCTCTCAGAATGCTTCCGTTTTAGGTCTGGTAGATCTACAGAGAATACGAGTAAGGATCGAGTTGTGTGTACATGTGTGCAGCGCGGAGTAAGCCCTAAGGCTTTCTTCTACGGGAACTCGGCTTGAATGCCAGATGAACTCATCTAGCCGTCCCTGACTACAAGGATAATGGGCGGGAACGCTTGTCCTGATTACGAAGAATTGCGGTTCCACAGGGTCCAACGACGAACGTTTGGGGATCTTGGACACTGCATTCCTGTGAGTTCAATGAGTTGAGGACCAAGCCCGCTTGCTAGAATCGATTACTACATTGGCATTGGGTTCATCTAGGGGCCTTCTGGGATATGGATCAGTCAGCCTTATAGTTCCTTAAGCTACAACCGTGCTTGGTTTGTCGGTAGTTCTAGAGGAGATATAAATCCTCACTAGCACCCCGTCCATATTTAGCAACGGTTGATCGGTATATACGTCAGACTATTTCATTACGCCGTCTCAGAGAAGCAACGCCAAGAACAATCTGACCAAATCGCAGCATGTCTCTTGCAAAGTTTGGCCTCGCTTTACAGCTGCTGGTGCTGACAGGTGCCGCTGCTAGCCAGCCAGCTCTCCATCATCCACCCGCTCCAGCGTTGAGGTTTCTATATCACCTCAATAGCACCCTTGGAGAACCGGTCTCTTTCGGTCCCGGCCCAAGAGGCACCAAGATGTCTATCCCTATTCTCGGCGGGACTGTTGAGGGCCCTAACATCCGCGGTACGTTTTGCGATGTCGACATCTGTGCCTTGGTCTTCAACATACTGACTATATACATTATCGCCAGGCGAAGTTATGAGTGTCGGGGCAGATTGGGGGACCATTGACGCGAACGGCACCTTCAGAGCCGACGCTCGCTATCAGTTGCGTACCAATGATAGCGCAGACATCTTTATACATGTCACCGGCCCAACACAGCCAAACGGACAGGTCTTGAACCACATCACTTTTGAGACCGGCAGCGACAAGTAGTTCTGGCTGAACAACATCGTTGCTGTCGGCATATCCACCTTGGGGAAGACCACAGTCGCAGTTAATGTCTGGGAGATGGTCAATGAACATTAGTGGAGTACTCTGGACCGGAGGATAGAAGCGTGGACTAGGATGCGGCCCGTTGAGCAATCTCTACTGATGTAGCTTGTGCAGGTTTCTATTTCCGTTTCCATGTTAATCTATAAGTATATAGTAACTTTTGGATTTGTGTTCGTTGGAATGTTGCATCTTATGTTTTTCTTCTATATACCTTTACATGTATGCACCTACCCTAAGAACAACTGTAGTACATATGAAGCAGCTCTATTTAGTGTGATTGGCCTCTTTCTTCATCTTGGTTATAGCGCGAATGAAATGAAAGATGATTATGTCCGCAGTATGAGCAGTGAAGTTGGGCTTCGATGAATTCATGTACGAGGGCTAGGCGAATGGGGGACTGTACACCGAGAGAATGATAAAGCCGGGGCTTCTTAATATTCACAGTTTACGAGGTTTTGTAGAGTCTGCTGGCCCACCGAGTCGGCGGCGGGCGCCCTAGAGTATTGCTATTGGATATGTAATGGTTGCTAGATCCCGTAATAAGATAAGACGTAACAGTTTCCCTACGAACTGCCTAATCCTTGCGGAGTGGTGATAATTGAATCGGCATCGTGTGAATTCGCTGCCCATCCCTTCACATACGACCACAAGTAGTGGAAAAATTGGGGTCCCATCTGCTCCACTATGGACAGTCTTGACTTGTATAAGCCGAAAGATTTTTAGATGGCCTCCAATGCATTTCGGCTTTTTACAAACTGTTCTTCTTTTCTAGGTAACTTGGTTTGTTTTGTCTTGGTTGGATTTTCTCTCTCCGCTGACCCCCACGTATCGCTCCATATAAGGTGGTTTGTGTAAGACTTCAAGCACATACGACCATATCCATTGGAAAATACGGGGTCCCGTCTGCTCCCCCAGAGTCAAGCCAATGAGAGGCAGATTAGTAGTTGAGTGGGTGACCATCAGCGAACACCGGCTGTTGTATGTCTCCTTTTTTTGCTTCTTTCTTTACTGGCCTCTTCTTTTTCTGCTGGAATACGAAGTGCATATCCCGGCCATGATCCCGGCCATTTACATGTGATGGGGGCTCGTGCGGCAATACCCATGAGAAAACAAGGTTATCAGTGCTTTATCTGTGCAGATCCAATTGGCATGTGAAATTGCCAGTATGCTGGCAAATTCGGTCATATCGTACTTGGATAGAAGCTCGTCTGTTGGGTTTCCTCCCATGGCTCATCAACTGCTGTTCTCTGTTTCGACATGTATGCACTTTTACAGTTGCTTGCATTTGTTGAGGTGCATGTTAAAGGAACCGCTGAAATCCTTACTATTGAGATACGCGTATCACTCCAATGGCATCCAATGGCACAAGTAGAATGGCATAAGTGGCGTATTACAATAATGTCCAACCGCTCTCAGTTGTTTCCTGGTGGTACTGCCTCGAGTCGCTGAAACGACAAAGCGTCGATAAGTACTCTTTCCCCTTAAAAGCTTAGTGCTATATTTATCCTAAGAGATAGCTCATGAATGTGCAAAGGTCCTCTACATGAAGTGGTCTTTCTGCTGTAGTAACGATCTATATAAGTAGTTGACGAGCGTCCTGGCCTTTCTTTCTTCAACAAGAAATGGATTGGTTTAAACTGTATTTGTCTAAGATTAAAGCATAAAGACTATCCAAGCGTTCTGGCATCTCTTGGATTATGTCTTCTACTTGCCAATGGGCGGCGTTGCGTAGGTGTTCTACAACAAGGGCTACCTATAAGAAAGTGTCTGCCGCCTTATCTTTGAGAATCTTCTGAGTTTTAATTCGAAGCTCTTTGTCGTCTTTCAAAGCCTCAATCTCAGCTATGCGGCTGTTGATATATATCTCGATAGAGCTTGAGATGAATTCGGCATGATCCAGACTCAGTATTTGGCGTGGTTGAATTGATCGGAGCTCCCGTTCAATCTCCTTTTCGTTTCGGCTGGAAGTCAGCCACCTAACGCGGCCATTTCAGTGATATAGACGACATAAGCAACATCTCAGAGTCTTTGAATGTCAGTCAAACTTTCTAAGTCGTATCTCTTTTCGCCGTCAGTCTCTGTAACAACCCCTCCATTTCTTCCCTAATAATCTCTTCCGCACCAATACAATCCCTCTCCTCCGCCAAATCCAAGGGTATTCTTCCCTGAAAATCTTCGCACAACACATCTGAACCATGCTTCATCAACAGCCGAACACATTCATCGTGCCCTTTTAAAGCGGCCAGATGCAGAGGCGTCCTTCCATCGGCATCCCTACAATTCACGTCCGCAGAGGCTTCAAGCAGGGCCTCGACAATCTTGGGTTGCCCCAACAAGGCCGCGTAATGCAGAGCACTCCGCCTCTTCTGTAGATACTTTCCATGGACATTGTAGCCAACTTTGATCAACCCTAGCGCAGTCATGGACGTTTTGTCTCGAATCGCTCGCACAAGTGCCACTCCCTCCTTTTGTGCCCCTTTCTGCAACAAGAAATCCACACACTCCTTATCCGAGTTAGATACGGCAGTGACAAGTGCGGCGGAGACACCATCAAGGCCAATATTTCTACTTATCAAGAACCTTGATACCTCTATATGCTGGTGCAAAACCGCTCTGTAGAGCATAAAAGCGCCTCTCCCGGTGGGAGCGCCCTTGTCAAGCAAGAGACTAATCGCGTCGAGATGCCCACCGGCGCAGGCAGAGCATAGAGCATTGTGTCCTACTTTATCTATTGTCACTAGCGAAAGGTCTAGAAGGAGACTTATGGATTCACAATGTCCCTCACCAGCTGCGCTTATAAAGGCCTCCGCCGCAGCCTCTTGACCCCCGTAATTCTGTTTTGACAGAATGGTGATCAATTCGGTATCATTACGCCTTGCCGCCGTCACGATCGGCTCACTGTATGCACCGACAGCAAAGATTCGATTCGCGTCCGCATTGCACTTGGTCAAATAGTCGATCAGGTTGAGCTTTTTCGAAAGTATCGCGTACCACATGGGATTAACTTCAAACGAACTTTTTAGAGAAGCCATGCTCCGGCCGTCGTTAATACCTGGATACGAGCATTCGTAGAGATACTCGGCAACTTCGAGCCAATCCATTTGACAGGTCACCCATATCGGACTTGACGGTAATCGAGCTGCCGACTCAAGAAGCTCCTTTTGGTTCGAGTTTTCGATAACCTTGCTCATTAGAGCGCTCCACACGTGAAAAGATCTGGAAACTTTGTAGGCTGGGTCCCCCATTTCGCTGCTCTTCTCCAGCATGAAAGCCTTTATCAAGTCGGCTAGAGGACTTTCTAAACGGTACTTGTCGCTCTTCTCAATATGATCAATCACCCAAGTTACAGCATATTCGCTTGGCTGGCCGTAAACATCATCAGATGATACCACTGCAAAGATTTCGAAACTCAAACATTTTAGTTCGTCGTCCTTCATTTTCTCGATCCACTTAGCAACCTTCTTAGCTGTCTTTTCTGGATCTTCTTGGTCATCTTGGCCCGTAGAGGCCTCTTCGTCACTGATTTCATCAGCTTCTTTTGCGTTGTCATCCACTTCATCCTGATGGGGTTCGTCGTCCTTTTCTGCCGTATTCTCGCCTCTCTCCTTCTTCTGCTCATTGGGACCACCATCTACCCGACATTCCTCTTTGATGCTATTCATAACTTTCTCTCGTAACGCTTTCCCTCTGTTTTCGACTTGAGCCAAGTTAAGATATCGCAAGCATGCGGCTGCAATAACGGCGTGGCTTATCTCAGATTGATAACTATGTATGTCTCGGTTGTGTAGTCGCTCGAAGAACTCTCGAACAGACAAGTGAGCGAAGTCAAACGAGTTCTGGCGAGTGACAATCAGATTTGAGCAGACGTCCAGGACCTCATCGCTGGAAAAGGCAGTTCCGGATTCGGATTTCGACTTTGTGCACGCGAGCACAGCGAGCGCTTCAAGGGAGATGGATTCCTGCGCATACAGCAGCCATTGAAAAGTGAAGTTGGCGAGTTCAAAAGCATGCTCTCCAGACTCTTGGATTTCTTGATAAATTTCCCAGTACGATCCCTCAAGTGTGTCTGGTAAAGCACCGAGACGCGCCTTCAGATCAGCCGCCACCTTGACCCTTTTTAGCGACTGGATCTGAAGGTCTACCCATCGAAACCTGATAAAGATTGGCTGATCAGAGCAATTTTCATAAAAAAAATGTCTTTTAGTAAAGGCTAGCGACTTACATTCCCTTGGCTCCCTCCTGAAGTGTATTAGTAATTTCCTCTCGTAGACTTGGTGTGAGTTTTCCATGCAGTAGTCTTGCAGACGTAAGTTGTGTGTCACTAAGATTCACGCTCAGCTCAGTCTTCAAATAATGTAAGCAAGTCTCGTACATGAATGTTGAAATATCCTCAGCATTGTCATCGGCTTCAATATAAATATTCGGCGTCCCGTTTAGATAGAAAGCAATGTCGTAATTGCTTCTGCTTGAGATGAACACTCTGACAAGAGAGTTCGACTCCTGTAAAATACGACTGAGCGCATCTAAGAGTTCCTGTCTGTCCTCTTGATCCACTTCGTCCAGGGCATCTAGAACAAATGTCACAGCAGGATACTCGTCCACAAGCTGGATCAAAACTTCGACACACTCGTCTGATGTCCAAACCTGGTCCTCGAATCCCACAAAGCCTTCAATAGCATCTTCGTAATGTTCTTTCACAGGCGGCAATATCGGATCGCTCGGTGTGAGGCTTGCCAATTGGCGAACAAAACTCGCAAGAATCTTGTCGCATTGTGCTCGGTGTGGCTCGGCCGGATTTCTTAGGCAGTAGAAATAGGCCATGTGTTCTTTTCCTTTAACCTCGTCCACAACTAGAGACGCCAGTTTGGTCTTTCCTGAGCCAGGAATGCCGTGAAGCCATAGCACAGATGAATTACTTTTCTTTCTCCAGTCAATGAAAGCCGATTTATTTAAAAGCCATCTGCCAGAGCCCTCCAAGCGACCTTTGCTGGCAGTTTTGTGGTGAACGCCGTATGGTATGGTGGAAATCGCCTTGAGGATTTGCGTCCGCACCTGCTGCTCAATGCCATCTTGAATCTGCCCGAGACGGCTGTCAATGCGATCGATAGGTTGGTGAAGATCCTTCATGGTATCTCTAAGGGACTGCATTTCCATCTGATCCCGTTCATCCTTATCTTTAAGGTGCTGTTCGATTCCTTGGATGCCATTAATAGCGCTCCCCAAATCCTGAGCTCCTGAAATCTCGGCAAAGCGCCTAAACTTGGCCTGGGCAGATTCGACGGGTTCATATTTAGCCTTCATATCATTCTTGGAAACGACGACGCTTTTTAGTATTCGTACTACCGTAGTCAGACCATAATAATGCATAATGCTTGCTAGGTATCCCAAGATGGCGGCGTAGAGGTCCGTTATGCATTCCGATAGTTGACCAAACAATTTGCCACTATAATTGCACATGATGAGTCCCTCTATCATCATTTATTCAATTTAAAGTAAGCAGTACACCCACCTTTGTTTTCTCCTTTCTATAAGGTATATCACCTCAATGAGTTGACACTGAGCAATAAGATTGCTGATGTTTTCCAGCGAACTGAGGACATGGCCAAAGATCTCAATGTCGTTTGTGGTGGCTTGCATAATGAGTTTTATAGCTGCCCAGGGTAGTGCTGCATGTATAGGATCATATTGAATGATAACGTCGCCAACAGCCTAGAGAGAAGTCAGCGATGAGCATACATTTATGCGTTAAAAAATCGGTGCTGTTATGCATACTAATAATTTTTGAACCCAATTGCTAAGCTTTTCAAGAATGTCTCTTATAATGATTGTTTGCCCTTTAATTACCAGTTTCCATCTCTTCTTCATGCATTCTTCCTTTCGCTTGTTAGTAGCGGTGAGTACATTAGAGAGGACGGATTTCGGGTCGTCTATGCCGTTTTGTGCAAGCTCAAACTGTGTTTGATCCTCTTTACTTAGCCTCTGCAAGGCCGCTGCCCACCTGCTCGCAGACCTACCCTCACTGGCTTCCTTCTCGCCGGATGCGGATAATAAGACAGTTTCCCCCATATCCGCTTTGGAATCTCTCTTGCCTTCTGATTCGCTCATCTCCTCTAGTACGCCTGCATTTTTTCATAGGGAAGTTGAGACAGCGGAGATGAGATGTTTTGGAAGCTGAGTTGCATCAAGGCGGGGTATTCACGGATTAATTACACCACCAAAGCAACATGAATCCAATCGGTGATAGATCGGCAGAAGGATCCCCCCGTAGCAAGACCGGTGCTGTGTTTTGGTCTTGGAGGAAACAAGACGTACAGGGACCAGCACACCACCCCAATCACATAGAACCATTTTAACGTAGGTACGAAATATAAGACTAAGTCATAGTATGCTTACTCGGTGGCTTAAGGCCCTTTAATGTTTGGATTCGTTTCTTATCATAAGTAGGATCGGTTTTGCTAATGTTTCGAAGGGATTTTCTCTTACCGTCCTAGGAGGCTTAGGGTGAGCTACAGTAGATACTGATGTGCCTAATAATGCAAAGAACCTCTTACCAGCATTGACGGTGATGTGAATATTGCCTTGGCTAAGTGTCGCATTGTCTCTAGAGTATTTCCCCAAATGTTGCGGAAATTATCCATGTTTTGCTTGTAAATATGGTGATGGGTCGAGATTCAGTACCATCAGGCATGAAGATATAGGTGTTGAGTTGTAGCCTAACGCACTCATCCTGACATATGTGATGCCTATGACAGTACCTACAGGTGCTTGTCCCTAGTATTACAGGCGCGTTAAATACATACACTTACCTGCGTACATGTCCATGCCCATGGAGTTACCCAATCACCTCTTACGAAGTAACGCAATTGAAGCCTCTTTACCTCTCAGTATCTTAGGTGGATGACCAAACCAATTGCATGAGTAAAAGTAGGGCACTAAAATTTTGAAAGAGATTTTACAACAGCCATGACGCATTGGAATAAATGGAATCGAGAGATGGAGTGCCCAAATTTGATAAGAAGTCATGAGAAAATGAAAGTCGCATACAGTCGGAGTGTAGATTTCGGCGTTTTGCCAAGGCCTTTACTAAATTAGGAATTTGCCCTCTTTCAGGCTTTAGTATGCCATTGCGAACTGCATGGCTTTCATGTGATCAGGCTTTTGCATTAAGGTAGCATTATCCAACTGATGATCAATCTATGCTTGAGCCTACTTGCCCGCAAGAGCCGGTCGAGCAAATCTCGTAACAAGAAACTATTCTCCAGTGCAACAATGTCAAAAGATGATGTCTGTTTGTTACGATTCATATAGAAAGAGTGTTATTCTACATCAATTTTATTTATACCTACCAAGCTGTCGTCGATAACGGCGGAATATTGTTGTTTGCCAAGTAGAATAGAATAAGCCAATCTTGCGCTCCCGTGCTGAGGCAGCTTAAGGGCATTCGACAATTTCGAATGGTCGCATTCGGCGACGTGGGTTCCATATTACTATATCTGCTATTCTAATCTCTAAAAATGCGATGTTTATTGTACGGTGTTGAGATCTAGTACGTGTGATGGGCGATCTGGATCGACTTTATTAACGAGAAGAAATCGAAAGACCCTAATTGTGTTCACTTCCACTATTGGAAAGCCGCATACATAGGTCAATGGGCATTTTAATGTCCAATTCCGTATCTCGTAACCCAGGTTCTTTCTCCAATAAGGCTTTGACGAGATCGAAACACTTTGAAGCCTCCTCCTTCTGGTTGACAGCAACATCCTGGCAGTACAAAGCTATTGCTGCTCTATATGCTGGAATCAAGTCATCGAGCTGCCACTTTGGATCCGCTCGAGATGTGATATTGATGTTTAGGAGCAACTTGACTTTCTCAAGATCGCGCGCCATGGTAGCCAGCATTAAGGTGGACAGTCCCTCGCTCGACCGCAAGTCTATGTCAGCCCCGTGCTCAATGAGCAGCTGCAGTTCAACATGACAATCTGAGCACTTCAGGGCCAGGTGGAGCGCAGTATCATTTGTTTCTCCCCGGTCATTAATATATTTCTCCGCACCGTGTTCCAGCAGCTCCTTGATGACTCCTACGCCGAACTGGCCAACCGCCAGATGGAGAACTGTATCACCCTTCTTTGTGGTCAACGTGGGGTCAGCTCCGTGGTTAAGAAGTGTTTTCACGGCGCCAGCATTTTTCTTAAATGCTGCGAGGTGCAAAGGAGTGCAGCCGTCATGTGCAACCACATTTGGATCTGCGCCAGCATCAAGGAGCAATCTTGTTGCCCACCAACGGCCTCTATCGATGGATGCGTGTAGTGGTGTCCACCCTTGGCTAAGTGTAGCGATGTTCATGTCGGGATCGTACTCGAAGAGTACTTGAAGTACCCGATGGGCCTTGGATTCACTGGCAAGATAAATCGGGGTTATCGAATCATCGTCCTGGGCGTTGATCTCAGAGCTAGCGCCGAGAAGAATCTTGACCGTTTCGTCCTGATTTTCTTGTGCTGCAAGGTGAAGAGGAGTTCTGTTTTCGTCATCACGAGCATCCACCTTGGCCCCGAAATTAATTAGCTTCTGAACGCACCCTTCATATCCGTTTTGAGCTGCCAAAGGCAAGGGCACTGGACCCATTTCGCCGGAGGTTAGCATCTATTCCCGACTGGAGGAGTAAATCGAGAATATCTATTGACCCCCCCACCACAGCTTCATGGAGCAAAAGGGCCTCGGACGTCCTGGATTTGTGGAAACTATTCGCTGTTGTATGGACCAGGCTCATAAAATACCTAAAGACATTAAATGCATCATATTTTATAACCTCAGACATTGTCGCTAATAAATCGACTGAGGCCTCATGATCGTTAACGAATTCCTCAACAGTTGCGAGATGATCTTTGGCTATAGCGTAATGAAACGGTGATCGCTTCTCGCTGTCTAATTTATGAGGGTCCGCCGCATTTTTATGAAGGCATGCAACCGATTGCCAGCATTCCTGTAGAACAGCACAATGTAGTGGAGTTTGTGTTTCCTTGTCGACAGAGTTGGGATCTGCACCGGCTTTGAGAAGGGCTTCGACGGCTTCGGGGTGTGCACAGCAATATGCGGTGGTGTTTCTTCCTTCTTTGAGCGTAAATGGATATTTGCCTTGAATTCTAGCAAGAGGTTGATCACGTTAATCCTACCCTTCCTCGCTGCGATATGCAGCGGAGTTTCGCCATTGCAATCCCGGGCGTCGATGACGGCGTGATAGAGAAGAAGTATTTTAACCATTTCATGCACCCCACCATCACATGCGTAATGCAAGGCCGTTTTTTCCTTTCCATCTTTTTGCCAGATTCCATCTTCTTGCCCGATTCCATATTTTTGCCGGATTGCATATTTTTGTTCGACAAAGCCTTTCTCTCTCAGGAGGAAGGCATACACGACTCCCAGGTGTCCACCAACGGCGGCTTGGCATATGGGTAGACGGCCCTCCCATTGAATAGAAGGATCAACATGCATTTCCGTCAGTAGATACAGAACGATCTCCAGGTTTCCTACTTCCGATGCTACTACAAGCAACTGACTGCTAATCTTTCCTTTCGATTTCGACATGAACAAGCGGACTGTTGACAAATGTCCGCCAGCTGCGGCAAGCTCTGCTGCTGAATTATAATTTTTCGTATCCACACAGTCTTGATGGCTGAGGAATTCTTTGACAATGGCTGTATGCCCCTGTTCCGCAGCATATTGAAGGGGAGTCTTCTTGGTTCTGTCTCTGCAATTTATTGCCTCTTCAAATCGAAACTCCTTTTTGAGAACATCTACTATTTTAGATGTCATGCCAGAGTTTCTAGAACTTGCAGCTATGTGCAACGCTGTACGTCCATCCTTGTCATGAACGCTAAGCAAATCTGAGGATATAAAATCCTCTACTGCGACGAGAGACTTGAGGGCTCCATAGTGTAAGGCGGTCTTCTTGGTATCGTCTTGCATAGAGATGTTTGCCCCAGATTGGAGTAGGAGCTTGGTAGCTTCTTCATGGCCCATACTAGCAGCCATGATTAAAGGAGTTCGCCCCTTGTTGTCTTGTTTGTCGAGTAAATTAAGAACCCCCACGTTTGTCGGCTCGTGTTCGATTGTGCATTTACCCAATAGATGGGAAATCACGTCCATGCTCCCACCGGCCGCAGCCATATGAAGAGGTGTCATTTCTTCGTCGTTGGCTTCTGAATCATTTTCTGACAAGCGTAGTAGCGCCTTAAATGCCTCCAATTTATCGTCCAGAGCCGCGCGATGAAGGAGATACTTGTAGTCGCATATTGCTCCATAATCGTGTTGGCTACTGGTCAGGCCTACATCCAGATACGTTAACACAATCTGGGTTACAAACCGCCAGAAACGCGAAAATATGGCAACCTCAGCAAATGGAACGGGACAGGAAGACAAACCATTGCTACACGCTTGCTTGAGACCAACGAGAGTTCTAAGTGTTTCCAGATGGTCAAGTGTGGCGATTTCGTGGAGGGTGAAGTTCTGAGGCTCCTTTTCTGGACCCAATTCTACGTCATCCATACCATTGGCGAGTTCTCCTTCAGCCGTTATCTAACGTTCTGTGATTAGCATCGATCCGAATCATCTTTTGGTAGTGGTGATTCCTCACTGGTTTGGCAGCGGACTCATCGGATTTCTCAATGAAGTTGGCGATGGTATATAAAAGTGCAAGGTCGTGGAAATCTGGGTTGATGAGCGGAAGAGCCAAAAGAGGATCTCTGGGAGTCTGCTAGGGGATGGAACATCCGTTGCTTGAATTATATTTTTGATGAGCCTTTCCCATTCCTTCTTCTCGCCATCGCGGTGGGGGGTTGAAAAGAACACCCAAGAACTTGTTACAAATGCGTCTCAGAGGTTTGAGAAGCCGTAGCCCTGGAGAACTTACTACTCTGTCGACTTGAAACACAATGTCTTTGAACTTGCTGTTTGTCTTTGCGAGAAACATTGCCTAGGACGCGTTAGAAAGAAATGGATTCTTCTGGATGCGACGTGCGTGCACTCACCTTCTTGATAACGATGCCACCGAATCCATATCCGACCAAAAGGATCTTGCCTGGGTCTACAGTTTTGCGGATCAAATTGAGAAGAGCTGATGCCTCTTTCTCAATCAACGCCATCCAAAATGTGTCAGGAGCGACAGTGATAGCGGACGCTGTATCTTCTATATCGCCCTCATTCAAATTTGGAGTCACCAGAACATCACTACGCGCTCCTTCGCCCATTGGTGAATGATTGGAATCAGCAGATACATGCGCCCATTTTTCCGGTATTGGGCCTTGGTCTTCACTCATTCCTGTTTCCTTTGGACAAATCGCTATCTTGTCGCCAAAAATAGTGCATGGTAAGTCTTGAGCTTCCGGCACAAAATGATGCATCATCTCAGCGACCCGTGCGATTGTATTCTCAGCTCCGGAAAGGTGCTTAATAACGCCTGGGAATCCCACTCGGAATATGCTTTGGAAAAGAAAGAGAAAGTCGTTAGCTACCAGTCCTACCATACATAAGCATGAGGATATAGTGAGAAGCATCCTTACGTGTATTTCCACCCCTCTTCACCTGTTCCGTTACGCTGTGTCTTGATCGTCATTGTTTTCTTCTAGAAATTGAAGTGATAGAAATAATCGATGTGATCTTTTTTCAGACAGAATAATACGTCTGCAACTGCACACAAAAAAGCCTACGAAGAGATTATGAAGTTTATTGTCGACACAGGTCTGAGTGGAATTTCCAACACTATATATACATCAGAAAACCTACCAAACTAATTTTTTTTGTCCATTTCTCGCTTTTGTTTAATGAAGTTCAATTTCTTGTTTCTTTATCACGGTCAAAGTCAGGCTGTTCATCTGTTCTTTGTTCCGATGTCAGTTGATTCAATGCGGCCTTCAAAGAAATATCCCCGATAGGCCAATATGTTCGCAGCTCTTCCTGACATGACTGTCAAGGCCAAGATCACTAAGCCCATTCCGGCCAGCGGTTCAAGATTCTACGTTTTAGCTTAGGGATTATGCTTGGCAAAAATGTCAGGGAAACAAGAAGGCCCTATTTGGAGACAAAGGTGAATCTGGCGAACAAAGCAAATCCGCGAGGAACGAACGCCGCAGAATTCGTGCCTTCCCAACGCCTGACCTCTCGATCATCGCCCCCCATATCTTCCAAGCAGATGAGGTGTTCCAAGACATTCACAGAGAGGGCAACCATCTGCTGAAGCTGACACACAACACAAGCTTCAAACATGGGCGTCAAGATGGTGTGTGGTTACGCGGATGGCTACGAGGCCATTTGCAATCGTAGTACAGTAGTCATTCTTGAACTTGCCGTCGGTGCTGTAAAAAGGGGATATCATCTTGGGGAAAAAAATAATAATACAAAAAAAAAAAAAAAAAAACCAGCGATTTGTTTTGTTTTATCTGAAGGTGAAAAGGAACGCACTTTCGGTGGGAGTGGTGAGAGCCCTGCCACCTTTGTTATGGCGTGGAGAATCTAATACCTTGAAAAAAGAGAAGAAAAAAAGAAATAAAAAAAGGATTCTTGTAACTCGAGTTTTGCTTCAGATTGATTACGCAGAAAATCTGAGCTGTCAATTCGTGGGGATCCGAACGGTGCGTTAAAATCCACTTCCTTTCTGCGTTCACTGCACTGTCAATGGACAAAGTAGGGGTCTGCAAGAGCTGGAGCTTTTGAGTTGAGCCACGGAGAGGTAGGCTTGACCATCGTTCAATACAATAGGGCTAAGTGGGACGGAGAACGCCGCCGTAGTGAGATTGACAAGATGTGGCTTGCGTTTGAGATTTCCAACTCCCACGTTACAGATTAGCCATTGTATGATTGACCATAGTACAGCATGTTCGTGCTTCTGGCTACCCCTTGATCGTTCCAGATTTAACAATGCCATCAGGTTACTAGTTACCATGGAGTAATACCAAGGACATACGTACGAAAGCCGAAGAGAACGCGTGACGATGTCGTCAGCCTCTTGCCAGAAGAAAGATGGATACGTCTGATATGGAGTTTCTCCTTTTGATGAAAGACTGGCAGCCCGAATAGAGTCAAGTGGATCGACAAAGAATTTTAGCTGTGCAAGTAAAACGGGACTTTTGCGGGTTTTGTTGTTGAAGAGTAGCAAAAACAGCAGGTCTAGAACAAATCCTTGAATGAGCATTAGTCAGTTGTGCGATGATTGGCCGGACACCTACTTCAAAACTGAATTACTAATGCGGCCAGCGTCGGTGCAATACAATTTCATGTTTAGAGTCGTAAACAAGCTGGAGACTCAACAGATGAACCCCACCGTGTTAGTTGGTACGAGGACCGCCTTTTGCCACCTTGTTTCGGGAAACGCTTGGTGTAATTGACGCCATCGTCATTTTTTATAGTATATATAGATCTCTGTATGTGTGTGTTAGCTAACTGTCCATAAGTAAATAGGACGCATTTCGGTTTCTTTTAAGAAGCAAATTGGCAGGCCTCATAAAAGGCGAAACTGCTCTATACTTCAACCACACTTATCCGATACTTTCCAAGAAGAAACATACTCGTATAGCAACATGGCCGACAACAGCTCAGCTATCACACTGGACATCTTCAGAGGTACACCTGAAGGAGAGTTAGCTGTTGAAACGACGACTCGCGTTCTTGGCTATGGAGAAGTATACATCGAAACAACCCACTCAGGACTGTGCGGCACCGATCTTCACTACCTGAGGCGCGGGCGCATTATCGGCCATGAAGGTGTGGGAGTTGTAAGACAGCTCGGCCCGGGTGTGTCAACAGACATTAAAGTTGGAGACCGCGTCGGATTCGGCTATACACACAAGGTCTGCGGCACCTGTGAATGCTGCCTGAGCGGTGAGTTGTAGTCTTCAAAACATATCCATAGATATCCTCTCGGTTAGTGGATAAGTGCTAACGGTTTGGGTGGAAAAGGGAGGGATCAGTACTGTACTTCACGGGTTGACTTTAACAGAAACGCTGACAAGATGGGTACAATTTCTTCGGGCGTGATCTGGTCAGCCAACATGGTCTTTCCGATCCCAGACGGATATGACTCTGCGGATGCAGCGCCGCTTCTCTGTGCAGGCTCTACAGTCTTCACTGTCTTAACCGGCCCTGATGTCAAATCGACGGATCGCATTGGTATCATGGGTATCGGTGGCCTGGGCCACTTAGCCATCAAACTGGCTGCAGCTATGGGCCACGAGGTTGTGGTTCTATCAACCTCTGAATCAAAACGACAGGAAGCACTTGACTATGGAGCGACAGAATTTTACGTCTACGATTCAGAGAAGCCTGCTCCACCTGGCTTCAGACCCTTGAACCATTTATTGCTATGCGGAAATACTGGAAGCAAAAACTTTAACAAGTATGTTATCCCGTTTCACACCATCGAGCCGTAAACCAACCCATTTACTAACGTAACCGTGACAGTCTGATTGAACTGTTGGCTGTTCACGGCACAATTTATCCGTTAACTGTTTCTGCCGAGAATACCCCCATTGATCTGGGAGAGTTGACGGGCCTAGGAGCTTCTATCAAAGGATCACTGACAGCTTCGCGCCGCACTATTTGTGAATTGCTTCGATTTGCTTCTCGGCATGGGATTAAGCCAACAGTTATGACTTTCCCGATGACGGAAGATGGAGTCAAAGAGGCCATTGACACGTTAAAAAATGGGAAGATGAGATACCGAGGAGTGCTGGTCCGATAGATTAGATAACTAGTCGAATTAGACCTGAAGCATACTAGAAGAAATAATAGACAATGTATATCGAGCTGATCAGCTGCGTGGCCAAGCGGCGACCTGCTCATTGCAGAAACTTCGTCCACTGTTTGCTCTATATGTTACCGCATAGGTGAAGATACCAACTTGTAATTATAATTGGCGTCCTCAGCGTAATTGAACGACCTGTAATAAAACCGGCAAAAGGGTATTTATCAATTTTACATAAATATATAATTCGGACTTTTCGAGAAACCGTAGGCAGCCTGAATCTACAAAGGTAGAGGTTGCAGCCCGAATTGATCCCGACTGTCGTCGCCAAGGGTGTGGGGACTCGCTTTTCTTTCTCGTAGCTGTGTTTTGACATGCCGTCATAGAGTGATTTTCTTCCACAGCTTAGGCATATATGACCATACGTAGCGGAGAGCTCGGGGCCCGTTGGAGCTAGACGGCTCTGTTGTAGAGGAATGAAGAAGGCTACGCAAAAGGTGCAGGTGATATAAGCAAAGACTGAAAGGCCAGCGCAAAGAGCACATCCCTATTTAGTCACCTAGTGTAATAAGCATATCCCTATTTAGGCAGTCTAGAAACCATCCAAGGTGTCTGTGCTATCAAGGTCTCGTTTGTCATCCAGTTCTGCATTTGTCAATCCCTCAGCTCAATGACCCGGCGCTATAACCTGGTGTTATGACCTGGTCTGACATGCAGATCTCATGTAGCGTAGATTCCCACAATCCTCCCCCATGCTCTCCCCCGTGCGCCCCCATGCTTGCCCCCATGCTCCCCCCAACAAAGGAAGCCTGCAAAATTATAATTACGCCGGATATCCGTTCAAGTAGATACAACACTGTTTAGGTTGCGCCGAATTTCCGCTTGGGGATCACACGATAGTCTTCTAGCCAAAGATATGCATGCTAAAAAAAAGAGAGACTCCAGGTTGTACAAAAATTCCAACTCCACTGTATATCTCTTTCTCCAACAAATGTATATCTTGTTCACCCGAATATTTGAGATAGCATCGCTAATGGAAACAGTCACGAATAGACCACCATAATTGACGATTCTCCATTTAAAGTTGATATAGGTAGTCATATCTATGGCAACTACGACAGCGGTGCTATCATTAATTAAGACGTGTCACCAGCTCTTCCATGGCATTGGAGTTGGCACCAATACCATAACAATTACTACAACTACTTCTGCTACATGCCGTAATGATATGTGAAACTACTAAGGCTAGTGACACTAATCTATGCAAGTTTTCATTTCATGCAGCATAACTTGGCAATATGATCAAGTTTAGGCATCCGGACGCGCGGATCGTCAGACTAACCTTTTCATCCTTGGATTCGCGGCCGCCTCCACCCCTATAGCCCTGTCTTCAAGACTGTTGCGACCACTTATTGATTGAGGTTCTCAAAACGATTAGTAGCAACTGCAGTTGCATTGTTAATCATCCGATTGCAAATCTTATTATCGAAATCATTGGGCCGATGACTGCCCTGTGTAAATGACTAGGGTACTGCTTCCCCCAAAGGGAACCTAAGATAAAACAGGTGTTTTTCATCGCACGTCGACAGGCTATAGGCATGTCTCTTTTCAGTGTTTGAAGTAATTCTGTGCTGTCTATTTTATCAAGACGCGAAGACACTGGTAGCATATATTTCCAGCGATGAATGGTTATTGAAATACATATGCTGTGGGTTGTTGCAGCATAGATAGTTCTCATTCTGTTGGTATTCATTGGCACACAGAGGCAGAGATGGTATCAAGATGATACGTTGAAACTACAAGGCTAGAAGATTACAGAAATAAAACGATGAGCTGCAGGTAAGCTCGTGATTAATTAGTTGGCAACCCTTACCTAGTTGAGACGATGCGCATTACCCGCTTCAGGGGCTGATACCAAGAATCTCTATTGACTAGCAGCTATCTAGTCATCAACGTAATGTCCAGTGAATAGATATGCAACAAAGAGGAAACACCGACTACGGAACAACGGTACCACCACCAAAACCCCTGCTTGTAGGCATCATTTGCTGCAACCGTAGTTCCACATAGCGGTGGGTGTCCTCAAGATTAACATTGAGATTCTAGGTATATATATACACAGGTTTCTCTGAGTTCCAGCTTTCAATATTCACCCAGCATGAACAATTAGGTCTAAGACATTTATCACAAGTGCCTGCATCATGCGTTTTCAGCCTCAGGTTACAGCTCTTGTCTTTGGGACGCTTGTAACATCCATCCTCGTAGAACCAAACGTTGGGTGCAGCATCAGCCAATATATCAACGTGCCTACCACTAGTGGCCTTATTACCGGACATGTTCCACCGAACTCAGACTGTGTTGTCGAATTCTTGGGCATCCCCTATGCACAGCCACCAGTCAGTCAGTTACGATTTGAAGCTCCCGTCAAGCTCAACGCCAGTTCAAACCCTTTAATAGCTTCAAAGTATGCGGCAGACTGTCCTCATCCAAGAAACATAAACCTTTCCGGCTACCCTGGTTTCACTCCACAGGACCCAAAGTGTGTTGCAGATTTCTTGGTCGATGGTACCATTCTTCAGAGCGAGGATTGCCTGTATTTGAATGTTTAGACCAAAGCAACTACTGTCGCAGATGCTTCCAAGCCCGTCTTAGTCTTCTTCTTTGGCAGAGGTGAGTATCGATTCGATGACGACCCATAAGGGATGTATGAAATGTAGCGCTAACTGGAAGCAGGATTCAATTTTGGAGGCACTGACACCCCGTTCTACAACGGTAAATACTTTGCAGACGCTCAGGATGTCGTTGTTGTTACGGTGAACTACCGAATTGACGTCTTTGGCTTCCCTGGCGCCCTAGGCCAGCCTGCTAACCTTGGCCTTCGCGATCAGCGCGTTGGTGTTGAATGGGTTCGCGATAATATTGCCGCGTTTGGTGGTAATCCTGAGAAGATCACTATCTTTGGACAGTCTGTTGGGGGTGAGGCAGTCAACTTTTGGGCCTACGCTTATGAGCAAGATACTATTGTCAGTGGCATCATCGCTCACTCTGGCAACGCTTTCAGTTTTCCTTTTAACACTGCCGCTACCGTTGAGAATAATTGGAATACCATTGTCGCAGGAGTGAACTGTACAAGTGAAGAAGATCAATTAGCTTGCGTCCGACAAGTCGATTGGCAAAACATCCTGGCGATTTCGGAAACAATCAGACCTCTTCCAAGCGACAACTTCTTGAGATCCATCTCCCATTTTGATCCCTTCCCCGATGATGAGGTTGTCTTCTCTGACTACATCAACCGAACCACTGCCGGTCACTTTGCCAAGGTACCTATCATGCTTGGAAATACGAACAACGAAGACGGCTTCTATCGTCTCGTTCCATTTGCCCAAATATGTCTTCTACCGACCTCTCAAGATGTGACGCAGTTTCTTCTCGAATCCTTTACGTGCCCAGTAACCTTTCAAGCTGCCGCTCGTCGCAACCATGGGGTTCCAGCATGGACCTTTCGATATATGGCGGATTGGGATAATACTCGTCTATACAGCACGAACGACAGCACGAGTGGAGCTTACCACATGGTCGATTTACATATGATATTCGGGGCTTCGGAAGATGTTACCGGACCTCCAACGACAACAGACCAAAGAAACCTGACATACATTATGCAAAAGGCCTGGGCCTCTTTCGCTAACGATCCTGTCGACGGCCTTGCCAGACTGGGATGGCCACAGTTTGATCAGAATGAGAATTCGTACTTCTTGCTTGGAAAAAACAACATCCCTTCAGCCGAATTCGTGGCCCCCTCGGAATGGAACTCCCCGTGTTCCACTGTTACCTTTGGTCTTTTCGGAACGTCTGCACCAACGCCTTCCCCTTGACCATTTGTTTGGAGACATTATAGGCCGTATACCACCTGGTTGTTCCATTTATTATAGATCTTTTTCTACAAAATATTTTACGACTGAAGTTACAGTCAATATAATAGCTGGAGTAACAGCTCAGGATCATGATGTAAGAGGGAATTTCGATAATGCAAATTAAGGAACAATATATGTCATCTAAGCAATACAATCTCTAGAGTTTACCTACCGGTATTCAAGTTCGAATTAGAGCTCCAGATGGATGTGCAAGGACCACCCTCGTCGGCAGGTTTGTTACTTTATGAGAATCTCATTCAGGATGTTTCCTCTCCCCAATCCAGCAAATACAACCATAGAACTCGAGTTCCCACCTAATTGTCTACAGGACTTTAATGTCTTCTAATGTATATTGAAGAGAAAAAGATATTTGATACGCTTTGTACTGAACTAGGTCGTTGATGAGTCCAGTAGGTCAGCAAAAGGCCTGCGGCCACCTCCTTTGGCTCTTCTCTGTAATAATTTGGCTCTTCTCTGTAATATTTGGGTCTGTATCTAACTCAGAATGTTTTATTTGAATGTATAACATAGATCTCGAGTATTACAAAAATAAAAGTCCCACATGTTTGTCTGTCAATTCCTTTTGGGTTATGCCTCCTCTGGTTCAGCTTCCCGTATTCAAATATCCCTTGACATCCCATCCCGCGGGGGCTATTTACATACAATCTTGACTGTTAAATTTCCAAGATAGAATCCAAAGCCAAGAAGCATCTTACGAAGATGCAAGCTTCAACTCGACAACCCCGAAGGCACGCTTCCTATTACAAAGCCCATCGTGTGTACAAGGCTTTATGGCTTTACAAGACTCGTTGTTTGTACAAAGCTCATGGTCTGTACAAAACTCACTGTTGGGACAAAACCTAAAGCCCAGCTTCGTATTGGGGTTCTCCTTATTAAACCTTATAATTAGCTGACCCCAGTCATCCTCCGTTCTCTCTTTGCCTGCCAAGATAGACATAGCAGCCATGTCCATTGTCCTGGTGGCAGCTGTTAACGCAACAATCATCGTTGCTTGAATGTGAGCACTGACGAACCTTTTTAACCTCTCAACCACCAGTGGGAACATATCTGGTTTGGGAATGATGTAGTCCATAATGAGGATGTGCGCAGTTGACTTCATGTAGGGCACAATGTTGTTTAGAATTGTAACCACACGGCTGTCCGACCAATCGTGCATAACAAAGCGAAACATGTATATGTCGGCATTGTCTTCCCTATTCCTGTCCCGGATAAAATCGTACTGTTCAAAGGTGATGCTGCTCTTGATGCTTTCGTGAAGATCCGATGTGTTAAGCTGGTTCTGTCCATTGTTGATCATTCTTCTAAGGTCTTTCACTACGAATTTCGGAAGTGGCTTGTCTTTGTCTGTGTCTTGGAGGGCCTCGGCAATGCTGATACATACATCGCCCCAGCCGCCTCCCATCTAAATTATGAAAGAAACAATGCTGTTAGTAGGCATTTCGTAGAAGACGTGAAGAGGGCAAACGACTAGATCCGACCCCCCCGTGACGTTTGTATGAGGCAGGTATCATCAATTGAGTATGGGTTCAGCTTACATCAACAATTTTGAAGTTTTGCCGCTCAGAATCCTGGCTAGGTATTTTGCTGGTTACATTCTTGGCTAGTGTATTTTGGTCGTGATCTCTTGTAGCCATATTGCGACTCGACATGACAAACGTCAGGTGGTCTAGCATAGCCTCACAAAGTTCCAAATTATCAGCGTCTGCCATGTATCTTAAGTAGTCATACGGTGTGTCAAAGGCAAGGTTGAAGGCGGTCTCGTAAGGCTCAACAATATCTCCATATCGAAGCAATGCATCGCCAATTCGAAAGGCTGTGTTGAGGAATCTCAGATCCAAACAAATCGTTAGAGTGCTCTGGACGCTATAAGCATCCCCTATTGGAGGAATTGACGGAATCGGATTTTTGAAGAAAGCTTGTGAAGGTGCAGTATGTGAGACGGTTTTTGCACCTTCATCAATAGCGAGTATGTGAAACGTAGACGCATGTCGGATTACCCTTGTGACAAAATCTTCAGACATGGTGAATCTTCTATCGAGGTCTTTACTAATTTTCTCAGAGAGTGCTTTAGTGATCTCGGAGAAAGTTTTGGATTTGCCTTTGCCACGAGGGATGATTTGCGGTATTGAGAAGTCATTGAGGATTTTCAGTGTTGAAAGTTGATAGGGATACTAAGCCATTTGTTAGCGCTGTTCGGGTTTCTTCGTCATCCATTTCTCTTCTTTCTCTCATTGTCTCTCCCGTTTCAGTTAGAGGGAAAATAAAGCTGTAGACTGACAGTGAGAGCTGGCCAGACTACCGTACCTGCCGGTCCCAGAACAAGGTCGCGGAGGTCTGCGGTTTTGTTAAGCAGATCTGTGCGGGCATTTTTCTCAACTTCTGACCCATTTACATTTAGACAATCTATGACAGCTTGCCAGGAATCATAGTTTGAAAATGATAGTTCAGACTTTTCTAAGTTCTGACCCTTGACGAATTTATCAAGAATTTTACATTGGGCGAGTATCTCGTTGCCTAACTCCTCAAAAGTGCTCCAGGACATTTTCGCCAGGGGAATGGGAATGAAACAAAAAGAGAAAGAAAAGATGTTGAAAAAAAAAGAATAACAGCGTTTCCTGCAGATGCCCTGTAGCCGGCAGCGGGCTACATGTACTAATGAGGTGGAATATATTCTGAAGTCACTCGTGCCCAAGGCATTAATGCGTCTGGTGCTGTTGCATACGTTTAGCCCAAACCACTAAGCCTTGCCTCACAATGGTACCTGATGCTAACTTCGTCTTTCATGCTACAGACTGCTAGATGGTGGGGAAAATGACGGAATAACTCGTTGATTCATGGCCAGGTACATGTGCATATATCTGGGATGTATTGACACTGCTGTAACAGAGAAAAAACGCAAAGGCACTTGAGATGTGTGCCACAATTAACAGCATGAGTGTTGATCCAATTTCTCTCCTGTTCCTTATATCTAGCTCTTACACAGTAACCCACTGCTTTGCATATGCGCCATTTAATCCGTGGAAAACACAAAGAGCCTCACTTCGACACTCTCCCGAGGTCGCGTATCTGTCTCTGAAGTAGCTGGAAGCCTGAATGCCGTATGCGGGCAGCCCACTGCATACAATGTCAGTTTTTCTTTTCTAGGTTTATTTCCTGTTGCTTTTGGAGGTGTTTCTAAATGGTCCAAAGAGAAAGCACGTACACGTCGCGCTTGCATCCTTTCGATTCTCAAACGAAGCGGAGTCAAATATCTTGAAGATGCAAGCATCCCGATTCGTCATCTCGCTGAGATAGTAGAAGCGATACTTTTCATTCCATCGTGCCAAGTAACTTAACTTCACAAGCTCGTCGGTGACAAACTCGAGCTCGACGAGATCGCCCGTAGTTACCGTGCGGGCGTCGCATATTGCAAGCGGCCAGTCCTCAACAACGTCGCTGATGGGCCTCCAGACGCTACAGCGAATCTGTTAGCACGGCAGCTTAAATCCATTGCCATATAAACCGCCCGTACTTGAAAATCCGGACTCTGTATTTTTTTAGGAGCTCGTCCACCTCCTGCTGGGGCAGATGCAGACGCAGTCGGTCAAGGGCACCAGCGGGGCTTTGGTCTTATTGCGAATCAGCTTAACAGGACTTTTCCGCTGCAGAAGATGAGGCTCAAAAAGGTACCTATATGCACGATGTCGGCTGGCTTTATTTTGATCATTCTACCGTCACATACCTGGCGCATCACCTCTTGAGAGTCTGCCTTTCGAAGCTATTCCATTCATCAAAGACTGAAAAATACATGTTCTTGATGTTTCCAACCTACCCTCCAATCAAACACCTCACATCTCTTGAGAGATTTGCCGATATTAAGCTCCTTCTGGAGCAGGTCCTTCACTTGAGGAAGATAGCGGTTCTCAATATCAGCCTCATCAGTCCAATCAATGTCGGAGGGAGACCAAGGCAAGAAAGTGAAGCCTTGCTCATGTAGCATTAATGTCTCTGTACATCCACGCACGTCTTTGATCAGCTGCTCAGGTCCCGTAACATAGTCAAAATTGGCATAATGGATCGTCTTTAGAAGTCCTGGGAGGGCGATGTAAGGCCTCTGCGTCTTGGTCCACTGAGAATCATGGAAATAGTTTAGTTTCACCAGTTGATCCATTGCTAACGAAGAGATCTTACTTGTGAATGTGCTTGACTCAATATTGATGAAATCCAAATACGCACTCTTAACTATTAGGTGTCTTTTGTAAATGGATTTGCTGCAGCCCATCCGGCCCGACCAAGTCACAGAAACGTCCTTGGCAAGGCTAGCCCACCACACCGGGTTCAACCGCTCAGAGAATATGCACGAATTAACTGTCCTGTGTCGAAACTAACGTACGTTGAAGAATCGCATCAAATGAAATGGATTTTACCCCGCTGCTTGATTCGGGCATCACCGAAAGCCGTGTCGACAGCTAGTCAACGTGCATTAGGTGACATGATAAGAGCTCCTTTGCGCACCTTGAGGCTGCTGTCTTTGCTTCGACTATTAACCGAGACATGCAAGCCCTATGATATTGGGCAACAATGGATATCAATTGAACCAATTGACCGTCTTAGCAGGCACCATTGATGCCTGAATGCCCAAACTTCGAAAGGTGGGAGAGATCATGGGAACCGCAGCCTGCAGAGCTGAGAAATCACAATTGAGGGGTTATTCCCGCTTGCTTCCCACGACTGAGTTACGTGGGGTAATTCCAAGCATTGTTGGTAAAATACTGTATTATCATCTTTTTTCCTAATCCCCTTCTCTCCCGTCTCTTTCTGTTAGGAAAATCCATCAAAATTACGGTGCGCTTGTAAAGTGTTCTATATTACTACCGCTTTTGGGCACAGCTAATATGCTGACAGGCGCGCTTAGTACCAAACGCCAAAGACAAGTATCAACAATGGATACCAACACAAAGAAGTCAGATGATAAGAAGTCAGATGATAGAAGTTCTTGGGTCGGAGCTGTCGAAGAGTCACGTCAGTCAGACAAAAGAGAGCAGCCATGGAAGGAGGATATGGAACATAATACCCGTCCTAGGAGATACCTTACTGTGGATGAAGTGATTGTGGCCTCCCAGTCCGAATCTACCGCTGTTCAATCCACCGCTGTTCGATCTACCGCCATTCAGTATAGTTCTTCCTCCGATCCCCCTCCTCGTCGAGCAAATCCACCCATACCGACTACTTAATTAGACTGTCTGTATAATTTGGCGTATAGCAGAGCACATGAGGCAGCATGAAGGCTATGATTCTGGAATATTGCACTGGGTATCTAATATTAAATGTTCCATTCAGTATAAGCGTACGAATCAATCGTTTGCGGCCCAGCCCAAAAAAAACTGAAGTGAACGGAACAAGAGCATGATAATTGTAATGCGTGGTTCTTCATACAGCGTAAGCTTGGATGTGAGGGACAAGGTGGAACAATGAACCGGAAGTCTTCAAAAGCTCAGCTAGATCTTTCGGAGGCAAAAGATCGTCTTTAGACCCAAGACGAGACTGAAGATGGCGACACACATCATTGAGCCGCCTGGTCAGCGTGTTTGCTGGTAGCGACTTTGTCATGACAAGACGGCCAGCTTCAGCGGGGACAATATGGTCGTATATCGCGTCCTCATCCGGCAAGGGGACGTCAAACGGCCAGTATCCTGCATACTTCTCCCAGCGTGCAACCCGTACTTGAGTGGCTTCTTTCAGAAGATTTCGAGCTTCTTCATCTGTCTTTTCGTCCTTCTTTTTACGCAATAGTAGTCTGGCAAGCTGATACTTGGCTCGCGCGCCAGCCTCGTCCGTCCACTGATCGGTTCTCTCCAAGGCTTTTCTCAGGTACGCTCTGCATCAGTTAGCGGGTGTGACATTTCTCCTCATTTGTGTGTAGGAAGTATCATACTCAGCAGCCTCATTGTTGTGCCTCTTTGACTCAAGCATAGCCAGCAAGTAATAGGTATCGAGGGTGCTCCGTCCAGTAGGACCAAAAGTGTCAGTTCGCATGCTGAGCACCATTTGCAAGGTGGTATAGGCTGAATCGAGATTCCCGCAGAGTATGGCAATGTTTGCATGGAAAAAATAATATCTAATCATAATAACCTTATAAGTGGGATCCGCCATGAAATTGTCAGGATCCGGCTCCCATTTTTGAGCTTCGTCAAACCGTCCTAGAGCCGCAAGTGCGATATGTTTATTGCGATGTGGTTCGTAGCATGCAATCGCGGAATCTGGACCTGATCCGAGCAATTTCTTCTTGATGGTAATGGCAAGGTCGGAATATATGATGACGTCTTCATAGCACTCATAATCGAGTAGTATAGGCGTCATATTGCCCCAGGCATTGGCGTAGTTCCAGAGGTCGTTTGAGCTTACATCAATAGGGTTGGATTTATTCAGGTGCTCTTGACGTAGAGCAACAGTCATAACGTAATGGTGTAGAGTCCTGAGTCTCTCAGAGATTCCACAAGTATCTCTTACGGCCGCGGCGATTGTATGTATGTCGGCTCTCACAGATTCGTGACGGCCAGCAAAGCGTTCACAGACTTTGACACTCGCATTCGAGGTGTCCAGCGCATCACCAAAAATATTGCGCTCATAAAAATAGTTGGAGACGTCCGACAGAAGCAAAGCATAATCGATCGAGCATTCCGGCGGCGCTGGCGACGCTGCATGCGTACTCATGATGCTCATGACATGCGGAGAGTATTTTTCGCACTTTTCCCAAATGTCATTTTGGGGAAACTGAACGGGGGACTGACGAGGAAACATTCGGCGTGTAAGGCTCACGGCCATATTGAATATTGATGCAATCTTCCCCTCTTCTTCATCCATCTTTCGTAGCAGGCTCAGCTGCAGTGATCTATGCATGAGATACAGCTGATCTCTGTCGAGACCTTGACAGTCAATCAAATGTCTGGCCCTTAACTGTCGTATCATTTCATGAAAGCTGCAAAAGTCTCAGCGATTTACTCCACACATTGGTAAAATGGAGAACGGATATGATCCAATCTTACCTCGCCTCGTCATCAAACTCCAGGAACCCTAATAAACGGTCACCGTGATCTGCATCTACCAGTAGCATTTCTCTGGGGACACCCTCAGAACTTAGCATAGATAGAATTTGAGCCAGCATCAGAGAAGGAGCATCAAGCTCTTGTAGAGCGATATCGTGAACGACTTCCATGTTTCTTTCATATTGGAGCGGGGTGATCTCCTGACTCAAGATGCGTGCAATTCTTTGTCGATTCTCAAAGAGGTGCAAAAAGGCCTCGAGACTGATATGTGACTGTGCAATATACCCGGCCACATGCACAATCGACAGCGGATGACCACCAAGAGCTTCTGAGATTAGGCGCGCATTGTCCATGTCCGTTTGAGGGTCATCGTCGCCCGCAATCTCGTCGAGGAGGAACCTGGCGCCTTCGGAAGGCTCCAAAGTAGATAGACGGATTTCCGAGCTGACCATGGTGCGTAACCTGGCGAGCTGAGAGGTTACCAATACCGAGCCACTGGCGCAAAAAGGCCAATAACCTTGCAAATCCTCCCATCGATTGGCGTTATCGAAGACAAGAAGCCATCGCTTATCTGTGAAAACTGTTGGCATACGCGAACGTTTAAATGGCCACATTTCTTTTCCCTGTTCTAACCTGTAGTCTCCAGCCAGGTCCTCGCAGCCTCGATTGACGCTCGGCTCGTCGCACCCTGGGCATCAGATATTTTCAGGCGCTTCGCAAGTTCGGCCATTCCGTTGGTGAGCTCAGTCTTGGATTCGGCACAAATCCATACTATGTAATCAAAGTGTCTTCGGTACCGATGGGTGTATTCGATCGCAAGCTGGGTTTTCCCCATGCCGCCACCACCATGGACGACACACGACTTTTGACGAATAGTCTCATCATCTGTCACTTCACAGAGGTTCTGGTGAAGCAATGATAATGTGTTTCCCCTAGCTTGAAAGCGCGGATTTCGTTGAAATGGTACAATGTACAACCTCTCAGGCTCCCTGGCAGCGCTACTCGTAATGGGGATCATTGCTTCCACGGTCCGAATTCTACCTCCATATATCAGCTCGGTGTCAACAAGGACTTGCCTTTCCCTGTCAAATTGACCCTGGTGCCGAAGTATGTTCGACTTATAGGCCTGGAAGTTACGTTCAAGTGAGAACCAGAATATTCTGAGCAAAGAATCTTGCCCATCCAGTTAGTCATATAAAACAGTTAGAATGCGTGACAAGACCTTCTGGAGCTTACATATAGGCCATCTCTTGAAGAAAATGACAGCCTCTATGCAGAAGCCGACAAAATCCGATATCAGAATCCGGAGGCAATTATCGAGCGCCTTCTTTCCTGGGAATAGGGTGCTGTAAGTGGCAAGCTGAGGCATCAACAGCGAGATTTCCTCAATCATGTTCGTCACACTCTCCAGCAGCTTTGCATACTTGCTCGCAGCCTGCTTATCCGCATTAGTCAGATCGAATCATGAGGGAGTGTGTGTGGCACCAGCGGCACGTCGTATTCAATTGGCACTGACATCGAGGACAGCCTGAATGGATCCCCAAACAAGCCCTGCGATTTGCCCGCCTCCTTGCACCATTGTCGTTATCGACCGGACGAAAACCTCAAACTCTTCAAGTATTGGCCCGAGTTTTGTGAGATATCGAGTCAGCGCCTGGTCCCTGTAACGTCCATTCTCCGACTTGAGCCAGTCCTGAAAAGACGAGTAGCCCAATTCTTCGACGGCGAGCTGATACCTGCGCCCCAAAAGCCGCCTCCTCTGGGACTGCAGTTCAGTTTCCCAATGCTGCTCAAGCGCGGTGCTCATTGCTGCTGAAGATTGGCGATGGAAGCCGAGTGTGGTGCCACTGAAGGGAGACAGCTGAGTGAAACTGAAACATGTTCAATCATATCGAGTGTTGGGTAGACGGACACCGCGTCTGCTCGTTTATATTGCCTCCTACATTAATCAGGCTGCTTGAGGGCCAAAGACGGGCTGCATCGCGACGTGGAGCCTGCAATGATTGATTGGTGTTGAAGCAGCCACGAAGCACGTCTTCCGAATTCCAGCTGGACAGGTTGAAGAGATGAGGAGCGCATATTACGGAGCACAAGCACAGGTACGAATATACATGCAGCTCTACAATAGGACGTCGTCGAAATGACTTCAGATGTCCCGCATTGGCCTAGTCTTTGGGAGCATTTGAACTTCTGATCTACATTTGCCCAAGTGGGTAACACGACGATATTTTGGTGTTGCGCTAGCATGGCTGACATTTATCAGTTAAACAACAGCCTAACCTTAAATTCTTTCAGGATATATCCGATGGATGTCTATTACGGATGAAACGAACAATTAGTCTAGTAGACGGCCCATCGTGTATCTTGTAATAGTCTATCTCTACTCCAATAGTCGTTATGCAACTTCTGCTGGTGGACAAGAGACCTCGATTCCACAGGCGACGGAATGAGACCCGACAAGTATGAATTGATCCATTACGCTAGTCTATAGCTTAGTGTGGGGGTTTATTGGTGTGTATGCATTCATGTTCCCGATAGGTAAAAAGGTGCTCTGTACTCCGTATCACATAAATCAACATCACTTGTACAACCTGAGACAAATCCTAGTATTTCCAAAAACTTGAACTCCACTCTGATACATCATCTTCTTTTCTCACCTTATGATAACATTGCTGATTATATACATCATGGTCGTGTTCCTATCAGCACATAAAACTCAACACAAATTGATGCCATATCTTGTGAGAACTCTTGCGAACAGGCGGTCGGCATGCATCCTTGCTTGCTACAGCTGCACATCCTGGGCTACTTATCCCTTATTACTGGTACACAACCTTGAAGGAATTCTTATCCCTTGCTGATATTACTGGGCTTACCATCCGCCCAGCCACCTCTACTTGATGCGTCCAATGTCCGTGTCCCCTCCATCGCCCTCCTGCTCAAACTTTAGACCAAACAAGACCAAACGAGCATGCGCAGCAAGTGAAATGAAAACAGCTTGAAGCCGGCAAGTCGCGCCACAATGTACGTCTCAGAGCTCCCTCCAATGGGAAATTTCTCAATTTCTGAGACACCTTCATTCTTACCATGGATAGGCTCCTCAAATCTGCCCTCGAGGCGTTAGGCCCGCTCCTGGTGCAAATTTCCAACATCACTGGCACCCCCGGAATCTCACTCGGCGTTCTACACCACGGCGAAATCCTTCATACGGCCAGTTACGGACTTCAAGATGTTGAGAACCGCGTTGCGCCCAATGCTGACACAAGTTTCCTCCTCTGCTCCATCACAAAAGCCATTACGGCTTCCATGATCGGCATGATGGTTGACGAGGGCAAGCTGGATTTTACAACCCAACTGAGACAAATCTTCCCGGAGTACCAACGGGATGACGCCCAGGCCAACATCACCATCGAAGATCTTCTCAGTCATAGGACGGGGCTCGCGCCTTACGATAGCCTTTGGCTTGGCTCAGACAATAGGATCTTTTTGAATCGTTCCGATGCCATCCCAACCTTGAGCTATGTCCCATCTGCAAGTCCACTGCGTACACGGTTTGTATACGACAATATCGGCTACGAGGTTCTTGGCCAAGTCCTCGAGAAGCTGACCGGCTTATCCTACCTGGAGCTACTTCACGAGCGCATCATCGAACCGCTGCACTTGAATAGAACCTTTTTCGCCCAAGAGCCATTCGATAATAACACAGCCAAATCCTACGCAGCTCTAGGGGATGGCTCATTTTTTGGCATTCCGCCTTGGGGCCATGGCAAGGACTTGCTTATTGGTGCGGCTGGCGCAATTCGCAGTTCCGTTAGCGATCTCTTGGTGCTATACAAGGCTTTGATTGAGGCAGCCAACTCACAGGTGACCCAGACGTCGGCGCCAGGTTCTGAGAATCCTTTCAAACAAATGCCCATGCTTTTACAGGGTAAAATAGGCGTCCCAAACCAATCTTTGCGGGAATACAGCTATGCGTCAGGATGGATTCGAGCAGAGCTCCCTGCGATTCTCGATTTATTTGCAGACTATGAGCCTCCCGTTCTAAATAACGGCTCAGAATCGCGGCTTATGATTTATCACCAGGGCTACATCCCCGGCAATGCCGGGTTTGTAGCGCTATTCCCGGAAACTACAAGCGCTGTTGTTTTGCTGGGCAATTCCGCCGGCCTTACTGACGCGATGAAGCTGCTGGGCCAGATCATTGTAGAAACTGTGCTAGGCAACGAGGTCGATGCACCGACATACATTGAAGCAGCCAAGACGGCTTCCACAAACAATGTCATGTTGCCCAATTATGTGTACCAAGATCTACTCGATGGAAAGATGCGTGATCCACCCAAACGAAGCACTTCAGCATATACAGGCCGGTACTACAACGCTATTGAGAACTTTTTCATCGATATCAATGAGGTAGACGGCAAGATTCAAGTAGCATACATGGGATCAGATCGCGATACGTTTGACTTGGAGCCTTATCAGACTGACAGTTTTTTCTGGTGGATTGACTACGATGAGACTGTGAAGCGGGCCAGGCTATCAGGATTCCCCAAGGAATACTTCATCTTAAGCTTTGGCTGCTCATCTAAGCCTACGAGGTGGAGTTTCGGCGCCAATGTTAAGATGGGCTGCCTGACTTGGAAACATGAATTCCAACTGTCTGGGGACGGAGAGGTCTTCCACAGGAAGGGAAGCAAAGTGTCCAGCGATATGCAGCGTGTCTTGAAAACGTTGATGGAGCTGAAATAACGACGATTATAATGATTTACTGTCATATATTGCTTATAAATAGTTCTCGTCTTCGTCAAACTGCCTAATTGTTAGTTACTCTAACCATGAGACGAAATATTGCAATAGCAACTTCGAGGTAAAAGCTTTTGCCTGTACGAAGTATCTTTCTCCATTCTACCTCGTATCCCCCCATCTCCCCCACTCCCTGTCACTATTCCTGTTTTCTTTAATCCCTTCTCCAGTGCATTCAATAGTCGCAACGTATTGATGCCCAACTGCATGCATGAAGCAAGGTCATCGGCATACAAGAGGGGTCAATCTTGATTGTTCAATAATTCTGAACATTTGGTTAGATAGTCATAGTAGCGACTACATGTATCCTACTCGCCATGACATTTCCAATAACCTGTACAGTCACTTCTGTACATCGCATCGGCATAACCTGCATGTATAAAGTGTGTTGTTGATTAGACGATATGTGTTACTTTAATTCCTCTGAAACTATGCTTCTCACACATTTTCTGACATGATCCAGCATTTTAGAATAGATAGGTACCCAATACTCTTGTTGACATGGAACCCATCAGGCTCTATCACAGCCCCACCATCAAATTCGCTGAGATTACCCTAAAGACAAAGTGGTTGATAAAATTAGTGAGAATGAAAAAAGATGCGCGGAAATTAGAATACGACTGGCCATAATAGATGATAGTATCAGCAAGCATAAATGTATCCAAACGTACATGCGTATATAATAAACCATATAACACAAATTTACCATTACGTTAATTCTTGCTTCATGTACTACGTAGTCTGTGCCAGTTCAGGGTATTGCCTTTTGTCTCAGCAATTGGTAGTCCTGCTTATTATCTATCACTGACTGTGCAATTTCTGCAATTTGTACGAAGTCCTGAGGCAAAAAAAAATTACTCGAGACCTTAAGAGAGAACCAATGCCATCTAGCTTTCTATGCGATAAGCTTCTATCGCGCCGTCGAGAGAAGAAGGACGCCATTGAAAAAAAGAAGAAGAAAAATACTCACAGAGCACAGAAATACTTATCCACTTTATACGACTTATATTATTACTTTGCTTTACGATAGGTAGTATCGCCTACTTGTGACAATCCGCGGCAGTGGTAATACCATCACCATATACGACTATAGGCAGTGGAAAATTCGCGGTTCCATTAAAGATGTTGTCTGAAGTTCAATCGCCTCCAGAAATAGCTGTCAGCGCCGCGATTTTCGGCGGCTGCCACCCTTGTTTGCGAACGCTGATGATCCGACACCTGAATCTCGCATAATGTTACTATGGCTTAATGATCTTTAATCATATAAGAAGTGCACTCGTCATCCAAAATTAGATTACGCTGTGGCGAATCGTGCAACTAATGGTTGGTAAAGTTCGTATTCCCAAGGGACAACCTGTGAAGCTCGGGAAGCTGTTTGGGTCAGGTCAGGCCAGATAATCAGGCTACGCTTTTTTGTCACACAACAATGAGAGGCCCTCAAGTAGATTCAATCTGATCGCTGTATTATCAAACTGTCTCCGTAACTATTCTAACGAGTGTCCAGAAGCGAAGGTTATATGTTCAAAGTGTATATGTTCTGGTCAACTGAAGTCTGTCCACGGTCGACCTTTCAATAATTGTGTGGCCCATCCGTCACTTAATGCAAAGTCCGGCATTTTGCATTACGACCTCGACGTTGAATCTCCTCCTAATCCAATCTGTTCCATACAGTTACCCCTTTCTTCATGATTAGGTATAGTAGCATGCAAAAGACTGGGCATTTTGCACCGCAACACAGTTTTGGCCTCCATTACTGGACTGTGTCAACGCTCCTCCCTGGCAGTTGCTTTGGCTGTAAAAGATACATGTACAACTGTTTTCGAAGCAATTGGCAACGTTTGCCCATTGGGCGAAATGATAGTTGTAACAGTTATTGGGGCCTCCATGCAGTTTGGTTGCCCAGTTCACATTGACTTGACCGGCGTAGTTCTGGCACGCATCTTTATAATAATTGATCTGCATTTGTGTCGCAGAAGCAAAAGAGGCGGTAAGAACCGCGAGAAGTGAGGTGGTAGAGAAATGCATGGTCACTTATTGACTGATAAGTGATGGATAATCGATTTGTTGAAGTGATGTGCCGTTTGAATAAAGAGAGGCAGAGCTCGCGGTCCATGGCCAATTTATACCTGGATGAAAAGACTGAATCTCGAGATCCTTCCATATCTAACAGCTCATTAATTATAGTACCCCTGTGCTTACTGCGTCAACTGATGAAAAAAATGTATACATCCTTTCTTGAAGCTTCGTCACTTGTATGAACTCCTATTGCCCTACACCTATAGTATACCATGAAGTCTCGTATATATACATGAACTTCGGCAGCGCTAGGATGGCTATACGAGGGGCTCTACGGTGAAGACCGTACATATATCATGAGACACTCGGTAAGCTTATTATCATGCACCTGCAGTATAGGGAATAGCAGCCATGGTTCTGTCGTTGTCCAAATTTTCATCTCCACACGTTGAAGCAAACTAAAAAAACAGAGAAATTGATTGCTAGATACATCAGCTGTATGTAAATGAAATATGACACCGTCCCAATCCCCACGTATGCCATACATCTACTGCTGCATATGGGAAAAGAAAGAGAATAAGAAAGAAAAAGAAAGCTGACGGTAAACTAAAATTTTACCTAAATCTAGAGTTCAGGAGTTTACGATGCCCATACCCAAATCCCTGATTGTAAGTACCGGCGTTGAGTTAAAAGTTTGGTTGCAGATCTCCTGATTTAGCGGCTGCTTACTCCTTATAGCCTACGCTATCACAAATCTCATGCCGTATTTAGTCTGGCTTACAGGCTGTTACGATCCGAACCAACAAAAGGTACAAAGGAAAGGTACCTGGAACAACTATTGACAGAACAACCAATCGCAAGAAGGAGCGACGAGAATCGGCGCTCCCATGATTGGAGCGACTTACACGAACGCTCCTGATACTTCAAGGAGCGATGGGTTATAGCGCTCCCTATGGAACGACTGGATATATAAGATTCAACTCTCTACGCTCTTTAGATAACTTAGATAGACAGTCGTTAACAAAGCATCAAGATTGAATACAGACTGAATCTTTATTACATCTTACTCGCTTCGTGATTACATCTGCTCAAAGCTACTTCCTGTCCTCTCTGCCAACATAAACCAATTGACCTTGGCTTATTACCTTGGGAACTTACCCTATACTATTTGAGTATTGGGTCGGGACGTCACACAGGCTTAAGTATCAATCGCACAATTTACTGTAACGGGCTAGATGGCTGCTAAAGGTAAGTGGGACACTTTAAATCAAGACGTATCCAGTCGAAGTGTGGCGTCCTGATGCTGAATGCAGGTACGTTTGGGTAAGTCCCCGAGGTAATAAGCCAAAATGCTTAGATTAATAAGGTAAAGATGTTACAGAACACGGGAAATAATTTGAGCGGCTGTTATTACCAGTATAGAAGGTATGGCTCGTATTTAGTCTTGATGTTTTGACGACTAGCTGCCTACACAATCTTAAAGAGCGTATTGATTCGGACTTATATATCCCATTGTTCCTGGGCTATCGTCCGCTCTTATTTACTGGTGCTTGTGAGGATAAAGCTACGGGTATTTTCACGGTTCTTGGAGTACATATCGGTGTGAGACGCGGAGATCTTGGTTCGCTCATCGGCTGTCTTATCCATACTTTCTTCGGGTATGTACCTACTACTTTGGGTCAGGTCGTAATAATACGAAGCCAAAAGAATGCAATACTATTTCGTAATGACACTTTTGTCATCAGTGATAAATATGTTATATATAGCCTGTGTTATATATTCTGAATTTTCTCGCACAATTTACCATAAATAGCTGCGAAGTTGCTGCTCAGGAGACGGGGAAGTTTGGGAAGGACGACGATGTCAAGATATTAGACTTATATGCCTAAACATGCCTTCTGTATATCACATACGACCATAGGTAGAGGAAAGTTCGGGGTCCCGTCTGCTCCCCCATAGACAAGCCTCTAACCGGCAGATTAGTAGTTGAGTGGGTGACCATCAGCGAACACCGGCTGTTGTATGTTTTTTTTTGTCCTTTTTTGTTGCTCCCCTTCTTTCAACATCGAAACTCGTCAATGAATCACTCCTTCTGTGCCTCAATCAAGTAATTTGAAGAGGTCACAATCCTACGTGAAAGACTACATGTGGGTGGGGCTTACTGCCGTCGATGGGCCCCCCTATTTCGCTTCATGCATTGACTCAACAGAGGCATGAAGGTGAACATCCATGTATTAAATCCTTTTGATCTACTAGAGTATTATGTCAAAACTCTTCCGTATTAAGTAGATGATTTTAATAATGTCTTATCTTGGCTTATATAACGTCTGGTTGTCTGGAAAGCACTGTATGGGGGAACTTCTCCCGACACTCTCATATTTAACAACTGACTTAATTAAGAACGCTTCTAGATTCTAGTACATATTAATTATAACCTTCTATTTAACAGATACATGATCATAAACTCATTATATGCCATATATCGCGACCAACACCAAACGCCATTTCTTGCCCGATGTCGCCTCATCCCTCTCCATTGTAGCAGCGGCATCAAGGCTAGCACTTTGAATCAGCTACTCTGCAACCCTAAAGTGATGAGATATGACTCCAGCCAGCCGTGAGCTACGAAAAGAACCGCCTCGCCAGCCGCAGCCACAGCGCTCCGAGTGAAGTTCGTTACCGGAGCTGTCTCCCCTCGTTGGTTCCTATTTCATCCGTCCAACCCGGTCTGTTCCTTTCTCGCCCATTTCCCCTCTCGCGCACGGTTACACCATGAAAAGATTCTCACCAGTATCTACATCTTCCGAAGTGGCACCGAGCTATATTGACGTTGCTGTATCCAACACTCGCCCATCAAGGTGCCCATTCCACCATCTCCAACGATCTTGAGGCATTTCAAGGAGTTCCCTATCCTCACATCGAATCGACATGAATTCACCTCCGCTGGGCCAAAGCAGCTCCGTAGACATTGCCGCAATCACACAGCAAGTATCGTTTATGCAACTGCCAATAAAGATGTGCTCAAACTTCTTTGGCAGAGAGAGCACATTTGAGGAAATCGACCAAGTCCTCGGCCAGGATGGATCAGCAACAACTTTCCGATCTATAGTGCTGTTTGGTCTTGGTGGTATCGGCAAGAGCTCCATCGCCGCACAATATATTGAGAGAAATATGGAAGGGAAGAAGTATGACGCCGTATTTTGGGTCTATGACGGCGGCATCGTTGCGACAGAGCTTCACAGACGTAGCATTGCGGCTCAAGTTGCCTGGAGCACAGCCCAATCTACACAATGAGAACCTGCAACTAGTTCAGAACTGGTTTCAAACGACTGGTACGTCATTAGCCCCTGTGATTTCTTATCTTGGCTGATTTTCTATATGGCAGACTGCAAATGGTTAGTGGTTTACGACAATGTCGAGGATGATAACCTCTTAGAGCCATACTGGCCAAAAAGTAGTCATGGGACAGCTATCATTACCACTCGCAATCATAACTTGGTGCACAAATTTGCCACCTCTGGCTTGGAAATAACTTCATGGGATGTAAAAACCGGTTCCGAGTTTCTCTTGTTCTTGTTGAAGGACAACATAGGCCGCGATATACAATCGGAGAGACTCTCGGCAGTTGAACTTGCCGAAAAGCTCGGTGGTCATGCGTTGGGTATCTCTCACATGGCTGGTCTAATTCAACGTAGGTCTTGGACCATTGCCGAATTCATGCGCATCTATTTGAAAGATCCAAAGAGGCTTCATAAATCCGAGTTACAGGCGGTGTGGGATGTATCATTTGGTACTTTGGAAAGAAATAGTCGAGTTTCCTGGGAATTGCATCATTCTTGGTCCCAGACAACATGGCACAGGAGCTATTTGAGAACAGGCAAGGCCACGATCTCACAGATGATCTTGAGTTTTTCCTTGATGAGTTGGAGTGTGTCTGATCTCTTCCTTGAAAGAAGTTTGTCTAACCTCTACTACAGATTCTCTGGAGCGATGAAACCTCTCTTGGCTCTTGCCTTGATAAAATGGGACAGAGACGCTCGTATCTTCTGGTGCCATCGCATGGTGCAGATGCAATTCCGATCTTTCCTATCTCTAGAGGAGCGACAACAAGCATTCGACAATGCAGTGGTGGTAGTATACAACGCCTTTCCCAAGCAGTCAGACTCGGCAAACAAGAATCAATTGTACCATCAGTGGACTCAGTGCAATCGTTGCTTACAGCAAGTTCTTTATTTGAAAGACAATTTTAAGGAGGAGCGTAGATACTCGGAGAAATTCAAGGCGTCGTCGTTGTTCTGCGAGCTTTTAACGGACTGCCAAAGGTGAGATATTGCCTGCTACAATTTTGCGACAATGTACTAACTCAACATCAGATATCTCTACGAGATCAATGCATTTAAAGAGCTTGAGGACGTCTGCGAATTAAACCTCTTAGCTGTGGACACCCTCGACGATCAGGAACAAGCTATCGATATCAAGGCCTCGACATTGTCCCACCAAGCTAGCATGTATGAAAGCATCGGCAGGGTCGAAGACGCCATCGAACCAAACACCAAGGGCTACAATATGCGCTTAGAAGAAGAACCTCGCAAGGGTGGCCTCCTCGGCGGCTTTGAGCAGAACCTCGGATACAACTACAATACTGCCAACCAGCATGAAACAGCGCTCATGTGGTTTGAAAAGTCACGCGTTACCTGGACCGAGTGGAATGCAACGGAAGGCAGAGAATCGGACTGGCCTACGGTCACAAAGAAGAATACAGCGAGGTGTCTTGTGTATCTGGGGAAATACGAGGAGGCACAGTCATTACTCGACGCTTCAATTAGAGAGTTTCAGCAGGAGAAACCTCTCAACTGGGCTATGCTGGCTTTGTAGGTATAGTCTCTCGTTCTTTCACGCAACACGATTAACGTCTCTCGCAGCACATACTTTGTCCAAGGCATCCTTGAACGACGCAGAAACAGACCAGAAGCTGCCGAGGCCAATTTCATGGAAGCGCAGAATATGTGGTTCAAAGGTGATCAGACGCGCTTTCACCCGTTCAATGCAGGATGCATTTATAAGACGGGCGTGGTTTGCCTAGATCAGGGTAAGGTGGAGGCTGCCATGTACGTTTCGCTTCTCTCGCTTCTCTCCCTTTTCTATTCCCTTTCTTGCAATTGTCGAATCCATCCATCCATCAATCTCCCAAATTGCAACCCTATACTTTGTATTCTTCTGAGCTCGTCAACTTACCAACACGTGCTGTCAAGTAAACATCTCCGCGACGCCCTCGAGATCACAAAATTCCACAGCGATGCCATGCCCGTTGAGCACGCGCGTGGCCTGTTCAAACTCTCCGAGGCTTTAGTCCTGAACTCGTCTACGAATGAGAACGAGGACGATAACCACGAGAAGGAAGCACAAAATTTGAGGGATGAAGCGGAAATATATTTGCTCAGGCGGGATAAAAGTGCGACGCAATTTGGGAACGAAGATGCCTATGATAGATGGGTGCCGATTTTCTGGCGGTAAGCAGTTTGATAGGAAGCCTACATAAAAAGGCAAGGGGGGATAGAAATACGAATATGCCTCTTTAGTACACTATGTCCACCAATTCTCCAACTTTCAGATGTCCCTCTCAGCCCACGACAGGATAATACCCTCGTTAGTCTCCTCGTATACCTTGACTTGAACACTTTCACCCGTGAGAAAGGTATTTGGCTGCACAAACTTCCACTTCATCTTCGGTTTCGACACAACAATCTTGCGCCATTCTTCATACACGCCCTCAACTGCGCACAAGGGCTCGTAGAACTTGCTGCATGCGGATACATCGGCGGTGCAGCGCCAGATGTGTAGCTTGCAGAGATATGAACCCAGAGTTTGTTTACCGTAGGAAAGGAATTTGGACCGGTCAACATTTACTGTGAGAGATTGCTGCGTGGGGTTATGCGCGATGGAGATGACTCCGTCCGCGTCTTGTAGGAGGTGTTTAAGAATGGAGAAGTAGGCCTAGGTGAGGGTTAGTTAGATAGAGGTGTCTGAGATGGAGGTTATTTTACGCATACCTGGTGGTGGACTTGGCCTCAGGCTTGGTCTTGGATGTTGTAATGCTCGAGCGCTTGCAGACCATCGACGCCAATGTTGAGATATGTGGCGTAGAGAACTGCGATTGATGAGAATCAGTGTCATATTGTGCATATACATTAGGCAGTTTAGACTTTTGCAACGTACGGTCTTCAGCTGTGATGCTACTACTGTCAGAGTAGCCAAACATGCTCAACAGATGCTTATTGTCCATGAAATACATCGACATCAAGATTGCACGACATTCTTCAACTGTTCCTGCCAGCTTCCCAAACACACTTCCCCACGTCTGACCGGGTAGATAGTGCGAAGTTATGGCTTCTCTGGTGAGAGGGCTAAATGGAGGATTCTGCTTGTCAAAGTTGTAGGTTCCTGGCGAAGTCTCGCTGAGGAGCTTGCCTGTGCCATGGCCAATCAATTCGTGAATAGCAGTGGCAAGAAATCTCACAATGTGCGTCGTTTCCTTGAAAAGCTTGAGCTCGGATGAGTCAACCCAGTAACAGGGAAGGTCAGGGTTGTTGTTGACGCTGAGGCGATTCGCGAGGACAATATTCTTAAAGCCATGGGTCTCTCGGATGTATTCGTACTGTCAAGATTAGCTTACTGCCGGCTAACAAGAACTAAAAAAATACAAAAAAAAAAAAAACACAAACTCACATTCGGGAGATTGGCAGCTTCGAAGACGATGCTGCCACACACAGCCAGCGCTAGGAAAGTTAGTGTCTCCTTTTCCATTCATAGAGGAGGGCGGAGGTAGAGCAGGTGGGTAGAACAGAAGAAGCTATATCACCTGGTAACTAACCATGGACACTAGTAAAGTCTGGAGCCTCAAATAGACTCTTCTCAAATGGTCCTTTGTCATCATTCACGCCCTCGACCGCCCATGGCAGCTGTCGAATGAATGTAGCTGAGCTATTGACAAAGGTTTTCAATTTCTTGATTTCATCGGCATCGGCAATGCCTATCATAGCCTCCCACTCAGAACGGATCCCAGCCGGGTCGCGGTAAGGCTCGATGAAGCCAAGTATGTTCTCGACTCTGGCTGATACATCCGTCACCCAAGCCTTTTGCGATTCCTGGAAGGCTTCTAGGCTGCCAGTGCGAAAGCATTCGATGTAATGTGTCAAGAACTCGGTCTGTTTATCATTCCCTGCATACTGCTTTGCCATTTCTAAATCAGAGCAGATCTTGGCCAATTCCTCTGAGTGATCTCCTCGGACAAGGAAGACGCCATCTGCTAGTTCGTTGTCGCCATTCTTGGGTAGATGAGTTTCTGCAGATGCTTGCAACAGCTGCAACACAGGCTTGCCATCCTTGAGCACCTTTCGAACGCGGGTATTCTCTGGGCCGATTGACTTTTTGTTCATGATGTCCGAGACTTTGGCGATGTCATCCCTGGTGATGGGTTCCTCGGTAGGGTAGTAGCCCGACTGTGTATTCTTGCCAGGGTATCCGAGGCTGAACGGCGGAACTGCCAACAAAGGATCGATGATCTTGTCCAGCCCAGCTTTCGTCTTTGGGGAAACTCCAGCGAGCTTCCCGAGAGCTTCTGCTGACAGGTCAGGGACGAACTTCTAGTCACCTTCTCCCTAATTAACCGTTCATCGTCAGCACCAGAAGACGCAGAAAGATCATAAAGACGTAAAAAAAAGCGTATTGAACTCTTGACTTACATAAGAATTGCCCAAGTTGCAAAGGAACGTGGCAGCATACTCGAGAAATAAAGTCAGCTCTTCAGGCGTGATGTTGCACTGCGCTACCAAGGTGTCCCATTTCCCATCACAGGCATGGTAGAGATCCATGATAAAATCGAAGATGTCGGGGCTTTCTGGTGACACCTGCCTCATAATGATCCTGCTTCCATGCCATGCTGCCCGTGCAAGATGGTGGGCATACAACTTGTCGCGCTCATCGAGGGCATCGAATATGGTCTTGATCTTAAGCTGATGGATTGTAGCGCCGAGAGGCGGAGTATGGGAGCTCTCGGCCGAAGACATGGAGATGTTTGACGAAGAAGAAGCGTGGCAAAACAGTGATGAAGCTGAGCAGGATGGTTTCAGAGCTTCGGAATGAGGAGAGCTGTGATGCCTACTATTATGTAGGGACATGCATCCCGGTCTAGGAATAATCGTGATCCGGCATGGTCCAGGCTTTCCAATCCAATTCACCTATGGCCTCTGTAGAGGTTGGTGCGAGCATGACCTAAGATTTACCTGACTCAACCTGTGTCTTTAATACCCTATCCCCCACCCATAGGTAGGTACATGTACGAGGGAAGACCAGTTTCTAGACGGTGTTGGTATAAGAGATTCTCACTGTGAACCTATAGCTCAATAACTTGGCCAAACTACCCAGACAGGATCGTTCTGGCAGACTATAGAAGGTAGCGACAATCCTCGAGAACGAGATGCGCATTTTTTTTCCCCAAGATCGAAAGACCACTCAACGAACAACGCAGCATAAAAGCAAAGAACCTCCACAGCAAAAGACGAATCAATGGCCGAGCAAACATTGAAGTCGCAAAACAGCCACGATGACTAACGGCGATAAGAAACAGATCGCAAACACAATAGCTATAAGAATCAATATAAAAATGCAATAAAGTAACTTTGTTGGGAATGGAAGGGCAGAAGATAGAGTTTTGGGGTGGAAGTTGACGTTCGTCGTGCTTGGGTATGTTGTAAATTCATGGCACGAACACCACTATACGACAATCGCTGTCCTAGCTTTGTTTGCGCTTATTACACGTTCTCTGCCACAGATTTGACACAAATTCATAGTGTTTTGTTCGAGGAATACAGCTAGGGAGATAGGCTAATGGCGCTAACAAGCTTGCAGGATAAAGTGTGATGTCTATTTCAGTAAAGGTTTGGCTCTTCACTGATACCGTGTAAGAAGAGCAACTGTCATCCCAATGGGTGAGTATGCAATTATGATAGAGGCTTGTCAGATTCAAAATACGGTAGGCGGGAATGGCGGAGCTAAGCACGATTGATGCAGTATTTCTTCCTAAGTCCGGACTTGTTTTCACGCCGGATCTTGCTCGGAGCCGCCGCTATTTGCTGTCTCCCCCAGTCCACAAGAACGGCAGAGTGAATCTACGCACCGCTTTGGGATAGGTATACTACAACAGCCCCTCTCTTTGCTCAGTGTAAGAGATCAATTCGCTAGAGTCGCTAAATTCGTCTAGCTACCAATCTTGGTTAAATCCAATGGAAGAAGTCAGTCTTTAAAGTTCCGCATGCATGTATATTGTTCAGTCAAGAAATAAGCAGACGCGTCCCTGTTATTTACAAAGACACTTCCTTCGCAATAAATCGGAACGCATCACGTACGAGCTCAAATAACGGATCGTCCTTTGCCAGCTTTGCGTCAAAGTTATGGCCCTGGCCCTCTGCGACCACGAGCTTTGACTTTACATTTTTGGCTAGCAATTCCTCGTGAGCCATTGTGGAAATTTTGGCATCACACATCTTATCCTCTGATCCATGAACCAAACACGTTGGTGGGAAAGCACTTGAGAATAGTTTTGCAGGATCAACACGCGCATAGTCGCCGTCTTGCACTATAGCCGAAAGCCATGTCCCGTCTCTAAAATGAGAGAGAAGCCACGCGTTTCTTGGCTTGGAAAAGTCTGGTTCCGGGGGCGAATCACCTTGAGCCTTCTTGAACAGCGAAGGTGCCGATACGACTGTCCCTTCCTCATTAATCTTGTCTAAGAATTCATGTGGAAATTTGGGAAGTTTGGAAAATGCAGGCATTGGCGACTGCCAGAAAGCGTCGTCAAAGTACATTGCTGAGTAGAATGCCAATATTGCTTTGGGGGGATTTTGCGCCGCACCCTAAACTCGGAATATTATTAGCACTTTTCTTGAACGCTAGGGTTAAGTGCGAAAGCAATAATTTATCGGAACAGACAGAAGAAGGGAGTTTGTCTTGCAATTTTACCAACACTCACCAAATGCAATGCCATAGTTCCTCCCGCAGACAATCCTATAACAGCAACTCTGCCACCATCAGCCATAATACTGACGTTAGACAACAGCCTGGGAAGGTCTTTTTGCACCCATTCATAACAGCTGTATGCATCACTGATTGGACCCTGATATAGAGATACAGATGGACAGTGACGGTAGTTAGGCACCACAACAACAAAGCCAAGCTCTAACACAAGAGTCTCGATCTCGTTTTTAGACACGAGTTCTTTTGATCCAACAACGAAGCCACCGCCGTAGAACATGATTACTATGTCGAGTTTAGTGTTCAGCACTTATTCACTGATAAAGAGGACAGGCATACCGATAGGCTGCGCGCCATCGACCGGTGCTGTTGCAGAAGATGCGTAGTAAACATCTGCCGTCAGATGAGACTCTCCTTCGAGGCTTCGATACGTGTATTCTTCCGATTCCATGGTCATGCGTAATACTCCGAGAAAATAGACTCCAACCAAGGTGAGACCAGGCTACTTCAAATCTAGATCATAGATGGAATCACAGGATGAGAAAGCCGTCAGCATCAAATGACCTAAGGTGAATCAAGGGGTATTTCAGAATCCGCGAGACTTTGGCATAACCATGCGTGCAATCTCTCTTTGCGAATGCCGAGACTTCCACAATTCGCGTGATGGCGTAACCACCTCGACTCCGAATGACAAGCAAATATCGGCTATATGTTAATAAGATAATAAAAGAAAGAAAGACATTGGTTTCAATGATCAGACGTAACATCTAGGGTGGCGGGTCGGGCATCGTGTGGCGGGTCGTCGCAATTGCTACCACAGCAACTCCGAGACCAGATCCGGCAGATGCGCGCAAGTCTCAGACCACGGAGACGACATCAATAACTGTCTCCACGTGAAGTTATCTCTAGGTCGAATTGATAAGGCGCATATATATTTTGGAATAATAAGGTTACTCGAGACGCAGTCTTCGAATTCTTTACTGTGATATTAGCATTACGACAAATTTAGAAAAAGAGCTAATCATGGAGCCAAGCAGTACTCAGCCTCTGCCAATTACTAAACTCAGAGCTGCCCTCAAAGGTTCATTCGCTCTGACGCCTGACTCAGAAGGCTACGAAGCAAGCTTACACAGATGGTCTGAAGCTGCTGAAAAGAGAGCGGTAAGTCATCAATTGATCTATATAACAAACATAAGGCTAACATTAAATTTATGGCTAAGGCAGTTGTTGTGCAAGCAAGATCTGCTGAAGATGTATCCACAGCGTTACTATTTGCTCAGGAGCATGGTCTAGAGGTTGCAGTACTTGGTGGGGGACATTCAACCTCTGGATCATCTTCGACCGAGGGTGGTCTTCTTATTGACCTCACCAAAATGCGACAAGTAACGGTCAATCCCTCTGCAAAGACGATCAAAGCTCAAGGAGGAGCCATATGGGAAGACGTCGATTTAGCTGCGGCTCAGTATGGTCTCGCTACAGTTGGTGGAACCGTTAATCACACTGGAGTCGGCGGCCTTACATTAGGCGGAGGCTATGGCTGGCTGAGCGGCAAATACGGCCCAACAATTGATAACTTGGTTGAAGCTGAGATTGTCCTCGCCGATGGTCAGATCATGACAACGTCTGAAAAGGAAAACCCCGATCTCTTTTGGGCCATTCGCGGAGCTGGCCAAAGCTTTGGTGTTGCAACTAGCTTCACTTTCCGTGGTTACGAGCAAAAGAATCCCGTATGGGGAGGTCTGTTAGCCTTCGACACCTCTGCTTTGGATAAAGTGGTTGATTTCGCCAACGAGCTCGTTGAAACGACAAAAGGCCAGAGCGCAATGGTGGTGGGAATTGGTGCGCCTGCTCCGACTCACGAAGTTCGTCTTCTAACAGTCCTCTTCTACGACGGCAATGAAGAGGAAGCAAGAGCATACTATGATGCTCTATTCAAGCTCGGCCCTGTTGTAGACAGGACATCGGAAACGACATATAAGCAAGTCAACAGCATGCTTAATGGAGTATCGACACATGGCGACCGCAAGACGCAAAAGGGCTCTGCATTTACTGTTCCGCTACCTCCGGCTCTGGCACAAACTCTAGTCCAAGACTACGCCAAATTTATCAACGAAGTGCCAGATGCGAAAAAAACCATCATCTTGATGGAGTATTTTAGCCAAAAAATGGTGACCAAAGTGGCTCAGACGGCTATGTCCTTTGCCAATCGCGGGTCCCATTATAACATTCTCTTTAGCACACGATGGACAGGAGCGCAGAACGACGCCATCTGTCGAGAATGGACTCGTAATATGGGCCGTAAAGTCACAAATGAGCTGACCAAGACTAAAAACAATGAAGGCGTTGGAGAATACGGGAATTATGATGGTACGTGAACAAGCACGCTCGTTGAGATAATGTTTTGTACGTCTGACTCAAATTTTGCGTCGAATAGGTGTTTCTTCTTCATCAGCTCAAGATATCTTTGGCGTGAATTATGAAAGAGTTCTGGAGTTGAAGAAGATGTACGATCCCAAAAACATCTTTGCCAAAGGAGCAGGTAAATTTAGTTTTTGAAACAGCCCTTTCATGAATGGAGACGTGCCGCGTTCGTGTTGCATTTAGCATTTAAGCCATCACAAACGACCATTTGTGTATTTTTTTGGGAACAATGCCTCTCTACTATGGACCTGGTGAAAAATTAAAATGACAATAAAAGCACAATCATCTCTTCGTAGCCTTCAAGGAGGAAGCAGTACCGTAACTTCTTAAAAAGGACAGAATTGAAGGGAATTGTTTAAATACAGTCTTTAAAACATTGCAACTGTGGGCAGAATTCCTGTCAAGAGGCTACTCAGGGTTCAGCGTCTTCCAGCTCTGCCATGCTTAGCTCTGAAAATGGAACAAGGGTCGAATAATATGGAATTAACGCAGGGGGAACAACGCCTGTGTGGCCCTCTTATACAGGCAGCACTGCTGGCGCTCATTTTCCCCTCCCAGGTTGCACCACTGGGGGGCTTTTCGCATCCCGTTGCCACAAATTCTTCGCTTTAAAACACCAGGTAGGCTTTTATTCCAAGGTCCAAACAGGCACACCAGGCAGCAGTGGGTTATTAGCACGATAATAGCACCAAATCATCACAATCACATGACTACGCGCTGGGCTATTTAGTACGATGAACAAGATGTTAGTTCAGCTTCGCGTTCACGAGCTGAGGTCCATATTGATTCAAGATGTCGCGCCTTTCAGCTCTTCCACAAGAATTAACCATTCAGATCTTCCGACTCCTCGAAATCGGTGACAAAGTTCGCATCAGTGCAACTTGCAGACAACACCGAGCTCAATTGGCGCCAGAGATCTTCAAAACAATTCGCCTCACCAACAATGAGAGGATTGCACAGTCCGTACTGGGCGCCATCGAGGCTTATGGCGAGTACACAACTCGTATCGAGTTTACAGCTCATTGTGAGCCCAATGACGAGATAACGACACCTGCTCTCCCGCCAGCCGCAACCAAGATCATCCAAGGTCATCTCACTCCGAATCTACGCACCTTCAGTCTCAAGTTTGACTTTGACTTTGACGACGGCGAAGAGTGGGATTCGGAGCATCCAGATGCCGGGATGGGAATGTCAATATATATATTCGAAGGCGTGGAAACTGAAGAACACATCCGCGAGAGGGAAGAGACATGGCAGTGGCGGGCCCTCATGAACGAGACCTGGAGGGCCCTGGCAGCCAATATCCACGTGAGGGAGCTTATCGTAGATGAGCTAATTCCCAAGAGAACATCGGCTTTCCTAACAGAAGAGTTTCGTCAATTTCTCTCTCGTTTAGAGACTGCATCATTTAAGATATTCGGCATGGATAACGGCGCAGGGTGGAAGACCAATACAGTGTGGGGTGTTATTGACTTCCTTGAGAAAATGGATACTACCTTTTTCCACCACATGACGGGACTCAAACACCTTGCTATCCATGCGGCAGATCCCCTCGGCTCTCAACCAATGCGCCAAATCCAGCTTTCGCTTATGCCCGAGGATCTTCCACTATTGGAATCGTTGAAGCTGACGAGGTGTTTCGTTGGTCCAGAGCTGGTCTCGTTTATAGGCGGTCATCTAAAAGTTCTCAAGTCTCTCGATGTCAAGGAATGTGTTGCTGGGGGTGAGGAGCAACCCTATATGGAAGATGACTGCTCTTGGGCGCGTTTCTTTGATGCGGTATACGAGGCAAACCCCGCGCTTACCGAGTTAATTGCCGGCGGTGGTGGTAATGTACCACTCACGACTGAAGAGAAATATAGCCCCAATTATCAGTTCGAGGATGAACCTGAAGACATCCAGGAAATTCGCCGAAAACTCAAGGCCGACCCAAGGCTGCGATTATTTGGATATGGGGGGGTAGACGAGAAGTATGGCATGTTCTTCCTAGATGAGGACACGAATGAGGAGGAGTTCAAAAGTGGCGAAGACCAGAGAGCATTTGATCGACTCATGGGCCTTGTAAACGAGAATGCTACAAAGGCAAAGCAAGGAATGACCTTGGTTTACGAGTAATTCTCTTGATATATAGATACTCTCGTCTACATATTAAGCGGCGGTTTGGTTAACAAGTCCTATAAAGCTTCAGAATAGGTTAAGAAACACGATTCTGTTTTCAGACTTGAACAATGTCCGTTACTGAAGATAATAAGCCAGAGCTTAGACCGCAATATAGAGTGGTTACATGATCTACACTGTAATAACAGAGTCAAGTCACCAATTATCACGGATAATATTAATCAGGGTCAAATAAGACTTTATTTTTACTCTTCAGCTATAGTGACTCGTCCTTGCATTTCTTCACCTGGTCTCCCACACGAGTTTGCTTCTGAAAAGGCATATGGAACCAATGCTCTTCAAAATCCACCTCTTGCCCAGCGTGTGATATTCCTCCGCCAAGGTTTGATAGAGTCAATTGGCTCCGAAATTTATTCGTAGTTGACAGTCACCGAGCTGCCAGAGACGCTTGTTCCAGTTATGATGTTTCCTCTCGAATCCTCAAGGTCAATAATAACCGCAGACCCGCTGCCTGGTGAAACAGTTGCTCCGTTGATGAGGGCGCTTGCTCCGGTGAAGGTAACAGACCCAAAGTCAGCAAATGGAACCAATGAGCTGCCGGAGGTGAAGTCCTCGACAATCCATTCAGCGCTTGTACCGGGCAAGGGCGAGCTTTCCCTGGAAAAGGTATGGGATACAGTCCTTCCACCGCTCGACAACGTCGTGACTCCGCTGTTAGTGCCAGTCTTGGTGGCAGTAACAGTAACAACATCTCCAGCACTGACAGAAATTCCCGAGTATTCGACCAATGAAGCGGGGAGATACTCATACCAGGCTTCGTACAAGTATTCACCACCTTCGACGCACCAGAGGACGCCAGTCTGGATGAGATCGGCATCAGAGTAGCCATCAATTCCTACCCATGCAGCACCACAGTATTCATTGCGAGAGCTGCCGCCAGCTGGAACGCTGGGCTGGGGAACAGTGAAGGTGCCGGTGACCTCGGTAATGCCTGAAGTTGTGATAGCAGCGCCTGCCCAGTTGGTAGACTCCACGTCGGCAGTTCCATTGCCAATGTTCGAGCCGGCTTGGAATCTATTAGAGCGACGAGCAGCGGCCCTGGCGCGGATAGAATCCATAGCTGCCTGCTTGCGAGCAGCAAGAGGAGACGCCAAGGCGGCAGAGGCCACCAAAAGGACGTTTGCGACTAAAGTGACGGACTTCATCTTGAATAACTGTGAATGAGGTTGATAAACTCAGACCGATGAAGGTTGTGCAAGGTATATAGAGAAGTTTATGAGTCGAAGCGTCTGTAGATGATAGACTGTTGTCTAAACTGTTTCTACCCGTGCTTGGATCTGAGTTGAAGAGGTTTCACCTGGGACTTTATATACTTGCAATCTCTAGGTCCTCGGTATACACTGTCCCGACTGATCCGTCAATAACCCTCACTTTTGCAAATAATGACTCGAAGACGCAATCGTGGGGGATAGTCAAAATAGGAATGTATGATTTGCCTTTTAGCGAGAGGCCATTTATCTAAACTTCAAGATATCATTCCCACAGCTACACGTCATTAGCTGCTGGGCCGAATCAGGAGTAGAGTGATCTTTTTTTAAAAAAAAAGAAAAGAAGAAACTATCATTATCGCAAGACTCACGAGTGTCCCGTTCTACAACCTGCCTATTATAGAGAACACCACCGATGACAGTGCATTGAATGGTGTGGTAAATAGTAGAAACATCATGAAGAAATAGAGACGCCAAGATTGAGGTTCGGCTAGCCTTGCCGGCGAGGGTTACAGGAATATACGTTTTGGTACTTAACTTGGTCCCGAACTTGGTGGAGAAATTAGTCTTTGATCATAATATATGGAAACACGATCATGGGGTTCCATAACTGGCATGCATTTCTGTAAACAATTCCTTTATTTATTTTATTTAGTCTTAGTACAGGTTAGTGTCTGGTGCGTATTACCGGCAGCAGGCCCATCTATGCCACATAAAGCGCCTATATATATCATTTGTTCATCTAGTGAGCAACTGGATCAAGACGTGCTCTTTTGTCATTTTAACGCAATAGGTAGTAGCTTCAACCACCGTTAGGATCCCTCAGAAATCAACTAGTTCTATCTCAACTCTTCATCAAGTAAAGCCGCGTAACGGCGGGTGAAGTAAAGTGCAGCTTCCTCTTTTGCTTCTTTGATAAGAGGAAATATTAACGCTAATTCCGAATTCTCTTGACGGGTAGTTACTGCAGTTGTTCTCTCGCATAGCAGCATTGAATACCCCTGCAACCGCTCTATATACTGATATTTTATGTCTTCTTTGGTAAAGGCTGAGAGCAACTCATTTTTGCATGTTACTTTAACGAGCTAACGCCACTATAAAGCTGAGTAACGCCATTACAAGGTGGGGTAAATAGCTATGAGAAGCGTGGATGATGTTATGTAGTAACAACGGCTCGGAAATAACGTGGTGCAATGCTACCCCATAATCAACTTCAACCCGGTACACACATCTCTTTCAACAAGCATGTGATACCATCGTAATTACCATCTCCCATAGCTAGCAGCAGGCTCCTTCCTGTTACACTCCCAAGCCGATCCATCTGCATATGGTTGCTTGCATGGGGGCTTGAGGAACGGAGAAATAACTTGGACATTAGGATGTGTCAAAGAAGGGTTAAGTCTCCTATCTCCTATTCCCGTTGTTCGAATGCTTCATGACGACGCCAGATGAGACTTTGATGTGCATGTATAGCTCATTTACTGAGTTTTGATGAACATGAAGATTCGATGTTCTATAGTTGCATCTTTAAACTAATATTAGACTCTAAGTCGCCACTTTTCTGCACTGTTGTATCCGCTGTTGATCATATTTCCCTTCCCTGAACAAGTCAGATTTTCATCTATAAAAATAAGTTTATCCTCTAGCTACCTTTGTCTTCTAACGTTTTCTCCTTCTCTCGGCTGAGAGTGAAACCTTGTTCCCATTGTGTTGCAGATTGTACTTGAGGGCTATCTAAGAACCCTGGTCTCCTCCCTTGTCTAGATCATTCACCCTTGCAGTGGACTGCGGCAAGATGGAGATCTTGACTGCATCGGGCGACCGCGGGTCGGCATGTTAGTCCGTAATGGACATCTCCAACGGATCAGTCGGCATTCTTCAAGAGCAACATGAATCGGGACCCCGGGTCCCATTCCCCGCGATGAAGCCATCTAAGCGAAGCAAATGAGCAAATATTCGCTTCAGGCGAGCTTTGAGAGGCGCACCAATGGCCTTCTTTTTCTTTGAGGAGACCTGAAGACGAACCGTCTCATGCTGCCATTTAGATGCCTAACATGATCTATAGCAAATTATCAACTATACCGGGAGCTTGGGTATGAGTCTTTATTGTGAAGCCTTTGTTGAATACGTCGGTCAAGGTGGCACTCTCCGTGGGCGCCACAACCTGCTTTAACCAGTGGCTTTTTAGATATCGGTAACGCTCTGGAACTCCTCGTTTGTGTTTGGAATACTACCTTGGAGGTAAGGTGTGCTACTGGTGCGGAAATTCTCAAATACATAGAGCAGATTCGAGTGGTAACTCGCTAATAGACAAGGTTATCCACAACTTCAAATGATATCATTTTGACATACGATACATCTGCATGAATCGATCGTTTTTTTGATGGTGTAGTTGTGTGAGTTGCCGCTTTATTTAATTCGCTACATGGATCATGTGCCAGTCAACGGCATTAGGAGTGTTCATGCTTGTAGAAATGAACTTCTTTGTTGATGTGAGTTTCAATCAAAAGGGAAAGAAAGAAGAAGAAAAAAACATATTCGTCAAAGACGAGTTTGTTGTTGAAATGGCTTTCTTCTGGTATGACGAAGTCTGTGTGTCAATCACGCTTACCGTAGGTGATGACCATGGCCAAGCTCCCTGCATCGAGTCTTTCCACATTATCTCTAGGCTGCTGATGGTTGTTTCTCATATCACGGTATGGTCATTGCTGTTCACACCGCGATCGCCAGGGAAATCTTTGATGTCTTGAGATTGGCTTGGCTGAGGGTAAGATCGCAGATCCCGTTAGCCGTGTTGGCTGCAGTGAAAGGTGGTGCGTCCGCACTTTAGAAATTGGATCAGTCACCTTCTCTCGCATCAGATCTTTTTCTTGAGTATGCGCCATTTCTTAAGTGGGTTTATGATAGCGAATAGGAGGGAGAATGAGTTCAGGTTGTTTATTAAAGTAAGAAACAGGCTGGTGAGGGCTCGCAACCATCAAAAGGATCAAGATCTCAATTACTGTTCTTGTTTATTGGCATAAAGCATGGCCTAGTCAAGTGAGCGGCCAGCTTTCTGGCTGGCTTGCCTAGATAGCCTGCTGGATGCACTAGCAGGGAATGCCACCCTGGCAGATAATTTGCCCGTAGATACATAGGCAGTATTGTATTTCGCAGGATCTCTAAGCCTGTGCTGGTTCAAGTACAAGGTAGCTACATATTTCACGAAAAAGAGTAAGGAGTGTCATTACGAAATTCTCTGAACGAAGCGCTGAAAATAGTAAATCACACGGGATAGGATTCTTGGCATTGTATAGATTTGCATCGACAATGCTCCATTGTCTTTGAGTGCATGCATATCCAAAACTCTGTACCTAGTTAGGTAACGCGGGTCGTCTTCGATAAGCTGAAATGCACCTTCAATGCATGCGGGGCATCAATTCAGCTGCCAACACATTTCAGCTGCATACTTTCAACCAAACATCAAATTCCTTCGATTCACAGTCCGTTATGTTTGGTCAACTCAAGGTCGGTATGCTTTATTCCAGTCGATAGTGCGGCAACGGGCTGTTGATTCCACACTTGGCAGCCACGAGCTGGCGCCACAGAAGCAGTATTAATTTAAGCATATATAGATATATATCAGCTTCATAACGACAAAAGCCTTCTTTTTGTAAAGGGAAACTGTCCAATTCAAAAACCAACTACTAAACTGCAGCCTGTTTTAGCCGATGTTGGTCCTCCTTTGCCGTTCGCATGTGTTCGTTGCGCTAAGTTGATGTAGTAGACGCAATGACTACCGTCGCTTCCACCGCCAACGAGACCTCAGCCTGGAAGTTACGGCTTCGAGGTGCTCAGTCTAAGGCTAAGGCTAAGGTTCAAGAATCTCAAGGCAGCATCAACATTACGGCATACTTGGCCAACCCTGAGTCCTTTGGCGTTGACCATCAGAGTCTTCACAGTGCTGAAGATGGTGTTGAGAAACTGAAACAGTACGCGGGAAAGCTAAAGGAACGTTTGGCATTACTCCGTGCAAACCCTACCTCTGATGACAAGTTTGAACCCATCACCAGGGCCCTCATTGAGGATCATCAAAACCTAAGTGACGATCTCAAGGCCGTCACAGATAAGCTTCAGGACGACAAAGTGGACAAGCGAACGGCCATGGAGACGATGAGAGAAGCTCGCCAGCGAGCAAAGAAGCAGTCTATCAATAGTATCGATAGGTCATATGATGACGCTGTTGAAATCACTGATCATCAACCAGAAGATCAACAAGAAACGGTAGCTGATGTGTGGGTACTCATCTACGATCAGTTTCTAAGATTCACTGATAAAATTTTCAATCTTTTCTTGGACATGCATAACGCTATTTCGCAGTGGCTTGAAGATGTCTGGGAAAAGGTCAAAGAGGTGTGGAACACGATGAAGGGGGTTTTCGTGGAGATATGGCAATGGTTCAATAACTTATCTGGTTAAGGTATAGTAGAGATTGCTATTCACAATATCGCCTGGTCACCCGGAGTGGGATCGCTAGCTAAAGGTATAAGGTGACTCTTAGCTCCATCTGTTTATTCTCTATTGGGTAGAGAGTTCCCGTAGTATAGCAATCAGAATATAGTTACACATGTATATGATATCTATTGAACTTATAGCAAATAATTCTTCAATATTCCCATTCCTTCATGACTGGATTGGCTTCAATTTCATTGTCAAAGTTGGGGAGGTTTCCTGAATGACACCACGGTTTAATGGTCATCTCCTTACGAATGGTCCCAGAGAAAAACGTAGACCACTTCAATCGGGGGTGAGCCTCGTTGATTTGGGCGACTGTAGTATGATGCAACAGCTGGCCAAAGTTCTTGACATGGGGGTGAACGCTTGTGTTATCGTACGTTGTGGCAAGCTGAATTAGCTGGCCGAGATACGCAATCTCTCCATAAATTCCCATATCCTCATGCCGAATAATGGCTTCTGAAACAGCCTCTGCCTGGTCCTTGGCGACTCCAAAATCTTTGAGGACCTGCAGAGCCTTGATGCCACCGTAGATGTCAAAAGACATTCTGGTGGCAGTCAAGAATTCCTCCGCAGTCCCAATATCGTGGAGCAAACAAGTAAGAGCCCAGGTAACAGGGTTTAACCCAGCAGCTTGCTTTGGAAAATACTGCTTGGTGATGGCCATTCCTTCAAAAGACGTATTAGCACGCAACCAATATACCTGAACGGATACTTCAGTGGCATATATTACACACCAAAGTAATACACTCTCATAGAATGATTGAATGTCTGAGGGTGGAGAGTTGCTTTAGCGTAATCAATAGTCTTCGCTACTGCTTGGTCGCTGGATGGAAATCCGAGCTCACTGATGGAAAGGGGTGATGGTTCAATGGTGGACAGCTTATCACCAAAGAGAGTCCCGGCATGCCTGGGAACGCTAGTCCAGCCATTGGAAGCAACCTCGTCTTGACACATGTTTGAGACTTGATATGAGTTGTGTGAGACTGAAAAGAGACAAGAAATTGTTCAACTGTGATGAAGGGAGGGAATGTCTAGAACGGCAGAGGCGAGCAGTTTGCTACTTTATAGTTTCTCTTTATCATCCCTCCGCCATTCCTAGATATGTCAAGACCCGATTTACAACTCCTTATCAGACAATTTATAATTTGCTCATAATCTCTTCGTGAAAAGTCTCATGCCGCGCGGGTGTAAGGAGAATGCAGCTCGCTCTGGAGAACTTCATGTACGACCGCTATCGCTCCACTTCCTATTCCGGTAGTTATTTTACGTGGGGCAAGTCAGATACGACCTTGAGTGGCGGAAGATAATAAACTACGTCATGGGACCGACTGAAGCTGACTCGCTCGATAAAGCCAAGCCGTTCTTACATCTTCTGCTGGTAGGCTCCGATGTTTTATTACTAGAAGAACTCCGATATAAAGCGCAGTGCACCAATACTATTTAGCCAAGAGTAGCGCCACTACTACATTTGAGGTCTTGCTGCTGCAAGTATGTGTACCTTTTTAAGCCAAACAGACAAATGCAGCTAAATGAAACCGGGGTTCCCATTGTTCATTCATGTCCGGTGAGATCTAGCTCTTCTGCTATTATTACTATTACTACTCTTATTATGATTGTGTATTTCTAGATAGAATACGCTTATCGAATCTTTCAATTACCCTAGTCGCTCGATTTTCTTCTCTCAGCAAGGCGACTCGTGTTGTACACCGGAACGCGAAAGGGTAATACATCTTGACAAAGCTCATGACCCAACATATAAAACCCAGCCAGAGATGCAATAAATCCGAATGCGCCCCCTGCTTTCATAAGGCTGGTACTGGTCGCAACATTACCATCTGCCCTTACAAAGTGCGCTATGCAGTTGAAAATATATGAAAGCTCCAATCCACCATATATAATAATATTAGGGCCACCGCTGTATCAAATTTAGCAGTGTTCCAGAGGTGTTTGTTGGACAGGCTCTTACGTTGGCAAAGATGCAATGAAAAAGAAGAGATTTAGTACACACCAAACTATGTAGACATCAGGTTCTCAGTCAGTGCGCTCCTTGAGATAGGAATATGACTTACCAAGCTGATAAATCCCAAACGCATTGTAATACTCAGCTGTCTGGCCTTGATATGACTCGAAAATGCCCATCGAAGGTAATATCAACACTCCGTAACCGCCGTAGTATAGCCCTATCCGAAGATGCCAGGCGTTAGTCTCAGTAAGCCACGAAAACTCCGAGGGGATGTGTTCACCAAAAGCTGCCAAAACTGTATATTCGAATGTGTTTCCCCTGACCATTTCCCACTGCGCCGAGATCAAGAGCCCAAGTCCAGCGAGAAAACAGAGGTTTGCTACAAAGACGGATTGGTTTGACACTCCGCGGAAGCCCATGGCAGACAGGGACAAAGCCATTAATGTGGCTGCAAAACTGCCAAAACCCAATGCACTCTATAGTATATATTAGCGGCCTATCATAACCTTGTGTTGAAAGAATGTTATAATTTGAAAGCTGGTGGATCATACTGGATTGGCAAGGCCCCTCTGTCTGACGGCAGGCAACCTGCTCGGCTTAATGTCGCTCTCCGGAGTCGAATTCATTACAAAGTTTACAAAAGCTGTTGCTCAGAAATGTGTTTCAAACCTTTTCATTGTAAGTTCTCGTAGTTCTGGACATACTAACGATTTAATACAAGTTAGAAGTGAATCTATTACGTTACGCGATCACGCCAATTGGAGCGGCGGAAGGTCTCTCAAGTGGCCTTGCTTTATTAACGAGAATGCCGAGTTATGGCCTACATGCAGCTACATACACACCAGCCCCGATGTCAGGGCATCAAACCGAGGAATGGAATAAAGGCCCTACCCGCCCTTGTGGTCTGATCAATTGTCACAGAATCGGAGACACAGATGGTAAGCTGGGCTCGCTGGGACTAACTTAACATGGACGGCTAAGCCCGTCTCCATTCCCCAATTTTTCCTTTGTAGGGCATAGCTTACCCGGAATGTTGGCGGGACTTGATGTGATCTATCCGAGTTCTGGGTTGCCTTTCCCGAGTCGAGCGCGGTTATTGTGCCAGAGAGAAGCCAAAGGCTCTCGTCCATTCTTCAGGACTCAATTCACTCTAGGTCGCAGAAACCAAGTTGGTAACACTTTTCGCATCACTGTTCCACCTTGCGTGGTGCTAAGAGCACATTTCTCATGCCCCCGACTTCGGCCACACCGGATCCTCCGTGTTTTCCCTCATCCCCATCATTCTGTTCGTCAGGGGTGTTCCATAAAATACAATTACGTACGGGCCATGGACACTTCGTGCTACACATGCCGCCGTCGCCGCATAGAATGCCGCATGGATCAGCCGCCGTGCAGGAAATGCACCCAAGCTGGACTAGAATGTACCCAGACCAGACCCTTACGATGGGCGAAAGGTGCTACATATCGGACCAAGAAAACAGAAAAGACGGCCGCAAATAAAACCGTTGTATCCAAGAAAACAACTCTCTTCGGACCGAGGTTGGCTGCACGAGATGTATCACACGTACAACCCGCCACACATCCCGGGTCTGCACTTGTTACCAATGGGGAAGACAGAGGTGAGATATCCCAAGCTACAATTAAACGTCCCTTTTCTATGAGGAATAAGTCTCTTTGATCACACTACTATCCCTATTTCTGACAGACGTTATGCGCACATAATAGAGTACTATTTTCGGCCAACTCCCATCACGCAGTTAGATGACCCTCTTTTATCTAACCTTGACGAGACTACTCGGTATTACTTGGATTATTGTATGTATAAAGTTTCTAAAACTGCGGGTTGGTTCAACATGGCAGATATCTAACCCAGGTTCAGATAGCAGATGCGTTTGCAAGCTGTTCATTATGTATGACAGCACCGTGAATCCGTTAAGAAATGTAATAGGAGCCGCTTTCGACAGTCCACTATTACTGTCTTCGATTATTGCACTCTCATCGCGTCACAGGGCAAACTCAAAGCTCTCATATTCCCAGGGTAGGTTGGTAACCTCGTCCACAATTCTAACAGACACCGACCACACCGCTCTCCGCTTCAAACACAAGACGTTGCGAGGGCTTTCGGATGCTGTAAATGATCCCCAGCTGCGCGCACTGGACGCAACAGTTACGAGCGCCTTTCTGTTGCTGTTTCTTGATCTCTTAGAATCGGGGAGTGGCACTTGGAATATACATCTGGAAGGTGTCAAGAAATTAATCACCCAGATTGAAACCCACACCAGGCCAAAAGGAACAGTGCAACAAGATTTCGGTACATATCTTACAAGTATACGGGAGTTCGTCTCTAGACAGGTTTACGTGTATGTTTGTTTAGCATAGCCACTGTTGCCACGTTCAATACTGCTAACCACTTCCCATCAGGATCGAAAATCTGGGCCCAACATACGCAAATCCTGAGTTATTGTCAAATACGCCTATAGGCCCTATACCTTTACGAGCAACGAAACAGCCGCTACAGCAAAAGTTGGAACATTCGTACTTGGGATGTCCCGAGTATATCTTAGACGCTCTCGGGGCCTTTTCTTCCAGTCGAGATTTTCTCTTGTCCTCACGGCCGAGAAGCGAGGCTGACCTTGAAACACGAATTCATAGAATAGATGACGTGCTTAGATCTATGGAGACCTTTGACTGTGATTCCTGGGCAGCAACACTACCACGGCTGCCTTCAACTTCAGTGCAGATTCAGGAACTATCCAAGTTAGCAGAGTCTTATAAACTTGGAGCTCAGATATATGGCAGACGCATTCTTGACGCTCTGATTGCGGAGGAGACCTCTCAGGATCATCTCGTGCGCCGACTTATTAGCGTCATTCATGAGTTAGAGAGTGACGCCAACTTGTTCAAATGCATACTCTGGCCAATGGTCATTGCAGGATTGGAATCCCGCGAACAGGTGCACAGGAAGTTTATATCAGGTTGCTTGGAGAAATTTTGGCTTGAAACAAGATGCTTGAATGTGGTGAATACCGGTACTATACTACGTAGGGTGTGGCAGTGGGAAGAACGGGAGGACTCGACCCCGAAGCTTTGGATATTCAGGATTGGTCAACTAGGAGGCGACTGGCTTCTTGTATAGAGAGTCAAACATTTTTCATAAGATTATTTAAGACTCAATGGGCAGCGTCAATATTGCTGCTGGCTGATAATTCAACCTTTTGTCACATCCACCTGCTTAACTCTACGACAAGCAGCATCAAAAAACAGCCTGCGACGAGCTGTCATGTATGGCTCAGTATACATTAAGCCATGTTGAGGTATTATTAGAATTGGGGTTCTTCACATATGGCATTTTCACTGGCATCGACAGGTGTTGAAATTTTTGCGGTCATACCATCTCAAGATTGAACGAGTTGGAGTTCGACGGAAATATATTCGTTTCAGCTCCGCATCCAATGTGGTTAAAACAGTTGGAGACTTAAAAACTTCCACTTTCCATAATTCAGTAAATAATAAGCTGAGGAAGATGAGGCTCAGGCTCAGCATACAAGTCTCGCAAGCATGACCAGCAAACCCGTTCATCTCCCACGATGAGTGCGCTGTAGCCTTTTCCTTGTTGCACCAAAATGGACGCTGCTGCTAGTCGTGCTGCCCAGTTTTTCTTCGCACGGAATATTCCAATACAGGGAGGGGGATCTAGTAATTCTTCCCAGGAATCTATAGAAACTTTATCCCCGTGGCTCTCCTCCGGATCTGCCGCCGAGCAGCTTTGATCGCAGCTGAACTTCTCAATGATGTCAGGACAGCTCTTTTCCATATCGATAACGTCGATATCAGCTACCCAGTTGCCATTATCTTGCACCGAAACAACGGACTCGAGAAGGAATATTTCCTGATCGATTTCGCCGGTATTTTGCCAGTCCAGGGGCATCTTCCATGTGGTAAAAGAGAGATGCAATGATGTTCCTCCGAAACTGTCTATGCTCTTGCCGTCGAATGGCCTGTGTTCTACTAGTTCGGGGTCATGGCCAACCGCTCGTATTCGAGGTTCGAGGGGAGACACCATAAGTACCATACCTGAGTGACCGACATTACCGACTAAATGGCGGATATCCCCCCCTTGGGCCTTGGAACCAGGATCAGAGAGCATGATGCCAGCCACAAATATAGAGTCTTCTGAACACAACGCGATAACTTCGTTTAGATGATCAGGGTCTATGTCGAAATAGCCAGATTCGAACATTGCAATACAAGAAAATGAAGCCGCCCGAGTCATCGCAGTCAGGTATTTAGTGATTGGAGTTTCGACGGCGGCCCTGAAAGCGGTGGTGTTGAAAGGGCTATTCAGGATTTCACGAATGGGCGGGGGTAACCATTTTGCCTTCAGCAGGTCTTGCTCAACGAGCCGGAGCGATACAGTTGCACCTGGGAAGCTTTGATACAAATGGCTGACAACCTCTAGTATACGTAGGGACATGAGCCATGGTGCCGGCTGATCGCAAGCGCTGCTCATTAGGCGGACACATCCGGTGATATCATCCTGGATTTTGCCTTCATTGCTTCCTTCTTGGCGCAAGACGAAATCAAAGTATTGGTTGATTTCCTCCTGTGTCGGTTCGTCCATTGGAGCTTTTCGTTTGAGCCCCCCTTGGTAAGGCTTGGGATGGCTGGTCTGATTTATTCATCAGCTAGGACATTCGTATAAGCTAGTCTTGCTGCATACTTACGCGGAGAGATTCCTTTAGATATTGTAGAATCTTTTGCGGCTGAGGCGTTTGTCTAAGCCAATTTAATCCCTGCCCCAGTGAAGCCATCGTCGCAGCAGCAAGACGCATGAGGTTGACGAAATGCGCGGACCCAAAACTATTATGCTTACTAGACTCAATCAACAGCTGAAATCTTGAATATTGCTCTTGCCGAAGCGATGAGAGACGAGTAAATTCAACAGGCCCTGTCGAACTGAAAACCCGAGGAGGTCTTTCCCAACCATATCGTCGTCGGCCGGTTTTTTTAATTTGAACCAACATCTCACTCTTGTCGTAGGCAATATGGCAAATTTCCCCCTTTTGCTCAATTTCGTGGCATCTCTGCTCCAACATTGTTTGATGAACGTCCTTACCGTTAGGGTTAATAGCATGAAGCCACCTTATGTGCCTCTTCTCTCCAATCTTTGACGCATGTGAGGAGTCGATGGTATTGTTGAGTCCGAGATGCGCCTCAATTGGAACAATTGTAAACCATTCGTAATACCAAGACTCGTGGTCTTGCATTGCCGTATATAATATAATGGCTTCATGCGCCTCGACTCCCAGCTGGGAAGCGATCCCTCGCATAAACTCGACGCCGCGATCAACATCATCGACCATAGTGAGGACAGACATGACATAGGGGTTGCATAGCCCGAAGAAAGGACAACGCATAGCCCTGTCATCAGGCCCTAGAAGTTTTTTGGCTCGCCTCCATCCATATTTGATTAATCTCTTTGCTTCTAGACCGTTGTTCTCTTTGATAGACGAGGCGGCATCACAAAGCCGAATTAGCCACGATAGCTCTACTTGTTGAGCCATGTCGACCAGCCTCAGTATCTTGTTCAGCTCCTGAAACCAAGCAATCGCTTCGTCAAAATTGGCATACGAAACTTCCCACTGTCTGAATATGACGCCGAGTGTGACGAGCCACAGTTGATGAACATGCAGGCGCTTCTCATTGTCGTTGCTTCGGACCAGCACCGGATCTCCATAGTATCTCAAGTGAGATAGAGCGAGAGACCATTTGGTGACATTATCGGAAGGGCCTTTGTACTCAAGACCCACACTGAGGATACCAGCATTGGGAAACAGTGTGTCATTGAAAGGTATCTTCTTCGCTTCTTGTTGAAAGACGAGAATGTCTGGGTAGAGGTGCCAGGAATGTATCGCTAGTAGTATGGCACGATCGGATACTTCTTGCGGGAGATTGTTGAGAAGTCGCTCTACAACTTCCATGGCCCGAACCCAGGCCATCGTCACTTTCTCAAAAGTCGACCCGGCGGTCGAGTACGGAGTACTAATGTTGTCCATAATAAGCTTGAGCTGGGTGTGCTGAAAACGCATCGCAACATCTGCCCGTCTCAGCCAAGAACGCACACTAGCGTCCCAATTCGCCAACTCAGACCTGCTGATATCTTGTTTAGCAGCAGATAAAGAATGAGGATGTACTATCTTATTATCCTCCGTCTGGGCCCATATATTTCTTCTTCTTTGTTCGATGAGTTCCACCCAGATAGAAGTTGCTGTTTTCGCATCCCATGCATTCGAAAGCATGCATGCTAAGAGGAGAATGCTAATAGACGCAGGTCCTGACGTCGCAGCCGCCCATATCGAGGTGCAGTCAGCACCAATAAAGGCTCGAAATGGACCGTCATCCTCGGTACCTTCTGGGTTGATGCCCGGACGTGAAAGGATTTCACATACACGGGTCCCATATGCCTGGAGTAGTTTTGGTGTGTCAGGCAGCATCTGGTGGAACAGAAAGCCCAATTTGCAGGCTGTAGCGTGAATAGCACCATTTTCAGCTTCCTGTTTTCTTTTGGTTGTTAATGCTGAGCCGACTGCAAGGTATTCTGGGGACGGATCACAGCGAAAGACGGAGAAGTCGACACTCAAGTTGACAAGCGCGACTGTATTTTCATTTGCCACTGAAACCAGCGAATTTGTAAGTTTTCCGAGACCGGCCATTACGCATGAAGCGAGTCCAAGGCTCGTAGAGTTGCACAAAAAGAAGTATGTTTCAAGATCCCTTCTGACTATTTATGATAAAGATATGCATGTCTTGTAGAAGCAGTAGATGTTCCATATATACTAGTCATGTTGAAGAAAAGACGCCGCCATATCATAAGGATTAGCGGTCTATGTTTCGCACAAAAGTAAGCCAAAAAGAGCTTAGTATGCATGTATTAGGCATCAAGATCTGAGCCCAATGCTCCCTTTTCTCTTTACACGAATGAGGCGGAGGCGAGGCTTTGGAAAGCCTAACGAGGCTCTGCTCGCTATGCTTCGAGTCGCCATTGGACAAATGCATTCACACCGCTGATAGTTAGGTAAACTACATGTACATAGACGACATACCCAGCATCCTTGCATTAGTTACCAATACTAAGGGTGTAGACGTTCTGCCGCCTAGCTCTCATTGCAGATTTATTGGTTGATGACTCTGGAATTTTACCAGGAACAGACGATTCGACTCACGAGTAACAACACCAATAGCTATCTGCGACCCCCGTAATGCCGTTGCTTTGTTTCGGTAATCTGGAGGTAACAAAAGCAGCCGCTCTTTGCCATTTACAATCCACATACCATCAAAGCTTATACCATACCCATGGTGGATAAGTTCTCGCGATGATATCTGGCTATTGGGTTCAGAGCTACCAAAGCTCAAATCCATAACTCCAATATTGGTATGGATACGGGAATTGCTCAATGGATCGAAGAAAAGGCTGTTAATCGGCGGACTAACATCCACTGTTACTAAGCAGGCACCTGAGACCGCGTCCCAGATTTTGATCATGTTCCAAGTCCTATTGAATCCCGGGATGCTGTCCAGCTTGCCTCTCGAGTATGACACCAATAGCTGGTTATTTGGTGAGAAGGCGCACAACTTTATGTTCCCCTCTAGTTCCTGGAATGTCTGTAGGCATACGCCCTCAGACACATCCCAGCTCTTCACTTGCTGCATCATACCAGGATGTCTGTAACTCTTTGTTACCGTACCGAGAAGCTTTCCATCTGGAGAGAAGAATATTAGGCTGCAATTGGGCGTGTTCAAAGTTTGAAAGCGCTTCTTTGTTGTTAGGTCCCATATCTTCACTAGTTGAGCGCTATGCGTCCAGGCATTGTTGCGACTCCGATTGCGACTCTCTGACTATCTGGCGAGCATGCCATAAGTACTACTGGCCAAGTATCTTGAATGGTCTGGAGACACTCTCCTGTCGTTGGCTCCCAGATCTTGACCATTTCATCTCCCATGGTAACAAAATAGCGACCATTTGACGTGAAAGTAATATCCCTTAGCTGTTCGACATATCCTTTTGGTATCTCAATATACCGTGTCAGATCTGAATTCGTAATATATATTGTGTGATCCTCGCCGATGAAAGCAAGCCGCTGTCCATCCTCCGAGAATATTGTGCCTTCAGTGGGGAGGGTTTGGGAACAAGTGCCATCTACTGTGTTCCAGATATGAAGTTCACCATACGATATTGATTCGATCAATTTGTTATCTTTGGAGAAGATAACTTGGTCGATTCCGCGAATATGGATGTCAGGTATCAGAGCGGTATGGCCTGTATCTAAATTCCAGATTCTGGCTACCCCTTCGCTTGAAGCTGATGCCAGTTCCCGGCCATTTTTAGAGAATGCTACCGATAAAAGCGTATGATTCAGGCCATGTATTGTCTGTAGACGATTTCCCGTAATTGTGTCCCAAATTTTAATAGTTTTATCGCCCAAGGCAGACGCAATTCGTAGGCCGTCTGGCGAGAAGACTACCGCCACCGCAGCTTCACTCCTTGGCAATATTTTGATGCATCCTCCCGTCTCAATACTCCATATTCTAATTTCTTTTTCGTAGACATGTGAAGCAAATTGTTGGCCATTTGGTGAAAAAACAGCCGTGTTGTCTGCGGCAATAAAGCGACCTGCAAGAGTTCGAAACCGCGTATTTGTCGCTACGTCCCATATATGAACCTCATTTGAGTAAACGAGGGCAAATTGCCGACTGTCTGCTGAAAATACAGCAGCAATCAAGAAGCCACGAATAGGTACATCGGGAAGATGCGAGAAAGCACCTGTCAAGTCCCAGATAATGAGATCGTCTGTCTCCGAGATTGTCGCAGCTAGCTTGCCATCTGGTGACAGCGTAGCCCAAGACCATTTGTAGCTCTGGCATCTGAGTGTCTGGAGACAATTGCCAACCCTCGCATCCCATATCTTGACTGTGCCGTCACTTGAAGATGTGACAACTTTTTGGCAATCTGCCGAAAAAGCAACCGACCCAACCGTTTTATGGTGGCCTTTTAGCGTCAAGAGACATCCCCCGGTATGGTAATCCCAGATCTTGACCGTTCTATCTCGCGAGGCTGTGGCAAGTCGCTGGCCATCCGCTGAGCAGACAACACTTGTTATCGTATCTTCATGGCCCTCCAGCGTTTGGATACAAGGGCCCCATTTTGCATCCATTGTTGGTTTCGATGCAAGCCAAGTTGGCTCTTCCTCACTGAATAGCCGCCTTATCAGGCTTTCAGTGGGACTAAATAGGAGTGCGGATGCGTAAAGCTGTAACGGTGCAATCTCAATCATTTGCCTATACGTAAGGACGAACCGACGCGCGTCTCTTATAATGTCTACTGATTTAGTAAATCGCTTCTTTTCCATCTTTTGCTAACCAATTGTAAGTCTCCAGCACACAAGGGTTGAGTGTGAGCAGTACGGGCACTTACCAGTAATGTTTCGAATTTGTTGAGTGCCGTTACGCCATAAGATATACTGCGTTGCAGGCTTAGAGCTTCCAGCCAATGCAGATAATGTTTTTTCAAGAACTGATGTATGATTCCGTCGTCGTCAAGGTCATTGATTTGAGTCCAGCTTTCGGAGATGCCATCACATAAGTGGTCGGCCCAGTAGACACAAGAGTAACGTGTCGTGACTAAAGGATCAGGTTCTGGCACCATGATTCCATCAATGAGAACTCCGGGGGCCTTTAAACCCCATAAGTCGCGCTTTAGGACCTGAGACATGCCTTGGAGCGACCTGGAAAAGAGAAAATGATGAATCTTCTCCACTCCATTGGGGAAAATAGTCTGCAAAGCTTCAGTCGACAGATAGTCCTTGGCAGATTGGTGAACGAGGTAAACATTCTCGTCTCGTATTGTAAGAAATGAGCCGCACATGGTTACAACTCTCCGGACGGCCCCTGGCTTTTCGGATATCCCACGGGGTAAGTCCGAGAGAAACCCTAACTCTGAGAGACTGAGTGGGCGATATGTTGCGCACGCTGTGGAAAGCAATTGTATGCAGTACCTGTGGTTTCCTCTCTTCAACTGCAGAATTTGTTCCAACATGCGGGCGTAAACTTCTTTCAAGTCTGATGGGATTTCATCGATGACTTGCAGAGCGTCCCAGCTTTCCACTTGTTCAAGTTCTTTCATAACTAGCGATACCCATAAGAATGTGCCGTTAACTTTTTGTCGCATTGCCTTCTCAAGGTCATCTTGGAGCGCTTCGTCATCCTGCACCAATCCCAGCCGTGAGACGCTATATTTGATGTAAGTATTAACGGCATCAGATATGCTGGCCTCATTATCCTTCAACTCTAGGCTAAGTAACGCCCGTGACTTATAAGTGCTTAGTTTCTGCTCAATAAGAGGTCCATTACGACTAGTAATGATCCATTTAACTCGAGATAGTGATGAGTGCTGTAGTATAAAATCCAGGAGCTTTGCTTGATCTGCCTCGCATTCGTCTAACGCATCGATAACTAATATGGTGCTACCTATGCTTGTATCTTGCAAAACATTTATGAGTATCTGTGATACTGCTGTCCAAGCGTTCACGTCCTCAAAGAGACTCTTGCCTGCAATATCGTATTTAGTCCTAATATGTGAGATGAGTGACGGCTGCTGGTGCATAATAAGGTATAGAAGGCCGCGCAGCACGGCTACAGCAGAGTTGATGCGCGAGTCGGTGCCCTGGCAGAAGAAGTAAGATAACATCGCCTTTGACTCTGGATTCTTAATTCTCGTTTGATCTGCCAACTCGTCGATGATGCCGCATGCCAGCATAGTCTTTCCCTTCCCCGGATCACCCGTGATCCACAATAGCTGGCCTTGTGTATCATCATCGTCATACCACGACTTGAACTTGTCATTTTCGAGAATCCAGTTGTACAACTCTCTCAAGAGGCCACCTTTTGTCTGCTCAATCCGGATTTTGTCGTCGCGGGGATCTGTTGATCGCAAATCTGCTAAGCAGCGGTCGCTTGCACCTTCGGAAGAATAATGATACACATTGCCTTGGTGGATAGTGGCGTTGTCGCCAAAGCTGTTTCCCTCGATGTTCATTTCGATAAACATTCGCCAAAAACTGCTGCAGTCCTCTTTAAGAAATTACGTTCTGACAGCATGCAGTAGATAGAAGCGGGAGATGAAGATGCACTTTCGTCGAGTGATAATACCAGGCATCCAATTGGTGTGCGGGATGCCGCCGAGCGTGCGGAGTATGTCATTACAACCAATCAACGAGCATCTTGGCCGATGAAATTACTTCGTATATATGTCTATGATTTGCCTAAAGTGCAACAGAACAAAGGCAAGCGGAGGTCAGAAAAAGCGAGGCCGCGAAATGAATAGGCGCATACATTCAGCAATATAAGCACCTAACCAACTCGGGGCTTGCAACTATGCTTTGCTATTATATGCAATATTGGAAACATTTACCAAAACAAGGCAAAGCTAAAAGAAACCTGTTTCAGGCTAGCTACTTGTCCCTAATTTTGACTGACTGGTCGCGAATGCACCATCACAGTCAAATGCTGACGTAGAAAAAGGTATATCTCTGGACTCATTGATGATGGAGTAATCAACTTAGACTGCTGCCTTTCTATTGAAGGTAGCTCTCCTCTTTCACAATCGTTGGTACATGTAAGCTACCTGAGCAACAGTTTTGCACGGCTACAGTCTCTCCCCTGTGCAATTCCTTCAAATACCCCTATACGCAAAAAAGAGTGTCGACGAAGATGAAACCCAAACTCGCCGCTTTCCTCTTCTTCGTTCTCCTCTTCTCTTTTTTCGTCTATGTTATCCTTATCAGCGCCATAGGTATCGTAAATTTGGCGGAGTCGCTCTCCTAATCTGCGTCCCGTCGCCGTTGATGCTAATGCCAAAGTTTTTCCCCTTCTGCTCCACAAGGTGTTTGTGTCATTTATCATTCCGATTGGCAGATTATTTGTTTCTTTTATCAAAATGAGACCGCAGTGTGTCCCAAGGTATAGAAACCTCACGTCCAATAGTTCTGGTGTGATTCCCGGGGTACTTTTAAGATGAGAAGGTGGGATAGCGGCAAGGCTATCTAGGTATGTTTTTGCTCCACGAGGGATCTTAGCCCATGGTAAATAGTTGTCGTATCCGCCGTAATAACTTGCAGAAATTTTCAGGCGCATCGTATCAACCTTTCTAATGATCCCTTTAAGATAAATAGAACCGTCCATTCGGAATTCCTTGATGTCAATAGAATCGTCCATATAGCTGGTTAGAAACTTAACCTTTCCATCCACAGAAGCCCAAGACCACGAAGGCGCTCGTCGTCGCATGTTATCCTGTCTCACGTACTCATACTTTCCATTTTCAATCCGGCCAAGATGACGCCATAGGAGCGACGGTATTATGCTGTTTTTAAATGCACCAAAATAGTACTCATCTCGAGGAGTACTACCAAGCCGCGCAAGTCCTGCTATTGCAGGCAACTTATCAGAGACAAAAGTAAAGCTCTTTAAGCTATACTCTTCAACAATATCATTCCAGCTGTAACGCAGTTGACCTGGCTCTTCCCTTTTAATTGATGTTTTTTGGACTGCTATACTGTCCGAGGCGCATTCTCTTCTGCTGCAACTTTGACACTTCCAAGAGAGCTCTTCGCTCCCAAATGAGACGCATCGTAGGGAAAGTAGCGCTTCTTGAAAAGCCCATCCACGCTGGTCTAACGGCTCCTTTATCGGCAACGTAATGTTGGCATTTTGGCCAAGATATACCAGTCTGGATTGATCTCGGTCGATGGGAAGCGTGCAACAAGGACCAACTGGGGGGGTTCGATGATTAAAAAGCCCTTGGTATGCATCAGGTGCTCCCGCGGCTTTGACCGTGAAAAAAGCTCCTTGGAACACTTTGTCCATACGCCTCCCTTCTCGTTCCCAATCTTTAATTGCCTTGTAATCTTGACCCTGTATGATGCAGAGAGAGTCTACCCATATATAACGAACATCCAATCGTCTTGCTAATGTTATGGCGTCATTGACAGTTTGCGGTAGATTTATTAGCGGAATGCTTTGTTCCAACTGTTCCATATTCGAACTTCTTAATGTAAAGAATGGTCTTTTACCCCAGCAGTAACTGAGAGCGATGTACTTTCCGGTCTGACCCTCGGTTGTTGTGACCAGTAGAGGTTGCTTAGAACCATCTGGTGGCCCAACATCCACTACTCTCCTAGGTAAAGGGGAGTTTTCGTTAACAGGACACCTCTCATGATGATTCGTTAGGCAGTCTGACAGCCAATTGGAGATCAGATCAAAGCAGCGATTGGATCCGGAATACGACTCTGCTCTCCTCCACTTGATGGTGCATGTAGAGCTCGAGAATAAATCTACACATGTTAAACTCAACACATATCTACCAAAGATGGTCATACTACATACCAGGATCAAGATCAGCATATACGGTGATATAGCCACGGACCAGCCAAGGCTTCTGGTCCGGTGGGCCAAGATACCAACGTCCATCTCCCTCAGGACACCACATGAAATCGGATCGCCTTTTTTCTTCTGTCACAACCACGTATATCATTTCCAATAATTGATGATCTGGTGGATATCTGTACAAGGTGACACTGCAGCAACTCATAGACTGAAGCTTATACATATCTGATCTTAGTGACGACAGTATAAGAGAACATAAATCGCATGAAGTAGCGCCATTGGCGTTCATACTACCTAAAAGACTCGCAATGTCTGAATAGAGCATGTAGCCTTCGGCGGTAATATCGCCCAGACAAAGGTTCTGACATTTAGTACATCGTCGGAGGGAAACGTCAGACAGCTTAGCCTCATCTTTATTATCATTTTCCTTTCTTTTAACAGTAGAACACATACTGTAGGATATCCCAGATAAATAAAGTAGAAACGTATTAGAGGTTGCTTTCGTCGGGGGGAAGTAGACACTTGTGCAAGTCAAGCTATACGTTACAATTACATTGCTCAATATTTTGAGGCTGTGTCGAACGATTGCTGCCTAAATGCCCAGTCTCACCGTTTATGTACAGTAAACCTTGGTGTAAGCCTTGGTTCTAGCGAACCCCGCCTAAGATGGACGATAATCGTGCTGTAACAAGAGGAGGGGGCCTGACGCGGATTCCTCCGTCCCATACAAATTTACTGTTAGTGCACCAGTTTGTATGCACGGGCTGCTATACCGATACCGCTGGTAGATATAATAGTACACATCCAATCCTTAAAAAAAAAAAACATGCACGCATACACCTTCTGAAATAAGCTCCTCCTGGATTTGCTGCAAGCATTGCTTTGCCCTAGATGCTAGCTGGCATTGTTTTGTTTCATCACCACGGCTATCGCCCATATTGGATTACCTTTCATTCTCAACATGTGGGAGTAAGAATTTTATGCAAAGTCTGGGATGCTGAATTCTTCCTTGGTATGTTACGCGACACCGCGAAACTTACAGAAGGCTCCCGGGTACAATCTGGCATTTGATCATATGCAATTGGTTGGGAAAATTGCGGTTACGACCTATTCAGGTTGCTTGGTTATAAGCTGGTAGAAGAAGTAAACAAGCACATACGACCATAGGTAGAGGAGAACTCGGGGTCCCGTCAAGTTCTTTCCCAATATTCAAGGCCTGCCATTTTTGGAGTCTTGACGTTCTAAATTTGGACTTACATGGCTCCGTTGTCTGAAACAGCTGAACCAACAGCTTAGATACGTACCTATGGTAGCATCATATGACGGCATCATTTTTAACGGTATTAATTTGACCAACTACCGTTTTGAAAAAGTTGTAAGAATCCAATGTAGTAAACCGCAAAACGAGAAAACTTGCTATTTACTCGTATCGGTGGGGCAGGTGGAGGTGAAGATTCCGCTGAAGATATCCCTGGTTGATCACTATATCGTCGCCGAATTGACTGTGACTAACGTCACTGAGATGTCGCCATAGCGAGAGCAACTCAGCTCAGTCCTCCAGTTCAATCGTGTAATCTAGAGCGCTAGAGATGATGAGGCTGAGGAAGTCGCGCTGCATGTGAAAGTGCAGTTCCAACAGCCTCACTTACCATCACGTGATAATATCAGGCAGCATCGTCAAGACCGTGGAACTGTGTGCTTTCGAATGCTACATCCTGCGTCTACAACTTTCACACAATGACTTCCCTGCAAGCTCCCGCTAACCGAAAAAATTTCCATGTTGCCATCATCTGCGCTCGGTCTAGGGAAGCCAATGCAGTCATGTTACTCTTTGATCAGTTTTGGGACGGGGAGCGAGATCAATACGGCCGAGCCGATGGAGACGAAAACCACTACATCACCGGTTGCATTGGAGGCCAAAACGTTGTTTTGGCTGTTCTCCCAGATATGGGCGCCAATAATGCAGCGGCGGCAACTGCCAGCTTACGATCAAGCTACACCAGTCTCAGGCTTGCTCTCCTCGTCGGTATCTGTGGAGGAGTCCCTCGCATTGAACGCTTGAACTTGAATGTATATCTGGGCGACGTCGTTGTGAGTAAGAGCATTATTCAGTATGACTATGGCAGGCAGTATGCAGGACACTTTGCTATTAAGAATACTGTCGAAAATAGCCTTGGAAAGACTAATAAAGATATCCAAAGTCTCCTTGCAGTCTTGAGAACGGAGGAAATGGGGGAAAGGCTTCAGAATGAAACTTTAAAGCACTTACAGCATCTGCAGGAGGAGGCTATAAGGAAGCGACACCGGGCCGATTATCGCTATCCCGGAGCAATCAAAGACAACCTATATTCTCAGAAACACGTTCACCAACACAGAATCGCGTGTGACTTGTGTGCGGCGAATAAATTTTGCAAGTCGGCTTCCGAGGCGTCGTGTGTCGAGGCTGGGTGCAGTTCGACCGAAATCGTTGCGAGAGATGTTGTGGGAGATCGTGTTGTCAAGAATGGCAGCTTCAGCCCCGAGATCCATATTGGCAAAGTAGGGTCGGGCAATACTATCATGAAGAGCGGCAGTGACCGTGATCAAATCGCCGCCAGGCATAACATCATTGCATTCGAGACGGAAGGCGCCGGAGCCTGGGACGAAGTTCCGTGTATCGTCATAAAGGGCATCTCGAACTATGCAGATAGCCATAAAAATAAAGACTGGCGAGACTTTGCGGCAGCTACTGCTGCGTCGGTGGCAAAGGCGATTTTGGGAAGATACATAATTCGCGACGGAGAACGTGTCTCAACCCAAAGTATTGCTCTGCTCACCTCATCCTCTTGTGCCCTGTGCTAACATATACGTAGATCAACAAAGCCAGATAAGGGGACAGGATATGTCATCCAACTCCTTTGAAAATGGGACTTGGATCAACCAGGGTAAGGTGGGGGGATATTTAAGGGGTCTACGGAGTAATATATCCCTCTGCTTGTCATTTCAGAGCCACGATCATCTAATTATGCTATAGATCCAGATTTCACTAGCGTCTATGGTGCGACATCGGTAGATGTGTGCTACAGGTGCGATATACCGGGTCATGGATACAAACGCTGTTATGCGTCAGACGAGACCGTTCGCCGAGGACGAGAAGCTAGGGCTGAGGAAGGACGCTGCCAGTACTGCGGGCAATTCGGCCACCAGCAACCTAACTGTTGGCAACGAAAGTATTAACAGCCAGCTCTGATGCTACAGGATCAGGGATTATTTCACGAAGCCTTACAGCTATGTATGTGTTGAGGGAAGGCAGTGTGTTTAAGCGCTCCGACACCAACGACCTGTTATAATTGCAGATAACAGGGTAGTGAAACCATGGTCGTTAAATACGGCCTTGCATATGCTTTAGCATAAAAATTAAGAAAACACGCCATGTAGTCTATTTCTTCGCACAAGTGACTTTACTCCGCTAAGCCGGACACCAAGGTAAGGCAAATTAATGCAGTTTCTAAGCACATACGACCATAGGTAGAGGAGAACTCGGGGTCCCGTCTGCTCCCCCATAGATAAGCCTCTAACCGGCAGATTAGTAGTTGAGTGGGTGACCATCAGCGAACACCGGCTGTTGTATGTTTTTATTTTTTATTTTTTTGCTCGTTTTTTTTTTGGTGTTTTCTATGAGACAGTTGTGTTGCTAGAATTCGTCGAGTTGTGGTGTGGTACATTTCCGGAGAAGGATCACGGGTAAATGCCACCAACGGCTGAGTGCTGGGCCAATGGCGTGGTTTCAATCCTACGTGCAGGATTGCTTATTAACAGCCTTAACCGCCGGTTATTAAATGTTCAGCAGCTGGGTTAACATGGAATTCAATCAGAGTTTTACATGATCCAATATCGGGAACCAGTTGTTATAATACGTGTGCCAAACCCGAGCTCTACAAAGGGATCCAATGTACATGTCCAATTTGTTAGCCGCCAGAAATTTGATGGTGGAGACAGCCATAAAACCCACGCGGTTGGGCTTGCCAGCGCCGGTCACAATGGCGAGCGTTCTCTGGAGAGACTTGCTGGAAACAGACTGGTATTAGACATGGTAGGAATTGGTTAAGTTTGAGGGTTTACTTGATTGGCCAAGTCTGGACTGTTTGTTATGTTCTGCACTGTGACCACGACGATTCCAGATTTGTATGGTCTTTTTTATTGATGAATGATGACAATACAGAGTTGCACGCCACGGATGTTGCGGCCTTCTAAGTCTTTTGTTCCAAATATACTAGTCTTCTTCATTTTTGGCTTCGTATTGTAAATTAGAAGCTATGACAAGTTATGGCAGCATCTACGTATCCGAGCATTACCAACATATAGGGTATGATGAAAATTCCGTGCAGGTCCAGCTCATGTCAGAAATGCCATTACATAACATATAAATCTTGCTGTCTCAACTCCTCGTAGCCAAGAGATTGTTGCCCATTTTGAGTACGCCGGCCGCCCCTTTAGTTTGGCGGTGACGATGTCGTTGGTAACCCGCATTCTCCTTCGATAACTTCTCTTCGGCTGTTCCTTGCTCTCCGCTGCTTACCGGTAACTTCTGGTTAAGATGATCGCATAAACACCAGCGCAGATCCCGTTAGTCTGTCAGACCAGCCTCTGGGCCTCCACTCATGCAACCCAAAAAGGAATATGATCTCGCAGAATGGTCCAAGCTTAAAGCAGAACGGACGGGCCTATTGTGTAAGGGCAGCTTCCACGAATAGGCAGTTGCGGAGGTGGAATATGAATGTCCAAGATTACATACCCTGGTCTTTGTGTGGAAAGTATTGAGGCTGCATAATACCATGGTAGCTGCGTGCCAAATTTGGGTTAGCACTTCAGCCTCTATTATGTTAAACCAAATTGCTGGTATATGTAAGAGATCCTTGATTGTGGATTAAGGTTGAATTGTCATCGCGCGCGGCTTCTGTGCCTGAGCCAAAAGTACGCCCACCCCGAAGCCGAGACTTATTTGGCTACCGCATTAGTCTGCTTACTGGGCTTCTTAGTCCCTTCTGATAAACACGAGGAACAATGCCAGGCTGATCAAGCATCCTCAACATGACCTTCTGCAAAGCCGGATTTACCTCTGAAGTATGGATTTACCGTTGCGATACGGAGATAAGGGGGAAGTCAGGAGCATGTAGATCAATCAGCAGCGAAACTTGTCATTTTGAAGCATACGCTGAAGCCTCAAACAGTGATGTAGCTCTAGCAGTCCATAGGAAGCTGAGAAATCCAACCAGCTAGTGTCTGGCTGTCGATCCATGTTGCTGGCATTTGTGGTATTATAAAAGGAGACGATTCCTTCATTCTGTTCGCTTTTGCTATATCTGACATTCAGTATACATTTGAATATTCGTTTAACATCACTTACCACAATCATGAAGATTTCAATGCTCTTCCCCGGTATCGCCCTTGGGGCTGCACTTAACTCCTTTCCCGGTGCTAATCCTCCCATCGACACTCGTTCTCTGGACGAGATCTATCGAGCTGCTCAGAAAGAGACTGGCGAACTTCTGGTCTTCTGGGGAGGAGACTGTACGTGTTGTGTTTCTGCATCTTATACCCAGACCAGGTAACTAACGCCATTGCAGCTCTCGACCAGGCCGCAGGCACTATCCAAGCGTTCAATGCCCGATTCCCAAAAGTCAAACTGAATTTGCAGGTTGAACTGTCCAAGTACATTGACAGCCGCATCGACCGGCAGTATCAAAAGAATCAACATGATGGAGCCGACATTGCCATACTTCAGCAGCTGAATGACTTTGACCGCTGGAATCGCGAAGGCAGACTTTTACCCTACAAGCCTGCCTCGTGGAACAACATCTACCCCGATGTTAAGGATCCTAATGGTGGATTCCTGTCCATCCTATTCTGTACGTTCTTGGAACATAGGAGACCCGATCCGTGATTAGCCGCTCACAAGTCATAGATCAATTTGGCCAGTTCGTATACAACAAGGATAGGCTTCACGCTGATGCCGTGCCCTCTACCTTTGAAGAGTTGCTCCAACCGCGCTGGAAGAATAAGCTAATTCTGGCTTACCCTAATGATGACGATGCGATCAACTATCTCTTCACCTTGGCCATCAACAAATACGGCTGGCAATGGTTCGAGAAGCTCGTCGCCGACCAAGGCGTACAGTGGAGGCGTGGCACTGGCGCTGTACTGGAATATCTCACCACGGGAAATACCAGCGCAGTGCTCAGCTTCACCACCAACATTATCGATCAGACCAACCTGGCGGCCAAAGCGCCTACTGATACTCGCCTTGCCTGGCCCCAGACCGCTGCCATTTTCAAGACGACACCGAGACCGGAAAGTTCGAAGCTTTTCATGTCGTGGATCATGGACACTGAGTTTCAGCAATCTCTAGCGAATAGTTCGGTACTTTACACCACTCGGATGGACATTAACGACACCAAAGGCAATATTTTCCGGGATGCTACGGTGCCACCTACGCAGTTCTCCAAATGGATTGTCAATCGTGAGGTTGTTGAGTGGTGGCGCTTCCAATATGAGTCGTCCATTGGTCTTCCCCAGGGTGTCGATCCGGTCTTGATTGGACCTTGAAGCTCGTATGTAGAGATTATATAACTATTGAAGATCCTGAGAAGACGTGTTGTTTTTTTTGATTCTTAATATTCGAGATGCTGAGTGTTTAATATATTTGTATAATCTGCTATGAAGAATTTCCATGAGTGATATCCTGTATCAACTCATTGGCGGATGACGACATTAGAGCATCAATCCAGACCATCTCCTGAGTGATATGAACTAAATTTCCCACCGAGGTATTCGTTATCATCATGGTGTGCTTTATCTCATTGATGTACAAGTCTCTCAAGCTATGTTCTTCCATCAACGCACCGGTAATTAATACCCAGACTTTGAGGTCGAAGAAGTCGGGTTCCACGTAGCGTATATTGGCAGCAATAAATTGCACAAGCCGCGCTTGCAATCCAGCCCTCTCAACAGTAAAGAAGCTCAATCTTTCTTTCAAGACAGACATGATAGTCAGACATGTAAGTCGAACTAACTCTCTAGCAACGAGGTCGCTACGGTTAGCGTGGGTCATATAATCGTCTGGTAGTCTTGGCATTGATAGTAGAAAGTGTAGAGCCGGGCTAATCATGAGAAGCCCCTCAATGTCCTTTTTCCAGAAGGTGCTGGATCTACTTTTCTCTTTTATGATTCCCGACATGTGTGACATCTTCATCATGGCTTCTCCTGCCTCAACCAGGTCAGATTTCTGCACCAGTCGTAGGAGCAAGGCTCGTAGCCTCGGAGGTGTCGATAGGATATCTCCATTAGGGCTTGGGATTCCAAAGCTTGCGTATAGGGGGAATCGCGGTCTGGAGTCGAAGACTATAGACCCGACCAAGTCGTACCTGTAGCACTGCAGTTTAGGAAGGCAACTCTATCCTTAGTAGCGACCGGTACTCACAATAGTATCAGTAAATGTATTTGGTAATCCAAGCCACAAAATCCTCCACGAGTATTCAAGATGAGGCATAATCCATCCATGTGAACTTTCCAACTTGCCCAGTCGCAGTGTCTCATCTGGCTATCGTCAGCTAAAGACTTTTGATCGGAGCAGGAGAGAAGCTTACGTTAAGACAAACATGACCTAGAACATTCGCTATTATGCCCTGGCCTTTTACCGCAGTTTCGTCATCGAGACGCTGCCGCAGCTGCACTATGGACTGTGAATAGTGCCTCATGGCTTCTGGAGTCTTGGCTACAATATTATTTGTTCTCAGCCTCTCCCATAGGTTGGCGTTATTGCCGAGGATAACTTCGAAAGCTCCAGGGTCCATTAATGACACCTCAAACCACGTAGCGCGAAAAGGGATATAGACATCCGTTACTTCGTTGGCTAAGACAGGGGGCGTTAGCAGCTACGTTTGGAAGACGCAAGATCTAGATCTTACCAAAGCGGACCAGCTCCAGCATACGCGTGTCGCCTGGCACGGGGAAGCTTCCGAGTGGCGGCAATGACCGGCCGGGAGAGCTGTTATCGGATCCGGGGCGTATACTCGGAGAATTCTCTCGTCTTGATTCTTGTGCCCGCCGTTGTTGGTTTCCGCCCCGCATGACAAAGCGGCGGATGTCCGTCATCTGAGAGCCAACATCACTAGGGTGTGAGATGTTTACAAAATGGACCTCTCCGAACCTTGAAGTCCCGGCAGCACCTCCACGTCGTGATTTCCTGGCTGTATCTCGCCCGGACATGGATTCAGAGACCTTGCCAGCCTGGTCGCGTAAGCTGTCACTTTCGCCTTCGGACGCCATTGAGTGTGTTGCAGATGTGGAAATGACAAGAAGCCAGCGTTGCCGCGACCGGCCCCACAGCGAGAACCCTTTCTTTCTTTATAATGTATGCTCTCTTGCATAGATTCCAGTAATGAACAATTTGCATAGCCCTATGAGTATGGACAGTTTCACCAATCCCGGGAATACTGTCAGGGTGAGCTCATGGGCTAGGGCGTAGCGCCATTATTTGTCATCAGAGGACTGGACATTGACCATTCAAATATGGATGGAATACGAAGCCGCCACTAGGAAATCCTTACAAATAAGCCACTGCCAACTCAAATTTAACTTTGTTTTATTCAATGACTAAAAGAAGCAGTATTATTTATTCATCTTCTTGTTCCCGGCGAATGTCAAGTCGGTTATGCAGCTCTATATCATTCGGACTTCAGATTGCCTTCTTGCTTCCCGATTTGCAGGGATCTAGCCCCAGCGATAATAACCGATGTAAGCACTATTTGCTTAATATCTGGTGTGATCTCAATTGATGAGAAATACTTTCGAAGAGAGATTATATGCATTATATCATTACCACTTGTCGGATTTAGGTGGCCAAGAGTCGTTCGCGCTATTGAATCCGTAAGTTGCCACCACGCATAGTTCAGTCTCAGTAGCATTAATATCCTTCACAACAGCATCCAAGATGTGAATTTTTATTGCACTGTACGCGTATTCTCATAGCCTTAGACAGGCTGCTAAATCTCAAGGTTTCTTCACTGCTTCCAGTACTGCCTATCAATGTTGAGTCTACCCAGCTGAGGACATGATTCGGGAATGCCGCTCAAGGTAGCCAGGTCGATGCCAACCACATAATCGAGCCTAGTCATGACGGAAACACCTCTTCTGGGAGCATCCTGCATCACCGTGCGCATCGTGACTTACACATGCCCAGCGCCAGGCCAAGAGGCTGTCCATGCTTGCATATACAATGCTTCAGATGCAGAGTGCCATGGATTCTAGACCCTTCGCAGCCTCCAGCACTATCGATGTACAGCTAGCAACATATAGATTGTGCTAGACCTAAAATGTCGCCTGCTCTCACGATGCCCTTGAAACCCCAGAAAAGGGCATCTGCGGCTGATTCCGTGGCACGCGGCCATGAGAACTCCGGCTCAGCTGAAAACAATACAAATACCCTTCCATCGTCCTAAACGGTCATCATTGGCACAATTGGGCAAGCTGAACTCCTCAATAGTTCAGCCCACTAACGGCCAGATGCTGCATAGTAGCGTCAATTATTGAGCGGGCTGGGCATCGCGCTCGGCTTCGCTTTTGTCGCCTTCCAATGCTGGGATCTCGCGGAGCACTGGGCGGACATGTCTGGGCTTCAGGCGACCTTTGGCGTCCTGCAGGCGCTCTGCACGTTTGTCGTCGCCGTCTGCGAGCTGCTTGCCTGGGTGTATCCAACCGTGGCCTGCATCCCGGTTGTGGGTGCCATCGCCGCCGTCGTGGGCCTGTTTGTGACGCTTGTCATAATGTTCTGGGTGGGTGACCGGAAGGCAAAGGAACCCCAGGCTTCTTCCCGGGAAAAGTTTGTCGAGAGCGTCAAGAATGGCTTGTTGGCCGGCTGGGATGATCCGCCACCGGCCCTCGTCAAGTATGATATATCCAGGAGCACCGACAAGGCCGGGCAGCTCTGCACCATCAGCGTCAGGGGCACCAACGAGACTGGACACGATCTCGTGCTCATACCCCAGGAAGAGACAACCCGGGAAGCTTCGGCAGACGTCAGCGACAAGTGGTCGAGGCTCACGCTCTCGGTGGCCGCTGGCAGCGACTCGCCCTGCTGGTTCAGCACGCCGACTTTTACATACGAGGCCAACCGGGTGCCGAGCCAGGAGAAGACCACAGAGGGCAAAGCATATCTCGAGACGAGCTCGGCCGTGGTTGGGAAGCTCCTGACTCCCAATGGCAAACGGGACAATCTAACGACGTACGACTTTGCAGCCACGGCACCGGCCAAACCCAGCACGGGCAGCTATGCTGTGTTCAAGCCGGGCGAGTTCTTTGTAATTTCCATGGTAGGTATTGTCAATAAGACGGGAGAGTCGGTGTTACAGCTCATTGAGTCGCGGCCTGGCGTGTTGGGCTGCGTTCAGAAGCACACGTGGAAGAGAGTTGAGTAACTACAGTAATAGACTGCTTGTTTCATTATTCATCGATAGAACCGACTCAGGCATGTAATTGAAGGTTTTATCTTACAGGCAGCCAAAGGCCTTCACGTAGTGTTGTTACTTACATGCTGTGTACATGCATGCAGCCGCCCAAAAACCCCCACCACACCACACACAGCCTGCATGAAGCTACAGGTACTTAAACTTGGGCAAACTCGCATCCGCACACACAAACACATACACACATGAAAAAGAGAAGAAGAAGGGGCAAAAAAAAAATGGCAAAAACATACAACAGCCGGTGTTCGCTGATGGTCACCCACTCAACTACTAATCTGCCGGTTAGAGGCTTATCTATGGGGGAGCAGACGGGACCCCGAGTTCTCCTCTACCTATGGTCGTATGTATTAGTGGTTATAGTGAAGCGACTTATATTCACAGCATCTGCTATGATTTTGAAAGCCATGGCCGAGTTATGACTTTTCCTTTCCGCCCACTTTGTGTTGTCTATATAACCAGGACTCCAGGCTTTCAAGGCCATAGTAACTGCTTCTCCCATTGATCTCCCTCTCCAAGTTCATAGCGGAGCCGATGGTGTAAGCGATCCGGAGAACCTTGCCAAAACTCCATCACTTGGGGCGCCACAGCGTAGACTTTCCATCCTGGTGCTGCTACCCCTTCGGCCTCTTCAGAAAACGCATGCTTCTTTTCTTTCACCGCCTCCAAGAGCTCATCTCTGCTTGCGAGCATAGCGCTCTGCTTGGATGCAACGGCACTCACCTTGGAGTCGCGTGGCCGGTCGGCAAAATCCTTGGCACACTCGTCTTCTGGAAGCTGTTGTGCTCTGCCTCGGAGCCGGATCTGTCGAGCTTGCTCCTTCCAATAGAATGTCAATGCGACTTGGGAATTGTTTGCAATCTGTTCGCCCTTGGGGCTCGCCGCCTTGATTGCGAAATGCCATCCGCGAGAGTCGACGTCTTTCAGGATCAGCACCCGGGCGTCTGGCGCACTATCCTTGCTGACAGTCGACAGGACCATTGCGTGTGGTTCAACGACGCCGTAGGCGATGGCATTCGATAGCCATTGCTCAAATGCCTCGTGGGGAGTTGCCGGAAAAGATTCGAACTCTGGGGGATCCGTCGGGCTGCCCTTGAGCACGTTAAGCGCTCGAAGTTGTTTTCTCACGGAGTTGTGAGTATCAGTCATTTTGTTTTGTTTTGTTTTGTTTTGTTTTGTCTTCAAGGCAGCTTTGATGGTACGAGTCACAGTTTGCTGGTGAGAAACTTATTATTATGTATAGACTTCTGCTATTTCGCCGAGTGACTCACATTGCAACTTTAGTGGCTAGCGGCAATCGCACCAGGACTAGGCGGAGAATCCAGGACTACCTGAGGGGATCAACTCAAATAATTAACGAGAATGGGCGGATTGCAAATTGAACTTCTTATAACACTATGAAGGAGCATATTTTCCAAAAGTGGGAAACTTAATCGTCTCGAAATTGTCGTGACTTTTCCTGAAGCAGCTTAATGATAGCCTCGTTCCCATTCCTGGCGGCTAATAATAGTGGCGTCTGACTGTCTTTATCTGCTGCGTCAACGTCAACGCCAGCTGCGAGCAGCAATCTAATGACAGTCTCGCAATCACGTTTGACAGCGTGCATCTCGACAATACGACGCCGCCAAAAATCGGCTGTGGCCTTGTCGAATAACTTCACCGCTGTCTGTGTATCTTGACAAGAGTCGTCTTCCTGTCTGACCACGTAGCCTTGCTCTTGTCTGGCCATTCGCATTCTCTTCCTGCCCATCTCATCGAGCATCACGAGCTGCATGATGAAGTCTTCAACAAGAGGATCATCTTCAAGAATGTGGTGTCCCTCGATGGATACCGCATAAAATAGCGGTGTCCGACCACTGTCGTCCCTTGAGTCGGCATCGATTTTACCCGTTTCGAGGAGCAGCCCGACGATGGGCCCGTTTCCGTCCCCAGCGGCCCATGAAAGTAATGTTCGGCTATTTTTATCTTTCAACCCAAGATCAACTTTATCTGTCTGGAGCAGTAGTTGGACAATAGCCTGGTGGTCTTTTCTGGTGGCCCACCATAACGGTGTCCAGCCATGCTTGTCTTTTGCATTAATATCGGCGCCAGCTGCGAGTAACAGATGGGCGGCGGCCTCGTAACCAATCCTAGCAGCCCATAATAGCGGCGTTTGGTTGTCCTTGTCCCTTGCGTCGACATCAGCGCCAGCCGTGAGCAGCGTTCTGATGATGATAGCCTCACAGCCTTTCATGGCGGCCCACCATAACGGTGTCCAGCCATTCTTGTCTTTGGCATGAACATTGGCGCCAGCCGCGAGCAGCAAATGGATGGCGGCCTCGTAACCAATCTTCGCGGCCCATGATAACGCCGTTAGACCATCCTCGTCCTTTGCGTTGGTATCAGCGCCAGCTGTGAGCAGCAGTTTGATAACAGCTTCGTGCTCTTTATTGTCGACATGAAAAATCAGTGCCCGGCTAATATAATCTCTCGACTCGACATTGGTTTTATCCATCTGGAGCAGCACCTTGGCAATAGCCTCGTTGTCACCCCTGGTGGCCCACCCCAGCAGTGTTTGACCATGCTTATCCTTTATGTTGATATTGGCTCCAGCCGCGAGCAGTAGCTTAATGACATCTTCGTGCCCATTTTTGGCGGCCCACCACAGCGGCGTCCAGCCATTTTTGTCGTCCGATTCTATATTGGCTTTGTCCGAAGAGACAATGTAAAACTCGACCATTGTCTGGTCGCCAAGCTCTGCGAGATGGGAGAGAATACCTCTTTGTCTTGAAAAGGTAAAGCTGGGCCCAAAGTTGGGCCGTTTGTTTCTACTCTGGCAATACCGCTCATAAAGGTTGTGAATTGGAGACGTCGGGGATTTGCGTTCCGCCTGGGTTTTAAAAAACGTCCGCATTGCTTCATCACTGTTAGTAAATAGCGCTGCAAAAAACGGTGGCCCATAACGCTCATTTTCCACTTCAAAGCAGGATAGACAAGATGGGTGGCTTTGAATGAGATTGCCCATGTTATTTTCTGCCAATATATATAAGATGCTGGCACTTTCAGTATGTCGGCGAACTTGGTGCTTTTCCAGAAGATTGGCTAATTTTATCCAGTTGGCGAGCTGGAAGGTCGTCAAAAAACTCATCTGGCTGACTCCGCCGCCTTGTGCAGCATTGGCATGGTAGAAAATGTTCCGTATGGCATAGCTTAGAAACGGAAATGCTTTTTCTGCTTGTTGGCGGAGTTCTGTAGCTTCCTTGGACGATGCTTTTGGAAGCGAATTGTGAACCTCCAACTTAGTATAGACATCCATGCTTATGTAGTTGAGACAGCAATGCTTAAGCCTGTCGTGACTTTCTGCTTGGAAATTGTTTCCGAAATCCGACCAGACTTCTTTTAACCCATTTTCTTTGAGAAGGAAATCTTTTACTGATTCATGGATAAACTGGACTGTTGGCTTATTAGACCTGGTGACTTCAACTAACCCTTCAGAGCAGTTGATAATGAACTTCCGTAGAGTAGATTCCGTCATGTTATCCGGACTCCAATCGTGTAAAGCCTCGGGTTCGACGCCTGAGAGGATGGCAAAGTACAGCTGCTCCGGCTTTAACGGCTGTCTTGAGAAGAGTACCCACAGGATACATAAAAGGACTTGCTATTTATTAGCGCGAGCGCGCGTAAGAATGCCATGTAATAACTTGTGCACTTCTTCCGGGATGTCTCGGAGCTTTTCTCGAAGATTATAGATGTGATCACCATCATGCTCCATATTCAACATCTCCACCACAAGAATAACCCATAAGAAGTCTCCGGATGCCCTTTTTTGGAGATCAATGTAAATCTCTTCGGCAACTTGATTTTGTGGAATCTTCAACTTGTCGTTTAGGTAGTAGTTTATATCCAAGTTATGTCCTTCTTGTTCTTCAAGAACCAAGGTGAGTCCGTTTGTAAGGGTGATATGGGGGTAATGCCTACTTGAAAAGCACATTTGGAACCTAATACCGGCTGATGTAGTCCGTCTACCCATTTGTTCAAAAAAGGATAGCATATCTCGAATCTGACCTTCGTCACATTCATCCAAGGCATCTACAAAGCATGCCAGGGAGGATTTTCCAAGGCTTAGTATAGCTTGTCCAAGTAGGAATCTTAGCGACTCAACGGTCCATTGGTAGGGTTTGCATCGTAAAGAGTTGAAGACGTTTTGGAGTGCTGGAGCTTGTTCAAGAAGTTGAAGCAGCATCGATCGGTACATGCCAACTGCAGACTTCTCTAGGTCATCCCCTCGTGCATTAAAGAAGAAGGAGATGATGAAAGTTTTCCTCATCGTTTTGCAAGCATTATTTAAAGCGAAATTCATCAAGGTAGACTTTCCGGCGCCAGGCTTCCCCTTAATCCACAAAAGACCATGATGCTTGTCAAGCTTGCTAGGATCAAGCCAATCAAGATATTCGGGGTTATTGAGCAACCATTCACACGTGTTGGCGTGAGCTCTCTTGATGGCCATACGGCGAGAATCCATTTGATCGAATCGCAATGAGTTTAATAGTTCGTATCTTTGCTCTTTACTAAGCAACTGGTTCTCCCCTCTAGGCTGCGTTAAGCTTGCATCTGCCACTCTGTGTAGGGCGGCAGCGTTTGGTCCAAGAGCTACATTCAATTATTAGAAGCTCGCTCCGCAGTTGACAGACACTCAATGTTGACTAACCATCAAAATGGAGTTCTGTTGTCCTCACATCGATCTCTACCTGGTTTAGAGGAGCATCATCACTATCCACCTTCCTCCTCTTCTCTGGGCGTGCCATGGTTTCTTGATCGACTATAGATTCAACATTCATCCCTTCCATTATTCGGGAACTTTGTATACTGGTAGACGATAGAATTGAGTTCTCAAGCCCTTCTGCGTCGCATGGGTCAATCGGCGATGGCCTCAATATGCTAAAAGGAGATCAAAGGCCTAACATCTTCGACAAGCAGGAGGTTTGGATGTTGGCTAGTCGATAATTGAAAACAAAAAGGAAACAAATCCCTTGGGCTTCACTGACTCACCGCCATACCTAATGCGGGTGAAATAAGCAGAGCGGGCCACGCCTGAGGCAGCGTCAAGTGCATCCATTTGGCTAGTTGGATCACCAACAAAAGGGAGCGGGGTATGGCGCAATCTTGTTGTAGGTAACGATGCAACAGTTGACAACAGGTTTGTGCCTGACCTGCTGGTTGAATTGCTTGTGAAAACGGAACCGTGTTGTTCTAGAAATAGAATCCAAGACTCCAATAATGGTAGACTCTAAACCTTGATAAAGAACTTGACGAGACCCCGAATTCTCCACTACCTATGGTCGTATGTGTTTGGATGAGGAACAAGATTTCTCTATCATCTTGTGGTTGTATGAAGGATGCACACTCTGTATCGGCGGCGCCACAGACGTCCTTTAGAGGCAACTGAAGTAATTTTCAGGCCTCAGAATAAAACCGTTGTGAATGATAGTATTTTGACTACCCTGATCCTCAGTATAGATTCGGCATCACTTGCTGCTTGAAAGGAAGCCCGCCTTGTGAGAAAGCGGGTCTTCTCTCGATGCCTCAATGATTTGGAAAATTCCATATTATAGGTTGAAGATGGACGCTAATACGTAGCTGAAGCTACAGGACCTTAGCAATAATTGACGACGGACGCAGATTTTCACAGTAATTGTCGAATCCTTTTGAAAAAATATTAATGAGAGACCAAAATAACTAGTTTTGGTAGAGGTTTTATATATTAGCTAGCCTATCAGTGGACGTACATGATACTACTCCATCCTCAGTAGCCTGAAGTTGCTTAAACTGCCAGTTGCACTCTGATGCTTGATGTGTACGTCAGAACGGCATATATTATATCTTATCCTACATGTACTGAACTAGATAGGAGGTGTGCGTGTTAGCCTGTGCTAAACATTGGATACTTGCTCTCCAGCAGAGCCAGATTCTTGTAATTTATTCAAGGGGTTAGCATGATACATACCACCTCTAAGCTTTCCACTATGTAGTATTATCCGCGCTCCATAACCGTATTATTCCATCATTTGAACCCGATGCTATAAGCAACGAGTCATGTGAGAAGGTCACTGAATTAACCCAATCATGATGACCTTGAACCGTTTGCACACAAGTGCCTGTAGTAAAATCCCATAGCCGGATTATTTTATCATCTGAGCCTGATGCTATAAGCGACGAGTCATGTGAGAAGGTCACTGAGTTAACCGAATCATTATGACCTTGAAGCGTTTGCACACAAGCGCCTGTAGTAAAATCCCATACCCGGACTAATCTATCTGCTGAACCTGATGCTATAAGCGACGAGTCATGCGAGAATGCTACTGAATAAACTATATTATCATGGCCTTCAAGCTCCTTAATACACTCGCCTGTATTAGAACGCCATAGCCGGATTGTTTTATCAGTTGAACCTGACGCTATAAGCGACGAGTCATGCGAAAAGGTTACCGATTGAATATAACGACGATGGCCTTCAAGCGTCTGAATACACTCGCCTGTATTAGAACGCCATAGCCGGATTGTTTTATCAGTTGAACCTGACGCTATAAGCGACGAGTCATGCGAAAAGGTTACCGATTGAATATAACCACGATGGCCTTCAAGCGTCTGAATACACTCGCCTGTATTAGTACGCCATAGCCGGATTGTTTCATCATCTGAACCTGATGCTATAAGCGATGAGTCGTGCGAGAAGGTTACCGATCGAATATAATCACTATGGCCTTCAAGCTTCTGAATACACTCGCCTGTACTAGTATGCCATAGCCGGATTGTTTCATCAGCTGAACCTGATGCTATAAGTGATGAATCGTGCGAGAAAGTTACTGAACAAACACGGCTATTGCACTGAAGCTGCTTAATACACTTGACCGTATTAATACTCCATTGCTGAGCCATCTTCTCGTCAGACACCATCTGACTTTGGCAAGGTTTCGTATCGGATATATCCATTGCGTTGGCTTCGTAATCAGATCTCGCCTCATTTATGCTTCCAAACGACAGAGAATCGTCCATTTGCTTCAATTTTTCCAGCTCTCTTTCTATTGAAATGACCGATTCGTCTTCGCTAGAGGTTGAAGTTGCCGAACTATCTGCGAAATACGCATTGTGCTGAAAGTAATCGGAGGCATCAGCTTTCTTCGCCTGGGCTTCTTGGGCTCCCTCAAGGCTTTCATTCAGTAGATTATTGTTTATAAGCCAGCTGTCAACCTTGAACTTGCTTCGGCTCATTATTCTGTCAGCCTCCTCGCCGTTGTCATCTGCCCATGGCAATGATCTCAGCGAGAAAGAGTGGACATCTTTGGCAATATGATCGAGGAGAACATCTTCGTCCATAAATATTTTTATATTAAGATTTTTCTTCATTACTTTGCCTCCTTGATCTTCCACCCAATTGCAGAGTGGGCATGTTTCGATGCTCATCGGCATTGTCCGCTTGGAAATGTCGACCAATAGCGGAATATCGTCTTGTAGTATGGATGTTGCGTGCGTTTCGATAATATGTTCTCTAAAGGCATTCTCCTTGTCAAACCTTCTACCGTCTCGACAGGAAAAACAGATCCAGTGCTCAGAACTATGGTGTTCGTTGAGGAGATGGGTTCGCCAGTTCTCTTTTGTGGCAAAGAGAGTCTCGGGTTTAATGCAATCGGGTAGTATGCAAGTGTATGGGCTTAGGTCTTGAGCAAGGTGTTTTCTGTCTCGAGTCAGAATAGAGTACAATCAACACTTCAGGTGAAACGACTTACTTCCACTTTTGACCTTCTAAAAAGACCCTAGGAAGTGCCTGGCAACAACATGGGCACTTGAATATCAACACGTCCTCCCCCACCTTTGGGGGGTGAGGATATTTGAGTGAGCGGACTGTCGTTGACATGACCGTCGATGCGGCTGGTGCTGATTTATGCATCTGCTGCAGAGCCAGGACATTACTGACTGCTGATGCGCTGGTGCCTGTCCTTACTGTCGGATTTACTGGCCCGTTCTCTCCTCGATCTGGTTGTTTCTCTTGGATAGGCAGTGGCACTGAGGTTACAGCTACCTTGACGGGCTCTTTAGAAGCATCCGGAGGTGTTTCGGTCGCTTCTATAGGCTGTATGTGAGATTGGTTCTGTAAAATACCTGACCCTAACTTTTCAGCATGTCGTTGCGCATATAAGAATCGGTTTCGACGCTTCAGATTGCACCTAACTAGGCGTTGCTGAATCTCGCTCAGTCTCGCAGGATCGGTTTGCTCCTTTAAAATGCTTGGATTATTCAGATCGAATGAATGGAATGGCCCACCGGAAGACTCAGGGTGGGCAAGCAGAATTGTGACGAGATGCGTTTGCAAGTCGCTGTGGTCTTCCGGTTTGAACCGCTGATCTGCTTTCTGCAGCCGCGAACGTCTACCTGATCTTCGCACTGCGAGAGCGATTCGGGCAAGTTGATCAAGCATCAGCTCTATAGCTTTCATTTGTTTGCCTAATGGGCTGCGTGAAGCGAGCAATTTTAATTCCACCTCCCACTCTTCGTCGGTGGATTCGTCCGACCAAACAGGTGACGATCGACCTGTTTGTGCTCCCGCAACGGGTTGCTCGCCTGTATGTTCCACATCTTGGTTGATAATCTTAGAGAGGGCTAAGGCAAGTTTGTAACTGAAATTAGTGGCCACCTCGTCGACAGGATGATGATTCGTCTCTCACCTAACGCTTTGCACCGGTTGACAGCCTCAGTGAGGTGATTCAAGAGGGTCAATATGACCTCTCGCGCCTGAGGCTCAAGGGCGAGTCTGGAGTCCAGAGAAGCTCGCTTTTGCGCAGATGCTCCTGTACCCGAGACCCAGAGGTTAAAGTCGGCCAAGCGGTTTTCAGCCCATTCATCCTTTCCCAGTGACTCGACGGCCAAGCAGTCGGTGAAGCTCTGCAAACATTCTGCACTTGCTTGAGAAATTGTCTTGTCCATTTTTGCATAGATACTCCAGAGACTCTAGGATTAGAAAGGTGTAAAAAGAAAATAACTCCATTGTTACACGTCTTCTTCTGTTCCGCTTGTGGATGGAGGGGAGATGGGACTTCACGTGGTGCCATCGGAAGCCATTGGTCGGAACCCCGCGTCTTAAGCGTAGAAATTGATTACGCAAAGGGTGAAAGATGCATACCTCTATTTCAGATATGTTTATCATGAGGAGGGGGGCTCTGATGATGCATTAATAACACATTTCGACCCTTGCTTCATCGCGAGGGCAAGCCCAGAATTTTATATAAACAAGTTCCTCGCGTTGTGACGACTTCGATTCACGACATGGCCCAGCAGCCTACTTATTTCCTTGCACCCAGCTTTCGTTTCAAGCCTGGTACAGGTCCAATAGCCTTGGGCAATATCATTGCAGACCCGCTGCGGCCGCATCGAGCGCTGACTACCGTCGGGGAGGAGACGTTGAAGACAGATTATCCTCGAGTCGAAACCATTGCCGATCAGGACCGTAGTACAGTTCGGAGTGCTAGTTGTGATTTTTCGATGGCGATATGGTCCCAATTCCTGCAGACCATCTCCGCGAAAGTATCTGGTGGGCGGAGTGTCAACATGCAAACAACCTATACAATGAAGGCCCTTAAAACGACTTATTTTGTCACCGACCCCGGTCTGGAAGTAATCGAGGCACGTCTCAGGGCCCCGCGTGTCCAAGCAGTTATCAAGGCCAGTAATATACCTGGCTTCCGGCATCCGGTTTATATGGTCACTGGCCTGATGGTCGCCAAGGGCTTTGCCGCTGTTCAGGAAAAGGCAAGGACTAAGGCCGGCGAAGTGAGCGCCACTGGAGGTATCCTCACGCCTGCAGGTGACGTAGGGCTCGGGGCAGGCACCACCAGCTCCTCTACCGCTGGGCAGGGCGATACATGGAAGACGACAGATGATATTATATTTGCATATCAACTTCTTAAGATCGAGGTCAAGGGTTGGAGGGGGACAAGAGTCGAATATGATGAATTTAGACACAATGCGGCGTATCTCAGCAAAGACGATTCGGAATCCTGTTCCGAATCTGATGGAGAAGATGCGGACGACGAAATTAAGGGACAAGTTACAGTGTGTGCAGCGGGAGTAAACAATCTATCACCTTCAAGCCTTGGGGGGGTTGAGATTGAGCAGGTGGAACTAAAAGAAGGCGAGTATAGGATAATATGTATATCAGCGGTTGACGTGTAAGGACAACCGGGAGATGGCCATACACACCGGCTTGATAGCCATACGCAAAGCATGGAATGACTGATGTTATCTTTGTTTTTTTTTGGTCTAGTTTCTTTTATTACTCATAATGTCTTAAACATCTGCTACTGCCCCCGCAATCTTTATCCATCGTTCATCCTCTGATTTATCTAGTAGCTGCCATGGTGTCAGATACAAAGAGTGCTGATTCAGGGTCCCAGTGGAGAGAGCTTTGAACAAAGCTAGCATTCCTCGATGTGTATATATCTTCCTCTTCACGTTCTGCAATATGGGATCCGAAGAAGCACCGACTTCTATTCTGTTGATGTATCCTATTAAAAGGGCTGCCGTCGCTGCCGCTATTGCGGTTGCAACAGAGGTGCCAGTCTGGCACTTTTTGCCGCTATAGTCGCTCAACCATGCGCCCGGAACCTTCAAGCCCAGGGTACCAAATGTAACGGTGTCGTTATCGTTCCGAGGTGGGTTAAAGCCTTGATATTGACCATCCGCATTGGTGGCGCGGATAGATATCACCGAGTCATGACGAGCAGGAAACATCTCCACCTGGTTTGACCCAGAGTTTGAAGCAGCTGCGAAGAAGAGTATGGATCCGTGACTGTCATTTAACGCATCAAGTATAGCATCGCTGATACACTGCTGCTCCTCAGTGTATCCGAATGACATTGTGATTATGTCGGCCTTACACTCCTTACTCGCCCAGGCGATGGCCTGAAGTCGTGTTAGCACATTGCTACTCACTTGCTGCAAAACGACTTTACCTTTGCAACATTTTTGCTTGCAGTCGAGAGTCCAGTGGCATCTTCTGCGACACGAGCTATATATACATCGGCATCTATCGCAATGTCCATGATAAGAGAGATCAGATGGGTTCCATGCCCGTGTTTATCCACCCGCTCCTCAGACCCATCAACATGGTCTTTCCATCCTTTGAGACGAGAAATATTGGATGGAAGGTGAAAGAATGGGGAGTCATCGTCGCAACCGGTGTCCAGAACAGCAATCCGAACACGTCTGGTGGAATGTCCCGGGGTAGCTGACAGGATCCCGCTCAGCTTTTGCATACGCGAGAGCCACTTCATAGCCTCTTTCTCATCCTTATCATCTTTTGCGCGGGTTTTCTTGGTTTTCTTATTATCTTGTTGCCCCCAAAGGCCGTCATTAGAAGAATGTTGTTTAACCTGCTGAACGACCGATTTTTTGATGGAAGTATTCAGAGGGTCAATTCTATTGTTAGTTAGTTGTTCCATCCACTTCGTCCCTTCTAGGAGGTCTTTCAGTCGAGAGACAACCTTTTTATACAACAAATCCCTTCGCTGTCTTAGGCCTTGCTGAGTTTCTTCTGCTTCTCCATAAAGACTAAACATTTTGGGATCCAAGCAGTCTTTGACAGCATCACGGTAGTCAGGGAACTCAAAGTTCTCCCAGAGTTTGCCGTCATTCAGGCACCGAATAGCCTGCGTCAAATATTGATTGGTGGTGGCCGCTAATGACTGTGCTTGATGCTCGCGATCTTGCTTAGGAAGTGGCGACCCAATGCCGATTTCGACCAGCATAATTCCCAGCGTGCGGATCCTTGGGTAATAATGTATCTCACCTTCCACGGTGCTATACTCGTCGAAACGGGGATCCTCGTTGTCGAATTGAACAGAGAGATACGGCTTGGACGGGAATAAGAGACCTTGATGACCAGGAAGGTTATCTTTACTCTCCCAAATGAATTGAATAGTCTCACTCGTCCATGTAGTTGTCATCCAGTCGGTGTCGTAGTACTGCCAGACGGAGTGGGCAAGTATATATGCGAGCACAGTTTTCATCTTGGCTGAAAGATGATAGTTCTCGAGAATATTGGCGAGTGAGATGCCTGGAAGGTGCTGAACCATTTGCTTCAATAAAGATGGTCTATACTTCTGAAGCTTTTCGTCTTGGACTGCCAAACGGACGCGGGAGCTAGTATCCGACTTTATGAGCCTACAAAATTCCCCTTGGCCAACAACCCCAATAGCATCTTCTGCGCGTGGAAGTCGCCGGGGATCTTCATCGCTCTTGGAGAATCGTGTGCTTTTAGCTGGTCTGCTTGAACTCTTTTGCCTCTTTGGGGGCCTGCATTTATTGGTCAACTTCGATGATAAGTCTTTCAACTGAACCTCCCCACCCAATAAAAAAAAAGGAAAAAGAAAAAGAAAGTATCTTACTGTGAAACGAGCAGCTCTACATCTTGCCAGCGGTTGAATTGCTCTCCCCATTTAGTACTGCATGAAAAGAGCATGTCAAACTGAACCTGCCCGTAGTCGTTTGTGTTTTGCAGCACTGGCTGCAACATCAATCTCGCCAAGTGACTAAAGCCTCTCTGGGTTGAACCATCACATGTGCAATACATATGCTTTCGTAGGACATGAAAAGCATTTGCGTGGATTTCACGAGGATGAGGATCCACCGGTCTATCCTTTCGAGGCTTCGTTAACACCTCTTCATCGACCTCACGCCCCGTTTCGTTTGCTCGCAGTACGATTCTTCTTAGGCGGCATATAGACTCGGTACCATTTCTATCATTTGATACGAGGTTTCGAATTCCTTGTTCGATTTTCCTCTTGACTATTGTATATCCTCGCGAGCCTTCTTGCTTCTCTGCGACGGCCTCCAACATTGGATATCCGTACGTTGGGTCTTTTGAGAGCCGGTTTGGCCACTGACAACAGGTTAGGCGCTGCTTCGCCTAGTGGGATTCTAGACTTACGCTACATATCCTCTCAACATGCTTGACCAATTTGGAGATGTGCAACTTCAGTTCATCGTAGTCGCTTGGATCAATAGAGCCGAGATGGTCGACCACCAGCCACAGTTCCGTTCCAAGAGAAGCGCACGTCGGGTTCATAAGAGAGATTCCTAAATTGATGGCAATTTTTGCAACCTGGCTTATGGCGGTCTGTGCAAAGTCCAGCAAGTCCTTGTTGGCCATCCCGGATCCTAGACGATGAGAGCTGACGATTTCGAATTGTCAGCTCCTGGCAAAATCTGGGAGAAAACAGGCTCGACACCATAACGAAACTTGTACTCGGTATAGGCTGGAAAATCCTAGACCCGGAGCGGGGTTGGGCTGGCATCTAAGCCGAGCCTCCAAGGCTGTGGAGGCCCAAATCCTCGTTGACAAGAGTGATTGATGCTAGTCCTCTGTAAAATACATGCTCCAGGTAGCTAATATAACCCTTTGCGTTGTGTGTTGAAATAACGTCCAAGTCCATAATACCTCGGCATGTTGGTTTCTACACGCTGAACTTGCCAGCACTATTGGTTGGATTGTCTGAGGTTCATCCGGGTGTTGCCTACCTGGGAGGCCTGTTGTTGCGAACTTGCGACTATAAGCGTTGGATCGTGCCATATAAATATAGATATATAATATCCATATAATAATATAATCCGCTAATTCTACTTTATACTTAGTCTTATGATCTAATTATATTATGGAAATCTAACAAAGGAGCGAAGTTGGAGAGGCGTAATTTCGTTTTCTGTAATGGTGGTCCTAGTAGTGAAACGCTAAACAAATTCAGGGACACGATTGTCGACTGCATTCAGTTAGGTCCTTTTAGAGCATGACTGCCCCCCTCAAGGTATGTCATTCATTTATGGTTATTTTATAGATATAGTATATGGAATGTTAACATTTTTGAAAGCTGTTCGGTTCCAAATGAGTCAGATCGGTGATGATTATTCGGCCATGTCTTTCCTTGAAGGGCTTAGATATGATGAGGCTGTTAAGGACGTGCTCTTCTGCACTTCGCGTAAGTGGTTTTATATGTTCTCCCGCATAGAGTCCAGTTATGACAATTTGCATAGCCCTTTGAGTATGGACAGTTTCGCCGAGTACCTAGTACCTTATACTAGGGGTCACGTACTCCCCCCGTCAACCATAGGTTCAGCTTAACCTACTACTCTATCTAGGTCGCATCAGGAGTGGGCGAAGGAGGCGGGGATATCCTTATACATAACCGCGATATGAATTTTCATTTAACCCCCACGGTCAAATGACCCTGGCAGATACACGCAGTGCCACGATAGCACTGCTAAGCCGCTTCGTTCTGCAATTCAGTGGCTGGGAGACAGGCAGTCTTTATTTTCCATCTGTTCAGTTTCCCACCAGCTTATAAACTTTCGACGAAGTAGGTCTCTCATTACCTGTCTCAATTACCCGCGTCTTGAATTTCGCGTATAATATTTTTTATTTTTTTTTTCCACTGCGTACTCGCACTCATTTCTCCCACGATGGCGTCCGTCTTGCCGCTCCGCTTACTCCGCTACGATGCCGCCACTCAAAGCTTTGCCGTCGTGCAGCCCAATGCCCCGGGTGCACCTGGAGTGCAGTCGTTTGACATAACTTCGTACACGTGGGGACTGAAGAGAAAGATCCCGTTCAAAACTAACATCCAGGGAGTGACCTGGCCCTTGTACTTGTCCAAGAAGAAGCTGCGGAACCTCAAGAAATTGATGGTGCAAGACGGGATTGAATATCTATGGGCGGATTGCGTGTGTATCAACCAGAGCGACGATGCTGAGAAGGCTCGCGAGGTGCCCAAGATGTACGAGTACTACAGGAGCGCTCGCAAGTGCCATATACTCCTCGAGATTGACGAGGTATGGGACCCTCAGAAGACGGTCGCCAATCTCGGCTTCGTGGGCCACGTCATGTCGCAAACGAGTGGTGAGGCCATCACCTCGGAAGCGAAAATGACGCAGAATATGGTCGACAGCCTGTCTGAGTGGGCTAATACTGCGCCCTGGGCCTTTCCCATGGATAAATCCATTGTCAAGTCGGCTTCTATAGACATGGGCCTTCTTAACTGCTACGCCACATGCGTCAACCAAGTCAAGGCCGTGTTCGACAATGTCTACTTTCAACGCGTCTGGACGTTCCAAGAGATGCTGCTTGGTAAGAACACCACACTGTGGAGTGTCGACAAGGCCACGTTATCGTGCGTAGGCGAGTTGGGTGTCTGGATGGACCTGGCGACCGACTCGATGGACAAGGCGGCCAAGCTGTACAGCTGGATCAACGATTCTCGGCACCTCAAGACCACAACCCACAGCAAGATCCTAGCCTTGATCAATTATGACAATGACATGCTCCGTGGCCTCAAGATAGTAGTGGAAGGTATCAACGCTGCAAGAGGCGACATCATCAACGGCGGCCCTTTGTGGTGGAAAAGAAACCACAAGGGCGTCGGCAACGTGTTCTCGTCCATCTCCATCATCCCCCGAAAGGCGACATGGAAGCCCGACACCTTTACGGGGCTTTTGGGTGTATTTAGCGGTTTGTTTACACCGGCAGAGTTTGAGCGGGATATGACCACCACCGACCTCAACGCCCTCTCGTTTGCCTTCTTCAAGCAGCTGTCCATCAAAACGGGCCAAGCATGGACCAAGCTCGCCATCGGCAGTGGGGAGGATCGTGATTGGGGCTGGATTCCAGTTGGCCCAAAGTATGAAGATGCAATTCCCGAAAAGAAAGAATATACTGACCACGGGCTCATCGGGATGGGGGACGAGGAGGACTTTAAGAGCGATGAGGAGGAGGATAGACTTGAACAGGAGGAAAGAGATGGAACCGACGACGACGACAAGAGTGACGACCAGTTCACGACCACCGATTGCTTCTCTGGAGTAATCAATCTCGGCATCCTAAAGCAAAACACAAGTCTAGCCAAGGTGTATGCCACGACAGGCCTCACTGGCAGCCCACGCGCGTACATGAAAATAAGTCTAAACCAGGTTCCATCAACTGGGGGTGGCCGGCCAGACTTTAAATTTTACTTCCGGGGCTGCAACTGCGGCAAGAAGATCAAAACAGGAACCTTGAAGACCGAACCGATACTTGATCACTCCGAGCAGGTGGTTGAAGTATCTGGCGACGAGACCGGCGGTTATCTAGTCCAGTTCGCCACTATGCTAGGGAGTGTCTTTGACCTGGGCGAGGACCTCGCAATCTTCCGCAAGACCCTCCTCGAGAAGCTGCAGCCCTACTGGGACTTCACCGACCCCAGCGCTCGGCCAGTCAACTGGATCGACCGGTGCGTGAGCGGCACCGAGTGGGAGAATCCGTCGTACGAGTACCTACGCCATCACAACATGTCGATGCACTACCGCCTGCGTCACATCACGCGCTACCAATCTCGCCTCGAGAACCCTTCCACGCGGAACATCTCCTGCCGCGTCGAGGTGAACTGCGGCTGCGTCATCGAGGCGCCCTTCTCCTTCGTCTTCGAGGGCCTCACCGCTGTCAAGGGCAGCCCGCTGGGGACGATGTCGGCTACGCAGGACGGCGCCAACCGCATCATCATCCGCGACGGCCTCGGCCTGGTCAACCCCGGGGGGGTAGGGAAGAAGAGGCTCGAGAACTCGGACCACGACAGCGTCCTTCGTCTCGTGGCCTTTGGCGGCAACATCGACGCTCACAAGTGGCATGCCTCGCAGTGCCGCAGCCAGAAGGAAAGCAAGCCCCTGCCGAGACCGAGACACGAGAAGCCGTGGCCCACGGGCAGAGCGCTCGTCAGGGACGGGTTCAGCCATAATGCTATGTTGAGAGATTACGGGTACGCCGAGACTGGGCCGGATGCGAGGCTGACGCAGCGCCGTGGCGGCGACAACGGCGACGATGACAAGTACCAGGACGATCTGTCGGAGGAGGAGAAGATGGCGAGGAAGAGCTGCGGCAACCTGCTTATTTGTCGGAACAATCCGATGAGTCCGTACAGAATCATCGGAGTCTGCGTGGACGGCGAGATTGCGAGCAAGAAAGGGCAGGATGTTGTTACGATTCGTTAATGGAGAAAAAAAAAAAAAAGGTTCATCAACTGGGGTACTAGAGTTGTCCTGCCAGTCGCGTTGAACGACGGAGCTACCTAGAGAGATGTGGTGGTAGTCATGGTCGTATGTACTCGATATCTCATGATGGACCAACTGATGAGGAGCTTGGTGTTGAAGCTGCAAGACCAAAAAGCAACAACACATCATACAACAGCCGGTATTCGTCACCCACCCAATGATATAGCCAACTAGGATCCTTATAAAACCGCATTTTTTCCGCTTGAAATTAGTGCTTACCGACCGGAAACTCGGCATATATAACAGCCACGTATAGCTCTCAGTCGCTAATAGTGGTGAGAAACAACCACTTGTTCACGCGCCTCTCTGAGCTCTGACCGTTCTTATCAAGCCATACTCGTATTTCTCAAAGACTTTATAGTTTTATTTTAAAGATTCAGATATGGAATCTTCGTCACTAACGGCTACGGATGTCGATAAGAAACGAGTTGTCGACCTATGCGTTCGACTTCTCGAGACATTAAAGCTGGGCGGTGCAGCAGGACGAGAGCAATTTCTGGCTACTCTTGCCCCATATGGAACTGCGTGCCACGCTCGAGCTATGGTAGGGACTTTTGATTCACTTCGTAATGACATTGCGAGACCATCTCCCCCGAAACTACAATATACAGTATACCTGTACTCACAACCGTAAATGCAACAGGTAAACAAAGGCTTTGAACATGAGCAATTCCCGCACGGTTTTGCAAACCGCATGCCGTGGGACTCGATCGAGGCTGGCGAGCTTGAAGAAGGGCTTGATGGCACCCCTACAGTGTTAATTGACCACGACCTTGCTATGGTTTGGACGCCCTACTGGTTCACGCGCAATGGTGCTCTCACCCATCTGGGGACGAATTGCTTTACTCTTATTAAAGCGGCCTGGGATGAAAGCTTGCCGCACAAGGTGGAGTGGAAGATTTGCGGCCTAACTGACACTGCTCGACCTCCAACAGAGGAAGATAAGAAACGGCTTGGGAAAGAGTAGAGAGGATCAGTAATTCATGCCTATTCAAATGCATGTAATTGTGATAGGCATGGGCTTCCCATTTGAAACACACATTTTCTCAGCTCAGATAGTTCAATCCCATAGTTATAATTCCGAGTTGGAGTCGCAATTACCTGGACCTGGGGTCTGTTGCGTACATAATGTATGTACGATACGTACATGTAAATTGGGCGGAAGCACCCAGCATCTCATAACAACCGCCATCCAGGGTCTACCTTGACGCCTGTGTCTCTAAAGAGAGCCCTCAGCAACTACCAAGGTGCGCGGCTCAAGACCTCCTTTGTGGGTATAAACGCCCTGCAAGTCTCCGACGGAGCGCCGAACAATCCATTCTTCGGCTGAAATCTCCGGATCATTCGTCTCACTGACAGGCTGCCTGTCTATTAGACCACCTTTTAGCCTTTTGAGGACGACACTATCCTCTGGCCGTGAAAAATACACAAGGCTGTGTCTGCTTAGGCCATCTTGGGGTGGCAACGGAGGAACAACGCGATGTATGTTTGATCGCAGCAAGCCAGCCGTAAACTTGACAAGCGCATCGCCGAGATTCACCACAGCTGAGCCGGGTATGGGCCGAACGTAAACCCAGTCTTCTGTGTCCGGCAGGCGGATCTGCAGCCCAGCTAACCAATTGAACAAGATAGTGAGCGTTCCAAAGTCTGTATGCTCACTCCGGCGTGCAGCTTCTTCCGAGTATGGCTGTATTCCGCTTTTGTTGAATCGAATGTGATCACCAGACCGCTCGGTTATGCGATGGAGTCTGGCAATCGTGCCAGAAGGTACTTGGAGATGCCTCTCGAGATGTACAATTAAGAGGTCGATAACCGCTCGGCAACTATAGACATACTCGCGAAGCAACTCCCAGTGTTGCGTTATCAGATCGGGACACGGCAGCGGCTCACAATTCCCAATAATGTCATCTTTGCGCATCTGAATTGCGGTCAGTGCTATTTTCAAGAACGCTAATAAACTTGAGCATCTTACATTATATAGCTCGTTCCGATCACGCGTGCCGTCCTCTCTTATGGGGCCTATCTCGCTGTGACGATAGCCGAAGAAAGGATGCAGCTTTTCACGGGCAAATTGATCCTTTTCGGCGAATGGCAAATCATCAAACTTCTTTTGGAGAGCATGGAGCTCCTCTGCTAGCAAAACCATCTTTTCGCCTAAAGAAGAACCATCCATCTTCAAGTAGAAGAAACCCAACTCTTTTGACGCTTTGAAAAGAGCTTCTGAGGCGGCAACATTATCTGCTTCCAACTCGGCAAGTGAGATGGAGACCAGGGGGGCAGTTACCACGCCATCAGGGAAGGGCGGGTACAGATGATGCGATGTAGCTGGGGCCATGGTGATGTCGTTTTCGATGGTTGCTGTAAACGGTGCTCTTTGTTGACGAAGATCAGTGTATTGTGCGATATAAGAAGCTGAAAGTTGCATCCACCAGAATAGAATACCAGCGGGCGCCTGAATTGGTTCCTGCTTATATACCTCGGCATCTTGGTTCCGTTCATACCACTGCGCTGCTCTATAGGCTAATATTCATCGGCGAGAACCAGCCCGATTGTGATTGAGCTACTGACCCCGCTCGGCATATTCTCCTAAGAGTACAGACGATCTGCCCCAGATCTGTTCTTAGTGTAGAGTTGCACATGTGGTAACTCGGCTAACCCCAATTACGCCCATCGTTGACAACAGCCAGGTCTACGCTTTGGGAATTCTATAACTTCAGATTTGGAGTCTTGAGATGTAAAATATGGAAGACACCACACTTGAGAGAAGTGCTTAACGGGACCCCGAATTTCCCACTACCTATGGCCGTATGTGCTTGTTATTCTTTCTCGCGAGGTTATATCTTGTGGCTTGCATGCGTCTAGAGCGTGGACGGATGTGATGACACTAAAGCCTGAGCCGCGTCCCTGCCATGCTCATTAATATCGAGAGAATGCTTTTTCACCACGTCTTTTTTCGCGTCTTACTTCAAGATCGACCTCATACTCATTAGTACATATATAGTCATTGCTTGGTTGGAACCAATTTTTGTATAAGTGCACTAACAATTATATAAAAGAACCCAATTTTCATGTCTACCCTGTTAGCTTCCAAAGACCCATTTGAAGGCATTCCCATCTGAAAGGATACTTTCCCTCTCCTTTGTAAAATATCTACAAGCCTCCCCAGTCAAACAGTCGCGCTGAAGTTGCCAAATCCAGCTTATTTCCCCAATATTCCACACCCTCGTGCTCATACGCATCCGGCAAATGGCCAATTATGTTAAAGTATTTTCGCAGAGCTTCCTTTTTCTGCGCCTTTCCAGAGGCTGTATGTGGGACCTGCTCTCCATCTGGGATGATCCGAAGCAACGTTGGTAGTTTGTAGGAAACAACTCCAGCGCTAGCGAGATCTTCACGAATAGTCCGAAGGGTGACGTTTTGTGCTTCGTCGCCGGCATCCTTCTTACAAAGTCGAACAAGCGCGGCGGCTAATCCGCCAGCATGGTAATCTCGCACTGGAAGAACGTGAGCTTCACATATATATGGAAGGTCTACCAGACGCTGCTCAAGCTCCAGGACAGATATCGTGTACTCATGAAAACGCAGCCCTATAGGTTCACCGTTAGTTCAGTAGACTCTGATAAACACCTTGAATCGAGGAGAAACACACAGTCGCATGACATCCTGCCGTCAAAGTAGTAATCCTCGCCAACGCGGTGAGCACGATCTCCCGTTTTATAAAATCCGTTGTCGTCAAAACAAGCACTGGTTGCCTTTTCATCGTCGAAATATCTGCAAATAAGAGTAAGAAACTGCTCCTCAAAAGTATTCAGAGCATGCTAAAATGTACTAACCCGATGAACATGGTAGGACTTTTAACCAGAATCTCTCCATGGTCTCCTTCAGAAAGTTTCACCGTGACGCCTTGAAAAGGTCTTCCAACGTAGCCCTGCATAACGGTTAAACCAGACACATGGCAAGGATATTCAGGCCAAAATACGCACCTCGGATATAGCTGAGCCCTCTGGAGTCGCCATAACACCTCCGCCCATCTCCGTTATCCCATATCCATTCCTGAGCACTGCACCAGCCAAATCTGTAAAGAGTTGTGCAGTAGAAGGATTAAGCATAGAACCGCTTGTAAAAACAGACTTTAGGCTTCGACATCCATTGACATACGCCTCGCGATCTTCAGAAGGAAGATGACATATGTTATTGTGGTAATACTCGACCAGTCTTCTCAACAGCGTTGGCGACACGCTCATGTCTGTAATTTTACCTCCTCGTAGGATCTCCCAAAAGTCTGCTGGCTCAGATTCGGCTTTCATCATGTGCAGGTTTTCGCCATTGAGCACGCTGTCTATGAGCCCCGTGCCTCCAACCCAGTGGACAGGGCAGGACGCTAAATAGACAACTTCCTGAGATGGAGGAGCTTCTGTGAAATGGAACATTTGACGTGGGAGAAAAACGCCTTTTGGCAACCCAGTGGTCCCAGACGTGAAGAGAACAAGACAGCCACTGGCTGGTGAGAATGTCAACCCTTTGTCAATCTCCCAGGCAATTGGGTTCGTATTCGACTCAGGCTGTGCCCTTGACAGTTGTATCAAGTTCAACATTTGGCTATTCTGGGTTTGTGCATGGTCTCTAAACTTGACGGCCATCTCAAGGGTGTTTGACTCCGCGAGAATGCATGTTGCCTTGGTCTTCTTCAAGAAGAAACTTGCTTCTTCGGCACTGCATCCGGTGGCTAGTCCCTCCGTTTAGTGACCACTAACAGCCTTTCCATGTCTCTTTGACTTACATAGAGGTATGCACACGCCTCCCAGGGCAACAATAGCCAAAAAGCTGATTATAAAATTGTATCCACTGAAGGCAAGAAAAGCTATAGATGAGGCATCTTTGCGAAGAAGGCCACTCTCGTCGAATGAAGACGCCGGGAGCTGCTTTCGGAGTAAACGACGAACGTGGACGATGTCGCGGATCAAATCATTATAATTAGCATCCACACCGTAGTCGTCATGAAATTGCAAATCTGGCCTTTCAATGGAAAGCTGAATGAGTCTGTTGAATATGGCATCGTTCGGAAATTTTTCGATAACCTCGGCGACGTTGTTCTGAAGTGCCGGTTCTTTGGATGGCCGGCGCCTAAAGATTGCGTAGAGTCCGGATAGAGCTATGGACCCGATTCCGCTCAATGAATAGGCAAGAGAAAACATATTGTTTTTGAAATACGGCCAACGGCGATTGAAAAACCACAACGAGCAAGCTTGTTCGAGTAAACCACCAGCCTGGCTGGCATACGATGCACTTTAAATACCACAACGGCTGGTGGCAATAGCAGAAACAAGACCCGACTAACGAGTGACAGCAGTAAGGATCATCAAAAGCGGCATGCTACCCTTGAAAAGACGGCAAACATCATATCGGCGGCCTAGGAATTCCCTTAACACGAAGTGAAATTGTCCATTACGGAGTCGTGTTAGCAAGCGACTTAGTGCTACGTGAAGGGAGAGCCGATGACATGGTTTTAGCTTCATCTATCACCTTATACCGAGATTGAATCTTTTGGCGCCATGCATGTCTCAGAGGGCTCCAGTCCCCAAATCCTGGAGCTGCCTTCAGTTTGTGGCCGGTGGCTGCCTGGGGTGAAACCTGTCTAAGACTGCGGCTGAAGGATCCCTGCGAGCAACGTCGTACATTGGCACAATTGGGTGACAGTGATATCAATGTTTCACTATAGCCTGCCTAGACGATGAGAAGTTTGTGATGTATCGTTCATATTGGTTCATATTAGTTTCTCTGATTTGCTAAGATTTACTACCGTACCCTGGTCTTCTGAATGCCTAGCGAGGAACCGCCAACAGGCAACTGGCACAATATAATGCATCCAATCATGTATATTATTTTAAATACGGGTAAGACAGATGTGCAACATGATCAAGAGATATAGACATCGCCATGTCAAATGATGTAAATGTGTACCGTGATGCCTAATTTGCACATATCATCAATGAATTAGATCATTGTAACTCATTCCGATTCAACGGTTCAAAAAGATAATCATTTATCGAGTATTCAATAATTCAATATAAGCTAAGAGGAAACTGAAGTCAGTCTCTCTACAACTCTGCGCTGGTACGATCCCTCCTACCTGCGGCCTTGTTTGCCTTTGAGGAATCTCGAGCAGCATTTCGCGTGACAAATCCGGCTATTAGGAAAGCCAGAACGCAAACCAATTCCGGTATCAACGATAAGAGGACACGTATTGTGAGAGAGCCCGTAACAGGGTTCAAAGTCTCGTCTTGTGTGACCAGCGCAACGAGGGTGTAAATGACACGAATGCCACTGAAAACATCCGATACGAGAACAGACCAAAGAAGCTATTGCTGACTTAGTCAACTGGGATATTTGCATATACGCCCATGAAAAACACTTACCCTGGTTCCTGCAACAATAGAAGACTTTGGCCTTTGAGATTTTGCTGGATGAGCGAGTGCCCATACTGATACAATGGCAACAATCGCCCAGGAGAGAGTCAAAAGAGCTATACCAGCTTTCACCAAAGAATCGTCCGTGGAAATATCTGAGAGTTTGACGTTGCTGGAATCCAGATTCGACACGCCAATGGCCAGAATGGCAACTCCAGTAGTAGCAATGCCGTGAAACAATAGCACCACAGTCCATTCCACCTTTTTATCCAAAGAGTCGCAGTAATAAGTCCTTCTATTCATATCCATTAGTATACACGCATGATTATCTTGGAAATGGAACATTACGCTTCTTTGAGAACGCCAGATGCAGCGAGGAGAAGAGGAGATAGGCCAATGCTTGATATAATGCCTGCTGTAGTACTGCCAGACAGATCCAGAGCACCTCCAACGATACGGAGCGTACAGAATATGAGAAGGTAAGCCCATCCAAGCAATCCAGTGCGACCATGTTTGAACAGGATGTATAAGTTCGGAATGCTAAGAGCAGCATAGATGGCCAACTCGGCGGTCGATGTCGCAGTCATTGTGCGTAACTTGGGTTCTTTCCGTCTGGGCGTCTTCAAGTACTCGGCAAGGATGTAGCGAGTTCGATTGTGGTCGAGATTGGACTATGATTTGGATGCTGCCTTTTGGCTTCTATGGTTCTTCGTCGCTAAAGGATTAGAGAGCCCGTTTCTTCCAGTGAGACAATCGTAATTAACGTGAACAAAAATCGGCAAAAAAAAACTAATAAACTGAAGGTTAGAAAGTTGGTAAGGTTCAATGAAATAATATAGAAAGAAAATGAAAACTTACAGTATGTAAGTCTGGCAATGCTTTGCGCAAGCGGTGATTTGTTTACGACTTAAAGAGAGAGTGGGATGTAAGAGCAAGGCGGCAACACCAAACCATCCAACGCCCAAGCCCTTATATGCCTCGACTCTCTCGAGGCCTCCCGTGGTTCAACTGATAGTATTTCCATCGTTTATAAAATTTTATTCTGCAAGTTTAGAATCAGGGTCTCTTCAAAAGCTCTTTTAAAACAGAATGGCGCGTCCTGCAACGCAACCGATCAGCGGCAGGCATCTGATAAGTGGACCCTAAACGATACCGAGGAACGAGACCGAAGAACGAGCTAATAGGCAACTAGGATCTGGAGGAGTGGCGGTGCGAGAAAAAGTGATGAGTTCAAAGAATTATGAGGAATAGGAATAGAGAAAGTCTGTCGTTTTCTAGTTGACTCATTATATATATTACGCAACACAGTCCGTGCTCGGCTATCTAATTGAGTAGTGTAGATGTTGACCAGCCCTGTCTGAAGCCATCCAAAGGGCAAGGCAATAATAATGACCCTCTTGTTGACTTATACTAAAGCTCGATTTGTTCTTTGGTATATTCCCAATCAAATAAACGCCATGACATATTTCGTCCACGAAAAAACATCATTTCTCATTGTCGCTCTCGGCAAATGTTTGACCACGATCGCGGATTATTTGCAGCGGCCACTCCATCATACCAAGCCATTCGCTACCAAGATTGGCTTTGATGGCCTCAATCTCCTTTTCCGGACAGTTACCCACCCACCACAGCCCGTCGAGGGTATATAGCAAAGCAAAATAGTGCGCGAGGATAACCATGGCACGTGGGCTCGGCACATCGAGCAGAGTGAGGAAACGGTCGTGCAAGATGGTGGGGAAAATCGCAAGTCTTCGAGATATCTTCGGATGCTCTTCTCCAGCTTCCTTTGCTGCCGCGACTGACCCTATGTACGCAACCGCGGTTGTATATGCCTCATAGTCGGCGCCATCCAGAGACGCATCGGCCTTTGCAGGCAGCAAGTAAGCAAATTTCGCACGATTCGCGTCCGAATAGATGGTATCCAGATCAACGAAGAGAGAAGCCCCCTTGGCTATGATACTAAGAGATGAATCAGAATCTTCGCCGATCATGTCTAGCCCGAGCGCAACAACATTTCTGACTCCTCTACACATCTGGAGCCATGCCGTCGGTGGCTTATACGGCATGTTAGGGTGGATCGGTTGCATCCAACGTTCCCTGAGGCTAGCGAAAGCATCAAATATGAGAATAATGGAAGTGAAACCGGCCGCATTAGCAGTTCGATGATCCATAGAGCCAAGTGCCTTGCGGTGGTGCCGCACGGTCGCCTCGAAATACCTTGCCCTGTATGCAAAAAGCCCGGCCTCTGGAATGCCGACTTGAGAGTTGCTGAAGACCATGTACAAGAGAGATATTGAAAAGATGCCAGTGAGCAAAGGCTCATAGTCAAGAGCAATCTTGGGGACGTCACGAGACCAGATTTTGAGGTTTTGGGGATCGTAGCAGCCTGGGAGCGTTTGGCAGACCTCGGTGGTCCACAAATGAAGCAGCCGGAGTTCAAGATAGCGGCGATCGCGGCTTTCTGTCGACATGAGAGGCATCAACTCCTCAGTGTGTATGCCGTTGTCGGCAGCGGCTTGGCCCGCTGCTGTCCCTGCCTGGTGTAATACCGAATCGAGGACATTGGTGGCATCTGGCCTCAAAGACTTGCAGCGATCTGTTCTGTCGTAAAGACATTCTACTTCATGGCGGACACAGCAACCCTAAGTCTCATTGTTAGAGCTTACATGCGTAGAACTGAATCGGGGCATGTACGAACACACTTTGGTTTGGCCTCGTCGCACTGTATTTATACAAGTAATATGAGTCATTTGTTTTAAAGACAACACTTAGAAGCAAGGGGAAGAGGCGGGAGGCTACATTACCTTGACGCGACGGGCTCTGCAGCGAGCACAACCAGTCCTGGATTTAGTATGATACAGCCGAGGAGGCATGGCGATGATGTGTATCCCGTGGGACTTCCATCAACTTGTCACAATAATCACAATAAACAATTATGACTGATATCTATAATTTTGTAACCCTCATGCTTTGTGCTCTTCATTTAAGCAAAAGTACAATGCTAGAGCCCAAGTATAAACTCGAGATTTTACAAAGTTGAAGAATGTTAGTAGTTGCAGGCTAGCAGCGAAGGCATCTCCATAAATTCACGGCAACGGCGCCTTAAATCACGTGGGGCTATGAGAGGCCGCCCAGAGGAGAATTCTTGGGACAGTATGAACATTGATGATTCAACATTGAAGGTACAGAAAACGTCTTAACCTCAATAGCCTCAGCCATGTATTTTTTTTTTTCCCCAAAACTTCATTATACATAATAATGAGCATCGAAATGGATGGTCACAGTACTCGCTATTCTACCGCAGTCAGCTACATCACCCCGCCTTACATGAAACATCAATTACAGAGGTAGATTAAGCTGAGCTGTTTGCCTAGGCTATACGAGTGCCTTATTCAATGTTTCTAAGAAATCTCCATGTCAGTTTGCTTCACAGATAATACTTGGATAAGTTTTTCTTGTAGACTCCCTACCTTGACCGTTGTCATGAATTTTGCCAACGCTTCTTTCGCCTCAGCACGATGCAACTTCCAGCTCCAATACTGAAAGTTCTCGTCCAACACCTTTTCAGGTCTCGGATAATAGGGTTTTCCCCGTCCCCTATCCGATAAATTCGACAGAGCTCGTTCCATACCACCCCTTGAGTTGAGAGGCTCAGATTTATCTATGTAGCTGCTATTCGGCTCAGACTGGCTTTGTTGAGGGGACTGTTGCCCGAGTGGCTCGTTATTGAGTGACGGGGTGCCCTGCTGCTTATCCGATTCGTCGTCACTTACAACAGACCCGACGTCGTCGTCGCTGTCATCATCGGCGGCGGCGGCGGTATTTATAGACTGTGTTACCACTTGTAATTGGTTAGTGGCAGATGGTATTATTTGCGATGTGTTTGGCTCTGATGTTGTTTTAATCAGTGCATCGCAAAATAATAGCACCCCAGCAAGCCCAGCTGCTATTGCGGTGGCAACAGAACTTCCAGACTCAAAATTGTCTGGCGCATCGATCCAAGGAGAAAACGGAATGTTAAGGCCGGGGAAAATGAACATTTCTGAACTTTGATGAGCTGGAACCCAGTCACACATGCTACCAGTCTCGTTAGCTGCTCCAATAAGAAGACTTTTCTTCCAAGCGTTAGGATAGCAGCGGTCGCTTGATATGGCTCCCTTGTCATCAGCTGAGCAAAACATAAGAATGTTTTTGCTCTCTGCCAATGAAATCGCGTCCTTGAGCTGCTTTATCTCTCCCCCCTCGACTGAGTTTGATTCTATAGTCCAGCTCATTGAGATGATGTCCACACCACACTCTATAGACCACTTTATTGCCTAGGGTTTGGTTAGATAGGCTCAAAACGTGAAACAAGAGTATCAGGCGCCCACCTCTGCAGCTGATTTGGCCGTAAATTGTTGTTTCCCATGACTCGACTCGACACTATCGAGCCGCGCAATGTATAGTCTTACTTTGGGGAACACTTGACATATAAAATATGCCATTTTCGTCCCATGATCATCGGCCGGAACGTAATACTGGCTTATGCATTCTTCTGAGTCTTGATAACGGCAAAAGGACTTGCCGAGAGCAATACGTCCCTTAAACATATTCAATGTGGCGTCGATGCCGCTATCGATGACTGCAATCTTGATTTCCGGGAGGTTATCGCCCTTGATATTCCGCAAAAATATTGCGAAATTTTTCATGTATGCCATCCATTCATTATCGTTCCTAAAAATTTAGTAAGTTATCTATCTCTCCAACGCTCGCTTGGGATTGATACCTTTCGATAGCAGGTTGTGCATCTCGGAACCCAGCCGCTACAGGATTGGTCTCATCCTCCCGAATTGTTTCGACCGTAATATTCCCATAGCCCTGTGCTGGATCTTCAGCTACTTTACAGTGACTGCATTGATTATTCAATCTCCCTTCGATTTTCTCCTTGAATTGTTGGACATAATCTATCGGATCTTCAAGTCCCTAATTAAACTTAAGCAGGATTCTAAATCGGGACAACTCATTGGGTCTTACCAATCTATAATAGAGCCGTATTTTTTCAAGCTTAATCTCAGTAATAAAAAAGGTATTAGTGCTCGTCATATCAAGTATCGTGAATGATTTTAGTTCAATACCTTTTGAAACTTTGGGAATCCGTCTGGACTGGACCACCCAAGCAAGACGGCATTATTTCCCGATGAGTAGAGAGCTACTTCTTTCACGTCCGGAGCAACATCAAGAATCACATCACTACAGATGTCTGTTTTTTTCCAGTCCCAATATTGAATATCCAGCCCACTCACAGCGTCTCGGATAGCGCTGTCGGAATGGGATATGTCACCATCATCTACGACGATGACCTTGATAACTTTATTGACGTGATTTTGTCTCAGCCAATCGAAAATTTTGGTAAGTTCTCTAAGTCCTCTCCCTTTTGTTTTTTTGTCTTTTGAGTCTTCCCGATGAGAGTTCACAACGAGTTTTGGTAAGGCAACATACTTAAGAACGCTTTCGAACTGCAGATGCGTGGCGAGATTATCAAGGTATTCGACAGATATGGACTGGTCTCGGAGACCGGATAGGTCGAAATCAATATTTCGCTCTATTTAAATAGTTAGAGGAAATTATTTTCATATAAGAGAGATGCACGAGTAAGGTACCTTGCCCCGGTGGATACAGCGCTTTCAACGCCTCGTCTCGTGAGCGACGACTAATACAGAACATTCTGATGTAACTCGCAATGTCGTCATCATCTACCTTCTTGCGCAACTGCAGTGCTATTTCTCGTTCATTCTTGCGACTTTTCAAAGACGAGTTCTGGCCTTCAGCGGTCATTTCTTTCCGGATTTCTTTTTCCAAGAAATACAGGCGATATTGGTAAGGCGTCAAATTTTGGGTCTTCGTTCGGCACTCCAACGACTCTGGATCGGCTTCAATCAAAGCTTTCACAACATTCAATCTCATTTCCGGGTCATATTGTTGAACATGAGTTTGATTGCGATCCATAATGAGGTGTAGCGGTGTTTGATGATCAGTCTGCACGCGTTGCCGGAAAGCTTTCGTCTCAGTCGACTGGGCATCACTGGTATACTCTCGATACAGACTAATAAGATCGATAGTGTATTTTGAAGAGTAGTCGATGGCCAGATGAAAACAATTGTGACCGCTGTGCGTCGTAGCACTAATCATTTTGGCCCCAATTTTTCGGGACTTGCCTTTGGCGATCTGTATCATTTTGTCGACGAAAGAATGGTTTCCTTCACTCAAAGCTGTATGAAGAGGGTTATAATTTGAAGTTATGTTAACACTCAGAAGCATCTTCTCTGTTGCACACCACTCGATTAATGAAGCATACTTCTCTCCAACGTCGTCGATCCTGGCCTTGGCTATGCGGTGAAGGACGCAACCCTCAGTCGATGATTTTTGATCCACGCCGATTATATCCGTATACTTTTCCAAGAAAGCCTTTGAGTCCTTTGACTTATACTTCTTGCCGGCTTCTTTTATTTTTATAAACTCTATTGTCTGGGATTCGTCTAACATCTGTTGAAATCTGTCGATTATTGGAACCCGGGGTCTGTTTCTTTCGTCATTTTCGCATATTTCGATATCATCTTCTTTTTTTTCTTCTTCCTTGTTAAGGTCCATCTTGTTTGTAATGTTATTTGTAAAATTTTATCAGTTTTAAGTTTTCAAAATGAATAGTTCTTCCAGATATAGAAAGGGGCTGAGTTCTGGTCCTTTACAACTGTGTCGAATATCAGAGTTACACCAGCCGATAGGCTGGAATTTGACTCTCTTGGGGCTCGCCAGATTATATATTAAGCCTTGGAAATAATAATCCCTAATGTCTTTTGTGAATATCAAGCCTGCGTGGGGGGCAGTCAACACCCAAACCACATCAACAGGTAGGTAAGACTTGCGAACTTGGGCGGTGAGGCGGGGAGATACATCTACGACGTAGCGCGATGTGGTGCAACCCAGCATGTCACACTTCAGAGATAAGAAAAGAATACTTCGTAGGCGAGTATCAAAAACATTTGTCATTCTTAATAAACAGGCTGTAACAGCCAATGAGAATGGTCTCACTTCCGTATATGTCGGCTGGCAAGTTGTACAGCCCCTCTCCCAAAGGAAAAACAGCACGCCATGTGACACACAGGCCAGCCAAATATATTTATTATATGTATGTACCCTTCCCCCTTTTCGAGAGGAATATCAATTCCGTTCAAACTCACCGATTCGTGCGGTCATATTCTCAGTGTTGCTACTGTGCATCAAGCATGTCTGAACCCGGAGTCTACGACGTCTATATCATAGACGAAGGAAATGACGGTACAGCTTTCCACACTCGCAATGAAAAGGGGAAAAATTTTCGTCGCATCCTCCAACAGACTCCTAATGGAAGCGATCTTCATTTGACGGCCAAAATTCGGATCGAAGATATTGTCCATGGCACGCTATCAGACGGTAGCCAAGGTGCCCTTATTATTCTTGGCTTCTGGTTTGCCACATACAAGCAGAGACACCGCTTCAAGCGAGTTCGTCTACAGTTTCATTTTCAAGATGTCGAAATGCCTGGTAAGAATGATCCTAGGGTAGTCAGCATGTACCCCGAGGGTATCTGCTACCTATACGAGACAACGTCTACCAAGAATGTCACCACTAGAGGGGAAATTTCCGGCAGAATTCAAGCTCCAGCATCAGCTCCTATTGATGGAAGCGTCGGATACAGTATTGAGACATCGGAGAGAGTTGAAGAGAAATATGGCGTTCTTTTCACGGGCATGCCCCGCATTCACAAAGAATACGGCGACGACGAAGACGCCGTAGTATGGACTCTTGAGGAAAGCCAGGATTCCTCTCAGAGGCGAGGTGTGCCAGCCAATTTACAGACAGCTATTGTATTGGGTCTTCCTTCGGATGGGCCCTTTTCAATGACCCTAGAGGTCGAATGCGAGCCGGATACCCAGACTCAGCTCAAGACGAAACTATTGGGACGAAGAATCATCGAGGATATTGATCCCGTACAGATCCAGAGTGACACGCAACAGCTTCGCGCAGGGAACAGACCTGGTGATAGATTGAGTCTTCAGGAAAGAGAGACATTAGATTTGGTGGCGTTGAACCAATTTGGGTTCATTAAGAGGGAGATACGGGTTGATGCGACGTCCATTTAGACACATATTGCTAAGAATGGTATATACAAGTCTGCGCCCCCATACATGTCTTATTGCCTATTGTGCGTTAAGGACTTGCGGTCTATATCCAAACATATGTAAACTGTGCCATCTATCCGTAAACAAATGCTGTGGAAAGGCATTCACAATAAATACTAATCACATATTGCATTTTCGTATATGCAGTGTTAAATTAAATATGTACGTCGCCAAGGCCGTTATCTACGGGTCTATGCTCCTGATCAATAACATACTGTATCGTATATGCAATCATTGCCCTTTAACTGTTTATTCAGGATAAATGGCATTTATCTTCAGATGCCGTCGAGAGGAGAGAAGGGTGCGAGGCGACTTGCAAACTAACTGGCTAACAAAGAACAGCCATATACGCAATGCAGGACTCATTCACTCTTGTGCTGCCAACCACATGCTCCACCGCCACGGTTGACTGCATACCTCACCGCCACTGTATGTTACCACACGAGTGAATAAAGGTCGAAGGTTCCAGAGTCCATCTCCAACTGATACCAGGCATCAATCACTTGCGTTATCGTATACCTACTATGTAACGCTTGATCAATATGCACATTGCTAAGGCGTTATTTATGGAACTATGCATCTGGCTGCCTATGTCTTCTATCATGAGCGACATAGAGTCCTTTAACTGGTGGTCCGGTATGCGAGGCATCCATCTTCAAATATTAGCCATCGGGTGCCTGCATTTCGTATAGGCAGTGTAATACACCTCATTTAGGATCGGTCAGGCAACGAGGAATCAGATCCGGCTACGTGGTCAATGCCTCTACCTCCATCAGCATAGCCACCTGCCCCCCACCTTCATCATGGGCTCCTACATGGACGTACCTATCCTAAGGCACCTACCTTGTATCAGAAACGACTTTTAGGAAGCGGAGATAGAATATACCGTCACCTTATATTCTATGAGTCGATATACCCTCTTCGTTGATCATGTCAGAGGCCAGTCACAAAGGATATGCCTCTTTCTTCTTTGAACCCGGATAGGGGCGTCTGAGTTATCAACTAGTAAGCTAGGTGGCTGAAGAGATTGAACAAAGGATATAAGAAGGGAGCCGCCGGCCCTTTGTTCTTAGGAAGGTCAGAGATAAATACAGTCCTTTGTGTAACCCCAGCTGCGTGGTCCTTGATAATGACCGTGCTGCGTTCAACCTTGACTCTTCCACTCTTCCATTGTGATGAAATATAAGCCTCAATAGCCCTCTGGCTTTTGGCCTTTTTGCATTTCAACACATTGAGCCGCCGTTCCTGACAGATCACCAGAGTTTCCAGTTATACCACTTGCCGCAAAATGCCTGATATAGTGTTTGTAAGTGGAATTACGAGTCGTTCACAGAGTGAAGACGCGCGCTCTGGCCTGCGAAGATTTGTAGCAGACAGGTTCCCAGGACATTTACCTCACTTCTTTGATCTACTTGTTGCTGAGGACACACATATGACAAATGACCAAGTGATTAGTCTGAAAGCTCGTGAGCTTCTTACTTTCCTGCTTGGTATTCGATCATCTCAAGATCAGAATGTGCCTGCCAATGAGACTACATCAGCCACCGGAATGGTATGATATCATCACCTTCGAACGAATGTTATAGATAGCTAATGTTCTCAGAGTTATGGGCAAAAGAAACAAGAGCCTATGGTACTGTTGGGCCATGATATCGGCGGTCTGCTTATCAAAGCTGCTTTGCTTGATGCTCAACATCACTATAAATACCTTACTTTAGCAAAGAACCTTTTAATTGTGAGTCCTGTCTTAATTTGAATGATTCGCTATATAGAAGCCAGAAGTTCTTTTTCATTCTTCCTTTTTTTTCTCCGTGGCCATATGTAGCCACTTACCTGCCTGTGCAATGATCCACGTTTGTTGATAATAATACAACTCTGTTCACGGAGCTTTACAGGGTACAAGCATCGAATATTAATAGAAAAATTAGGTGTTCTTCAATACTCCTCATCGAATTCATAGTAAGAGCATCTGGGAGGAGTTCCAGCTCCAGGTGATCCGGCCAGGAGACTGGAATGAGCAGAAATCCAGAATGATGCAGTGTTTCTACATAGCATCCGAACGACTAGAAAATGAATTTGCCACGGCATTCTTTAAAACTCCTATCTTCAGCGTACATGAGGGCGACATTGTGGTAAGTTTCACAGGAAACTTGGTCGCCATTTCGCATTACTTGTGATTGTGCCATGAGACCCATATACTAAATATATAGGATTGGTCGATTATGGTAACGGGGCTAGCAAAGGAGACGCAACTCCCATTTCCTCTCGAGTCGACAGGCCCACGGACATTTGAGCAGATTGTTATTTACCCCTACTCTAGCGTGTGGAGGCTCGTTGATTCATGGCTAGAAGAATTATCTTATGTGACGGTAGAAGGTGCAGTAGTACCCCAGTTATCTGTTTTAGTACATTCAGTAACCCTTTTCTTCCAGTTCACCCAAACGAAAGATTCCTTAATCAGCTCTGCAAAGACGGTATGCCGAGTCTTTTGAGCTCGGCACCGCGATATCCTGGTCATGGGTTATTTAGGTCCTACCTAGAAAATTCCTCGGATTTCCAGAATTGGGCAAATTCCAATGAATGCGCCTACCTTTTTCTTCATGGGCCTCCGGGATACGGGTCTACAGAGTCAGCTGTCGAAGTCTTGACTTATATCAGTAGAACAAGCAAGGAAAATTCACCAGTTGTCCTCAATTTCTTCTTCGATGGGAAAGATGCCCGCTGTTCTACTAATGACAGCCTTGTTCGTTCTTTATTGATCCAACTTCTTATCAGTTCACCAATTGCCAAGAGGGTAATTCAAGAAGAGCTTGATTTGGACGACAACGCCAGCTCACTCGGGACACAATTCCTGTGGAATATTTTGGCTGTCCTCTTGTCTCATTCAAACATGGGCCCAATAGTCTGTGTTATTGCGGAAGAGAATGGGGGGGCCGAATGGACTTACAGCCTGTCTCATATGAAGAAGGTAATCAAGTCTTGTGAATCTTTTCGCAGCGCTTGCAAGTTCTTTATAGCTGCTTCAAGTGACTCTATAATAGCTCTTGGAGAACAAGCTGTGAATATTTCACTAGAAAACGAGGCTATACAAAAAGGCGTCAGAGATTTTTACACTGGTCAAATCAGTGAAATCATGAAAACGCGTCCCGTTTTCGAACAAGCGCTTCTATCCCCAAATACTGCGGATTCCGTGGGTGTTCATATATCAGATGTTTTGGTCAAAGTATCCGCATCAGGATCACTCAAACCCGGTCATACCAGGAAGAAAGCGCGATATTGGTTCGAAAGTTTAAAGCTTCCTCATCTGGAATTTTTGGACATTCTTATGGATTCACTGACTCCGCAAAGTCTTTCTATCCTCCGATGGATGGCCGTCGCGAGTAGACCACTCTCCGTCACTGAAATGTCGGTTGCCATTTCATTGTTGGACGATGATCAATCACTTGCCGATATTGAAGACTGTCAGTCTTGGTCTATATACACAGAGATACAAGAGCATTTGGACCAACTTGTCTGTATAGTCAACCAAGAAGTGCGCTTTTGTCACCAGACATTGCATGATTACTTGATCAGGTCAGCAAAGTACCGATTAACTGATGATCAGATAGCGCAAAGGCTTCTAAAATATCTCACCCTCATGACAGATCATCTACAGGATCTGTCTGCTAATGAAATCAGAGATAACATATTGAGTGCTACCCCAAATGCGCTTGGTCTGATTGGGTATGCGGCGTTATACTGGCCAACACATTACCGCGCATCATCACGTTCCGACAGTCTCATACAACTGGTAGACAGCGTGTTAAATAATGAGAGACTTTATCGTGTTCTTGCAGACATCATTCAACCTCTCTTCAAGAAACCTGTACCGGCCGATCTCAAGACGAAACAGGGTGTGATCTTGGCTAGTTACCTTGGCATAGCTGAGGTTGTTGAGCGTTATTTTAAGAGAGATCATGATATACACACAGATAACGACATATTAATCACTGCTTTGGTCTCTGCTGCGAGAGAAGGTCATCAGAATGTGGTCAAGGCATTCTTGAGTCAAGGCATCACTTCGAACGAAGCAATTCTAGCATGTTGCGAAGAGGGTTACTGCGATATCCTTCGAGACATCCTCAGCCGCATCAATACGAATGAGGAACTTATGGAGACTTTAAATGCTTCCCTCCTCCAAGCTTCAAAGAGAGGGCATTTGAGCGTTGTACAAGAACTGCTTGATCGCACAATATCACCAAACAACACGGATTCAATTACAGGCTGTAATGCTGTCCATATGGCTGCTCAGTTTGGTCACTCAGATATAGTTGACCTGCTCATCAGGTCCGAAAGCAATAATTCAGCAACTTTGAACGCTTATAACCAGGACAATTACAATCCACTGCAACTAGCTGCTGCGGGTGGATACATACACATTGTTCACGCTTTAATTTCTGCTGGGCGAATAAGCCCGACGGATTTCTATCAACAGAAAAATCCCCCCCCGATTTGCATCGCGACCAAGTATGGCCATATTGATGTCGTTAAAGCTCTAATAAACTCAGACTTCAATATTTATTTGCCAATGGACAGCGGACGCACACTCTTACATGTTGCAGCAGAGCGTGGTTGGGAGAAGCTTGTAGCATGGTGCTTGGATTACATCGGACAACCAGAACAAGGTCACAAAACCAATAATTCCACGGATGACGATCAAGAAAACAAGTCGATTAGGTCAAATTGTGATGGGGGAAAAGTAGCAGAAAGAACCCAGTTGCTTCTTACAGCAAAGGACTATGATGGCTATACAGCTCTTCATCTTGCAGCAAAATTTGGACATCTCGACGTAGTTCGACTCATAACTACTGCGGGAAATGCATCGGCAGTTGTCGACGCCACTGGTCCCGAAGCCTACCGGCCGCTCCATTTTGCTTCCGAGTCCGGATATTACGATATAGTTCGTCACTTCATTGAGACTAAAGTGAGCGTTGAGAATGTCACTGAAGAAAGCAATACTGCGCTTCATCTTGCAGCACGTGAGGGCCGGAAGCACGTCGTGAGTGTTCTTCTCCAGTGTATTCGACGAGCTACCAATGCTTCAGAATTACTATGGATGGAGAATTCAAGTCAACTTACAGCTTTGTCCCTTGCCGCCCAGTATGGGAACCTACATATCGTTTGGGATATTGTTTCGACTGTCGAGGACTGGTTACCTGACACTCCCGCCTGGCAGAAGGATCCAAACGCCCTTCTTGAAGCAGTAAGAGAAGGACATCATAGTGTTGTGAAATACTTGTTGGAAAGTGGTTGGCAGCCGAACCAAGTAAACTCAGATGGTGCTACGCCACTACAAGTGGCAATCGAATCAAAAGATCATTCAAAGGTCGTTACGGCGCTCATAGAGGGAGGAGCAAGTACCGAGCTTCTAGCTGGCGGTTTAAATAAGACCCCTCTATATCTGGCTGTCGAGAAAGACAGAATCCAAAGCGTCCAGGCGATTCTGGCAATGGGCAAGAATGAACTAAATGTTTTATGCGGGGATCTGAAATGGTCTGCACTGCATGAGGCAAACAACAAACCGGATTTCCTGAAGCTACTCCTAGAAAGCCATGCTGACCCAAATGTGGTAAACGGTTACGGATCAACTCCTCTTTTTCTTGCTAGCGAGATGGGCAATCTAGAATCGGTCCAGTTGCTTCTCGACTACGGGGCAAAACCTGACATTTCGAATAAGGAGGGTTCCACTGCCTTACATCGGGCCGTTACGAATAGGCATTTAGACATTGTTAGGATCCTTGTGCAAAAAGGCGTCGATGTCAACCATGCTAAAGCGGACGGATCAACACCCCTCTACTGGGCGCATTGCTCAGAGGAAATCGCCAAATATCTTCTGGAACACGGAGCGAACCCCAACAAACTGGTGGATCCCACCATTCATGCATTCAATTCGCAGCATGGATGGATTCCCCAAACGTTATAAAACTTCTTATTGGCAAGATGGCCGATGTAAATGCCATTGGTGGAAGATTTGGCTCGCCATTGAACGCCGCGGTTGCAGATCGAAACACTGACAATGTCAAGTTGCTCTTGGAAAATGGTGCAGATCCAAACAAACAAGGTCACCTAGGCTTGTCTGCCTTCCATCGCATTAGTACTTTGCTTTCAAGAAAGAGTCAACATGTCATAGGACAATATCTTGACTTGTTCCAGAACCATAAGGGATTGATTAATGTTAAGAATAGAGAAGGTTTAACTCCCCTAACATATGCAGCAAGCAAATCAAATCCTGAAGCAATGAAAGCTCTTCAAATAAGGGGTGCTGATCTGTTCGAGGTCGATGGGCGGCAGCGGAGTTGTCTGTATTGGGCCGCTTACAATCACGATTTAGAATGCCTTTGCATCATTTTGAACTGGCTTGACAATTGCGAGGCAGAAAAAAAGATCGACATGATAGGCAAGGCAATCCATGGCACCATCATCAAAGATAACAGTGATGCCTTCGAAAAGCTTCTCAGCAAAGACATTGTCAATAAAGTGGATTGTAATGGTTGGACGCCACTGGCGACGGCAATTGAGTATCAACGAGGTAACATGGAAAAGGCCCTACGAAGCATGGGGGCACTCGAGACCACAGAACCACAATTAGAACCCACGGAGTGGAATAAGCATCATAAATCAGCAAGAATAGGAGTGCAGAAGCTTGAGTGCTTTGCAGAAGGTATGTCTACTTCTTCTCAGTACCTAGTACCTGTCTTTATGTAAGGTACCTACCTAGTACCTAGGTAGTACCTTTCGACTAAACATCTACCTCCAGGGCAATTATCGGTCGAGCAGATAGAGAGCGATAGTACCACGCCTCCGTTCTTTCTTGTACGGGCAAATCGATGTGCGCCTAGGACTGAAAGAGGCGTTTATTATTTTGAAGTCCTCATCGTCCAGACTGGGCTTGATGAGTAAGTCTCTCTTCGTCCATACTTGCGTGCTTTAACAGCTTTGTTGTCGACAGTGACTAAAAGTATACACGCGTGTAGGACCGTCGGAGTCGGTTTTGATACAGATGAGATAGAATTGGATTATGATGTGCTTGGGTGGGTTAAAGGATCCTGGGGCTTTCATGGTCAAAATGGCCATGTATATCAAGGCTCACGCCGTGGGAGGCCATATGCGAAACCTTATTCATCAGGAAGTACTATCGGCTGCGGCGTGGACTTCAACAATCGCTCGATTTTCTTTACCGTCGATGGTGAATTTAAAGGTTAGTTCTATCCCAATCCTCGGCCGCCTCCTAGCATAATGGGTGGTTACTGATTATTTACTATTTTATGTCTATATTATTTAGGTCGTGCATTTAAAGACGATAATATTCGTGGCCACCTTTACCCAGCCGTATTCCTTCATCCAGGAAATGCTTCTACCAAAATAGTCGCAAATTTTGGACATCAGGAGTTCAAGTACATTATACCCCCAGCCCCTGTACCTTGGGAGTCTGAATGTCAAGATAATATGGACTCTAACGAGGAGGATCCGGGCTACGAGAGTTCTGTGTTGAGCGATGACTCTTTTTCTTAACTTATCAATTCCTCTACCTGGACTACCCATTCAGATAGAAAAGTAAGCCAATTTAGATAGCCTCGTTAATTCATTTCTCAGCTTCTTGTTCAACAACTAGGTTGCTACCTATAGGTAGTACTCACCATTAGGCACATGCAATTTAGATGCATCATCCCACCATCTCTACCTAGGCACACTGCATTCACGCATCCTCTACAAGTCTATTGTCTGCTTTAGAATGAATAGTCATGCTCACATTGTTTTTAAATTTCACTCATTTACACAATATTTCACTGCAACATCAAATGCGTTTGCAGTCTCGGTGCAATGCAATCACGCCAGCCGGCAAACAGCCGCACAATTTTAATCCAGCCGCCATGCAAAGGGACCTGCCCTCAAGCTCAGATCAGGTACTTTCTCCCTCTACTGCCACTGCCAAATTATTCTTCTCCATTTCATCATCCTCCAAATACCTCCAAAATGCAGAATTTCCGGTGAGTCACCTCGATAATATGCCCCAACGAGACCATTGCATTCAAATCCCCTGGATACATATGCTCGGCTTCTTCTCTTCCATCGTCCCATCATCCGTTATTCTCCTCAATATCGCAGAAACTAGAAACACCCTTTACTAACTCGATTCTATTGTAGTGACACTTTTGTGCGTCCTCGATCCCCAGCCATCATACAGTCAATCTACTGACACTTCGGTATTTCAGTTCTCCGGACCTCAGTCTGAGGATACAATCACTATCCTCCGAGCTGACTACGAAAGCCTCGTCAGAACCGCTCAGAATCACGGTACGTATCCTCATATCTTCTAGAATGTATAATGGCATCTGCTAATTGTGCTAAACTACTTTGGTAGCCGAACTCTGCCGCTGCCTTCTCAATGCCCAGATTGACGATGCTGGAGTTGTTCAGGTCAGTAATCCCACCATAATCTCTATTCGTTGCTCTAACTCCATCTTCAGGCTCTCAACGCATGCGTAAGCTCGCAGTCAACCCAATACCCAAGCACCGTCCCAAAGAAGCATGTCTACAACGCAAATGCTTTGAGCTTCGAGCCTGCCTCCCACGAATTCGATACGAGTTCCATCACGACATCGACCAGCTCCTTGGTCGCCCACGCCGCCGAACACGGCATCTATCCTTTCCCTCCACCCCAATCGATCATACGCAGCCAATGCAGAAGTTATATTGGGAGCAGCATGACATACGACTCCTTCGAGACTTCCAGTGTGGGATTGGATGATAACTATGACGATAACGAGGCAGCCAGCGATGTGCTTGATCACACACCCACCAGCCTCAACTTCCCCCAAGAGCCATCGTTTCGTTCCGTTCAGCTGCTCAACATCCCAGAGGAAGCAACATACGCCGACATCGCCGCCGTAGTTCGAGGCGGCATTCTGTTCGAAATCTCCCTCATGCGTCGTTCTTCGACTGCAGTCATCACTTTCGCAGAGACCAGAGATGCCGAGGCCTACTACACCCACGTACGCAACAACTACCTATACATTAAAAACAGAAAAGTGAGCAAACCTCCTCAAAACCAGACGCACACAAGCTTCTATTCATGATATATCTCTAACCTAAATCTCCAGATCGATATCCGCTGGTCAGATCGCTTCCAAGTCCTCCACGACCACTTCGCCAAACGCATCGCAAACGGCGCAACCCGCAACCTCGTCCTGCGCAACTGCAACGCCACCCACTCAGAAGCCTCCATCCGCCACGATCTCGACCACATTCACGGCCTCGAAATCGTTTCCATCACCTTCTACGGCGGCACGTGCCGCATCAGCACCAATTCCGTTCCAAGCGCCATGTACGCGCGAACCTGCATGATGAGCCGGCTGTAAGCAATCTCTCTCTCCCTTGCCCTTAAAATATTCATTCCAACTAACTTTTCCATTCTACTTGCAGCAAGTACAAGAGTTCCCGCCTCGATTGGGATGCTGACGAATGTGCCCAGCCGTTGCGCCAAGTGCCCGTTATGCCTCGTCTAAAGACACCGTCTCTCGCCGCCCCAGTGCGTCGATCCGTCTCCTCGGGCAACCGCTTCCAGATCCTCGCCGCTGAAGAATGAGGCAAGCTACGTTCCTACGGTTTCTTATCGATCCTCGTGTAACATTGAATTACTGGCGAATTTTTGAAAGCAGTGGATTTATTATTTGGCAAGGCTTCTACCGATAGGGATGTCTAGCCTAGATATTCCAAAGGTCATTTATATCACTGCCCTGTTTTGCTGACTGTAAAGAAACGTCAAGATAGATTAATAATTCAGTGACGCTTTCCACCAATAAGTTGTTTGCATTTCTATGCAAAGGGTGAAGACGCTATTTCTGTACACAAGCAACTCAAGGTTAAACCCGAGAAGCTTAGGGCTTCAGTATTGATATCCCCGCTGCGAATATTGATATCCTCGCTGCGCTGAGCTCCAAGACTACACAGACATGAGCCGCCCCTAAGTGGCCAAAACTCTCACAAGATTCCAACTAGTAGAGTACCAAAAAGAGTATAAAGCCAGTTCGCCTTGCTTCGCTGTCATTACCGTGACCCCCGATCAAAGAATGTTCCCCCTAATAGGTTCCTAGATTCTCCATGTCTCTTGCAAACAGAGTCCGCTCCACCTTTTGCATCACCTCATCGGTTCTAACGTGTAGTAGTATCCTTTGTAATAGATTGCAGGTAGCCAAGCAAAAAGCTCTGGTCGGCCTGAGATATAGGCGTCATATTGCTATTGCGAGACGGCGGTGCATTACGATGTCCCGCTGGCCCTTGGGTAGCTCCCGAGGCCATGGACAGGGATGCCGCACGAGGCATAGACATCCCAGCCGCAGGTGGTCCAGTCTGGCCGACAAGCTCAGGTGGGGCATTTGTCGCAGCTTTATTCGATGTTCCAAAGAGAGAGAGTAGTTGCTTCTTTTGCTCCTGTGACACTTCAGGTCTGTGGTTGTAGTTGTTTGCTGCAGACGAAGAGCTCAAGGGGATCGGCAGAGTAGAAGGTGATGGCTGGACGACTTGTCCGGGACGGAGCTGCCCTGGTTGGCCGTAGGACCCGGCGTATGGAGCGAGATTGGCTTTGGGAGGCTCTGGAGGGCTGATTTGTTGAGTCTGTTGGATGGTCTGTCCTCTTTGAAGGATTTGAAGCGGCTGCATGGGGTTGGCTTTGACAGTGGAGCTAGTGGTATAAGTCTGCTGCTGTGTCGTAATGGAATATCCTGGATAAGCAGGGTGGTTTGGCGGTGTAGCGCTAATATGACCATCATTCCTGTTTTGCAAAATACTCAATGCGACAGAATTCGGATTTGGTGGTGCGACAAAGTTTGGAAGTTGCTGGTGAAAGGTGGGCAGACCCTGAGGCACGGCTTGAGGCACAGCTTGAGGCATGGCATGAGGTATGGTCTGAGGCGCAGCGTGGACGTTTTGTTGTGGGTTCTGAGGCTGTCTTGCTGCCGGCATCAGTGTTGCCAGCAAATCTGGTAGCTGGGAGGCTCCCTGAGGTACATGCTGAGGAGGTGGCTGAGGCACATGCTGGGGAGCGGAACTCGAGGACTGGAGGAGAGAAAGCAGGGCACTGCCTTTATCCTTTGAAGCGAGAGGGGCTTGTGCAGGTTGGAATGCTGGCCGGGCTGCCTCAGCTACTGGAACTGGTGGTTGAGCCGATGGCTGTAAATTCAACAGGCGCTGTAACTCCCTAGTAGCCCCATCAAGTGATTCAATGGCTGGCATGGGAGCTGGCACATTGGGCACCCACGCCTCATCCTCGGTGGGATCTTCTTCAATAGGATTGTGGTGGTGATAGGCAGGGTTGACCGGGATGCTTCCGCTGAAGGACCTCTTCTCATCAATCTTTTTCTGGGAAATGATCCATTTCTTAAGAGGAACCAAAAAGGGCGCGACCATGTAAAACTTGTTGGCATTGGTCCCGGGACTAGAGTCGTATTGATGGTTGTTGTTTTGGGGGCCCTTCTTTCTCAGAGTGGGTAGGTCGGACAGCTTATACCACTCAATCTTGCTGATTTCTTTCCTCGTTCGAGGCGCGAAAACCGTATCCATGGGGACATCTCGGAAGACGTAGAGTCGGAGATGCTGTTCTCTCATAGGGATTTCAATGTACTTCGGTTTCGCCTCGGTTGGCACCAGGCCTGCTTCTCGGAGATCCAGACCGGTCTCTTCGTAGACTTCTCTGACCGCACAGTCCAAATCGTCTTCGTCCTTGTTGATTTTGCCACGTGGAAAACTCCAACTAGCACCCTTCTTCCAGCCTTTGACGAGGACGACTGAATCCAGCTCATGGTTGAGCATAATAGCGCCACGAACCGGCACACGAGTCTTGTATTGCAGAAACTCTTCAAATGCCTTGATATGGTTCTCAACCGAAAAGGAGGCCAGCAAAGGGCAGTGTTGGAAGATTCGCAGACAAAAGGTGCGCAATGTCATGGACGGGAGGGTCGGATCGAGGGGTCGGATGAAGTCTTCGTAGAACCATTGTGCTTCTTCAACTTGGAAACACAGTCGGGCAACCGAAGACAGGTCCTCCTGCGGAAGATTGATGATGAACCGGACGCATAGGTCGTCCAGCCCTAGCAGAGTAATAGATCAGTACCTTGTTCAGACTGGCATGGCAGGCGGGGGTGAAGGGGGCTTGCAGCATACAGTCTTCCAGCTGCATCTGTTTCTGAGCCATGTTTGTCTCTCGTTATTGTTGAGTATGTTCAGCTCAGCCCCATGCCCTGATTAATAATAATAACGCTTGATCATACGGTCTTCACGACTTTGCCAGACTCAGGACGCTTCGAACATGTGACAGGATAATGGGCATGGTCAATCGTTCCGAGGTTGAGCAGCTGAGGATTGGATCGCGACGCGCGCTTCAGCCACCAGCGATGAGAGCGAAGTCCGACCTATCGTCGAGTTGGAGAGCGGAGATTTGCCGGTACAATGGCTGTGCTGTGCTGGCAGCGATTCGATGGATATGCCGAGATGGAGTTTGCCGACCCGAGAGATGGTGAAGCTATCAGATGCTACGAGATAGGTGAAGGTTGTTGCCCGCTTGGCCGTTGCAGCCGTACAAATCAGGTCAGTGTTGGCGGGAGGGCTCAGCAAGGTTCGCACTGTCTCCGCTGTGGAAGTCTGGTAGAGTTTATTGGAGCGCCACACTAGCCACACAGTGTAGATATTAGATATGCAGACTGATAGCTTCAGCCACGGCAGCCCAACGGCATCGCCACAACGTGGCTTGCATGGTTTTCATCGGCGTGGCGGTGCAGCGCTCAACCAGCATATTCTGGATCTTGGCGCCAGATCTGCCGTGGCAAAACGTCAGAGGCAGCCAGCTATTATCGGCCGCTAGAGATTCCCCTGTAACAAGACCACGTTTGGCGGGCGCTGGGGCACCTCCGGCGACGTCTCATTGGCTGATACAGCGCCGATGCAGCACCGTTCCAGCGGCCTCAAGCCGGCTCCAGTGATCCACGTCAAGCACAACGGCTGAATTACATCATGAGTTTTGTTGAGAAACCAGCCAAAACAGGTTATCAGGGTCGGGCCATGTGAGCGACGCCATTCCATTCACTGCACTGCTCATCTGGCCCTCGCTTCTACGCACGGGATATAAAACCAACACCGGCCTTTTGTTTTTTCCCTTTTTTTTCTTTTTTAATCTTGTCCCTTGCCAAACGCAGCCGCCTGTCCTTTGACTGCCTTGTCTCACATTGTCAGCCTTTGTTTGGTTGGCTATCAGCGCCCGAGCTCTAAAAACAACTTGCCGCCCAACGGCGGTTTCTGAAACAAACGACAGCAAGCGCCTCTCCAATCGACCTGGTCGCCAGCTTTCGACTTTCGACAAGGCTTTGTTTGCTTTGAAAAGAAGCATAAATATCCAATCCCTCAGCTTTCTCCTATAACCTAACAACCTTCATCTCTTCCTTATTCACACCCTCTCATAAAACAACACCGCCGCCATGACGAGCATATTGGCAAAGCAGATCAGCAAGAGAATTCTGGGAGAGTCGGTCAAGAACAAGTTTGGCAAAGAGGTAAGATGCGACATCACCTGATTAAACACGCCGATTTTATTTTGTTTTTGTTTTTATTTTTATGGTTTGTTCACGACATACTGACCACTTTTGCTCTAGGATCCCTACTTTGAGCAAGTCCCCGCTACCAGACTCGACGGGAGGCCTACGGGCAAGGTCAAGAAGCGCAAGAAGGCTCTGCCGCCCGGCATCTCAGAACACGATGGCCAGGTCCTGACAAAGGTCAAGAGACGAGCCTATCGTCTCGACATGAGCCTGTTCAACTTTCTCGGAATTCGCTTTGGCTGGAGCAGCGTCATCGGTTTGATCCCTGCGTAAGTGATGCACCCCACTCCCACCCTAGACTTGTGCAGATCAATTGGATTTTGTCGCTAACATCATCACAGCGCTGGCGATGCACTCGATGCCTTTATGGCCTTTATGGTATACCGGACGTGTTGCCAAGTAGAGGGCGGCCTTCCATCCTCAATCCGACTCCAGATGCTGTTCAACATCATTCTCGACTTTGCTGTCGGACTGGTTCCATTCATTGGAGATTTGGCTGATGCCGTATTCCGCGCCAACACCCGCAACGCAGCATTGCTGGAGGAGCATCTGCGTCAAAAGGGCAAAAAGGAACTACGGAAAAGCGGACAGCCCATCCCGGCCGTTGACCCTAGCAGTCCCGAAGAGTACGACAGGATTCAGCGGGAAGACCCCCCGGAGTATCAGTCAGATCCTCCGTCTCGCCGACCCTCTCCGGCCCGGCCTGAAGCCCAGGAGCCGGCCGCCCCACGAGTGCCAGATCGGGTTCACGACAGTCGCGGATTCTTTGGCCGCAGCCAGAATCGCCCGCGGGACGTCGAAATGGGCCAGATTTACTCAGAGTCGCAGTATAACGAATCACGACGGACTGGAAAGCACTCAGGCAGGCGACACTGAGGGCCTCTCTAGACATTTGTGCGGTTGTTTGTTAGTTTAAGCGGGGAGCGCGAATATCGCTGGATCGGTTGTCTAAACGTCCGCTACGAGTTTTCTTTGTTGGTTTTCTTTGTTGGTTGCATCTCCTTTGTCTAGCAACGGGAGTTTTCCGCATGTCTGGAACGTGTTTCTTTGTACAATTATGAAGCTGTGAAGCTCTGGGAGTGGATCTCATGCATCTCGATAGCCCCCCATTGATGAGAAAAAGACCAAAAACGGGTTGAGGAGGGGCATTCATTAATAATGGTAATTGCGCGAAGACTTTTTGCAACGCGTCGCTTTAAGGGTTTTAAAAGGGCTGGAATGAATTGGGAATATTATTACTTGATACCATGGTGTGCTTTACCTACCGATCTGCTTCACTAGACTGGGACTCGCCTTGTTTCGCATTGCAAAGCACTAGTTAAATATCAAGCCTAGATAGATGAAAATAAATACAGTACAGTACAATATATGCAGCATAATGCAGCTCAAGTGCATCAGGTTGGTAAAGGATCCGGCTGTTTCAGACAAGAGACAACAAGGGACTGCATACTACTAAGGTAGTCATGCTTTACTAAGAGCAGCACGATTTGTTGCGGTGAAGGCAGCGTTCCTCTCATTTGTATGTACCTGCATGACTTGTACTCGTACATGGACATGGACATCTTATGGCTTCTTGTCACGCTGATTAACGACGTGCTGCCACGTTGAGTCAGCCAACATGAAGACTGGGGCAGGGATTCTTCTGTGGCTTGAGATGCATGCAAATCGCCTTGCAGAAGCCCTAGCTGCATATTGTACCTAACCCACTACTGGAGCGACAAGGCACCCTGCAGAGTCGGCTTGTCGGTACCTGTATGTACTCGAAAACAATGCAATGCCTGGGTTACTCGTATCTCCGCCGAGCGAGGCTCGCTATTTTGCAATTGGTTTTGTAATTCTCAGTCACAAGTTCATAAGACAGTGCCTAGAGCTGTTGCTAGTACCAAGTAAGCAAGCCTGAGCGTGAAACTCAAAAGTCATGACGCCCGTATGGAGATTTCTCGCGTTCCAGAGCTCAGACCTGCGGCCCCACGCTCTGGAGCTTCTCGCTCGGAGTTGCTGGAACAGAAACACAATTGGGTCTCGTTCAAACGACTCATCCATGCTTGTACTTCTTGTGCCACGTTTGTGATCCTCTGTGAAGCTGTTCTATCTTACGACTGTCCAGTGGTAGAAAGTACCAGCATCTTGTATGTATGTTATACGCTGTTGCATTGTACGAGAGAGCTCCGGCGAAAACAAAAAATCGCAGCCTGACCGTCGCCCCACTGACACGAGATCCAAAGGTGTTTGTTTTTGCTGATTCAAGATTGATAAACAGGGAGCAGAGAGGGTCTCTCGCATCGTCATTTGCCCAAGCCATCCAGGCCATTGAAAGCCAGCCAGGATCATGGAGTCATCAAGGTAGCGAAATACCTTGACGCGACCCAGCTGCTTCACGCGTCTGCCAGCGCCGCCGCACTCTGCGCAGTGGCTGGTGCACCACAGCTGTGCACCCCACCATGGCGATGAGCAGCCCTGGCGAGTACCTGCTCGGTACCTGTTGACCAGCTGCCATCCCTGCAGGCCTTGCCCGATTCAGGCTGCCCAGCCTCCCAGGGATGCTTAATAGGCTGCCCAGACCCGCTGTAGCGACCCGCTGGAAACACGTCCTGAACGCGTCGCGCCGCACGTGACAGCGCTGCTCTGCTCGTTACAAAAACCTCTGGCGCCACCCGCGATGCTGGAATTGTCTTCTCTGTCAAACCACCGCGTCTGCACAGCATCCCAGAGCAATTAATTTCACTTTTGATTTCTTCATTTCACTTTACGCGCTCTGCCCTGCTGTCTTGTCTTGCCTCGCTTCGTGTACCATCATAACCAATGGCCACCGAACTCACCCCCTCCAAGCAGGTGAGTACATCCAGTTTCACCCGGACCCGTGATCTAGATAGAGCACGGCATCTACAACATCTAGAACACAAGCTAATAGCTTTCCAAACAGGCTGCATCTGCCATTGACTCGTTCAAGATTGAGTCACCCGTCAAGAAGATCAACTTCGACGCTGCCAACAAGGAGAACCAGCCTCTCGACGAGTCCGCTCTCGAGACCCTTGCCCAGCAAATGGACGACAACCACAAGCCCACCGAGGCCCTCAAGAAGGAGGAGGCCAAGCCCGCCGTGGCTCCTACAATTAAGCCTGAGGAGATTGACGAGCCCATCCTGCAAGAGAACCCCCAGCGCTTCGTCTTGTTCCCCATCAAGTATCATGAGGTATGTGGGCAATCACCCCTCCCCTGTCCCGCGCCGACGCGTAAAGTGGCACCCCCACTATACCACAGGGAAGCGAAAATGGAATCACCAATTGGCTAACAATTTGTCAATTAGATCTGGCAAATGTACAAGAAGGCCGAGGCCTCCTTCTGGACCGCCGAAGAGATTGATCTGTCCAAGGATCTGCACGACTGGAACAACCGCCTGAACGATGACGAGAAGTACTTCATCTCTCACATCCTGGCCTTCTTTGCCGCCTCTGATGGCATTGTCAACGAGAACCTGGTCGAGCGCTTCAGCGGCGAGGTCCAGATCCCCGAGGCTCGATGCTTCTACGGCTTCCAGATCATGATGGAGAACATCCACTCCGAGACCTACTCCCTGCTCATCGACACCTACATCAAGGAGAACAGCCAGCGCAGCTACCTCTTCAACGCCATTGAGACCATTCCTTGCATTCGCAAGAAGGCCGACTGGGCCATCAAGTGGATCCAGGACAAGAACTCTTCCTTTGCCCAGCGCCTGGTTGCCTTTGCCGCCGTCGAGGGTATCTTCTTCAGCGGTGCCTTTGCCTCCATCTTCTGGCTCAAGAAGCGAGGTCTCATGCCTGGTCTGACCTTTTCCAACGAGCTCATCTCTCGTGACGAGGGTCTGCACACTGACTTTGCCTGCCTGCTGCACTCTCACCTCAAGAACCGTGCCAGCAAGGAGGTGATCCGTGACATCATCACCGATGCTGTCCGAATTGAGCAGGAATTCTTGACCGAGGCTCTCCCCTGCGCCCTGCTCGGCATGAACTCCAACCTGATGAAGCAGTACATCGAGTTTGTTGCCGACCGTCTGCTTGTCGCTCTCGGCAACGAGAAGATCTACAAGTCTGCCAACCCCTTTGACTTCATGGAGAACATTTCTCTCGGTGGCAAGACCAACTTCTTTGAGAAGCGTGTCGCCGACTACCAGAAGGCTGGTGTCATGAACAGCACCAAGAAGGTTGTCGAGGAGGCCGGCGCTGAGTCTAAGGACGCCAACGGTGGTGACTTCTCCTTCGACGATGACTTTTAAATCATGGTTATATCCGAATTCCCCTCTTTTTTTCTTCTCGCATTTTCTCTCATCTCTTCACTTTTCTTGCTTCGCAATTGGAAGCTTGTATATTTGCAAAAAGAGCCGTCCGCGGGTTGGATCGGCAAAGACGGCGTTGAAACTGGGAGCCTATTCTAGGGTCTCCCGCTATATTGGTTCAGAGGTTCACACAAACACTGCGGGCGTTTAGGTTATGCACTTGGGTTTTGTCTTTATGAATGCGATGTGTTCTTCCCACAGGGGATGATAATTGCGGAATGCGTTGGATCATGATACACTGCATGGGGTACGTAGTTATGGAATAAATAGTCCAGCAAATAGACCTGGATGAACGATTACTCAGATTTTGCCTATGGCTTGTGATGTGCACATTGTATGGAGTGTGTGATACTCCGCAGTTCTGGAACACAGATAGGTAGTCCAGCAAATTGGCCAAGGTGAGTGAACACTCGGAGGCTGCTCATGTCTTGTGATGTGCATATACGTTTTCCATTTCTAGATTCTCGTTTTGCGCCTGTGATATCCAGAGGTTGTGCTTTCCACACGCAAATTGCAGAGTATATTTTGGTATCCGCATTCATGCTCACACCCGCCCACCATATCAAACCAAAAGCTATCCATTGTCTATTCAATTCCACTTGATATTCATTTCTTGCCCTTCTTCTTCTTCTTCCCACCCCCACCACCTCCAGCCGCACCCTGCTGCTGCTGTTGCTGCGTCGGCGTCTGCTCTCCCTGCGGCGTCTCGACCGCATCAGCATCCTGCATCGTCTCCTCGGGAACGTCCTGCACGCCAGCCTGCGCCCTGCCCAGGCGGCCCATGGCGGCGTACATGAGGCGCGTGACCTCTGCGGCCTTTGTGGTGCGGTACTTGAGTGCGACGCCGCTGACGGGGTCGTAGGTCTTGAGGACGAGGCTGCCGCGGGGGGGTTTCGGGTCCGAGGGGGAGGAGGATTCGTCGGCGGAGGTAGAGCTGGGGTCTGCTGCTTTGCGGGGTTTGACGGGCTTGATGGAGTATTTTGCGGTGACGCGGGTCTGTTTGACGGAGGGATATTGTTAGCTGAGGCTTTGTGGAAGGTATATTGAGGGGGTAATTGGGTGAGGGGAGATTGGAGGTAGAGGAAGAGAGAGAAACTTGCCTGGGAGGGCCGAGCCTCAAGGAGAGCGACGGAGAGGTCGAGCCATTCTTGGCTCGTTTTAAAGTATGGCATTGGGCGTTATGATTGGCGAGACTCCATGTATGTGTGCGTTTGTATCGTGTATGTTTCGAGAGGGGGAGAGGGGGAGAGAGGGGAGTGAGAGGCTGTGGTTGTAATGCGAGTTTGAGGCGAGGCTGTGGTTTGTGATAAAGAATGGCCATATGATATTGGATTGATGGATTTGGTGTTATTAGGTAGTGGCTGGTATTGTGGCGTTGGGAATTTTTGGTGGGGTAGCGGGGCTGATGGTACAAAGGTACAAGTCACAAGTATCATTGCCTCTTCCAGCCATTCAGACGAATACAGCCGTGTAAGTGAATCTATATGTACAAATACCCTACAAAGATGGTAAAAATTGAGCAGCATTGGCACTGGATCATACTGGATCTTCAACACAAGAGTATATGTATTAGATGCAGTTGAATAACCTCTAGAATAACTTCACGGAGGAGGAGTAAGTACATCATCCTCCGCCACCTCCAACTCATCCAAGTCATCCAAACTCCCAAGACCCAAGTCATCCGTCTCATCGTCTTCATTCTTCTGCAACTCACCATCATCAAATCGTTCCGTCTCTTTTCCTCCCGAATCGTCTTGATTTCCACTGTCAGGGTCAGGTGACTCTTCAGCCGGGAGGTCCTCAAATTCTTGTTCGTAATCTTTCCGAAACGCAAAAGAATGTTGTTTATCGTCATCAAAACTGATATCATTGTGATAAAAGTCTATTCTGCCGTAGCATTTCTTGCAAGTATCAAAGTCCGGACACGTCTGGCACTGATATGAATGGCCAAAGATTGTCTATCAAGGTTTCTGTCAGCATTGAAGCGCCAAATTAGGTTGCTTTGTGTACTCACATTTAGACATATGTCGCAATAAGCTGTTTTTGACTTATATCTTTTACTCGGCTTATTGGCATCGCTGCTTTTCCTCTCTGTACCGTTTGTCAAGCTGTCATCCAGGCTAGTATCCAACATGTCGATGACCTCGCTGGCAACGGCAGCGCCACAGAGCCTGGCCATCTGCACTGGAGTAAATGTCTCGACATTTTTGCCCGCTCCCATGGTAAATTTGACTGAACAATCGGCTCCTTGTTCAATGAGATATTTCACAGTCTTGATATAATCACGGGGCTCAGACTCCGAGTCAGGGCCAAGGCGTACAGTAACAGGCCGTACGGCCCAACAAAGCGGCGTCCAGCCATCAATATCAGCTTGATTGACGTACTCCCTTCTCTTTTCGGGTGAAGAATCCAAAAGTTCCAAGATAGCTTCAATCGTCTTCACGTTGCCGAACTGAGCGGCCCAGTGTAGAGCATTTTTGCCGGCGCGGTCGCAGACAAGAATATCTCCCTTGTGGACGAGGGCTATTGTCTCGAAATTTTTGACACCATTCGCAGCAGCATAGTGGATTGGGAGCCGACCCAAAGGATCCGGGTCTTGCGCGGAAGCCCCTTTATCAAGAAGAAGGTTGATAGTACTGGCGAAACCTGCAAAAGAGGCTGCACAGATGGCATTGTAGATGTTGCATCCTCCTACGGCGTTGACATCAGCTCCATTGGCGATCAACTCGGAAATAATTCCATCCATCTCATCCTTTTTAGTGTCGTACAGTTCCTTCCAGGGTATGCATGCAGATTTGATCGCCGTGCTGTTGTATGAGAGCTCTTTGACCGATATGTTCGCATCAGCCCCGTGGGCAAGGAGTTTGGTTACCATTTCACGGTTCAGCGAGCGACACGACACCATCAGCGCGGTCCCTTTGGTTTTCCCTGTAGCGTCTATTACAAGATCTGGCTGTGCGAGGAGCAGGTCGGTGACATGGGCCTTGAGCGCGCGTCTCGCAGCAAGTGATAGGACTGTCCAGCCCCATTGATCTTCCGCATTGACATCCGCTCCAGCTCGGACGAGGAGCTCAATGCAGTCTTCGTTATCTTCTCCACAAGCGTACAAAAGGGCCGTTCTGCCGTAGTTGTTGCGCTTCTCTAGATCAATGCTCTTGCGGTATTCTAGAATTATCTTGGTGAGCTCCTCCTCCTGCCAGGCCATGGCGAAGTGCAGGGGAGTGTTTCCAGTCTCCGGATGAACCACACCAAGATTTGCACCACCATCTGCCAAAGTCCGCAGAATCTGGGGGTCTGCAGTACTCCAGGTTGAAATCGTAATTGCATTCCAGCCGCCGTTGCCGCAGTGGTACATGTTTGCCTTTCTCTCAACCAAGAGCCTCACAACGTCCCTCTTCTTCCAATCAACGGCGATGTTGAGGACTGTGTGATTGTTGTAGTTTGGCTGCTCCATGTCGATACCAGCATCTAGCAGCATTCGCATAATCTCGTAGTCCTCTATTGCGATTTCGACAAGCGGCTGTCCGCTTGTGGTCAAGTTGTTCAGCTGGGGCTTCCAGTTCAGCAGCTCGCGGACTACCTCTACACGCAAATTCTTAATGGCATACCAGAGTGCACTGCGACCAAGATTGTCTGTGGCGTTGACATCTGCCTCGTGCTCTAGAAGCCATGTCACGAGAGACAACTCTCCCGCCTCCGCGGCGTAGAGGAGCGGTGTCATATTCTCTGAGTCGGTTGCATTGATCCGAACTGGGGGCGAATTTTTGACGAGAACTTCGAATATAGCAAGCTTATCCTTGACAGATACCGACGATCTTATCAATTCTATAGGTAACGGCGGATCTAGCAGCTCGTGATTGGGATCTGCGTCGTGATCGAGGAGGAGGCGAACCATGTCCGCACTTGCTGCCTTGATAGCTGCAAACCAGAGTGGAGTGTCCAGATTGTTTGGTCCGCAAATGTTAGGATCTGCTTTGTTTTCGAGTAGAATCTTCACTGTCTTAAGATGGTTCCCCTCTACTGCAACGACAAGAGGAGCCCATCTATAGTTCGGTCTCTCCCCTAATCCTGAGTTTGGATCGGCTCCAAGATCCAATAGCATCTTTGCCATGGCCCAGCCACCCTCGAGGGCCGCGAAATAGAGTGGTGTTTCCGGTTCCTGACTCTCCAAAAGCGAGGCATCTTTGGCTATCATAAGTTTGACGCCATGCATACTGCCATTGGAAGTAGCAGTTTGTACCGGCTTGTATTTGTCCAGTCTCTTCACATGGAGATTAGCTCCGTGCTCTATAAGTACGTCAATTATTTGGTCGTGGCATAGACGGGAGGCCATGTAGAGCGGAGATGGAAAGAACTCGGGACCTCCATCTGTTGGATCTAGGTCCATGCCGTCGTTTACAAGCAACGTAACTAATCGGACCATGTTAAGATATACCGCTCTCCATAGGAACCACAACGGCCAGAGTATTTTTGAGCTATATTTTGTAGTAGCAACATGTTCGTAGTCTTGATCTTGTCTTTTGGATGCAGAAATCAGCTCCTCTGCGATAGACACTGCCACATCCTCGTTTGCCTCTCTAATCGCCTTGGATAGAGACTCTAAATCTGGTGATTTCGGTGAGGTATTATTCTCGCGGCTAACAGTTGTAGATGAGAGCATCTCCTTGAGAATGGTGACAGCTTCCGGTTTCAGATCTCCCAGCGCAAGAAGGGTTTCGCATGGCGAATTTAACGCTCCAGATTCGGGACGGGAGAATGGATTGCTCATAGCCCAGTATGCCTTTGACCATGTTGCCAATTTGCCATCACTAGCCAATAATTCATCTTTGATACTTTTTAAGACGACGGGATTATCGGATATATGATGAGGGAGAGCCTGAATAGCGTAGAATATAATGTCTTGTCCATCCGAGACAAGCGGCGGCGTAATGGCTTCACCAGAAGACTCAACTCGAGACTGATACTCTTTGTTAATGGATTCTAGCCGTTGCTGAATATTGGGTGCAGTCAAGTAATTGAGTAAAAATGTCGTGATGGCGTCAGGTGATGTTGATTCTGCCCAAATGCTACTCAACTCATTCTGCAGGTAATCCCGTAATTCTTCCTTGATATGGACCTGCCCGCTAACAGACTCTGCGATTCCGCGAAGCCATAGCCGAATTTGTGATAGAAAGTCGTCCAGCTCCATAGGAGAAGGTGCTTGGAAACTCTGAGCTTCTCCACGTTTATGGTGGTACAGCATCATTGCCAGTTCATGGTAGCTTAGGGGCCGTTGCCCCTTAAAGAGCCATTTCAAAATCCAGCTGAGGCCCTCCTGATCAGCAACGTCTCGTAGGGCTTTTCTCAAAATATCCGCTGGTGTAGAAGCCAAGGTAACGGCCTGGAGGTGAGAAGAGAAGTCGTGCAAAGCTTTTGTCGATAGCTCTTGGGGCCAGTTAGTAATTTCCCCTATCAGGTTTAGAACCGTGTCTCGGTTTTCTTTCTTCATAGGCTTCAACTCTTCAAGCTTCGGCTTAATTTCAGTCTCGCCGTGACCGCTGGGACAAAAGGTAGAAACCAGGCCGTCAGGGTACTCATCTGCAGCATCCTCGTTCGACTCATCCTTATTATCCGGGACGATCCATGTATCTACCGGGATATCTGCCCAATGGCGTAGTTCATCATGAAGATCAAGGGATTTTCTGCATGTAATCACTACCTTGAATCGCGTTTCACTCCTGGTCGCGAAGGCGCTCAGCACATCCCAGAATGTATCTCGACTGTGCTTGTCGCATTCATCGATATCCTGGAGCAGAAGGACCAAATTAAAGCCCATAAACTCGCGAGAAAATATTGCCAAAAGCTTGAAGAGATCCGTCTCCGTCCATGCGTGTTGAAGCACCAACTGATCTCTTATGGCTCCAGGCAATGGGTCGCCTGTCGCAATTGCAATACCAGAAAGATATGAAACCAAGAGCAAGCTGATCATGTCCTTCATTGAGCAGCGTGTTGGGTCACGGGCAGAGAAAACAAATGAGATGGGTAAAAATACGACCCCTTCCTTCCGACTCTTTCTCTGTTTGCGCCTCCAGTCGAGGAATACCTGTTCAGCAGCTTCCGTTACCGCGTTATGGTCGTCGCCAGAGACATATAATATGCGTGCACCAGCAGATGCCATCCATGTTTCATGTTCAGCGCTCTTAAACACTGGGTGTGATTCGTCAAGAGATGTTGATGACAAGGGACGATGTGCCGAAGTTACTGCCAAAAGGGATTGCTGAAAGGGTATCCAAGACTCGTGAGGGAGCCAGGCTTGGTATGTCAGTCAAACGGCCATGAATATTAGAGTTTTGCTCACATTTGATGTTAGAACAAACTATGTCGCGCAAAACCGGAAACGGCTCTTTGTCTTTCTGCTTTTCTTCTCGAATTATTATCTCGTTTGGCACCCCCATTGTCGCGGTGCCGTGATCAAATATCTGCACAAAATATGAGTAAAAGTCTTTCTGTCATAACGCCAGATGGATACTTTACATATGATATCTTCTCCTCTTGCCCTTCCACATTTCCATAAAGACTGATAACCTGGCTTCGAAGCGTGATTTTGGAAGCGATGAAAGCTTCAGTAATTTCCACTGTGCACTTTGTAAGACTACTGATTGATTCAGGTGTCAAAACTCGTTCCCATGAGGTGTTCTTTCGAGACATGAGGAAGTCGAATACTTTGGAATAGAGCAATTGGGAGTCATTTGCTCTTTGGAAGCCGCCTGCAAATATCTACTCGCATTCGCTTGTCAGTATTTATAGCATTGGATTAATTAAGGGGGTAATTGATAGGAGAAAGGCGACATAAGGGTTTGTTCAAAAAAGATCCATAGACTGCGGAAGAGAACATCGACACATACAAACTGAGCGGCGCTCGTAAAAATTCCTGGCCATTCTTGCTCATTTGCGCTGGCAATGCAGATGGCCTATACCACGATCAGCGCTTCTAATAGATGACCAGTTCATGATATTATGCGCAACCATACCTTTTTGACGATTAAATCTCCCAAATCGTAGGCAACAAACACCAACGCTCTTCTTGATGGCTACTCTCTCTCTGTATTAGCTTAGTTGTGCAAATGATATCCGCATCAAGGCAGGGGCGTGTAACTAGACCTGTTCAGTTTCTTGCTGGAAAAATACGAGACTTTGCAGCAATTGTCGGGCAAGGCCATCAATACATTGGCTCGTGAATTCGCCAGCCAGTAATTTCGTTATATGGCACTTGAAAACAAATTCTCTTCGTCTAGAAGCCACTGACTCTAGAAGAAGAGTTTCGAGCTTAAGCCGGTCATCATCTTGACCAATCACCATAACATGGACAACGCTGCGAACGTCTAGTTTCAGTCAATCCTAATCGGATAACAGCACCGAGGGAATTATAGCATCCATGCTAATGCTTACTCGATATCTGGAGACTTGTCTGTGTCAGACTCCTGTTGTGTAGAATCCTTAATAGTGGTCAAGGTGAGGCCATCTCGACTGTAGCCTTCAAAGTCCCCAAACTTGATGGGAGCTGGCTGATCATCTTCACGGGTCTCCATGATGGCAGACAAGTGATGTGGTCGGCGCGATTGTGTGCAGACCAGGTCGACCGCCGCGATGATTGATATCGATCATATGGAGTCGTAAGAGGCAGGTCTATTAAAAGTACATAGATCTTGGAGAATGTCGCTCGGTAAAGGATCAGCACGGCCCAGGATTTACTCACTGGAGCTTCCCAACCTCTTCTAACTGTTCTTAACTCTCTCTGTACATGTATGTAGCGTGCTTCTTCAACAAGCTGCGGGGTTTCGTCCACTCATCGCGGCAATATATTCCCCTCGTTGCCTCCCCGGTATATACCGGCTAAGTCTCTCTTATGGTGCAACGTTCAACTCCTTTGGTGCCTTGGCCTCTATTTTTTTCACTATGGGGTGACACCATCACACAGCTTCGCCTCACTATGCAGCCTAGAATACAGCGACAGGGATCTGTGCGAATCCAAGCTGCAGAATAAGCGGCGCTTCAACCCGCTTCTGACAAGTCACAAAATCCTTCGGACGAACCTGCGAGCTTGGGTTTAGCACCAATATTGGCAACCGATGTGCGCCGTTTTCTCATACTGTGCTGTCACTTGAGCAGCCAGATGTCAAGCTCTCGATCATTGACTCATTCGACCAATGTTCTCATCTAAGCTAAATAAGTCACTTCTTCAACAGGTGTACTTTATTCTCATCGAAACTCACGCATCCAGTTGATTAATACACGACAAAAATCCTGTGCAATATGAACGAAAGTGAAATTTGGTTGAGTGACGGAGACGAGGGAGACTTTGATGAAGACGATGAAGAAACCTCGGATCCGACATTTTTCAGTCTCGGGCTTACATACCAAGGCCAGGAGGGAGGTAAGATTATTCAATCTTTGACAGGAGTTGATAATATAATAACAACGTTATGTCAACAGGCTTCCATGTGCGCAATCGCCCAGGACAACGGCAAAGGAAAGCAGTTTCAGCTTTCCGCGGCGGCTCAAAGAGAAGACCTGCTTTCACCGTCAGTTGCAATGCGAAAGCCATAATCCACGGCGAAATGGGTCCTTCTTCAAATAAACACGCTACGCTCCTTGTGTACGAGTTCAAGTTCAACTCATATAGGGGAGCGCGCATCAAAGAAGCCGACGTCTTATTCGAGTTCTACGCTATGAAAGGCCAAGCCGGCGGACCATCAGTCCACCGGGTTGCTCCATATGGACTCCATAAGATGCAAGAAACAAGCCAATCCGAATCTTCAAAATATGGAGTAGAACTCACAGTCGGTCCAAACATTCCGGCTATCGACACAGGTTTGACACTCTCTGGCGAAGCGGGCGTGGAGAAAGTTACGAAGCATCATACCGTCGTGAGTGGCGATAACCCCCAGTCAGACGATTGGGGGAATTACTTCCAGGCGCGCTTTTTCCTGTCTGAGAACAAGTCACAAGCCAGCGGCATTCCTTCCAAGCTTCGTGCTTGCATTCTGCTGGAACGAGACGACGATGAAGACTTCGTGTGTGTTCCCTACTTGAAAGTAACACCAAACTTTACAACTATGGTGACCTCTTTGTTCTCTTCAAGGGAGCCCGACGACCCCATTATATTTAGCGTGTCTGAGCCTCCTCTCAATGAATTAGATACGGGAGTCGATATTGATGTCGATAATCTGGGAGCAACTGACTTGGACCAGCTTTGGGACTGCACTACATACACCGAGTACGGGCAATCTATCAAGCGATCTGGGTCGGAGAATGCTGAGCGTACTCAAGAATAGGACAGTGGAGAAAGCAATCGAATAACAAGGACAATGACGACTAGCGCTGTCTCTATTATTGCCAGCTTGAAGATTCCTTGATGTTGTTCAACTTGTCATATTTACTCATACCACCAAGAGTGAGTAAATGTTCTTGACACTGTATTTTGGTGGGATGTATTCAGCCCCCAGCCGTTTTGCCGGGATCACTGCATCAGGATGTCTAAAACTTGTCGTTAATCCCTGTTATATCACGCAGCCATCTCCTGTCAGCCAATCTATCAGCCTCAAGTTTATTAACCCCCGCTTTCAAGCACCTAAAATAAATCACAAGCACCGGCTGGAAGGACACCAAACTCAACTCAGGATAGAAGACTAGGCAGCTGCCGTCTCTTGTGTCCCCCAATAGTTTTCTCAATGTCGAATATTCCTCTTGAGCATAACACGTCTAATCTCTTACGTTTTTGGGTTTATTTTAGTCTAGTTCGTCGCCTTTCAAGGCACCTCGGAATTGGAGGGGTTTTGTCTCTTTTCTCTGCGTTTCCAGTTTCCAACGTGCGCCAATCTGCGGTACTAGGGCCGCGAGTTTCCTGTTGCTCATCATGGCAAACTATGATGATGATGACATTTCAGAAGCGGGCTCTGTTACACTAGACAACTTACAATACGATGAGATACTTGACCTTGATCCCGAGGACGTCGACAGACATCCCTTTGAGGAAAAGAGTGAAGAGGCTCAATTCCGAGAGCAAACATGGGAACAACAATGGAAAGAAGTTGTCAGATCTTTAGTTTCCGGCGAGGCACGGTGGGATGAATCAGAGCAAGGACAAGGCCGCTTGCTTGAAGAGTACAAGAAGAAGGCACTGACAAGTCGAGACGCTCGTGAGAGGACAACACCTACGTTTCTTCACATCTTGGCAAAGAGGCGAGATACTGATGACTTTGGAAACCTACCCGGCGATACACTGTCAAAGATCATCAAGTATCTTCTTGAGTATCAGGACAGTGCTTTGGTAGAGAGTGGTCTCAACAAACCAAAGGATGACCCGATTCTACGGGTAGCGATGGAGTTCAATAACACCAAGTTCATCGAATCCGTCACTGAATGCTCCAGTGAAATTCCGGGAAAATTAGATGAGCTACTTAATGCGACGGACCATGACGGGATGAATTGCCTTCACTACGCTTTCAAGGAACAACTACCAAAGGCTCTAGGAACTCACCAAGGGATTAAGCAGAGTTCGGCCATTGCACCAGAACGACCGAATTTACGTGTCACGATTAAGACAATCCATGGCTTTGTCAAAGAGGCAAAACCTGAGACGATAGCTGCAAGAGACAATTACGGCAACACTCCCATACACTATGCCATGGATTACAATAACTGTCGACTCCAAGTAAAGCAGTACAACAACATAGTTCAATACCTGGTTCTAACAGGCGATAAGATACTGAAAAGGAACCCGGATCAGCAGTTCAACTTGAACAACGAGTCTCCATACCTGTATTATCTAAGGACGCGAGAAAGATGGTTAAAGCAAAATAGGAGAGCCGTTGCAGCAACAGGACCAGCGACTACATCTTCAGAAAGAGGTGGCAACCGTACTGGCAGAGAAAAACCGCCTATTAGGACAGGCGCCCTGTATGAGTCTAGAAAGGAGACAAAAGATGACTATTCGACAGGAGAGTATCAGAAAAAAATGCTCCCGCCAAAACCAGGGACGACTGAGCCATCAAGAACGAAAATGGGGCCTCCACCTCCGCTTGACAAAGGTCGGACATTGTATACCACAGCCCAGGAAAAAGATGGAACAGAAGCCTCAGATTATGATCCAAAGCAGTCTCGTCGTCCTTCTGTGCATATTTCAGAGAACCAACCCGTTCATGCAACCCCGGCCACTCCTACATCCTTGGATAACCCCCTTCCTAAGTCCCTTACGCGCACTCGAACACAAAATTACGACCAGGTTAGCGATTCCGGCCAGACAAAAGCTCCAACCAATGCCAAGTTGGATGATGATAAGTCCAATCCAAGCAAAACCTCCCTGGACTCGGATACAGCAGCAAGCAAAATCGGGGAGTTTGTCAAAGTTCATTATATACGCACTAGAACAGACATGGAAGCCAAGGAATTACTTTATGGTAAAGTTGCTTCAGGTAGGTCTGCGACAATTCGACCTCTCAAGGAAACTCCTCACATATCTATTTTACTCGGTATCTTGAAATGAGATGTCTTGTTGTTACTCAGACTCGTACACACTGCGGCTACAATATTTTGTATTTATGGCTGATGTTCTTGCTACACTAGACAAAAACTTGTATTTCGACGCATCTCATCTCGCGGGAAAAACTGTAGACCAAGTCGTAGACTTGATCGAAAAGCTCTCAAAGGCGGGCGGGTTTGAGGACACTCTATCCTACGTCAATTTGCCGATATTAACGACAATTCACGAAAAGTCAAGCGCATCCAAGTCAGACAACAGAGGGTACAGTTCGAACGAGAAAAGGCAACGCGGAGGCGCTCACCAAGAAAATCCCAAGTTGGGGCGCAGTGCTCTAATAAGTGTATTTGACAAGTTGGTGTCAGTCAACATTCGCCACATACTACGGTTGCAGGTGGACGACAGAGAAGGTCTACCTCACACCGACGCCGCGATCGAAAGAGCTATACGAGGTCAAGATTCGTTTGGTCTCGGTAATACCAGGAAAGAGGAAATTAAGATAGAATCCTGGTATGTCAATATCACCTTGCGATTCCAATCTGTCTCTCAGTCTAGTAACTGACGTGATTCTGACTGTCGAACAGGGATTGGAGAAAGCCAGACCTAAGCATGGACGTTATTTCATTTGCAGCACCAGATGCTACTCACATCAACCTCTACTGGAGCGGTAACCAGACGATCCTCAAGGGCTGGGGCTACCCAGAAGGTATTGCAAGAGATGCAACTTCCAATGGCAAGCTAAGGAGGGTGACGCTCCATGCCTTTCCGGTATGTCCCACGTTCGAAATCTACGTCGTGTTATCAGGGACAGATTTCCAATCTCAGAACATAATCTAACGATGACTTCAGGGCTTCGAGAGTCGAGATAGAATGATGAAAATGATAGAAACCTTCGAAGCCGAGATCAACGACCGGACAAAAGGAAGGGTCAAGATCGAAAAAAGGATACACTCTGGCACGGTTACATCCAGTATCAAGTCGGACGATGATCTAGACCCATCAGAGATTGGAACTTCGGACGGCCCTCCGCAACAGGTCTGGGTTGAAAGAATGGAGGATTTCAGAAGCTCTCTGATCTCTGTTCACCGGCTTCTGGGCGGCAAGATTAAAATCCCACCCGTCAAGGCATGTATAAAGCTGTGATATGGAGCTTTACTCTCCCATCAGTTATGTATGGAATACTGATGCTTACATCTTGCCCATAGGTTGCGTTAATAGACGACGGTGTCGATCTTTTGAACTTGGATACGTACAATATTGTCCAGGCTACTGGTCTGAGCTATTGCCCTCCAGATGGGAAAACAGAACGGCCGTGGCATCAGTCCACCAACGGTCACGGCACAGTCATGGCCAACATGATTGTGCGCATTAACCCCTGGGTTTCACTCGATGTCATGAAAATTCACGAAAGCACTAGCCACAGCCCTGGAAGTAAAACACGAACCATATACGCAGAGAGCGCTGCGAGAGCCATTGAAGGCGCTATTATCCGCAAGGCCGACATCATATCCATGTCGTGGACTATTCGGAAATTGGCGAAGAAGATAGGCAGTGTACCTAACGCCCTAGATGTCGGGACCGATGAAGAGCACAAGAGATCCCCCGAGGAGGTGGCCATGGATGCGCTTCAAAAGGCCATCGAAAAGGCCAAGTCTCGCAACATCCTCATGTTCTGCTCCGCCGCTGATGATATCCAACTCCTCGGAAGGGAATCTCTTCCTTTCAGCGCAGCATCGGACTGCATTCTTCGTATTGGCGCCGCGCTGCCCAAAGGCCAAAGAGACCCAACCTCTGAAGATTTTAACACAATAAGCTACTTCTTTCCCGGAAACCAGGTGGCGGAAGCAAGGAATCCTCGGTCATCAAAGCCCGTCGAATACCATGACGGATCTTCCGTTTCTACTGCATTAGCTGCAGGACTTGCATCACTAATAATTTATTGTACGAATGTCGTAAAAACCTACTACGACGATTCGAGGCCCTTTACTGACTGGGCGTTGAAACTGCGGAACCACAAGAACATGCGGACCGCATTCGATAACATAAATTCTCCGGATTATGACGACAAGAAGTTTTTGCCTGTCTGGAAGACGTTTGGGGATGCTACAGAGCGTATCAATAATGCTCAAGGGGAGAAGAAGAAGATTGTGGAGTTGGAGAATTTGGTGAGAATTCTCTGTCATAAACTTGAGGCAGAGTAAGGCAAGGGAGCAAGACTAGAGCAAGACACTCATAAAATGTAACAACTGAGTATACATGTAGCTTAGAATATTAAACAACGAATTTTCTCAGAGGATTAACCAAGGTTACTACCTTCTTTGAGGATGATTTCGTCTTCTGTATCTGAGAGTGCTGGGCTCTATGACTCTGTTGACATATGTGCGAAGCTGACAGTCTCCGCCGTTGCGACGAAATCATAACTGCACTTATGAAGGTGAGACGTTAGTATGCATGCTTGTTCTTTCTGAAATGTTTCACTCTCTTATGGCTAGTTTAGTAACACAAGTTGATTCATCTAGGCTATGAGAAGTAGGTGTAGAGTTTCGTCTGTGACACGGTAGTGTAAAGGGTACGAGAAACGAGCCTGTTTCATTGAGACTTGGCCAGCTATGTACATGCAGTTCTCGGTTAAAGACTACGACCTTTACAGCGAGTCCTTTGACAGCGAGTCTTATCCATAAAAGCATTTGCCATCGTAGTGAAGAGCCAGGTGGCAGCTTTCTTATCCTTGTCAGTCCCCGTGAAAATCATCCCGTCACGCACTGGGAAAATCAGCCCGTGTAGCCTCCTGGCCAGGTTTTTGAGTTCAACAAAGTCGGGAGAGAATTCACCCAGAATCCCCTCGAAGCCTTGCGGGCTCATGTCGGCCGTTACTGCCTTCTCGACGGCGGAAAAGTTCAGGACCGGTGAGCACCAATTATGGAGCCGAGATTTCTCTGGCAATCCCTTCAAAATCTCCCGGGCGTGGTCATGCTCTCTATCATTGGCAATGGCTAGCCACAAAAAAACATAGAACAAAGACTCCAGGTCGTGTCGATACGTGTGTTCTTCCCCACGGAGAACACCGATGGCCATGAACCCATCCGACCCAACCCGCTGCCCAACAGGGTGACCTTTCTTGACTTTCAGCGCCGAGTCAAAGTCGATCAGGATGCCCATGGGGTTACCCCAGCAGCCCTGGGGACTGATGACCAGATTCTTGATGGCAATGTCCCGATGAATCATTCTTCCATCCTCGTAGAGAGACTGAATCGCCTTGACGAGGTCGCCTAAGACCTCAAGAAGCTCACTGATCGACACATACTTTCTGATCGGACGGCCGAGAGGGCTAGTGGCGAAGCACGACAAGGTTCGATTGACAAATGATCGAGGGAACTGCAGTGGCTGGCGAAGGTCGGCAATGCTGACTAGGTCTTGATGGCCGAGGAGCTTGATGATACCCTTGACTCCGCCCTTGTGTGCCAACCAAAGCATCCGAGGCTCGGTAGTTGTGTTGTCGGCTCTCCAAGAAAACTTGACAACAATGTCTGGCTCGTCGGTTGTAGATTCCGAGGCGGCGAAGCATGTCGTTCCCAGCCCAACCAAGTAACCTGGGGCTGCAATCATCTCTGGTCGGAGATACATCTTGTTGTCTTTATCAGAAGAAACGCTTTCATCAGAAGAAATGTTTTCATCAGAAGAAATGTCTTCATAAAAACAAAAGTCTTCACTCAAAGAAACATAGCTGTCCAATCCGAGTCCAAAACACTTTACAAACGTGTTGACTCCAGACTCTTTATCATCCATCATACCGTAGCCCGCCAGGATACGCAACAGTTCTTGAGGGTTATGACCCAGGTCAATCAATTCGCTGCTGTAGGCGCCTGCACGGTCAAACACCCAAAGCTCCAGAGTGGTCCCATGAAGGATGAAAGCATGTAAGAAGTGTCGGGTTGGCTGAGCCTTGAACACTTGCAGAGCACGCGCAGCAAAGGGTAGAAAGCCGTTATCGTCACCCGCCACGTGAGCATCGCCGTGATGATATTCGCCATACACGCGGGTACTGCCTGCGGCGGTCGAGATATCTTCCGTTTCGAAATAGATGCTGGCACTGAAGCGCAGCTCCGGCGTGGTGATGGGCTCGCAGCGGAAGCGGATTTTGGGATCAGCGGTGAAGAAGAGAGACCGAAAATCGACAAGCCAGTCCATCAAGGTGCCCAAGCGGACAATATTGAAGATGTCTCTGGACAGCTTGACGATGTCGGCCGACTTGGCGCCGCGGATGGTATCCTTGACTGCGGGGGACCAGCTTGGTTTCTCGAAATACTTGGCCAAGAAGCCATCCACGCCGCGGAAGACATTGTCGTTCAATTTCAACTCGTCCCGAACCGATTCAATGGCAGTCTTAAAATCGGACAGCACATTGGTAGGGAGTTCAGCGATACAGTATCGCGAGAGACTATTCAAGTGGTTCTCCATATTGCCTAAAAGTTGGTGATGATGCTCTCACGTTTGATGAGTGGCGCTGAATTGTAGTTGATAAGAAAAGAATGAAAGAATGAAAGAGGCGAGAATATTCCACGTTTGCTTCAAGGGAACAAAGGGGAGGTTGGACAGCTTTGACCACATATGCTACGGAGTCACGACCAACATAACTGCGCGCGCATCGACCGCTGGTCTCTCGCGATGCAATTTCCTCGGATTAGCTTTTGGAAGAGATGCTATGTCATTCATCGAACTCTATTCTTATTCCTTTGCCGATGATATTGCGTGTTGTAGTCGTGATTATGCATAGGTAAGAGGCAAAGAACATAACTATGCTATCACACCTCTGGCAATAGCGTTTCCAATTCGCCGGTTTATTCGAGATGGTCTCTTGATCGTTCGAGAATTTGCGTTGTTTGCTCTTTTACTCTTGTCAGACGTTGTGGAAAATTTGGGGCGTAGTTGAACATCACTCACCATTAATTTGATTGTCCCTAAACTCACGAATAGTAGCCATTGCTTTTCCAGTGAATCTTAGCTTCTGTCCATGTTTAAAAAAGACATCTATGCACGCAATCCGATGCTCGTATCCAGGACTTTCGGCATCTAGCACTGCCTCCATTATCTCATCCGTAATTAAGATATGAGATCCTCCCTCGTGAATAAAATATTCAACGAACCCCTGACAATGAGTAAAGTATTTTATCGCATTTATCATCGTGTCATCTAAGAAATCAATCGAGTTTCCTAGTTTCTGGAAGATAAAGGAGATGGTTTCTCTAGCTCGATCATGATTTAGCGCTCCGCCATGTAGCATATACGTTGTGATGGTGACAGCGGGTTGGCCACCTCGATGGGGGAGCAATAGTTCAAGGAACTTTATGCCTTTCTCCTTCATTGACGCAGCCTCCAATATGTTTGTTGTGACGGTGATTTTGCCACTTTGATGCTGACACAATAGCTGAATAATGCTCTCACCTTGTCGTTCATTACACATCGCGACAAGTATTATACCTTCGGTTATCATGATCTGGTCTCCTTGGTAGTTTAAAAGAAATGCAGTGAGTTCGGTGCCTTGCACCACGTTTCCTGCCGCCCTTTTCATCATGTCTTCTGTGATTGCTATCTGACCTCTTCTCTGGTCTAGCAGTAACGGCAAAATCTCCATTCCGGTTGCACTTGAGAGCGTTAGCTTGACAACCATTTCTTCTACTGTGATTTGATCTCCATATTTGGCCAGGATTAATGGCATGACATTATACTCGCGCTCCTGTCTCCGTAGGAGCCTTTGGATATATCGTATTCGAGTCTCCGGATGCATGTGGTTAAGAAGTGATAGAACTACCTCTTCATCGATCCGCTCTCTACTAATCGCGATACTTAGAACTTTTCTGGTCACAATTGCACCACCCTTTAGTAACAAGCTCACTATTTCAGCCCGAGTCTTGTGATAAATTTCTCTCGACCGAATAGCCGCACTGAGTGGCGATAAGTCACTCTCTTGGAGATGATTCAAGTCGTACCTGATATTGAAGGCTGGACCTCCAGAGATTGGATGCACCTCGCGCAAACCCAAAGCATATTCTACCAGTATCGGAAGCCCGAAATCCACAGCGACATGCAAGAAGGTATGCTCTGATGTGTACCTCGCATATCTTTGCATCCATCGCCACATATAATTCGAATGTGGCTCAAAGAACGGAATTTGTGGCTCGCAGATTTTGAACATCTCCCTTGCCTCTCGTACATGCTCCGTCCAGTATTTCTGTGCATATTTAAGGAAAGGACCTTCTGACTCATTTTTTCCGTGAAGATGTTTAATCAGATTATCGATACAGCATGAAGCAGCACTAGCATGTGCTTCAAGCCTCTCAAAAAAAGAAGCCGGAGCCGGAGCCGGAGCCGGTTAAGAAATCTCTCACGGATTGGTGAAGCAGCTGCACTTTTTCTGCGTGGATCACCACCAAGAGACGGCAGGATGCGATCTGATCGCGAGTGTACTGCAGACGGGTATCCAGATCTGGTTCATCTTGGTGTAGTTGACAGGCTTCGGATATCTCTAGCACGCTTAGTGCGTCAAACGATACAATAATAAAGCTTAGATTGCTTCGAGTCGCCGCGCACTCGCTGGTTTCGTCCTCGGTAGCCGTCTTAAGGAGACTTTTATATAACGAGATGAGTCCTTTTGGTATATCTCGTAGGAACTGAATAGCGTCTTTAGAAGATTTTCCTCTTAATTCTTCACATGCCAATCCAACCCACAAAAAGGTTCCTTCAGCTTTATACCTTAGCAAATCGATAATTTCTCTCTTAACTTTATCTGTATAATTTTTTTTCTTAGCAAGGTCGCCGACTCTTTCCCTGATGCATCTGTCGATATCTTGTCTGGCTTGGTCGAAGGAAGCCAAGTCCGCGTTTGTGAAATCTTGCAAGTATTCACGAATTTCAGGGTATGGTCGGCTTGTGATTAAGATAGAGAGATTCGGCGGGGGGTTCTCCTGACAATAAAAAGTCTCATGGAGTTGACATAGCAGAATATCTTTGGAGGCATTGTCACATTCGTCTAGTGCGTCAATAATGCAATATGTTCGACCAGTGTCTTGGTCGGCAGCTGCGGCAATAAAAACGGCCCATAGTGCATCGAATGATGTAAACAATTGGTTTCCTCGCTCTTCATATCTTGGTAAAATGTACTTCGAGAGGAGATTTTCATGCTGCTGAACCAGTTGATAGAGAAGACCTCTGATAATTGACGTGGCTGTCCTTTGTTTCTCGAAACTGGCGTCACAGAAAAAGTAGGCTAATGTCATATTTTCTATTCCATCGAAATCAGCCGACAGTTTTTCAGTGAGAAAAAATGGCCATGGTGGATTTCCCCTTCCCAGGATTTCCCCTTCCCAGGATTCCCATGGAGCCACAAGATGTTGCTTGATTGAGACTTCTGCTCTCTCTCCTCTAGGTAAAGCCAATTATTTAATTCTTTTGTACTGAGAATCCACTCGCAAGTTCCACCTGCACGGTTTCCTTTCTTGCGTTTCAACATTTTTCTGTCTTCGGATGGATCGGTTAGGAAGAGTGCCTTCCTACACTTTTTGGCTGCTTCCTTAGAATCCGATGGCGCGTTCGATGTGATACTAAGGTTCCCTTGAACACTTAAAGGCCCTTGTCCAGAGTGTTGAATACCTGAGCCTTGGAAAACAGCTTGGATAGAATCAGGAGCGCTAGTAGCAGCTTTTGCATCCGATGGGGTTATAGATGATCGCGAATTGGTATTCAGAAGAGGCTTTTCGCCAAACTGCGGCTTGCTGTCTGCCGAATCCATGACTCGCGTCAGATTACGATGGGATTCTGCCCTCAGTCGACGAACTAATGTATATAAGAAGATCGCAACAAGAGATGTTGTATTCCACCAAGCTTTGGCTAAGAGGGGAAGCAGTGAGGTTATCTCAAGCTCTCTCTCCACGTGCGCCCAACTAGGTTATTGGGCATCAAAGCCGACTTCGATAAGGCTGAATGTTGGGCTTTGATTGGCACATTGTAAGTACTGCCTTAGGTACATGTACATACATACCTACTAGGTACCGTGATGTATATGTAGGCAGGCCGGAAATGATTGGAATGTGTGCTGAATGACGACCGATGAATATAAATTACGATGTTCCATTTGAATGACGAATATACATACATATATACATCCTTACACACAGAATATCAATGTGTGTATAGTCACCGTTGATTCGCTTAGCATTCGCGCCTTTGGCTGTTCTGAAGTACTAAACTGCCATCCTGGCTTTTTATTTGTATTGATTGATCATCACCACCGCACGCCACAGCAGATGGATTGTGACTTTTGTCATGCGTAAAAATAACAGAAGCCATTATGATAAGAGACCAGTTGACTATAGAGATCTGGCATAGACATGTGTATGATGCGTGTATGATGTGTCACCGATTTGATGTTAATACTTGATTCGGCGTGGCGTGATCGTTACTCAAAAGTCGTCGCTATATCCCACTTCTCTAAATAAAGCTACTATAGATATCTGCGCATGTCCATACATCTTGTCAGCTGATATTTATGTCGCAGCCAGACGACTAATTTCCCAATCCTGAATGCTGCATACCTATTCCATAAAAATGAGAAACGTTATTTGACACCAGCCCAGGATCTCTTTGCCGCTCCCAACGTCCCAACGTCACCACTGTCGCCATGCATCCCGGCCTCATTGACACCGATATGCTTGCTGATGGATACTTTCCGACGCTTGAAACTCGAAACGCCGGAGCTGATCGGCGGCCTGAAGGGGGAATTAGGAATAGATAAATGTATTTCAGTGAGCCGGTTGAGTTTACAAGAGGAGGATTCTGGGCCTCCCCATTCAGTATTGCATAATTTGGCCACGCTCGCTCGTGCTTCAGGGTCTTTCTAGTCCGCTTGGGCGCTTGGGAAGGAGTATCTTTGCAGCATTGATCCGACCTCGTTGATAAACGGCATCTCAAACTGTTCGGCAACTTTACTAAGCAGGTTTGGACGACTCTGCAGCGCACAGTACACGATACCCAAAGGAGCCAAAATGACCATAACATCGCTGAGCTTTTCAGTCCTCATGCAGTGGTAAAGATAAGGGAAGATGTTGGCAGCTTCCAGCGCGGGCTGCAGCGTGAACACAACCGGATCCGGTTGGAGGAGAGGAGACTGAGGATTCGCTCTTGTCATGTTCATGATGTAGTCCATTTCGACTATGGAAGTAGGCCCTGTCCAGCGTCTACCGTCCTGTATCGCGTCTCGAAGTTGTGACAGATAGAGAAGCGCGGCATTGTATGTGAAGATTTCGGTTGCTTGCTTGAGGTTGTAGAAAGCCAGCGTTTCTGCAACGCCATTCTTTGAGCCCGTCGTGTTAGTCGAAGTCCCGGTGGCCAGGCGGGGATTCGCCTCATCCCACTTGCGACGCCAGATGCGCAGTTGATTGGAAAGTCGGGCGATTTGGCACATTGGTGAAGGGTGGGAGTCGGACACGATGTTTGGCGGAGAGGAGAAGCAATCTTCTGCCTGGCCTGGTATATCGCACAGGATGTCCAAGAGCTCATCTGATGAGTCTTTGCCGCAGAGTTCAAACGGTATCGTCTTCCATTCAGGCTCTTCGAGAAAGCATCGTCTCCGCAGCGCAAAGGACTTGCAGACTAGAATCCCCCGGCTTCGTCGAAAAGCGGTCAGCAGTGGCTCCTGCTGAAAGTGCCTTGGACCACAGCGCTTCAGAATCTGTATGACACCATCGTGATGCTTCATATAAGGGTTATCATCGAGTGCAGTCTGTCAAGGCGGTGTCAGCAGTTCAGTCTATATTCAGAGATAACGATTCTGCCTCAGGTATTTACCGCTATCAGGCCCAAGATTAGGACGGCGCTCGTCGTCCTTCCTATCTCTTGTTTGTCGTCACTCTCAAGAATCGTCTTCACCGCGTGAAGACTTTTCCCGTAGAGTATTCTCCCGTCCGTCTCCAACTTCTTCTCGTGCTTGTTCACACCAAAATACGCGTAAGCAAGCGCCAAGCTACAGTTGTAGTCCAGCGGCCCTAGCGCATCTTGTTTGGTCAGTGAGATCATTGGCCTCCAGCAATGAGCCCAGCTGCAGTTCTCAAAGAGATAGGTGAAACATATGTGGTCCTTGAAAGCTACAAGGCTCAGCTGGCGTGACGGATCAGGGTTGAAGTGCGGGATTCTGGCCAGTCGATGTCTTCCCGGCCCCTCCATCACGATACTCATATTCTGCATCCGCAGGGGCAGATCGTAACCCTTGCATCTGTACCCGGCCTTGATGCATCTCTGGCACGCCGGAGTTCCTTTGTCTATAGGAAACAAAACCTCGAGTCAATAAGTGTCCGGTCAACGAAAACTATCTCGTAAAGTGTCGGGGGACTTGCCACATTTGACCCTTCTCTTCCGACATGTCTGACAGTAGCCACTGGTTGGTGGAGCTCCCATAATGGTCCGAGGTGAAACTAGATGAGAGCAATGCACCTCGAGGGAACTTTCCCAAGCGGTGGTCTGTGATATTAATAATAATGAGAACAACTGATTTGTGGAAAGGCGGCTGGAGGCTTTTAATTTACTCCTTACTAGGCATGTAAGCACCTTGATATTGATGTAGGTACACGTAGTTTAGGTAGTTGTAATTCCGATCCATCATCTTCAATGTTATTTAAGTTCAGAGCAACTAACTGTAAGGGGGCTTATTAGCTGAGGCATTACCAATCAGTAATAAGAGCGCTACTTTAGCTCGCATGCATCTTGACGAAACTTTCCTAAACGGGCAGATTACCTGACTAGGTCACTCGCGATTTAGCGCTCCGAGATCACTCCATGTCAACGGCATATACATGTATATACGTGCATATATAAGTGTATATATATCTGTATCAAAGTTCCCGACTGCCTGATGCTATCAATATCAACTCTCAAGGTAATTACTTTACTCATTAGCTAAGATACAACCAGAGAGTGTTCTAATTTGACTCCCATCACCATCACACCATGCGGTCCAGAATGTTTGGCAGGCCATTCGTCTCACTAGCCTTTGTCACAGTTGCAGCAGCTCTTACAAGCTGGGACGACTGGAATCACGGTCGCGTGACGCTGCAGGATGTGAGCATCCATTTTCGCTATGCTGGATCAGGTCCCCCATTGCTTCTGGTCCACGGGAACCCTCAATTCAGCCTCACCTGGCGCGAAGTTGGACCGTTGCTCGCCGAGAACTTCACGGTCATCGCCCCAGATAATCGCGGCGCCGGAGACTCTTCGATCCCACCGGATGGCAACTACAGCTCTTCGGTATCGGCAGACGACCTCAAGGGCGTGCTGGATTCTCTCAACATCACCTCCGCCTATGTCTTCTCCCACGATAAGGGCGTCGGCGCGGCCACTGCCCTGGCCATCAAGTATCCGTCGCTCGTGAAGAAGCTCGGCGTCAGCGAATATGCATTGCCAGGCTACGGATACGAGACAGCGGCCAATCCCGCGCCCTACTGGGACTTGTACGGAAACTCTCAACTGGCATTCTTCCAGGTTCAGGACCTTGCCGAGTTTCTTATATCCGGCAAAGAAAAGCTGTTTATAGAGTGGTATTTTTACCACGGGAGCTATTCAGGCGCGTCGTCTATTCCCGAGGACATCGTCAACCAATACACGTCGTCAATCGCCAAGCCTGGTTTCTTGCGCGCTATGCTGGGACCCTTCACTTCCCAGACAGTGGCTGCGGACAATGCCTTCTTCAAAAGTTCTTTTGGGAAGAAGAAGCTCAGCATGCCCTTGCTAGCGTTGGGAGGGGAAGCTTCTTTTGGAATTCCCTCGGTTCTCCAGCAGATCTTTAGCCCAGCATCTGACAATCTGGAGGTTGATGTTGTACCCAAAGCAGGACACTGGATTGGTGCGTATTGCATGGGGCTTGACCCCCTTTCCTCCCCTAACCCCCCAGACTCTTGTTTGTATTCGTGAAACTAATCGTAATGTAGCCGACGAGAATCCTAAATGGTTAGCGACAAGAATCAACAAGTTTTTCTCAGAAGGCTCCAGCCGGTTGCCTGCCACGGATTTGTCATGGTTCGAAAACAAGGTGACGCTCTCGGTAGGATATTTTGGAACTTATCATAATCTTGCACTTGGCTCTCAAGAGTGATTGCTTGTCTCCCAGGGAGAGGAAAGTAAGAGATAGATAGATTCCATAGTATACGTATCTAGATACCTCCTGAGCACATCCAAATGTTGCTTAAACCTAGTATTAGTGTCTGTTGATTGCGACCTGCGCATGCAAAAAGTGGTAATGGAAGTTGTTTTATCAAGGGATTTTAATCGATTATAAAGACGAGATAGTTATACAATAGCTACATACATCTGCTCAGCCAATATTCACGTCGCCTCCAACTGAGAAAGTTCCAGCTCCCGTGTGCTGAATACCTGATCCAGAAAAATGAGAAGTCTTATTTAGTACCGGCCTATCGTCTCTTGTCAAAGGAAAAGACGAAGCCGCCGCCGCCGACACATTCTCATTAGGTTGTAGATATGAAAGCAGCTCTTTTGTGCAAGCAGCCGCCGTCGCAGCCGCGTAACATTGCCACTTATCATTCTTGTGGGAATCCGCATAATCCGAGATGCCACGGATGACAAGACAGGAATACTCCGTCATCAGTCCCGCTGCCTCCATCTCGAAGCAGAGCACATCCTCGAAATAACTTGCGGTATTGCTACTGCTGCTCCGCATGACCGTGTCTCCAGAGGCAATCAGTCCATAGTGTATCTCAGGCCCAGGAAACCGGCGGACACTTCTGGTAACAACTCTCTCACGGTCGCATCGGTCACAATTAGGTTGGTTAAATTCATGAGAATACCCTTTCGTACACAAGATGTCGCTTTTGGTGGAAGGTTGCTGATAGTAGTCGGATAGGCGTGGCCCTTTCTGCAGCATCTGAGAGATGAATTCCTCGATTTTGCTGTCACTAACAAGATGATCAGAGCGCATAGCCTCGACTGCGCTCCGTAACAACGGCGGAGGAGGCTGCAGAAACCCTTTGAGAACGAAGCCGTAATCTGTCTTCTTCCCCAGATCATACTACACCACGCCACCATATTGTCCGCTAGGCATGCTCACAACCACATCACCCAGACGGATATCATGCTTCTTACTCGGCACTCCTCCACCTATTCCCACGAGAAATCTTAATGTTATAGCAGGAAATGTTCGCGCCAAATTGGTTGCCACAGTTGCTGCAGATCCTTTTCCTTGATTCCCAGGGAGACATGCAAGTACAATTTTGTTTCCGTATAATTCGCCTAAAACATAAGTATTGTTATCGCCTTCTTTTCTCTGCAGGCGAGGGTGCTCTCTATCCAGCATGTAACGAAAAGCGCTCATTTCGAAGCTCATGGCGCATATCACCGCAACAGTATAGCTTTCGTAAGTCATTCTGTCTCTTGTTTCTTGTTCCATAGTCGTATCTGGTTATTCTGAGGCTATTGAGAATGATAGAGTGTCCTGAGATCAAGATGTATCCGAGAGGTGTTCAGGACCAGACCAATTCATAAAGCGACATCCATTGTCGTGCAGAATCCACCGGCAGCCTGATTCTTGGGAATCAGTAACATGCGGGGTCTCATTAATATTATATTGGAGGGTATGAATTGGGCTCAATGCAGCCCATCGCCGCCAATATTTTTGCTGCCTAATTACAAGCAATCCTTCATCCACCGCTCCTCCAATGAAAGTCAAGTCTGTGCATGAATATAGGGAAAACAAGGCGAAGATGGCCATGGGCTGGAAACCTTCAGATTTTGTCAACTCTTATGCCCCTGTTCACTTGAGTATGTACATGTAGTTTAAATGTCGGCTTCTGTTAGTTTGTTCATGGGGTCATCAGAGAGCCTACAGTTGCCTACGGGTCAGGTGGATGTGTCGAGTCAAAGATGGGAGAGAACCTGGCTATTATAAGCCGAAGTTCAACTAACAGCTAGTTGTAGATATTTTTCGCAACTACCGACAGGTTTCGGTACACAAAGTCAAGTTAAATCACTCCACCTTGAATTGTAAGACACATGCAATGTCGAGCGAAGTTGCATGAAGTAATTACACAACTATTAGCCAGCTCTCAGCTAAAGTAGATCAGCGCTACAACCCCTGTAATATTGACCCCTGTTCAACAATGATAACAAGAAAATAGGGACGGGAGTCTTCGAATGGCATTTCCTAAAGCCAATACCTACCAGCTGTTACAAGTACCGTTGTCCAGTCATCAAATATTCCATCAAAATGAGCGCATTCAGAGACAACCAACAGACCTAGTCTCCATACAGCATTTCGATTCGACAACACCATGGAAATTAGTCGTGATGCACGACTCTATTTACAAACTCCATCAACCTCTAGTTCGTCTCAGCTCGAGCCACCCCCAGTTACTCAAAGCAGCAGCTGGGTTAGCTATCAAAGAGCTTAGCGTCTCCATCTCGACTTTGCCCCTTCAAAACACAGCCCTATATCGCAATAGGTAGCCCTTTTAGGCAACGCTAGGACCTCACATCGTGAAATGTTTCCAGATCGGTCAATGTCAGCTTCAGTGGCTGATGCTGATCACGGACCCTTCAATTACATTTCACTGAGATTCTAGGCGTTAGTTACGTAGTCTAGTTGTTGTAAACCTAGTTGAAAGAAGCAGTTTTCATGCAAACAAATTAATGCGGTTGAGTGCCAGCCCGAAGATGGGCTGGTGTAGTTCAGGGGTCAAAGAGTAATAGCTCAACCTCTATATAGAGCACGCAGCATCTCAACAATAGGTGAATGAGAAAGCTGTTACTCCCGTCTCCATCTCTTCATTATCATTCACTTATACGAACGAGTCGAGTCATAAGTTATCACAATGCTTCACTCGACCACTCTAGCAAGTCTTTTGCTCGTCGCAGATCTCATCTCTGCAGCTTCTCACCCTCTACCCCCAACTGTCCATCTCTCCTCAGGCACAATCTTGGGAAACACATGCAAACACACTCCAGTCAAACAATTTCAAGGCGTTCCATACGCTCATCCACCCGTCGGCCATCGAAGGTTTATGCCCCCAGAACTATTCAACGGTCGATACCCAAACGGATACTTAGATGCGACAAAACCACCACCCGCATGTATCCAATGGGGATCCGCATTCGACGTGACAGACACTCCCCTATCAGAAGACTGGTAAGCCATCATCGAATTTTTACAGCATGACAAAACATACCATGCCAATACTAATCCCAAACCTCTAGTTTATACCTCGATGTCTACGTCCCTCCACACGCAACGTTCAAATCATCTCTCCCCGTCAAAGTCTTCGCCTACGGCGGCGGCAACGACGGAGGAGCCATCACTTACCCTCTCTACGACTCCTGTAACCTAGCCACAGACGCCATCGTAGTCAAATTCAACTACCGATTAGGTCCTCTCGGCTTCCTAGCACTACCAGACGCCGGTATCAGGGGTAACATGGCTATCCAGGACTATCTCGCTGCTCTCACTTGGGTGAAACACAACATCAAAGCCTTCGGGGGTGACTCGACCAAAGTGATGCTCTTCGGCCAGAGTGCCGGCGCAGATGATACATTTGTGGTCTCGACACTACCCGAGGCAAAGCATTTGATCTCTGCTGCGGTGATGGAGTCTGGAGGAGGCCAAGATGTAGCTCCTTACAAGACAGCCACGTATACGGGGAAAAGTTACGCAAAGACGCTCAACTGCCGTTCAGACGATGTAAGTCCACACCCTTCTCTCAATATGAAGCCCTTCAAACTGACAATGCCACCTGTTTAGCTGTGCTGTTTACAATCCAAGTCTGTCAAAGACCTTATCAAGGCTCACTCTCAAACCCCCGCGCTTCTCGATCCAACCACCAACGGCGGCCTCCTCGCCACCGTCTTGGGTATCGATCTTCCCAACATCACATCTCTCGACTCCTCCGTCCTCGACGGCGAAATCATCAAGCATCAACCTCTATCAGTCGGCTCCCAAGTACCCATCATCATCGGTCAAAGTAAGTCAACAGACAACCCCTTAAACAAGACAAAACACAAAAATACTAACATCACCAAACAGACGAACTAGACAGCAGCCTCCTCACCCTCCCCGTCTACTTCTCCTCCTCATCCAACGTCCTCGCAGAATCCAACTACACAGACTTCCTCTCCCAATGGGGCCCCTCCTCCTCCTCCATCTCCAAAGCATACCCCCTATCCCTCTTCAACACCACAGGCTCAACCTCCTTCGCCGTCGTCGCCGCAATCACGCACATCACCACAGTCTCCAGCTTCAACTGTCCCGCTTACAAAGCCCTCCGCGCCGCTAAAGCCCCAGCCTACGCATACCGCTTCAACCGCACCCTCTCTTGTCCCTGGCTCGACGAAGACGGCCAGCCTTTCCCTTCGGCAGATCTCGCCCCGTTCTTTGGAAGCACGCATACGGCTGAACTACCCTTTGTCTTTGGAATTATGAATAACCAGCCTTTTGGAAATGGTACGTGTAGTGCGTCGAAGCAGGATCGTAGGATAAGCGCTTCGATGATTGCGGCATGGACAGCATTGGCCGAACGAGGAGATCCAGAGACGAAGAGTCTGAAATGGCCTCGCTTTGATGCGCACACAAACCAAGGAGTGTACATTCAGGACAGCATTGCACCAGCCGAGTTGGATTTTACAGAGTGCGAGTTTTGGGATCAAATTTGGGCGTCCATGGGTGGTGTTAACTTTAGCGCAACAGCGTGATCAATGAGAAGATGGTTACAGGATGTAAGAGTAAATGAAGAGTTTGAGAGGTAATCTTAATAGTTATAGAGCAAGTATTAATACCCACTCATTCATTGGTGATTGAAGCGCATCTATATATATGTACATGTTCAAAAGACAGTCGTAAAGCAGCTGATCCTGTCGAATAAGCCACTCTACATGACGTCGGGTATCTACATGGCCCCATTCATATTCTCCTCTTATATCGAACCTCGATCCAAGAATCGAAACAAAAAGGCCGCCGATTCTACACACGTTTCTTTAAAGCAGCGACACTCGCATTCTATGCGTGAGGGTCTGGTAGCCAAAGAACCAAATCTTGATCTGCTGTCGCGAAAAAGTTGAACCGCGGGTTGAAAGCCAGCACCGCTGCCTCTCTCTTATCAGGCAGCGTCCATGTTGGATCCAGCACTTTGTTCTCTGCCGGCTGCTTCAGTGTGTCCCAAACCAGCACGTCCTGTTTAGCTCCACCACTGAGCACATATCGTCCATCTGGTGCGAAGCAGCAGTCGCCGCTGCTTTCGAATGCTCCAGGATCGGTTGGAGCCGGGGCGGCGCCGTTTGCGGCAAGGTTCTCGCCCGGAGCAAGCCGACGCGTCCCACCCGCGGGCCGTCGAAGATAGGCTTTCAGATTGCCCTGGAAAGCATCGAGAAGGAAGTGTCCTCGTCCTTTTGTTCCCACAAGGATAGTTTTGCCATCGTTGGAAAACTCGAGCTTGGTCCACCCCTTTACAAGACACTGAGAATCGACTCCACGACACTGCTCCACGATATCAATGGTGGTAAACGGCGCCTTGTCGTAGTTTCTAACGTCGTACAATAGGACAGAGCCGCTGCTGGGGCACGCAACAGCAAAGACTGTCCCGGAAGGATCATAGGCGGCAAGGTACGGCGATCGGAGGAAGAGCTGGCCCTGCCAATGTTTCGTCTGTGTGTCCCAAAGCCGGACGGTGTTGTCTTGTGAACAGGATATGAAGTTGTCGCTACCGGGATGTACGGCAAGTGCTGTGACTGCGGCATCGTGGCCTTCAAAGTAGCGAATGAAGGAGTTGTCGTGAGTAGCGAGGTATCGGATGGCGTCTAGAGAGTGATTAGATGCGAACAGGGCCAGGATGATGGTAGGGATTGCTATTACGGTTCTGTTTGGTACTGCCGTATATTATGCTGGACCTCGTATGTGTAAATTTTGCCAGCTTGACACCATATTTCTTACTGAGCAGGCTCTTATCATGTCGTCCCTCTCGGACGTTGTAGATCTGGATTGTCTCATCGCTGGCCGAGGTCATGAGCAGCTCGCCGTCGTCATCGTAGTCAATTGAGAGCACCCGAGGCTGAGGCCGTCCATCCTTGATATCATCGCGACGTAGAAGCTAAAAATGAAGAGCCAATTCACGTCAGCACTGGTTGTTTGGCGATACAGCGGTAGCAAAACAAACGGACCTTTGTCGGACGGAAGCTGGCCACGACGTCGCTGAGATTTGACACGGGCGCGCTGGCGGCCAGATTCCTCGAGATGCTGAGGGCTGGAGAGCCATTTGAGCTGGCGGGCAGATCGAGGTCCATGGGCGTGGAAGCCATTTTGTTTTGTCGCCGAATCAGCGGAGCTTTGAAGCTGAAGCCACGCTGCGATGACGCGGTGCGTCTTCCGACCGAGGCCACAGAGGCCGCTGTAGCGACGCAGGTGCTCTTTTAGCGGTCGGAAAGAGGAATTGCAGCAATAAAGTGCGATTTCGAGGTTTGGCGGTGACGAATTGAGTGGCGGGTGGAGGAGAAGATTGGATGTAGCTGTGATTGTGTGAGTGTGTTGGAGGTGTGAAATTGCGACGGTGCTTTTGCTAGAGCTTTTGCTAGAGCGACGACGTCACGCTTCTGGGGTATTTTTTTTCGCGTGGCCGATTTCGACGCCAAAGCACGTGCCGCTCAACGGTGAGAGAGAAGCACGGGAAGATGGACATACAGTACAGAATGCTGACAGTTGAGCTCATGTAAGTTTTACTTATCGTTTAACATTATCTTAAAGTAATTATTACATAACTGATATGAATGAATCTGTTTATCATGGTTTAGTTGGCCATCATCACAGTAAATACCTGGCTACATCAAGCTTCAGCACCATTGAGGAGCATCCCCGTATAAGTCCTTCACACTCACACATATGAGTATATCATCGCCTTTTCTAAATAACCGCACATAGGGCTCAGTATAAATATTTCTTTATCAACATCAGTTTTTAGAAGAAAGAAGTAACATTGATATGTATATAAAAACTATGAACCTGTAGATGAAATTGTTTCCGCCATATCTACTACGGCGCCACCATAGTCGCTGTGCTGATGACCGCCGCGACCTATTATATACAGATATCTATTCTAGTAAAAACAAAGTGAAACGTTTTGCAAACTGAAATCTCATTCTTTTCCCTCTTCTATATCCCTTGACGAACACGCCGCCTCCACATCCTGCGCGCTCACCTGCGTAAACGCCCTCTCCACCATGATCCCTCCCACCTTCATCCCATCCATCTCAACCGCATCGCTCGGCGGTCCCTGCGCAGACACCTCCGTAACGGTGCGGTTCGTTTCGCCCGTAAAAGCATCGCTGTGATTCAGCTTGGCCCAGTCGTGATGCTGCACCTCGCCCTTGCCCTTGGAACCCCCGTGCCGATCGGAGCTGACGCCCGTTGCGGCGCTCCGGGACTGCGTCACCGTCCACTGCGTCACGTTCCGGACACCGGCTCGGAGGAATTCGCTGATGATGACGAGATGCCGGTATATTGGGGGGAAGTTTGCGCATAGAATGGCACAGCAGGGCTCCCAGGCCGATAGGATTCCCAGAGACGCCTCGTTCCCTATGGTAATACCGTTGGTTAGGCTCTGGACATCATTTTGCCCCTTACACGGCTGGTTGGCAATGAGAAGGTGTAGAGATCAAGACTTACATGTAAAATCAGCAGACGCGACTCCAAATACAAACGATAGCCTCGCCGCGCTAATCGCACATACTACCAGTCCAACTCCAAACATGAGGCACAGGATGATCCTCTTTTCCTTGGCCGCCTGAAGTCCCAGTATCACGGGGATCGGCATCAAGAACACCCACAAGTCGATTACCATGTTCGTCACGTTGGTAAAATACGTAAAGGCCTCCTTGTTGATGCATTTTCCCTTTGCCTCACCCCACCATGCCTTGATGGGCCGACAGCCAAAGCCCAGCGTCACCTCCATGACGATGACCCAGACGATCACGAAGCAGGCAGTGCCGAGGACTATGAGTCTGAATTTGCGAGTAACAAAGATGCGGTAATATAGGGCCAAGATGGAAAGCTTTGTGAAGGCGATGGCAATGTCGTAGAAGTGACTAAAGATGTAGTCGCCCTGTTGGGTAGATGAAGTGATGGTTGTCAGTAGCAATTTTCTTTTAATATCAGCACAAGAGAGCTAAGAGGCCTTACCTTGAGAAACTGTTGTACTTGGTGCTTTGATAGAGCCTCTATATGACGTCCAAGTCCATTCGGCGGTCCTACATAGTAAGATCAGTCCCCGTGCTCTTACAGGCCATAGCATCACTTTCAACTTACCATATACAATCCCAAGCACGCACACAGTCATCGCCACCAACTTCAAAACCCTCGTTAGCTCTCTTCATGATTTCAATGACATCTTGAAGCCATACCGTCGCAAAAAGCATGAGATAGTCATCAAATGAAAACCAAAATCCCGACTGTGCAGATGCTGACGCCCATAGCCGCCACCCAGTGCTGAGCGCCTCGAGCGCAATGGGAATCGCATACATGGTCGTGACCAAGCCCGTCTTGGACTCGGCCAAGTATTCCGGACTCAGAGTCGAATTCGTCGCCATCTTGAGCGTTTATTTTTCTTTTTCTTTTCTCTTGTTCCTGCGTTGTACGACGCTGTGTCGTCGTTCAAGAGTTGACAGCTCGGGAGCATAAGCAGCCACTGCCCCACGCAGTGACATATATACTGTTATATATATAAATATTCAGAGCAGCATTCTTCAAATGCCTTGCTATCTGAAGGAAATCCTCGCCATACGGGTTGCGTGGGGGATATCTAATCGGTTGGTCGACAGCTCGTAACAGTAGCAGCACCAACCAGCCGGCTGGCTGCGTCACTGACACAATGTCATGCTCACAAAGAGTCAAGCACGCATGATAATATCGATGGAAAAGCTCTGTGAAAAGGAGTGAGAGATGCGCGAGCGAATAGAGACAGAAAAGATACGGAGAGAAAAGAAGAAAAAGAAAAGAAAAGCAAGGCGATGCGCAAGGCTGCAGTAGGCCACTCTTTACATCAACGGAAATGTAGTTAAGCATCATTGTATGGCTGACTTATTATGCAGCACACATGCGATATCACCCTCCCAGATCAAAATCCACCACTCTCTGCTCTGTATAAGCCCGTACAGATACATGATGCTCGTTGCCAGCCCACTCAGCGGTACCACCACCCAAGGGGATCCTCTTTGCTCCTCACGTATCGATCCGTCCACTTAGATGCCGCCATACTGGTATGGAGGATGCCCAACGAATACCAGTTTGGCAAGGCTCTGCTGCAGCATAAGCCAGAGCAAGGCGATGGAAGAATTCGAGAAATGACAAAAGAAGATGTACGTCGAATCAGCAGTTTACTGTTAAATCGGCACGATGGGTGGGGGGCAAATTGATCCAACACCACCAGGCGTCACATCAAGTTGCATACAGTAACTGTGCCTATGGTCACCAGATCCGCTCCTCACCATTTGATTCCCTACTCAATCTGTAACGTCAATGCGCCTAATCTTAATTGCAGACACCACGGCGATCATAGATTGGAATTTAAGTCACATATGCTGAAGCAAACAATGTGTGTAAGAAGTTGTAACTGGACTCGGGAGCTTCGTGCTACGTAAATGGATGCAAGGATACAAGGATGCAGGCGATCATACGGCATTGAGCATGGTAGGGCAAGTCTCGATACCTTGGATCATTCTCCGTGCTTCTTCTACCATTTTCAGGTCTAACCCTTCTTCTAATCGGTGTATGTCAGAACATAGCATCGAAAAAAAGAAGCAAAAGAGAAGCGACAGAGAAGAATCAAGCATGTCTCTTCCTTGGCTCTACACACCCACTCATTCATACATACAATAACACTGGTGCGTTGCATTATCGTCTTTTACCACACCATAGGTGCCATTCTATCCAGCACGCAGCCGGCAACCTTGAGAAGCCAACAACCAGCTGCAACCACCACAGATGGGCAGCCAACCAACTAACCAAACAAACATGTATACCAGTAGATCGATAAGAACATTGAAGACAGAAAGCCACCCTCTTTGTAAGAAGCCTGTGTATCATCTATTACTACAGAATGCCCCGGAAGTGTGGGACAGAACGATAATCCTGGGCATCCATGCATGTAAGACGACTCCCAAGCCAGACTAGCCAGAGTCGATAATACGACGTCAAGTTCAATAAAGTGTGCATGTGTGTTATCGAGTAGGATGAGTACCGGTACAAGCCCTTACAAGGTCGGATTTCGCCTCGCACAAAGCACATGTAGGATCCCATATGAATCGCCACGCTATTTGCACGTTTGTGTGCATGCGTCCATGGTAGGTTGTTCAGCTGCGGAATGCCTACATGTACAGATCCTGCTACTATTGGTCTTCTGAGCTTCTGAGACGATATCTCGTGAATCCGATTTGTGACCGAGGGGAAATGAACAAATCTCAGCCAATCCATTTTCAAGATGTCTCAGTCGCCCTTTCAACCACACACACCAGCTGACTGGGCCCTGAAGTGCGCTGCCCTGAATCAGTCATGCTTCTCTGGACAAGAGACTCCATCATCTGCACTCTTAAATGTAACAGGCAACATCACCGATTCAAATCCCTGTCCTGTGTCCGCCATCCATTTGAGGGTGTTAAAGCTTCGGCCCCCTGCAGAATCCAGAGATTAGAGATCCAGAATCTTTCCCACTCCACCATCGGAACAGAGGCACAGGGATTAGCATCGACATTTCCAATGTCACGGTAACAACACGAAAACTAGCACATCACATGTAGCCGCAAGCATCCGCATTTTCAGCTTCCTTCTTGACCTGTGCCGTGCCGAAATGAAACATGTGCATAAAACCACATGGATGCGTCCAACATCCAACACAGCATCCAACAGCAAGCCTCAGGCATCCCCTATTCTATGCATCCAATTTAATCTTCGGCTGCTTTCGCGCAACTCGTTTTCATATTGTTAAACAGCGTGATACCGCGGTACTTGGTGCTACAGTGCATGTAGTGTATCAGCATTTATGGGCGCATCGTTTAGAGTTTACAACGTGCCGTGCCGTTAGATAATACAGATTTAACAAAACTCAATGCTCTGTGTGTGAGCACATCTGCCAGCTGGCGAACCACTCGATGAAGACCGTCTGAGGCCGTCTCTGTGTCTCTTTCTTTCTCTTAACCCTGCATGTTTTTGAAAATTTCTTCTTCTTCTCTCATTCTTAATTTCTTGAGTAGATAGCCATTTGTCGAGAAAAACCTCACCATGATGAGGCTCATCAGCTTCGTCTTACTCGCCTTGGTCACAGTCTCAGAACAAGCAGTGCCAAAACCTGCGCCTCGCCCTCGAGTTGACTTGGGGTACGCCGTCTACGAGGGTCTCTACAACGCCACTACCGACCTGAACATATGGAAAAGGTACGGATCAAGCTCTCTCTCTACACATGAGTAAAACAAGAACAAAAAGACTCACTACTCCATAGCATCCGGTACGCTGCTCCCCCAGTAGGCAGACTGCGATGGCAAGCTCCCCAAGAGCCCCCAAAGGCTACGACCCCAAATCGCGTCATTCAAGCCGTAGATCAGCCTCCCTGGTGCCCTCAGTCGGGGGCCTTTGGCGTGCCTTTGATATACGGTTTCAACTCCAATCCCGGCAATGAAGACTGTCTATATCTCAACGTCTACGCTCCGCCACAAGCTGAGAATCTACCAGTCCTTGTTTGGATCCGTAAGCATGAAAGCATCACAAGAGTCACACATTGAACGAAGCTGACTCTGAACAAACCACAAAGATGGCGGGGGTTACTCCGTCTTCGCCGCCACCTACGACCCCAGCTCCATGATGAACACAAACAACAACAGCTTCATCGTCGTCGAGATCCAGTATCGCCTCGGCGCATTCGGCCAGTTAGCTTCAGCCGAAGTTCACAAGCACGGCAAGCTCAACGCCGGACTCTTGGATCAGCGCTTCGCCCTCGAATGGGTTCAGAAGCACATCTCCAGGTTTGGCGGCGATCCAACACGCGTGACGCTGGGTGGTGAATCATCTGGTGCGGGATCTGTCATGTATCAGTCATTGGCGTATGGAGGTAAAGAATCTGGACTCTTCAACAACGTACGTGTTTCTAAAAACCCCCAACTCTTACTTATGACGATAGCTCATTACTGATGCTTTCCAGCTCATCTTGGCGAGCAACTATGTCCCTCCCATTTATCCCTTCGACAGCAATATTTCCACAGGTCACTACAACGACTTTGCCGAAGCCGCTGGCTGTGGAAAGAATTCGGCTGCTGTGAAGCGACACTCGGGCGTATTCCACTGCCTTGTCGCCGCAGATACAGATACCCTTCAAAATGCCAGTGGCCTCGTATCGACCTCCAAGGGTTACTTTGGAAGCTTCGCCTGGCTCCCAGTCATCGACGATGACATGATCCGACAACGACCCTCGGAACAGCTTCAATGCGGCAAAGTCAGCGGCAAGCTTGCTTTAATAGGAGTACGATGAGACCCTTTTCTATGATACTTAGGTGCCGCGTTTCCATGCTAATGCTCGACAGACCAATGCAGATGAGGGCGTTCCCCTGACGAATCCCAACATCACAACCAAGCAGCAATTCGACGCCTTCATCTCCTCCACCCTCCCTCACCTAACCACCTCCGACATCCTATCCCTCAATCGCATCTACAACACGGCCACCGCCCAGCCAGGCGACAACGAAACTCGCTTCGACACAAACGGCGACGCCGGCCCTACGGCAAACACCGTCTCGGGCATGGCCACGGGCATCCAGCAGACGGCCTTCAACGTCGCCGCTGAATCCATCTTCCAGTGCCCGTCCCAGTGGGTCGCCGAAGCCTTCAGCTCGCCGACCTCTGGCCGCCGCGCGTACAAGTATCAGTACTCGCTCGACCCGGCATATCACGGCGCGGATCTCGGCGCTTACTTTGCCAGCAGCGGCTTTCCCAATCCCAGCTTCCGGCACAGCTTTCACAGGATATGGGGCAATTTCATCGTCAGCGGGAGTCCTGTCATTTCTGTCGACGACGCAACTGCTGGAGCGGAGAATGCTACGGTGCCTGTTGATGCGAAGCACCCGGGGATGATATCGTGGCCGCAGTATAGCGAGCAGAACCCAACGTTTATGAATCTCAATACAACTGGCGGGGAAGTAACACTGCTGACTGTGACGGATGAGCTGAGTTATTATATTCGCCATGGAGATGGCATTGTCAATACGTTTCGCCTAGCTAATGCGAAAACTTGGGAGGGAGGCCGTGGCGAGAGATGTGCATTCTGGCGGGCTGTTGCGCCAAGAGTACCAAATTAAGTGACGATCAGACTTTCTTTTCCATATCGTTCTTCTATTCTTTAAATAATGGGTTCAACAAGATTAGACGGCGGGATTTGGCCGATATCATTTTGCCCGTATATATCATCGGAATTACATGCACTTACATACCAAGTAGCGAGGCGTCATGGTGGGATGAGTAATAGCATGGCAATGGCCTCGTAATCCGATTACTCGGTACTATTCCCCTTGCTCTCCATAAAATACAATTCATGAAAAAAGACAAGCTTATAGATAAGCTGCCGTTAGATCTTCTGACGCTCCCTCTCGTTTACTCGCGGCACTCGGGAGTGGGAATGCCCTCAGCAATACACACACACATAGCCATCGGCCACCGAGATCCGCCCAGCTTCAACGTCCAGTTGTTCGGCTTTTTGTCACTGCAGCAATACTATATGAAAGCTGCAATACACTGACTGACGGCATATTCCCCCTTTGCATACTCTTTCTGCAAGTTTACCGATAAACCGCTACCCCATCCAGCCCAGCGGCTTTCATCGGCGCAACCGTAAGTCAAGTCCGCTACCAGGAAGAAACAATGTCTTAGCACACATAATTATCCGACCAGCCCTCACTTTAAAACCCCACGAAACTTATCATCGAATCAAAGCGACGCTGAATAATCGCGGGAGATTGCGGGGAGTGGAGGGCCGCAAGGATCCAATCTAAGATACTATTCTACTCTATCCTCGTACTGTTCAAGCCTTTCTTCGCCCCCCATGCGGAAAACGCTCTGCATCCCATCCCAGCCTGTCAAAAAAAGCCAATCTTGGGCGATTTGCACTCGGCCGCGTTACGGCATCGGTCAGACCGGTGGCGCCTTTTTAAGCCCTTTATCTCGTATAGGAAAATGGCGACGAGATGGAATTGAAGATAAAGATAGAAAAGGAAAAAGATAGGCCTAGATGATGAATAAGAAGAGTTCGGAGTCCGTCCTCCGCCATCCGCATCTCAGTCTCATCACTCCTCCTGTCGTCAAAATAAAACAGCCGCGACAGTACAGTAATATTTCCTTCGGCTTTTTCATCCCTTCGGCGTCAGCTTACCTGATATCCTTTCCTCTTCATTTTCCTCAATTGGTCCCTGAACCGCCTAGATTCCCCAACCGGCGCCAAACTCAACTTTCCCCAGGTCTTCCGAATCTCCGTTCTTCGGCCACTGTGGCTCTCGGGACCCTTTTTTTTTTTCCTAACACCCTCCTCTTCCCACGACACAATTAGGCTTACGGCTTCAATTGCGGCCCCCTCATTAAAAACTAAGCATTTACTTAAGTACAGCGAGATAATTCGTTTTCTACTCCACCTGCGGGATCCCGGTCGGGTTGCGTTGCAAAGCTGTTGCCATTGCTAGCCGGGCCGCCGTCATCGGGTCTCGTTCGCACCAAAAATCGAAATCCGTTCCTGCAGCTCCCCAACACCCTTCTTTTTTTCTTTTAACCCGCATCGTTTAGGCTCTACATCTTTTTCCTTTCTACCTGTTACTGTTGGTGTTTTTCTTTATTCTTTTGTAATACTGTAACACAGGCGGTAAAAGAAACAGAGGCCTCGCAAGCTGTGCGAAAGGCGACAGCGCCAATGTCCACCACAATCGGGTACGTTACATCTTTTGCGACTTGACTCTTACTTACACAACTCGTCCACGCGACTCAACTTCAACTTCACAACTAACACTCTCTCTTTGTCCAGCGGTTTCGCCGCAGGCGCTCTGGCGGCGTGCGGCGCCGTCACCGTCACCCACCCAGCCGAAGTCCTCAAGATCCGCCAACAACTCCAAGGCGAGCTGCAGACAAAGGGCGCCCAGCCCCAGTACTACCGCGGCCCGATCCACGGCATCAGCGTCATCGTCAAGAACGAAGGCATCCGCGGCATCTACCGCGGCCTCGGCGCCGCCTACATCTACCAGGTGCTGCTCAACGGCTGCCGCCTGGGATTCTACGAGCCCATGCGCAAGGGCATGTCGCGCCTCTTCCTCCGCGACGAAAACGCCCAGAACCTCGCCATCAACGTCCTCTGCGGCGCCTCGTCCGGCATCATCGGCGCCGCTGCGGGGAGCCCCTTCTTCCTCGTAAAGACCCGCCTGCAGAGTTATTCGCCCGTCCGGCCCGTGGGGACGCAGCACAACTACCGCAATGCCTGGGATGGGCTGAGGCAGATCTACAAGAGCGAGGGCTTCTTCGGCCTGTACCGGGGCATCACCGCCGCCATGGTGCGGACTGGTTTCGGTAGCTCCGTCCAGCTGCCCACGTATTTCCTGGCCAAGAGACAGCTGGTCAAGCACGCCGGCATGGAGGAGGGCCCGGCGCTGCATCTGGCCAGCTCTTCAGTCAGCGGCTTCGTCGTCTGCTGCGTCATGCATCCCCCTGGTGAGTACATCTACTTGTCCTTACCCATTTCTCTCTTCTTCTTTTGTCTGTCCAAGTCCTTTGCAGCTAACATATATATCCCACGCAGACACAATCATGTCCCGTCTGTACAACCAGCACGGCAACCTCTACAGCGGCATCTTCGACTGTCTCGGAAAGACGATCCGAACGGAGGGCATCTTCGCCATCTACAAGGGCTTCATCCCCCATCTGGCCCGCATCCTGCCACACACCATCTTGACCCTCTCCCTGGCCGAACAAACCGCCAAGCTGGTGAGAAAGGTTGAGAACCGCATCCTGCCTATGCTAGGCTACGACGAGGAAGAGCGCATCTAAATTCAAGGAAGAGCGCCTCTAAATCCGAGAGGCCCTGGCGTCACAAACAAAGTTCAGGGGGTTTGCTTTTGGTTTCCCCCCACTGTGCCGGTCCTGTTATTTTTTTTTTTTTTAACAACAGGCTTGTTATTTCATCACGCATACCATACAGTCACTGGTAGTACTATACTTTTTACTACTTAGTACCTAGTAGTATATGACTTGTATGCTGTACATCTTTCAGGAGCGACTGCTCTGGTTTATAGATCACAAGGAGTATTTTTTCAGGGTGTCTCCTACAACTTGGAAAGAGAGGGGGGGGGCAATAAGGCATTGGGCGGAATAATGGAAAAGCTCAAGGCGGCATGATTTTTGCACTGGAGTTGGTAGTCTTCATGAATAGATCTGAGCGCACCGACGCTGCTGAAATTTATATTCTTTTTTTATATTCTAAACTTCATCTATTCTTGATTCCTCCGCCTTGTTTTGTTTCATTCGTCGTTACTTCGAATTCTATTCTTTTCCTTCTTTCGAGCCCCCTTTGTTTCGAGATTAACACCACTATCCACCCATGGAGCGCTTGCATCCGTAACACAGCTTCCCCGTATCAGGGTTCACGGCATCTTCTGTCAAGTCATCCCCCAGCTCACCAGCCCACGTCGAATCGCCCTCCTGGTCCAGGGTTATGCCGCATAGGCGACAATAGTGCTCTGTAACAAGCCGGTCTAGCTTACCCGCCGTGCGGACGACATTGGTCACAATGCCCGAATAAGGCCCCTCCACGCCATCGAAATACCGAGCCATGACCTCCTCGATGCTCTGGTCCTTGTGAGACACAACACTGGACGATGCTCCATCAGCAGAAGGGATTAGCTCTTGCACGGCGGGTGTCGTGCCAAGATATGTCATGACTTCGGCTTTGAGAATCTCTCGCAGGGGATAGTAGATGGGAAACTGGATCTTGGCATCTTCTTGGCTTGCTTCCCCGGTACTACTAGCCGGATCTGCACTCGGCCGGTAAGTGCAGACGGTGAACAGTCCGTCGTTGATCTGCCAGGGTACGGCAAAGCCTCTGCCGTTTGCGACCTCGGACAAGGTCAGAGCGGCCAGCGCAGTGGTGCTGTGGCCAAACAGCAAAGCAGAATAAGACCTCTGTATAGCAACATCCAGGAGAAGATGGCGGATAAACAGCCTGAGACTGTCAGCGCGTGAAGTCACAGACGGCAACGAGGAAAAGAAGAGCTGTAGCCGCTCTGCGTCGTTTCCGCCTTCAGGAACGGGTATCGTGGTCCAGTCAATCGTCTTGACACTAAGAACCTTGCTCAGATGCACGCACTCAAACGAGACGTTGGGGAATCTCTCGCGGTACTTGGCGAGAAGTCTCTGTGCAGGGGTATCTTGAGAGTCAATGCGGGCGGAGAGGTCTGTGTCGATATGGACGATGAGAGGCTCAAAGGGCGATGATCCCTTTCTTGATGCATGATACTGGGCGGTCTTGTCAAGGATCTGAGTGAGAACGGTTGATGAGGGTCCAAAGGAAAGGCCGGCGACATATCTCCGGGGTTCGGGCTTTGTAGAAGTTCTGGTTTCTCGTTGGAGAACGGTGAATCTTTTGACAGCCTTGGAGTCGACATAGTCGATGAAGCAATCCCTGCATTACGTGTATAAGTAAAGGGTGTATATGAGTTGTTGTCATGAGGGGGGTGAGTCATGCATACTGGCAGGTTGCAACATTGCGCAGTTCAAATGCGGCATCTGGCTTCTTGCAGCGCATGCATGGCCGGCTGGGGGGTTGTGATCCCGCCATTATGGGGAGCTTGTGAAATAGAGGAGAGTAAAGCGTGTGGAGGAGTTTGGGTGTGGGTGGCTGCAGACTCGCTCAAGAGAGTGTTACAAGAGAAGAGCGCTTCTGAAAATAAATGATGGCTCTTTGTCGACCGGCTGAGTTGTTGCAGCTACAAGGTTGGTATGCGGTTCTAGTATGTAGAGAATGGGATGAGCTGCAAGTACTCGTATATCCAATTTTGCATGCAGACAGTGTAACATGTGGCGAGATTTTTTTTGCAGTCAACGCTGCCAAGGCGAGGGTCACTAACTAAACCTGAGAGCGACTGAGGTAAGCAGAATTGATGCTGTTCATTGCTGCACTTAATGTTCTCTTTCCATGTTACACTCTCAACCCCCAACTCCCATCACTAATTAATTCAATTCTATTTATTCTTTTAAATCCCACTATTTCCATTTTTCCTGAATCATTCTCCCTTTATTCGTCTTCTTGTTTCACCTCTTGTGAAAACTCCCAACTCAGCATGGCGTTGCCGGGTAGCAGCAAGTAGCAGCAACACGCTTCATTTCGGTCCCCCTGTCGGTAATTGCCTGTCCAACCATCTACCGAGACGAATCATGCACCCATAGCGCATTGATTCTAGCGCTCGCTTCGGGTGCCCCCATGCCTTGTTTCTGTGGGCTTTGCATTCAATGCATTGGCCCGGCGCAACATTTCAAGTTCCATGTTGCATGTTGCATGTTGCATATCGCGGCTAGCAACTCTAATAGCTGTACTTACTCCGTACTGAAAGTCAAGATAGACTCAAAGTCGGAGCGGAAACATTTCAGTTGGCCCTTTGCTCCGATCCGATCCAGCCACAATCGAGGACAGAGTTTCGGCGTTGCGTGTCTTTCCAGAGGCGCAGCCCTTCGAGTCTCGCAAGCCTCGTTCCAGCGCTCTCGAGCCTAAAACTGCCGCCGTGGACAGCGCTTGTTGGCAGCCCTGTGACGTCAAAAAGGCCGCGTATCCTTGGCCACCGTGTGGCGCTGTTGATCATAAATCCAACTTTGAATCCAGTATTCATCACAGTGAAATCCAATGGACCAACATCAACTCCCAAACAACAACCGCCAACGCATCGAGTGTCTGCATACTAAAACAAAAAAGGCGCCCACCAACCAGGCCAGGCCCTGTTTCTTGTTTCATCCGTCCATCCCCTTTTACCTCAATCGCTGATCTCGTCGCCCGTCCGCATTAGCCAATCACTGGCCCCCTGATCCCTGTGCGTTTGCGGCAAGGCGAGAGTCATTCATCGCTTCGACTCGACACGGCGCCTCAGAAGCTGAAACCGCAACGAACCTCCTTCAGCATTGCATTGAGCACTAGACGCCTGCATTCCCCAAAGCATCAATGCTTCTATTTCCATCGCCCACGCGCTTAAGTCCTGGGGAAAGACGTCGCTTTCGCTCTCAGTTGCAGTGCTCGTACTTACTTATTTCCTGTAACCGTCGCTGTCAGCCTCACTTCTAGGCTTCCTCTTTTTGCGCTGCCCACCATTTGATCGCAAGGCTTACAACCAAGTACGAATACGGCATCTCCAGGTGCTCGAATCACCCGACCCTACAACACCTGTCCTGTCCTTGCGGTTCCATCTGGCCGCGGCCACCTTTTGCTATTTTTCTACTTTTGGTGCTTCGCCTCCCTCTTCAACGGCTGCCTCTGTCTGTCTTAGATCCAGCTTGTCTTTTATATATACACAGCAACAGCTTGTCAAGCTTGTTTACCCCTACGACGACTAACGACCAAATCCGATCGACATTCCCACTGCCCCTCGGCTCCACACACCGACTCCCATCGAAGACGCATCTTTCATACTTCGACCTCGACTGTAAGCTTTGACTTTGATCTGCTGCCAGAGGACGCAAAAAACATAAACATCCTTGCCAAGCATGGCTATGGCTGCCCCTCGACAGGGAGAAACGAGGCCCCAAGAGGCGGCCTTTGCTGCCCGCGGCTCCAGCGAAAACAATGCCCTTAACCGACGCAGTCGCTTACCCCTGGATACGACGGTCGCTCCCGTGCACCAGAACGGCTGCTTTGAAATTGACCGTGTCATCAAGAGCGGATGTGTCCAGAAGCGCACCCAAAAGACAAAGGTATGTCGCGTCCGTGATTTTGAATCCAAAAGCATTCGTGCTAACGCGTTTTTCTTTTTGCGCCGCGATAGAACTGGAAGACGGTGTATCTTGTCTTGCGACCGAATGGCATCTCCCTCTACAAGGACGACAAGGAGGCCAAGCTCCGTCACCACCTTTACCTGTCAGACCTCTCCGCGGTGACCATCCTCAAGGACCCCAAACACAAGCGCAAGAACCTGTTTGGCCTCTTTTCTCCGTCAAGAAACTTTCACTTCGCCGCCCCCACGCCGCAGGACGCGCAGGAATGGGTCGACTCAATTCGCAAAATCGCCAGGCTCGACGAAGAGGAGGAGGAAATGTACATGGGCAGTCCTGGAGCGCATATACTGTCCCCTGGGGCTCCTGACGGTTGGGGACACCACATCTACAATGCATGTTCAAGCTCCCCCGAAAACATTGGCATTCTCGATCCTTCGGCGCCCAAATTCATGGGATCAAATCGTCGCTTGTCCTACACGTTGGAATCCTCTGGCTTGTCTGGCAACGAAATGCTCTCTTACTCTGACTTTTCCGACACCGAAATCCCACGCGCACAGGGCACCTCCTTTGAGAACCTGGCCGTCCAACCACTGCCTGCCACGCAGCCTCGACAACCCATCATGCCTGGCCAGCGACCCGAAACAGGCGGCCGCTCAGCGAGCCAAGTCAGCGCCGTGACCGCCGAGCAGGAGTCTGAACGCGTCGTCTGGCAAGGCTCCCTGTGGATGCAGCGAACCAAGCGCGGCGTGCGCCAGTGGAAGCACATGTGGGGAGTGTTGCGCGCCCGACAGTTGGTCCTGTACAAAGACGAGTCGGAATACGCTGCAGAGGTCATCTTCGAGGTGTCTGACGTTGTCAATGTCGTAGAGACCGACCCTGTCAGCAGGAGTAAGACGCACTGTCTCCAGATTATCACGGCAGAGAAATCATATCGTTTCTGCACGCCCGACGAGGAGTCGCTGGTGCAGTTTCTCGGTGCCTTTAAAAGCCTGTTGGCCAAGAGGCGAGGACTGGAAGCTCGCGCAGCCGCCGCCGCAGCTGCAGTAGTCGTTGTCAACCCTCCTCCTGCATAATGCTTGATCAACATCTTATCTGAGAAGCGTTGTTTCAAGCCCCGGATACCCTCTCTCAAAATCTCTTCTTGCCTCCTTTCCTTGCCTCAAGCACTTAGATGAACGTCCTCTTTTTTTTTTTTTTTTTTTTTTTTTTTTTTTTTACATTTTCCTTTGTCGTATGATAAATACCCCCTTCTTTTTGTTTCGTACCTAATCTTGGTTTACGAATTTATGACCCCCGACTGGTTCTCTCATATACCAACTCCAGTCAACAATTACAATTACACGATTACCTTACTTTAATCCTACTCCCCGGTGGCGCATCACATCACAACTTTGAAAGTTTTGTGAATAATAACGGCGAATTGGTGGAACTTTTCTTCTTCTTCTTCTTGTGGTTTCCAGCACTCCTCGGAAAGCTTTGATAGCTGGGAAGCGAGTTGTGCTCGGTTGATGAACTCTTTTGATTAGTTAATTTTCTTCGTTCAAGACATTTGTGTTGGTTACATTTTATATCAAAACACTTGCTTGTTCTATCCTCTTATTAGCTTAGGTAGTTAGTTAAAGGCATAAATGGGTGTTAATAACCTGTATGCTCATTAATCTGAGAAGCTTATTGCTCATCTACTTGGCGATGAATGATGTGATGAATTTTGCAATTAGAGAATGATACTTGTTTCCCCTCTGCTCAGAACGGTGTTTATAACATAATAATATTGAGGCATAAGCGATAACATGTAATAGTAATATTGATACATAAGCGCATCTAACTAATATAACGAGACCTTATTGAAGATTAAGCGCGGGTATATTCTTTTGATCCCCATTCCCATTCCCAAGACACCGTGACCCTTTGTTACCAATTATGACTAACATAAGCAAAAGCAAAAATAAGAATAAAGAGAGAAGAGATGTTTAAAGAAACACGTTAGAAAATGGGTTGAGCCATCTTAGGCCGTAAAAAAAAAAAAAAAAAGAGGAATTATACCACCACATCCAAGCCTTGCAATTAAAGAAAAGAGAGAGAGAGAAGCATAATCGTGTCTTTGTCTACTCATCAGTTCCCTCACGCAGGATTCTCATCCGGCTTGTCAAGCCCGAAAAACGCCGTGTCAAAGTCACCACCAGCGTCCATCAGCTCAAAAGTGCTGTCGCGGTTGTTCATAAGGTCATCAAAAGTATCGTCTCCCGAGCCTCCAAGGCTAAAGTCAAAGTCCATCCCGTCAGCGGCTCCAGATTCTGGGCCAAAGAAGTCGGTGTTCATTGTCGCGTCGGGTACCTCAACCTTGACGTCCTCCATCTTTACCTGGCCTGGGTTGGCCTGGGCGGCCGAGCCGCTGGGGTCGGTGGGTAGAAGGTGGTTGAGATTCAAAAGGTCGTCACCGCCATCAGCTGGTGCAAAGGTAGCTAGATCGAATGATGGCTCCTTGGAGGCATTGGGTTGGCCGGAAACCTCGTTGCCCGGCGGCGGTGCAAGAGTAAACTCCATGTCGGTAAAATTCATCCCGGAAGCCTCTGGTAACACTGGTGGTTGGTTTGATCCGGAAGGTTCAGGAAGCATGTCTGCAATTGGCTTTTTGTCCCCTGGACTAGGCATTCCGTTCAGCCCGTTCATTCCGCCTGGAGGAGGTGGCTGCTGCTGCGATTGCTGGCCATTGGGCTCCTTGATGGACATGTCAATAGGTTCGGCTTCCGCAAGATCGATGCTCATGTTGGGGAATGGCGCCATAGGCTTCACGTCTGCGTCCTCTGCCATTGGTTCATCCTTGAAAATGGGTTCTGGCGGTGAGGGCAGATCCATATTTGGGGGTCGCTTTGCTTGTGCCTCGACGGGCTGAGGTGTAGGCCGAGCCAAAAGCTTCTTCTTCTTTTCTTGCAGTTCATTATAATCTCTGAGCAAGACTGACTTGGCCATAATCTAGCCAATGGGGGAGAAAGAAAGAGTCAGTGGTGAGTAAATTGAGGGCAACAAGGAATTAATTAAGAAAGAAAAAAAGACATAAAAGGGGAGATTGGGGGAAGATGAAGAGAAAGAAACAGAGATTGAGTCGCCACTTACAATTTCACTTTCCAGCTCGTTGAGCGCATTGTGAAAGTGATCGATGGTGTCTGGCAGCTTTGACTGTGTAGGCCCATAAGCATGCGTCAGATTCCCCTGAGCGTCTCTGCGAGAGGCCCGCAGAGCTTTGCCAGTTTGTACGAGCTTAATTAGGAGAAGAAATTAGTCGGCGACGGAGGAAAAAAATTAGGGGGCAGGTAATTGAGAAATACTCACCACGTCGTTGATGAGCGATTGGAGGGCGTCTAAAGGCTCCATTGGGGGTGAAGTTGAGGTTGAGGTTGCCATTGCGCTGGCGATGCGAGTACGAGTGTGAACGTGAGCGTGAGTGAGAGAAGAGAGCTGGAGCGCCCGGTTTAGAGAGCCAACCAGCAAAGATTGAAGATAGAGATAGTCGGAGTTAGGAATCAGCAAACAGCGCTCGGTTGGAGCATTCGCAGCGCAAGTGAGACTGTTTTGGTGCGCGGACCTAAAAGGCGAAGTCGCAGAACGAAGTGGCGATTCGATTCGATTGGGATCGATGAGCAGCTCCCAATGGGGTTTGCACTTGGGACTTTGGCGCAGTTCTAACAGTTGGTGAAGAGGAGAGAAAGTAGAACAGCGGGAGGAGAAGAGGGAGAATAGAAGATAATGGCAGCAGAGGAGGCGCAAAAAGATACAAAGTTTTGAAGGGTTTGTAGCGGCGCAAGTGAAAGCTCAAAGAGTGAGACTGGACGTTCGTTCCCTTGGGAACATTTGGAAGGGCTGGCATTCGGAGAAGTGCTAGTGCTAGGGGCACTTTCTGCTGTGGCTGTGGCTTGCTTCGGTGGGAGAGCTTGTGGCTGAGTGAGGTACTCGCTACCCTTTATCCACGAAAGTCTTCAAGTACACATTACAAACCATCTCCCGCTACTGAGGTATTACTCCGTAACCGCTCTAGCAATCATGCCGCTATCTTACGGCGGGAGTACCCAAGATTCCAGATCTCGGCGCCGCCAGAACCCGATCGCGCAGGTAGAGTGTACTTGCATCTTCGTTGCCGATCCCGCATTCCGCGATCCAAGGTCGCAAACTGTGGCTCAGATGGTTGCGCTGGGCTCGGAAATTCCCCGCAGATGCCGCCACGTCCTGAAGAACGGCTAAACATGTACAGCCAAGCAGCTTGTAAGAAGAGCAAAAACCTTGGATAGGGGTTAAAAGTATAAGAGTCCTGTGGAGCTGTATGATTAAATTCGACGGTACTCTGTACTTTTAATGTATATTCAGCCTCAGCTTCGTACCTAGTATTTAGGGGCGAGGTCGGGGCTTTGCTTGCTGTGGAGGATGAGGTACCTCCCTCCATAGGTGCTTCAAGTTGCTGGGGTCAGATCAGTCCATCAGAGAGCTCTCGTGCTCCATCGACAGCTGAATCAGCCATGTGGCCGCATGTCTCACAACTCCAGGTTGCAAAACCAACCCATGTCATTAAAGTCTACAAAGTTTACAAAGTAAATAATTGATATGCTATGGATGCCAGGACTCACGCAGACAAGCGCAGAGGCCGGCCGCCGAAACTGGCGTGGCGCTGAGCAAGAGGGCAGCCTCGTGATCTAGTACTATCACCTGTCAGGGTATCATTGAAGTATTTCGCATTTCGAGGCGCAGGAGTCGGCGCAGTGATGTACTGATGGAGAATGAATGTGCCTTGAGTTTCAACAAGACGAAAGCAAATCAAACGAATAGTTTCCATGATCTATTCCGCTGGTTGAAGTTGTTGGATATACCCAAGATACCCGAACTAGCCTGCGTTATTCCTTCTACTAGCTGTATATAACCGCCAAAACGCCCAGCCTTGACAGCAATACGAGGTGTCGGGCACAGGCGACTCCATCGCTCCAGTCTATAGGTGTCTAAGAGCCAGATTATGTGACGGATAGAGCTTCAACCCCCTGCGAGGCCATGTCACAGACCTGCTGCCTTACTAAAGAGCACCTTAGTAGGCATAGTAGAAGTAGCATCAACTATCAACAATAGACCGCACAACAAACATCCATAGATCCATATCATTCTCCTCATTCTCCTTATCGCTTTGCCCAAGCTCAAACAATTAAAAGCCCACGGTTCAGCCGCGCCCACCCCTCTCTATCTCTCCCGTGCTCTCTCGGCAGAAGAAAGACTCGAAAGCACACACGCACACAAAAAATCCAATCTGCACCTTGCCCGTTATAGGGTAGCCGCTCTAGCTGCAAATCCATCAAAGTTGGCTCTCCACTCTTGCCCAGCACAAACCTTCACCTTGACATCCCGTCCAACTTAGTACATGCCGGGTTTTTTTGTCTCTTTTTTTCCTCAGACAAAGTTCGCTGTGTGAGCACGAAAGTAGCGGAGCGGTTGGTTGCGATTTGCGGGACTCGTTTCCTTTATCGTTTTCTTCTGCGTTTTCTTCTTTTATTTCTTTTCAAAGATTATTTTCCTAGTCCCTCTCGGCATCCGCATCCTTGCAGCTCTTGTTCAGTTTTCTGTCCCCTGTCTTGTTCCTATCTTGTCCCGCCTCACCAGCGCTGCAAGCTTCCCACAAGCTCGGCCGGGCAGTTCTCAGTTCTCCTTCAACGCATCTCCTCGGTTTCGCCTCGATTTACTCCAAGCATCTTTCCGAGCCTCTCGCCGGCAGCGTTTTCCGTCTGTTTTGTTCCCTCGTCATCGATAGTTAGCGAGCTCGTCGTCCGAGATCTATTCGTTGCATTCTTCCCCCCTAAAAAGCACCCCTCCTCTCTACCGACTTCTCCTCACTACTCTCCATCGCCACCCACGCAACCGCCTGCGCGCCTCCGCTTCCTCAACCCCTTTCGCGTGCCCGATACGATCCTCTCCAAAGAATCCTCATAGTCGCGACAATGGCTGACGCTGGCGCTGTTCCGACCTCTGCGCAGCCTGGCGTGGGCGCCTCTGCCGCCCAAAACGGCCAAGGCAACCCAACTCACCTCCCCCCGCCTCCCCTCCATATTCCGCAGAACACGAACCCAATCCCGACGGCCATCACCTCTCCCCGATCTGGCGTTGACGGCGGTGGAATTCTCTCCCCAACCACCGGCTTCCGACGAGCTGCGCCTGAGCCCAACAAGCGGGCCCTCTACGTTGGCGGGTTGGATCAGCGGGTCACCGAGGACGTGCTGCGTCAGATCTTTGAGACCACGGGCCATGTCCAGAACGTCAAGATTATCCCAGACAAGAATGTGTGGACATGTACTTCTGTGGTGTTGTGTTGGATTGTACATTTTGCTAACCGTGGTATATATAGGCCAAGGGCTACAACTATGGCTTTGTCGAGTACGATGACCCCGGTGCGGCAGAGAGGGCCATGCAGACCCTGAATGGTCGACGAGTTCACCAATCCGTATGTCTACCATAGATGTTGCTTCTCATCTTGTCCCTCATGGGGTATTTGTCTCCCAGCTTCCACTGACACAGCTCTTGTGAACAATATAGGAGATCCGGGTCAACTGGGCCTACCAGTCCAACACCACCAGCAAAGAGGATACGTCAAACCACTTCCACATCTTCGTGGGCGATCTCTCAAACGAAGTCAACGATGATATCCTCCTCCAGGCCTTTTCTGCTTTTGGCTCCGTCTCGGAAGCTCGCGTCATGTGGGACATGAAGACGGGTAGATCTCGAGGCTATGGCTTTGTGGCCTTCCGCGATCGGCCCGATGCCGAAAAGGCGCTGAGCTCCATGGATGGAGAGTGGCTCGGATCGCGCGCCATCCGCTGCAACTGGGCCAACCAAAAGGGTCAACCCTCAATGGCTCAGCAGCAGGCAATGCAGGCCATGGGCATGACTCCCACCACTCCCTTTGGCCACCACCAGTTCCCTGCCCACGGAATCGCTAGTTACGAGATGATCCTTGCGCAGACGCCCAACTGGCAGACTACGTGCTACGTGGGCAACCTCACCCCCTACACGACTCCCAACGACGTTGTCCCCCTGTTTCAGAACTTTGGCTTTGTCGTGGAGTCACGATTCCAGGCGGACCGCGGCTTTGCCTTTATCAAGATGGACACCCACGAGAATGCGGCAATGGCCATTTGCCAGATGAACGGATACAATGTCAACGGCCGGCCATTGAAGTGCAGCGTAAGTAAACCTTTCTTTTCAACATGTTGAGTGACGAATGGCGGCGGGACATATCACTGACATAGTGAGCAGTGGGGCAAGGACAAGACACCCAACTCTGGATCGTTTGACCCTCAGCAACAGCCATACAGCCCCCAGACCTCTCAGGCCCCGGGCTTCCCTGGTACTCCCACGTACTACCCGCAGTATGGAGGTAAGTTGCTATATTGAACTGGCTGTTGGTTACAGAACTGGACACTAACCAATGCGCTCTTTGTTGCAGCACAATACAACGGACAACAAGGCAACTTTGGCGGCCCACAAGCTGGATCTCCCGCGGGATACAGCGGCTCCCCCATGGGATATGGTGGACCCCAGAGCGCCGGAGGATATGGCCGAGGCCACCAGGGTCCCAACGCTCAATGGAACCAAAACCAGGGACAAAACTTCAACAACGGTTTCGGCGGCTATCAATCGTAGTCATCGGGGAATGAAGTGCGAACGGGATCGCAAGCTGTAAGAGTGGAGGAGTTGAGAAAGAAGAAATTTCACGGTTGAGGGGGAACTCATTTTCTTTTACCATTTGACGTATCATACTCCTTTCCTTGTCTCCCCCATTTCTTGTTGATTTGCCCAACTTTGTTGTCATCTTCCTCTAACCTCACTCCCTTTTATCTACTGCCATTCTCAGCATATGGGCTCTTCTCATTTTGTACCAGCCATCGTTTTTTCTTTCCCAGTGTGATTTTCCAAAGGTTGTTTCTTCCAGGGGTTTCCTCTCATTGCTCCTTTTGCCCGTGTAATTTTTCATTTTATGCACGAGAGAAACGAAAAGTTTGGAATGCTTTTATTTTACTTTTTATTCCTTTTCTTCTTCTTCTTTCATTTTAAAACGAGCGCCGCCTGCTGGGATACCACATGGGAGCATTTGGAGCAGGTAATTTCTCTCTTTCTGTCTCTTTCTCTCTCTGTCTCTCACCCTTTCATACTTGTTTTTGTCTGTTCCCATATGATGATGATTACGAATTTCTATTGTCTTGCGCGATCTGAAGAAATGAGCGTGGCATCACCATATTGTGTCAAAGAAGGGTTGGATAACCTGAGAAGAGCATTTGAAGTTAAGGGGGGGGGGGTTGCTCCCCCCCTTGAGATTTTTCTTTTTTATCTTCTCCCATAGGAGACTGAGGCTTTTGCGGTACGACGACGTCGGAAAAGATGATGTGGATTTTTATTATGTGTAAGAAAATAACAAGCACAAGTGGGAGAGCGAATTTGTAGCCAGAATGCCTTTTCGGTCTGACTATTTGGAAGAAAATGAAGGTGGTTTATATGATCGTAAATACCTGCTTCTGGATTACAGGCAGTTATTGCAACAATCACTGCGGGGTTCTCGAGGAGAGCTTGCTTGCTTGGCTTGCTAGACCAGACTTGCATGTGATACCATCTAATTGTGCATGGATGTTTATGTCTACAGTCGCCATGCGCATCATCCCATGAACAAGAGAATGTGCCGTTGTATTGGGCACACAATTTCGTATTCCAGATGGTTTGCGTCGTACATGAGCGACTCGAATTTACACATGGCATGACGTCCAGAGAATTTTGGGCGGGAAAACAACAGCCGGTGGCGATTTCGAGCTGCAGATTATGCAGGGGACATGACGGAGCTGATATCCATACTGCTGCTGTCACCTTGGCCGAAAAAGCAGGGAACCTTGGGGGCAAAATCAGTGGAACTGCCTACTACTGGTCGCTGGTTTGCAATGATTGCATGAGATGACGAGAGAATAGGGAAGGGATTCTTTCATGTATGTACATGTGAAGATGAGAGAAGAAAAGGAGGCGCTTTCATGAATAGAGGGTGATTTTGCGAGCCTCTGATGATGAGTTATGGCTGAGCACGAAGAGCAATTGGCGATGCTGACTCGCTGAAGACGGGCAGAACTGGGTGGAACCAGCCAGCGACAGGTGCTTGCGGCGTGTTGGATGTGCAAGTACATGTACATGTACTTTGAATGGATATGGGCACCTTTGCGGCAGTGAGTGGATGATACGTTGCAAGCCTTGTTTCGGGAGCTTTGTAGACAGACAGGTACCTGGTAAGGATGGCATTGCTGTCAAACGGATCGAGCAAGTATCAAAACAGGTATCAATATTTTTGATTTGGATTACGTTGACGCCGTTGAAATAATATGAGTGGGGGGCGTGGATTGTTGATGCTGGGAGTCGTGTCTGAAGACGGTGATTGACGTCTCAGAGCAAGGTACTCCGTAAGTCTTGATACAATTAATCAGCGTCAAGAGACTACTATTAATGATTCAGTCACTGGTGAACAATTGATGTCCTGATTGTCTGTCAATATTCAAGGTAAGGTATCGGCTGTGCTCATTTGATGTCATCCAATATCACATGGATGGACATTTATAGGCACCTCATCTTTTGCTGTGACCGAGCGAGATCTGCTGCTGATGCTTCGAGTTCATGTTTCAGCTGCATGTACCAGAACTGCGGCCTGACTTGGAGCAGCGGCTAGCACCAACGCGGCCTAGCCAGCGAGAGTGGGAGCTTCCCTGGGCAACCGGCAACGGCCCCGCCCTGGATGTAGTGGTACTTGCGCTCGCAAGCTGGGCTCAGTCAGCGCCGATTACAGGCCTCAAGGTTGACTGCCCGCTACAGTGAGCTCCGGTCGTCTTAGCGCCTTGTTCAACGGGCTGGGTACCGCTACAAGTGCAAGTCCTGGAGCGATGCGCGCTGTACGTTGCAAACGTGTTCGGTCTCGGCAAACGACATTGATTTGAAAGAAGGAAAGCAGAACGAAGAGGGAAAAAAGAAGAAGAAGAAGAGAGAAATGAGGCTAGCATCAAACCTTATACTCGAATGAAGCAAATGCGTCCTCTTTTGTTTCCGGTTTTGCGTGTTTATTGCCTATTCAATTCTGCCATTCGCATCCATCAAAATCTCCATCAGGCGAAGGTACCTCTCTGGCCTATCTGATTGAGTGCAGTGAGCCATTGGATCAAATGTACCTTGGCTGTACTGCACTGTAGAGTCGCACCAGACTGATCACCACTGCGCTGCGACGACAAGTTCCAGGCTGGGCTGGGCTTATGCCACCAAAAACCAAGATCCAATCCAGACCATTCCCGCCGTAGCCATTTCTTACCCACTCCCTCAATCAAGTCGCAGTTGATCGCATCCCCCCGGAACTTGGGCCTCCACCGAGCGCCCAATTGCTGCGACTCTGATCCGTTGATCGAGCGCCGTCGCAAATCCGCAGCAGCAGCAAATCGGCGCTGACCAACCGCCTGTGCTGGTGCAGAATAATAGCGCTCTGGTCTGGAGGCTGCTGTGCTGTGCTTTGCTGTGCTGTGCTGTGTGGCCCGGTCGGCCGCTGCTTGGACCGCTGACGCCCCTCCTTTGCTCTGCCTTGCCCGCCATGGATAATCCGTCGTGGTACCCCGACTCTCGACACAAGAACAGCGGCCAGACATCGCGAGACTATCCCTCGCCTCTGCCAGCCTCCTCCTCTGGCCACGCCCCGGCCGGTCAAGCGTCTGCCGCGTCTGCGTCTTCGTCTGCTTCTGCCCTAGCTTCGGCGTCTGCGTCCGCTCCGCCTGCTGCCGCCGCTGCTTCTTCCTCGGGCTCGCCCTACAGCAGCAGCAACAACATCGCCAGCTCCAACCCCAACAACAACAATAACAACATCAACTCGTCCAGCAGCCACAGCAGCAACAGCTACGACCGCCAGCCCTACCAGCATCACACGCTGCCGCACCAGCTGCACTACCAGCTGCCTCACCAGCACCACCAGCCCCAGCACCCGCAGCAGCAGCAGCTCAGCGCCCACCACGGCTCCTCCAGCAGCATCAACCTCAACCCGGCCACCTCGCCTCTCGCTACCGCCCCCGTGCGCGACAACAGCGGCGACGTCGCCATGCACGACGCCCACGATGCCCACGCCGGCATTAAGTACCCCATGAGGCCGCACCACCAGGCCCATCTGTCGGGCACCCGCTCGTCGGGCCTGTACTCGCCCCAGGACCAGCAGCAGCACCAACACCAGCAGCAGCTCCAGCAACAACAGCTCCAGCTCCAGCAGCTGCAGAACCAGCACCAGCAGCAGCCGTCGTCCGCTGCCCAGCGCTACTCGCCCATGGACACGCTGTCGCCCACGTCGCCCTACCAAAAGGCCTACACCAGCTCGCCCTCGCAGCAGACGCCGCCCAACGCCGACTACTCGAGCAGCCCGTACTTTGTTGGTCGCCAGCCCCAGCTGCCCCCCATTTCCTCCTACTCCCACGATGGCTACCCCTCGTCTGCCGTGGCCACGCTCGACGGCTCCTTTAGCGACAACAAGGCCCCTCGCCGCCAGAATCCCCCCATGATGAAGACGGTGCCCGAGTTCAAGAAGATCAAGTCGCCCGCCGAGCTGCAGCCCAAGAACACGAGACAGCCGCGCTTCAGGCGAGCAAACCCAGAGGGAGGCTTCATTAGTGTTAGTCTGCCATGCCACTACAACTTATTTTGACTCGACAGCTTCTAACCCTGATATAGCCTCTCCAAGCATTGACGCTGCACCTGCCTGCCACGTACCGCATTTGCAACCCGAGCTTCAAGTACGAGTCATCGCGGAACCCTCGCCGAGTCCTGACGAAGCCCAGCAAGGGCACCAAGAACGATGGCTACGACAACGAGGATAGCGATTACATCCTTTACGTGAACGACATTCTGGGCTCTGAAGAAGCCGGCCACAAGTGCGTATACTCCTTTCTCTTGCTTAAGACAGCCGCCTCCTCTCCCTCGCTGTCATAATATGTTGTCTAACTTTGTTGTAGGAATCGCTATCTCATTCTCGATGTGCTGGGCCAGGGTACCTTTGGTCAGGTCGTCAAGTGTCAGAATCTCAAGACGCAAGAGGTCGTGGCCGTCAAGGTTATCAAAAACCGCACCGCCTACTTCAACCAGAGTATGATGGAGGTGTCTGTGCTCGACTTGGTAGGATTTCCCCCTCCATTCTATGATTATTAGCTTGCGCTGATTTGATATAAAAAAAAAGCTCAATACGAAGCTCGACAAAAACGATGACCACCATCTTCTCCGACTGAAAGACACCTTTATCCACCGACAGCATCTTTGCCTCGTCTTCGAGCTGCTCAGCGTCAACCTGTACGAACTTATCAAGCAGAACCAGTTCCGCGGTCTCAGCACGACTCTGGTCCGCGTGTTCGCCCAGCAGCTTCTGAATGGCCTCGCCCTTCTCAACAAGGCTCGGCTGATTCACTGCGATTTGAAGCCAGAAAACATTTTACTAAAGAATCTTGAGAGCCCAATCATCAAGATTATCGATTTTGGCTCGGCATGCGACGAGCGCCAGACGGTCTACACTTATATCCAGTCCAGATTCTACCGATCCCCCGAGGTCTTGCTGGGCTTGCCGTACTCGTCCGCCATCGACATGTGGTCGCTGGGCTGTATCGTGGTGGAGCTGTTCCTCGGACTTCCCCTCTTCCCCGGCTCATCAGAGTACAACCAGATTGCTCGAATCGTCGAGATGCTTGGCAATCCCCCCAATTGGATGATTGACATGGGCAAGCAGGGCCTCGAGTTTTTCGAGCGGCGGCAGGATGAATTTGGCAGGCGGACATACCACATGAAGAGCATGGAACAGTATTCGCGGGAGCACAACACCAAGGAACAGCCTAGTAAGAAGTACTTCCAGGCTAATACGCTGCCCGAGATTATCAAGTCGTACCCCATGCCCCGCAAGAATATGAAGCAGAGCGAGATCGACCGAGGTAAGAATTCTTTGGAAAAGATTCCCCTTTCTCCCATTCCCATTCTCTCCCAATGCATTTACGGGCTCCCTTGACCTAACCTGATATTGCTACAGAGATGAACAATCGCATCGCCTTCATCGACTTCGTCAGGGGTCTGCTTAACATCAACCCTCTAGAGCGGTGGTCGCCACAGCAGGCAAAACTTCACCCCTTTATTACACAACAAAAGTACACTGGGCCTTTTGTCCCGCCAATGAACTTGAAGTCGAGCTCCCTCAACCGATCACCAGCTCCCGGCACCCAGCAACAGCAGCAAGCCGAGGCCCTCAGCAAGCAACGAGCCGCGCAGGCGCAAGCTCAGGCTGCTCAGGCCCAGGCCCAGGCACAAGCCCAAGCCCAGGCGCAAGCCCAGGCTCAGGCTCAAGCGCAAGCTCAGGCCCAGGCCCAGGCCCAGGCCAATTCAGCGCAAAACGCATATGGTGGACAGTACCAGGCCTCTGGCCACGTACCAGCTCCTTTGTATTCAAACAGCGCCGTCTATAACCCTGGCGCTGCCCACGGAAGCGTCCCCCCTCAGTACGGGCCACCCCAAACCGGCCAGTACGGTCAAATGGTCATGTCGCAGCCTCCTCAGCAGCTCCAATCGTCGCAATACTCGAACCCCTCACAGCCTAACATGTACCAGCAAGGTGGCATGAGAACGAATAGGCAGCGGGCTTCGACCATGGAGCAGCAACAAAGCGGCATCCCTCCTGCGCTTCAACGAGTCGCAAGCCACCTTGACCCGAGCCAACCCATTCGACTTCAGCCTAGCCCGGCATACTATCCACCAACTGGCGAGGGATTGGATAACGCACCAGGTCGCGCTGGCAGACGAGGCAGCCGGGTCCAACAGGGAGGTGCCCGCAGCAACCGGGACTTTATTCGGAACCTGGAAGAGCGAACATTGGAAGAAGGCTTTATGGGCAACCAGAACCCGTGGCATTGAAGCCATGCTTCTGACTCTTCCCTTTCAGCCGAAGTCAAGGAAATCTAGTCTCTCCGACTGTGGTAGTTTTGTGAATTACACCGATATCATGACCAAGTAACTGGGCGTCGCAAAGACAACCGTCCGTCTTTGAAATCAGAGCATGGGGCATTACATTCCATGGATCCAACGCTCTTTTCAGCGCACTCGCCAATGACTTGAAAGAGAGCCGTGGTGATTGGGAACTTGGCTATTCATAAAGCCCACTGAGGCGGGCCGTAAGGAGGGATCCCGTTGCGATGACGGGGGATACTTTTCTGAATCCCCCACAGTCCGAGATTCATACCCGAGCCGCTCATTAGGCCTGATCCTGCGACGCACGTCATGAATGATATATATGGGTTCGGACTGGGAGGGGGTGCGTTTGCCGTCTGTGCGTAAACCAAAAGGCAATTTCGTCTTTATTAGATGGTTGCCCGTAATCTGCATATCGGTGGATGGGAAGGGGTTTCATTGTTTGTGTTTCTATTTGTTTTTGTGGGATCGGTCTATGTTCCTGCTCCGTGTACGACTACTTGGTGTCTGCCTCGGTGTCGTTTCTCGTTATTCTTTGTATGTATCTGCAATCGAGACTGGCTCTATTACGTGTTTTGCAGAGAATGATTCTCACAGTTCAAGAATGGGTGGGGGAATAGGGGGGATGCAAAATTTGTGTTTGTTTGTTTCTGCCCCGAATCATGTGGTTCGGGGGAAGAGGATGGATAAAGGAGAAGGAGATGGAGATGGAGATGGAGGAAAAGAAAAGAGAAAAGAGAGATTGCAATTTGCGAGGATTATTGGGATGACTATGGGTTTTAGTAGATATGGCTTTCTTTGCTTGCTCTTCTCTTTGCTGCCTCTTTTGTGTCTTCCTGTCCCTTTGCTTTTGTTTCTCTCCCTGTTTCATCATCTCTCTTGGTTGTGGATTTTCTTATAAGTTTGTTTCACTGGTTTCAAGCATGAGTGAGTATTAGGGGGTTTCTTTAGTTTGGCTATATATCCTGGACTTGGCAGAGATGATGGTTTGGGATGAACTGCTGCCGAAAGGGGGGGAGGGTTTAGTCGAGATGGTGATTTTTTGATACCTGTTCATGGAAGGGGGAGGGTGGGGTTTTGTAAATATTATCATCTGAATACTATCCACTGTCTTGAAGTTTTTGACTTGTGATATTTTGATTGGCTTCTGATATCTTGATTGGCTTGTGATGCTCTGATCGTGTTTTACTTGGGAGTTGTATGTGTCTTTGGGAGTAGTTGATTCTGAGAGGAGATAAACGCTGGACTGCACCATAACCTTGTTTTCTTGATATGACCCAAAAAACATGATATGCATTGATTGTATTTCTATATATTTAGCCTCGTGATTTCTGCTTTTTGTTGGGTTTCATTCATTCATGCCGCCCTCCCTAGATTCGCAAGCAATGCACCTCACTGACGCTACCAATGACCACGGCAGTTGCTCTGAAAAGAAAAAAGAAACGCTCAATTATTTCACCAATTATCCCCTATCCCAGAGCCGTTGTATCCTAAAACATACAAAGAAGTAATAAAAAAAAGCCTCCACGCCACCGGGGAGGAGAGATTTCGGGCTTTGTAAAAAAAAAACTGGGATTTTCAATATGGTACAGATCTCCTCCCCCGGTACTCCCTCGACGATGAACGACTCTATCGTCCGTTGTTGTTAGAGCCCTTCTGGAACCCACGACCGCGCTTGTTGGCGGAGTTGTTCTTGCCGCCGTCGTAGTGCAGTCTGTTGCCCCTGGTCGAGGGGGGCACGTTCTCCGTGTCCATGAGGTCGTTGTCGGGGAAGCCCATGGAGCCGTCGACGACCTGGTCGCGGTGTGACGACGACTGACGTCCTGATGCTGAGTCGCGGCTTGGTTTGTAGCCGCCGGGCTTGGCGTAGACTTTGAGGATTCTGCCGTCGGCCTTGAAGGGGAAATTGTTAGTAACGAAGAAACAAAAATGATTAGAAGAGGGAACTGAGGCCTTACAGTCTTGTTGTTGAACGTCTCAATGACCCTCTCTCCGCCCTCCCTCGACGCAAACACCATCTCGACAATCATAAAGGGCTGCGTCTTGACGACTTCGCAGCTGACCATCTCGCCACCCACCGGCGTCATGGCACTCTCGACATCCGCGGCCGTCGTGCCCGGCGCAAAGTTCTGCCCCATGACGGCAAACGGGCCCGCAAGCCCCCGGATCGTCATGCCGGCGTCTGGTCTCTGCGACTTGCCATTCTTGACAATGTTGACCTGCTGCCTGACGGAATCGTCCGTGTCCATGCGGTCGACGGCGGCGGCCAGCCTGGCGGCCTTTTTCTGAGCGGCTGTCTTCTTGGGGCCGCCGGGGAGGGTTATTCGGGAGCTGAGGGGAGCGTTGGAGGAGGTGTTGGGGCGGTTGACGGAGCTGTGGAGGTCGTGAGTCCACTCGCCGTTCACGTCGCCGGCAGGGATGGTTGCTCGACGGCGCTGAGCAGAGACTGTGGCTTTGTTCTGAGGTTGGGTCTAATGTCGGGGGATTTAGATTAGCTCGGCTCCGTCTTCGTTCTCCTCATGCAAGGCAAATGCTACAGTAAATGTAATGCCCCAGTCTGTGTCATGTCATGTTTGTACCTTTTTGACGCCGACACGGCTGGCCAGCGATCCTCCGGGCTGCGCACCCTTCAAGTTGGTCGGCGCACTCTGGCGGCGGCCCTTGGAGAAGATTTTATCGGCGAGGGCTTCATTCTTCTTGCGCTCGCGGGCTGCAGGGCGTCAGTGATTGGTCGGGCCAACGATGGTAGTGTCGCGAGATGCGGATGTCTGTCTCTGCGCGCGCGACGACGTTAGACGGCCATGTGCGTACCGGTATTGATGATTCGCTCGAATTCCTTGGCCACGGGCGCCATGGTTGGATAATTTGATCTGTCTTGTAGAGTAGAAGAAGTCGAGATGGTGTTCAATATTGTAGAGAATTGGAGGGTGCAGCAGTCAAAGCGTCGAGAGAGACACACAGAGAAAAAGAGAGAGAGGTTGTATGGATAACGGATAACAGATCAAGGATCAAGGGACGAGTGATGCTTTTGGCCACTTTTTTGTCGCGTCTGTTCCTTTTGGTTGAAAGTGAAGGGGGACTGAAATGGCCTGGAGTGTGAGGCCTGTGATTGGCTGGAGGCGCAAGAGAGAGGCTGACGGCGCTGCAGCGTTAGACTCCAAAAAGCTTAGTGTGCTTGGGGGCGGGATATCCCTGTCTAGTGTGGCCGATAAGATAAGGCCAGCCCACTCTAATTGTGCAGCGTCCAAGACAATTTTCTTTTAAAAGGTCGAGCATGTCTTGTTAGACTAAACATACATACAACATATTACCGTTATACACAATGCAGTTGTTCAGTTGATCTGTCCCTGTTATAATCACTGTTTCTTCTTCTTCTTGTTTATTACGGTTTTGCGCAATGTCGGCAAGTCTCGTCAACTGCGCGGCCTGTTTGCGCCGTGCCGTGCAGGCTTCGTCTCGTAGCAGATCCCTCGCTGGCATCCTCCCCGTTCTTCCACAAACCAACAGGCATTATGCTTCAGTTTCACCTACAAGCATCGAACGAACTGATGCTCCTCAGAATCTTGTTCTAGAGCCCGTCGATTCAGATGTCTCCAAGAAAAAGGACTTTGAGCGACTGCAGCGCATTGTCAAGAAGGAGCTACAGCACATGGACGACCCTTGGAAGATTGCCCAGTATGTTGAAAGAGCTCTCGCCAGTGACAGGTTTGACGAAGCCTTGCTTCTCACCAAGACTGCTGGCAAAGACCGCCAAGTTGTTGTTGCTTGGAACCACCTCATCAACTATCTGCTGGGCAAGCAGCAGCTGAAGAATGCCATCAAGCTCTACAACGATGTCAGTACCTCGAAATCGCCCCCCAGCTTTTGCATTGCGCTAACTAACAATCCGTGTAGATGAAGAAAAGAGGCCAGCTGCCCAATGTGCAGACATTTACAATCATATTCCGTGGCTGCGCCCAGTCGCAACACCCAAAGCTCGCCGTTGCCGAGGCTGTCAAGCACTACAACATTCTCCTCAGCGACAAGCGCCTGCAGCCCAACTCGATCCACATGAATGCTGTTCTCAATGTTTGCGCGAGAGCCGGCGACCTTGACTCCATGTTTCTCATAGCCGATACAGCCAACGAGTCTACTCGCGCCCCCACGCCCTACACGTACACTACCATCTTGAATGCTTTGCGACATCAAGCACTCCTGAGTGTGGACGACATCACGCCAGAGCAGCAAGCCGCCAACACGCAAAAGGCTATAGATCGCGCAAAAACCATCTGGATTGAAGTCATTGATAAATGGAGAAAGGCCCAGCTGGTCATAGACGAGGAGCTGGTGTGCTCCATGGGCCGCGTTCTGCTCCTTGCCCCCAATAAGGAACAGAAGAAGGAGGTGCTCGACTTATTATACCAGACCATGAGCATACCCAACTTGGCCAAGGATGCTGGCATGGACGCATTCCAAGATACCCAGATGGAAAAGATTGCTGTTACTGGTGCTCCAAAGAAGGTGCCCTCAACCAGAGCTGTCTACGCCGTCCCCGGCCGCAATACCCTGGCCCTGGTCCTCACAGCCCTAGCCTCATCAAAGCTCACAACGTGCGGTATCAAGTATTGGAACCTCCTGGTCCGTTACTATGGTGTCATACCAGACAACGACAACTGGCTGCGCATGTTTGGCATGCTCAAAGTCGCCAAGGCGAGCGGCCACGCCTCTTCAATCTTGAGCCTTATGCCTGATGAATACATTGATGCAAAGCACTACCGCATCGCCATGGAAACCTGTGTCCGCGATAACATCAACCCCAATGCCATTGAAAACTCGAGTCGAGTGCTTGATTCTATGCTTGAGCGCCTCCCCGTGCCAGACTTGCACACCCTTCGTCTGTACTTGCGGGTTGCTCTGGTCAGTCATTTTCAGTTCCGTGAAAAACTCAAACAGAGTGACGAAGAAGACGAAGAAGCCGCCAAGCGTGCCGAAGAACAAGCTAAGCGCGAATATGGCCTCCAAATAACAACTGCTCTTGCCCATCTCTGGGAACCTTACAAGAAAGTTCACTATCATTACTTCAAGGAGAAGGCAAAGGGCAAGGATTCTAGCACGGGAGCGCTATACAATAGTCAGCGTGAGGTCATCGCCTTGGCCCGTCACATGTTTAGCGCTTTCAACAAGGTCCTCAACGAAAAGATGCTCGACGAGAAGGACGAAAAGGACCTCCGAGTGGTCGGTGCGAAGATAAACCGCGAGATTCAAAAGTTTTTCTCGGGCCGTGAGGACAGGGAGCCCAACCTGCGCCAGTCTGGCCGAGAAGACACGGCTGAAGGGTCTGAAGAAGGCAGTGGCGAGGACAAGTTTAGTACCGAGTTCAGGCCATCTGGCGACTTTGTCTGGGATACTTCGAGGAAAGCCGAAGTGGAAGAAGAAAGGCAACCAAGGAGGTCATGGAAAGGGGAAGAAGAGAGACGACCCAGGAGATCATGGGGAGGAGATGAAGAAAGACGACCCAGGAGGTCGTGGGGAGCGGAAGAAGACAGACGACCCAGGAGGTCATGGAAAGGGGATGAGGAAAGACGACCTAGGAGGTCATGGGGAGAGGACGAAGAAAGGCGACCAAGGAGGTCATGGAGTAACAACAGAAGCAGCAGCAGCCAGAGGTAGATGGAGGAGGCTCAACCAAAATGTGCGAGATGTAAGATTCATGAGTGTATGATTTAGACATGTAGCAACTTTTTGTACATCATGGTGATATGACAAGATATCCTTGGTCTTATTTTAGAATACTATACATCTCTCCTTTATCTTTTTCTTTCTTATCTCTCCTTTTTCTTTCAGATTCTTTTCTATCTCAGTTGGTCTTTCATTTCTTCTCTATAAATAAGTCTTGGACTTACACGAGACGCTGACCTCGATAGATTCATATCGCCCGCTTGGGTGCATACAATAGATTCAGTGAGCTGCCCCACGTCACTTTAGCGGGCTGCCAATTAATTGAGGTGGCCATTTAGCGTGTCGAGTAACAACGCGACTCACGCGTAAAGACGCGCCTGGCAGTACCTGATCAGTGTATGCCAGCTAGGGCATGTGGGAGGTACCTCACCATCACAGGCGGACCCTCCAACAAACAATTGGGATTTCAAACGGCATCATTTTGCCTCTCTCTCCGTCTCTCCGTCTTTTTTTTTTTTCTCACCACAACAACAAACGAGTGGCCGTGACTCGACATTCCTTTACGATTTCATGATACCCTAAAAGAAAATCCACAAATACTCCGCCATGCCAAAGGTCGACCGCCGGGCAAAGCTCGCCGAGCTCAAGGCACTTCGTGCAGCGGGCAAAAAGGCCTTTGAGAGCTACCAGGTTGAGGATGCCGACGATCTCTATGACGAGGTGGACGAGGCCGGATACAAGAAGATTGTGCGAGATCGTCTAAATCAGGACGACTTTGTTGTCGACGACAATGGCGAGGGCTATGCCGACGACGGCCGCGAAGACTGGGACAGAGTGCGGCAGTACGAATCAGACAGCCAGGGAGAAAATGAACTGCCGGTGCGTGGGAGGCCGAGCAAATCAGGTGAGTGATGGATCGAAGCTGTTTCTCTTCTTGTCCTTTCCATTGCTCATCATAAATGCAGCCAAAAAGAGCCGTGAGGAAGAGCAGGCCAAGCGGGATGCCAACGACCGCAGCATCAGCGAGTACTTTACCAAGGGCGCCGGTAAAGCACAGCCCAAACCAAAGGTATGACACATCCATCCAGCATATTTGTTCTACAACTCCCCAGATGACCTAACAGAACGGCAGGTTATCAAGACCAAGGCCGACGACGACTTCCTTGCCGACCTCCTCGGAGAGGTGGACGCCAATATTCCAGCTCCAGCTCCAAGGGCATCCAAGGTCGAACGGTCTGGAGGCGAAAGACGCAGGCCCCGAGACTTGTCTCCTGCGCCAGAGCCCAGTCACAAGAAGCAGAAGCGGGTTGATATTCGATTACCGTCACCGGAGCCCGCGCCTGTGAGCTTCGACGACGACAACGACTTCGCGCCTTTAATTGATGACGAGCCTATGGGCACAGCAGAAATGCCCATGAGCGACCCAGCACCTTCTTCTCCCGCTGCCAAAGTCGCCCAACGCAAGGCCCTGATAAAGCAAGAGCCGCAGAGCGACGACGACGACGATATGATGGAGGTTGCTCATGCTGGCGCTGTCAAAGTTGCCAGCGTAAACATGGCGGCTTCTCGACCAGTGAAGAAAATCATCAAGGAAGAGCCGGCTGTGACTTCGTCCCCCATCAAGGCTCCAGACGTCTCGGTCGATCCCACATCATGGAACGAACTTACGGAGAAGCTCAACGTCGTGAGCACCCCCATGTCAGAGTCCAGAGGCATTGGCAAAATAGACCACAATGACGCCATCGAGGCTGATGGGTCCTTGAACTTCTTCTGGACTGATTACACCGAAATCAACGGCAGTCTCTGTCTCTTTGGCAAAGTGCTAAACAAGAAGACGCAATCATACGTCAGCTGCTTTGTCAAGATTGACAATATCCTCAGAAAACTCTACTTTTTACCCCGTCAACAGCGCGTCCGAGATGGCGAGGAAACCGGAGAAGAAGTTAACATGGGCGAAGTCTACGACGAGGTTGATGAGATTATGACCAAGATGAACGTTGGCATGTACAAGATTAAAAAGTGCGAGCGGAAATATGCCTTTGAGCTGCCCGAGATTCCCAAGGAGGCAGAGTACATGAAACTCTTGTATCCCTACACGAAGCCTGCTATCAACATGGATGCAAAGGGAGAAACCTTTTCCCACGTCTTTGGCACCAACACTGCTCTATTCGAGCAGTTTGTTCTTTGGAAGAACATCATGGGTCCTTGCTGGCTCAAGATCCAAGATGCCGACTTTGGTGCCATCAAGAATGCCTCTCACTGCAAGCTCGAGGTGTTGGCTGAACACCCCAACATGGTGTCGACCATCAGCGACTCTGACAACATGGATATGCCCCCGTTGACTCTGATGAGCATCGCTCTCCGAACCGCTTTCAATGCCAAGGAGAACAAGCAAGAAGTCCTTGCCATTAGTGCGCGAATCTACGAGAAGGTGCATCTCAGCGATACAACCCCCGCTGAGAAGCTTCCTTGCAGAACGTTTACCGTCATTCGACCTCACGGACAGGCCTTTCCCATGGGCTTTGACACGCTCGTAAAGAACACGCTCGCAAAGAAGAGAAACCGGGGTGCCATTGTTTTGAAGAAGCAAGAATCCGACTTGCTGAGTTTCTTCTTGGCCCAGGTTGACGTGGCGGATCCCGATGTTATTCTTGGTCACCAGCTGGAAGGTGTCGATTACAGTGTGCTCCTACATCGTCTGTTTGAGAAAAAGGTCCATCAGTGGTCGAGGCTCGGAAGACTGCGACGAACCCAGTGGCCATCCGCCATCGGCAAGGTTGGCGGCAACGTGTTTGCTGAGCGTCAGGTCATGGCCGGCCGATTGCTTTGCGATCTCGCCAACGATGCAGGAAAATCTGCCATGTTCAAGTGTCAGACGTGGAGCTTGACGGAAATGTGCAGCCTATATCTCACGGGTGACAACCGCCGTCGTGATGTTGACAATGAAGTTGCTCTCAACACATGGGCTAAGGAGAGCCAGGGTCTCATGGATTACGTGACTCATATGGAAGCTGATACGCACTACATTGCCGCGCTGGCTGTCAGTGTGCAGCTGCTGCCTCTCACCAAAGTCCTGACTAACTTGGCTGGTAACTCTTGGGCTCGTACCCTGACCGGTACTCGCGCTGAGCGAAACGAATACATTCTCCTTCACGAGTTCCACCGTAACAAATACATTTGCCCCGACAAGCAGACATTCAAGGGACGACAAAAGGCCGAGGAGGAAAATGCCGAAGAAGAGGGAGGCGAAGGCAAGAAAAAGGACAAGTACAAGGGTGGTCTTGTCTTTGAGCCAGAAAAGGGTCTCTATGACAAGTTTGTCCTTGTCATGGACTTCAACTCTCTATATCCTTCCATCATCCAGGAGTTTAATATTTGCTTCACCACAGTGGATAGAACAACATCGGTAAGAGAGCATCCACAAACCTTTCTTTCCCAAGCGGTCCTTGCTAACATTAATTACCTAGGCCGAGGATGAAGACGCTGTCCCCGAAGTACCTGTTAACCAGGAACAGGGCATTCTTCCTAGACTCATTGCTACACTCGTCAGTCGTCGTCGCCAAGTCAAGAATCTGATGAAAGATAAAAAGGCTACGCCCGAAGAGCTTGCTACTTGGGACATTAAACAGCTGGCCTTGAAGCTTACAGCCAACTCCATGTATGGTTGTTTGGGTTATACCCGGTCCCGTTTCTATGCTCGCCCCCTCGCCATCTTGACCACACACAAGGGCCGAGAAATTCTGCGCAGCACCAAGGATCTTGCCGAGAGCAAATCTCTGCAGGTCATCTACGGTGACACGGATTCCGTCATGATCAATGCCAACGTCGACAACGTTGCAGACGCTTTCAAAGTCGGCAACGAGTTCAAGAAGGCAGTCAACGAGCAGTACAGGCTACTGGAAATTGACATTGACAATGTGTTCCGCCGCATCTTGCTGCAAGCCAAGAAGAAGTACGCTGCCATTAACCTCATTGAAAAGGATGGTAAATTCATCGAGAAGATGGAGGTTAAGGGTTTGGATATGAGGCGTCGTGAGTACTGCGCGCTCTCCAAGGAAGTCTCCAAGCATCTGCTTGATGACATCTTGTCTGGAGACGATATCGAGGTTTCTGTGGCCCGCATCCACGAATACCTCCGTGATATTGCCACCAAGATGCGCGACTTTGCGATCCCCGTGCCCAAGTACACCATCTACACGCAGCTCGGAAAGGGCCCCAAGGAATATCCCAATGCCGACTCCATGCCTCAAGTGCAAGTCGCCCTCCGCGACATGGCCAGGGGTAAAACTGTCCGCAAGGGTGACGTGATTTCTTACATTGTTACGGGTACCAGCCAAAGCTCAGAGCCTGCGCCGAAGCGTGCTTATGCTCCTCCGGACCTCAAGGCCGACCCGTCTCTGCAGCCCGATGTGGACTGGTACATTGCCAAGCAGATCTTCCCGCCTGTAGAGCGTCTTTGCGCCAATATTGCGGGCACCTCGACATCACAGCTAGCTGAACAGCTGGGCTTGGACGTTCGCCGGTATACTTCCACTCAAACACAGCAGAGCGGCTCAAGCGACGATCTCGAGATTCACCCTCTCGAGTCTCAGATTCCCGATGAGGTCCGTTTTGTCGACTGTAAACGGCTCTCTCTCCGGTGCCGCAAATGCAAAGCTACATCCGACTTTGAAGGCCTTGTGGGCTCTCCTGATCGCGTTACCGCGTCGGGCGTCACCTGCCCTGGCTGCGGTGCAGTTATCCCGACGTTGTCTGTTGTAGCGCAGGTTGAACATGCGGTTCGCCTCCAGACATCCCGGTACTACGAAGGTTGGCTCGTCTGTAATGATCCTCAGTGTGGCAATCGTACTCGACAGATGAGCGTCTACGGTACATGCTGTTTGGGACCCAAGGGTCTGGCGCGTGACTGTACTGGCAAGATGTTTTACGAGTATACTGAAAAGGCAATTTATAACCAATTGGTTTACTTTGCTAGCTTGTGGGATGTGGACAAGGCGAAGACTAAAGCTGGCGATGCCAACAGTGACTTGACGGCGCAAGAAAGGGAGAAGATTCGGGCGATGGCGGAGCACAATCGTGTGCGGTTTACTACTGTCAAGACGGTTGTTGACAAGTATCTGGATAAG